TGAAGCTCATACCGTTCTAAGTCACAAACATAACTATCTTATTATATTCCTTCCTTAATAAGCTCTAGTTATACATTGTTCCCTTGCTCTAGGAAGCTAACCCCTTCCGAAGTGGCTTACATCGGTGAAGCCAGTCGGTATAGGGAAAGTATTCCTAACACTTATTTAGGTCCCTATATTATTAGTTAAGCTAGGTAATTAGTAATTATAGGGTTAGGAAATTATAGCTAAGGCAGCCTAGTATAACTACTGGTTCCCCTAAAATATAAGATTATATATAAATTAGCTTAGCTAATTTACTAGGATAATAGTTAGAGTTATTTAAGAGTTTATTTATTAGAGTGGCCTTCTATTCTACTAGCTAACTGCGTCTACCTATAAATTTAGTAATATCTAGAAGTCTCTCTAACAATTATATTTAAGTAACTAGGGGTTCCTTCTATAGAGTAAGCCCAGAACTATTTATAGACTTAGTAAGTATATCTATTTATTATTAATTACTAATATTAGGAGCAGTAAGAATGATTTTAGGGGGGGAACCAGGAGCTGACTTAAAGGTGGCTATCTCTTTACTTAGAGTGAGTACCGCCTAATTCTATTATATAAGAGCTTCTTATAGGGTGTAAATTTGTATAGTTATCTATTCCTATATAATATAGATAATTACCTCTAATTCTATTATTATAGTTAGTAAGGATAGTTAATATAATATAGTATTATAAAACTACTAGAAATAATCTACTTAAATTATTATATAAGGTAAACTAATAAGATTATTAATTATTTATTTAGTTATACTATATTAAAGTATTATATAATAATTAAGATATTATATAAAGAAGGGAAGGCCTAAAAATAGTTCTTACTAAAAATATAAAGGAGGCTTTATTATATCTTTCCTAATTGGGATTTAGGTGCGCGTGCGGTGAAATCGAATTAGGAAGTCAGTTTAGTTTAGAAGTCCAGTTAGTTAATATTAGGTAATATTAGGTTATATTAGGTTATGTTAGCTAATATTAGTGCTGCTTTAATCAGATAGGCAATAGGATGGTGCCAATCACGTGTCATAGGGGTGACCCCATGACAATAATACAGAACTGTACTCACATGATAATTCACATGTTACCTCGTAACATCCTAACAGCCCTGTCTTTCATGACGCACGATCTATACCAACAAAAATATATATATAGATTATTATTTTATTATCCTATAGCTAATTTAATATGGTGTTGTGAAGTTATTACTTTAAATAATGCATGATGGTGGGGCGAACAGGCCACTCGCTTATATGGGCCACTCACTGATAATGGACGTTATTGGAGAAAAAAAAAAGTCGCGACAACTACAGGATTCGAACCTGTGCGACCGAAGTCATGAGATTACTTTTGCAGGATTGCATTCGAGTCTCACCCATTAACCACTCTGGCAAGTTGCCGAAAGTCGAATGAAAGAGAAATCATTTTGAGTATATATATTCGAAGCATTATATCAAAGATGGCTGTAACTCTTTGCACATGATTCCAGAGATGCTCCACACACACACGGTAGCCGAGAGTCAAAATTATTAGACTCACTCGTGTTCTATTCTCCTTAATATGTAGTTATTATAAATTTTGCGCTATGCTCTGGAGACCCATTAACTTGATAACAGATATGAAGGACTTCAAGGTGTTTTCAACGAATTCCAAAGTGCTTAGACCAGGGGAAGTGAAATTGGGCGCGATGCACGATAGGACTAAAATTAGCATGGCCTAACCTGGGCTAGCGGCTTGCGTCCGCCAAGATGGGAGATAGTGACAGTGGAAGCAAAACAACACATGTCCTTGTCCGCCGCTGCTACATCCACCTTGGTTCTTCCCTCTCATGCGCAGTCAACCCAGTGCTTAAAAAGAGGAAAACGAAATCGGGACATTATGATGTTAACTTAATCTTTTGCGTTTCATGCAAGACTTCTACCTCAAGAATTGCCACGCTTTTACCCCTTTCGTTTCGTGAGCTGATCTTTGTGACACGACCCCGTTTCCTCATCAAAATTATTGCCCAAGACCTTTATACCCCAGAAATTCTCAGTCCCCTAGTTTGTGGTCATTGCATTCTTTGCTAGCTTTAGACTAGGTAGTTGAGACACGCGGTCTTAAGCCTCTCTCGGTGTGCTCCATCTTTAACAAGATGTCTAACAATGTGCTGGCTGCAGTCTTTCGGCCAGAACATCGTCTCAAAGTTGTATTTGGGATATTTAGTTTTATTTGCATTTGTTACCTGCTCACCCCTTCTGGATCATTGCGAAGTTCTTTCACAGAGCTGCAGATTGTTCCTGGTGCAACATGGACCGCCGTAGGTAAACATGACTTGTGATGGACTTAATGTACTGATCAATCTTTAGACTGGCACGAACGCCCATATCCAGGCCCATGGGCCTGGTATAATTAAAATTCAGAGCACCTATTATTTAATCGGAGAGGATAAAACGGGTGACATGCAAAAAGGTCATTTCAAGCATGTCAACTGCTACTCATCCACCAACCTCGTAGATTGGAAGTTCGAGAATCATTTATTATCCCGCGACGATTCTATTCCAGAGTTGGGCCCCAATAGAATCGTTGAACGACCAAAAGTACTGTATAACGAGGAGACCAAGACATACGTCATGATAATGCACATAGACAATGAGGTCTACCAATCCGCCCAAATCGGCTTTGCCAACTCATCGGCCGTTTGTGGAAAGTACACGTGGCAAGGCTCCACAAGACCACTTCAGCACGAGAGTAGAGATATTGGTGTTTTCCAGGACGATGATGGCTCAGCCTACCTGATGTCTGAGGATGTGAGTTCTCTTATTCAAAATATTCCGTTGTTAAAATTGACAACAACATAGCGTCCAAATGGACTCCATATATTTAAGCTTACAACCGACTACATGGCTGTGGCGCAAGTCATGTATTCCTTCCCTCAAAACATTGAATCGCCAGCCATGTTCAAACGTGATGGAATATACTATCTGTTTGGCTCGCATATTACAGGCTGGAACCACAACGACAATGTCTACACCACTGCCACTTCTTTAATGGGACCCTGGGCGCCATGGAAGGAATTTGCACCGCACGGCAGTAATACCTTCGAAAGCCAAACGTCTTTTGTCCTTCCCGTGGGCAAAGATCTCGTCATATATGGAGGCGATCGCTGGGTGCCGAAGAATCTGCATAGCAGCACTTATGTCTGGTTACCACTTCAGATCAAGGGTACTATCGTGAAGATGAACAGCGATGCACCATGGACAATTGATGGGCCAAGAGGAGTGTGGCATTCCGCGCCGGCTCCTGTCTGGCTCGAAGCAGAGAGTGCAAGGCTGCAAAATGGTGCAAAAGTCGTCCCCTGCCCTGCATGCTCAGGTGGTCAAGCAGTTGGTCATATTAATGGTGACGAGCACGGATCCATTCAACTCGATGGAATTAGGTTTGCAACCTCAGGGAGGAAAACCTTCCGGTTACAATATGTTTTCAAAGGGATAGATGAAAGACAAGCCGAAGTCATACTATATGTAAATGGAAATGGGGATACGCGAAAGAAAATTGTTTCGTTCCTTCCAATATCTGTACAGCCTGGCATCGCTGTTGTTGACTTTGAGGTGCCTTCGGGTTTGCATAGCTTGAGCATCAGAGGTGTAGACGGGAAGCCTGGTCCTGATCTAGATAGAATATCCATTCCGAAGTGACGTCTGTGGAATACCCAAGCAACTAATGTACACGATATAGATAAGGTGTGCACTTGTTAATGTATGAAAGTTGTTCAATTGGATTTGTTTTTATATTCTGGGCTATGGCATATCCCTTCAAAGTGATGGACGGAGTAAGAATTCATAACGTCTAAGTGCGAAATCCAAAAATCCCTATTTTACGTCCGCAAGTTGAACACTGAGATTCTCTATACGACAGGAAACGGCTTCGACGTAGGAAACAGCTAAGAATACTCTAGGACGGCATTGTAGGTGCAGTTCACATTTGCGGGCACTTTCCACCAGACGCGAACTGTACTCGACTGTCATATAAGCATCTGCAGAGAGATTTTTGCCGGATTATGAATTCAATTACAACATCTAATATCAAAAGCTTTTGCTATGTTACTTGTCATTCCTTTCCAAACCATAGATTATTTACCGAATATGTGCGGGGTATTCTTCCGGCAATGCTCGGCTCAAGATGAGATATCTAAACTCACGCCGATCAATGCAATGCACTGATTGTTGTTGCGACACTCAAATTATCAAATCCTCCTGAGCGACGATGACATCAAAACTGCCCACTTTCGTTGCCGGAATGGCATACTTTGATGATGCGTCAATGGATTGGGAACACCATACACCGAAATCGCGTCGCAAAGTTCTTAAGACTCGGCCAGATCTGTACATCGCTATTGTGCAGTGGGAACCAGGATATGTTCTTCCAGTAGTCGACCATCACGGTCTCGAAGAGCTCATCTACGTTGTGAAGGGCACCTTTGTTGACCAAAATCGAAAATCCGGGCCCGGGTCCTTGATAAGATGCGATCCTGGCACAAGCCATCAACCTAGCACACCAGATGGATGCACTTTCATAGTCATCAGGGATATAACGAGAGAAGAACGGCAGCGACTGTTGCCGCGAGCAAAGCACTAGTTGGCAGAATTTCAGTGTATTGGCTGTTCAGCTCTACAATGTCGACTTCAGTTTTTAGAAGGATCTCATGACCCGGGAACATGTGGAGGCAACAGCCAGCCGTTAAGCTCGACTACGCTCGATATTACTTTAACTGCTTTAACAATTCAACTTTTTTTGAAGTTGAAGTCAGTAATTACAGATTTTTCCAGATAATCTTTGATGGCTCTTTGACTGATGAACATGAACATTGCTAAGACTACTACAATGACGTCCAAAGCTCTTCCGACTCTGGATAGTTCAAAAAAATTCTGTAGGAACGAAGCTTGGAATATGGGGATCAAAGGTGCAACTTCATTATCGAGTTAATAATAGAGGTGCTATTATATCCATGATCAAGCTGACTTATTGGTCTCCCAGGCAGAGTGTTCAAATGCTTAAGCGTCTCCCTGAATCCACAGAAACCATTTGCAACATTACGTCGCCCATCAGTTCGTTCGCTCTCGAACTGGAAATCTGGCTGGAGATTTGAGAAGTTTTCAGCTGGTGCGCGTGCCTTCGGTTTTTGAATGCAGCAGGCAAGACAACGGCAAATGCGTACGACATCACAGGCATGCTGGACATCAATGACCATTTGCTTCTATTTAATCCCTTAAGACCTTTCAACATGGCCGGTTTGGGCTCAGATACTGGTAGCAGCTTAGATACGCCTCTAAACCCAGTGCATGTATTTAAAGCTTCTAATGACCGAGGTGAAGAAATAGCAACCCCATGGTGTGATAGATAGCTTAAACTGCATCCAACACGGCCGGGGCGCAGCCTTTTGCTTAGTCCCATCTTCTCCACAATTTTGCGGTACTGGGCCTGCATCTCATGACCTATTCCTAGTGTCAGGAATGAACAATAACCGAACGCAAGCCATAGCCAGCGGTCAGAGTGATCTCCATCAATTTGTACCTCATTGCTTGGATTTAGCCTTGCATAATTCCACTCTTCATGCACCTCTTGCCAATTATATGGCTGCAATCCTGATCTAAGGAAATAAAATAACTGAAACAATGACGAGCTCAGGATTATTGTGGCCAGTAAGAAGGAAAAAAATAGAAGACGTCTGAAACGCCAAATTGAGAGCTTGTTTCTAGATAAGCATGACGAGACTTGTGACCGATAGACGTGCAATCGCCATACCACCAGGACTGATACGTGTTAGTTTGAAGCTCAACAGGTAAAAAAAATGTAAGGATATGCTTACGCGCATAATAGCATGTCGGCATCATGAAAAGCACCGGCCAAATGTAGAGCAAGCAAACTGACACCCAGCTATTTGAAATGGGCGGCGAGCATCCGTAACCAGCGTCAATGATATATCGTATTGGCTGTACCACATAGTACACAATCATCACCCACACTGGAACTCCCAAACACAACAGCATTTCTTTCACCCATTGCTTCTGCAAAGAAGCACTCTGATTTTCCAAATCTAGCATTTTTGCTAATCGCTGTGACAAGCAAAATGCAGCGCCAGGTAAGCCGCCGTAGCCAGCTCCAACAATCAGTCGCAACTCGATGTCGCACAGATAGTAGCCGCGGAACCAACTCATGAGGTCATCGTTGTGCCATGTAATCGCATTGATGAGATTGATCAGATTGAGTACAATGATCCAAAGCAGAATGAAGGATGTGGATATATTTCGAGACCGAATATGCCAGATGAGCGGGGCCATGTTCAGGAGTACGGCTATTAGAGAGAGTGGTATGAGAAGTTTAGAAGACTTCAAGAACGGATAGGTGTCTCTCGATATGTCGCTCATCTCGAAGGTGATTTTTCCTGTTCAGATGCATTGAATTTATTCGGGTCAGCAGCGTAGTTAGGGTTTCATCGACTGTCAAACTAGCTGAGTAGCAAAGTTGGAAGTAAAGAATAGCCCGGAGCACTCCATATTTATCTAAACCCTTGAATAGCGGAGTTTGTCAATCGTCATCTCAATAACTATTGGACGATTATTGTGTCCTGAGCAATTAACAGCAGATTTGAGGTCAGTAAGCAGAAGTCTCACGGGAGAAATATCCATCAGCATACGGTTTGTTTGAACCTAGCACTCATTCGCAGCTCAACATAGGTTCTCGTTGGTATGTTTTTGCCGCATATCGAGACATATGCCTATTCAAGTCTTCAATAAGAAAAGAAATCCAAAAGGAGGTCAGAAGCGCAACATGGCGGCTCGAACACAAGATATATTTATTCATGGCATATTTGCAGCAAGACGTCAGATTGTGCAAGATTGATCGAAGATAGATACAACTTGCTGAGTGGCACTTCTTGAGTTTTGGTCAAATGAGCGAGGCTCTAAGTTCAGGAGTCCGCCTTTCGTCCTGTTTCCTTGCTTTTTCAATGTTCCATGTGGGGAGCCTGATATGCGTTGTCTAAATTAACAAATAGTAAAATAAAGAGTTCAAAGGCTTCCTAGCTCCGTACCTGAAAGCGCTCTCTCGCTCGGCCAGCACGTTTCGTCTCCACTTGGCTGTCTTTGGGTGCGTAGACACGAAAGTGATTCATGATAGTGACAGGTGATGTCACTGTCCGCATTCGTCAAACCCAGCTTCAAAACACGGTTATATGCTTTAATTTCGTCTCTTTGTCGGCTACATACCTGTGTTAGCGGCAAAAGTGGATTGCAGTGAGGCACGCTCCGAGATTCGGTACCGGCAAACGCGAGGAACGTGAATAGGCGAAGCTCACTGCTCTCTCGTTAAAAGCGGCCGAAATGTGTACCAAACGGTGAAAACTACGGTCAATGGCCCAGTTCATAATGTTCTCAAGACCTATGCGCCATGGCTGCCGCACGCACTGGGCGTCGACTAGAGCTTTGTTGCTGACTTTGGCCAGAAGACAAAAGTCGGACTTCTCCCATCTGCAAACAGAGCTACCCGCTCGCGTGCTACCTATCTTATACGATGACCTGACCTCGCGCGCAACTCATAACCTCAATGTCTCACTCGCCTCTTTTGTCCCTGACTCTTGGCTCCCCAAGTCGACGTTCGAGGATAGCCTTCCTGTGACGAGCCCGTCACTCGAGCTCCCCGCGTCGCATCATTTAGTCTACTTTAATCCCGCGCTTCCGCCGTCGAAACTCCTTCCCGATGGAACAGATCCTAATCAATCGCCCGGGGTGCCTTTCGTTCGGCGAATGTGGGCTGGTGGCAACGTGCGTTGGAAGGCACCACTAAAGGTCGATGGTTCACGGCACGCGTGCGTGGAGGGAATCCGCAACGTCACGATCAAGGGCCAGCCTGGCCAGGAAAAGGTATTCGTGGGCATTGAAAGGAGAATTGGTGCCATTGGCAAAGATATGGGGGATCACGAGGTGCGGAAGAAGCTGTGGGCGGAGACTGAAGACGACTTTGCGGATGCCGATATAATTGAGCGAAGAAATATCGTCTTCATGTATGAGAGGACGGAGGAAGAACTGGAAAAGGTTAAAAAAAGAGGAGCGGCTATGCCAGCCGACAAGATGCTCAAACGTATGTTTGCATTTTGCGCAGCAACTGCAATGAGAACGCTTTTTTTTAACACCAGGACAGCGCAGAACCAGCCGACGTTTACGCACACACTTACTCCTACACCCACGCTTCTTTTCCGATATTCTGCATTAACATTTAACGCGCACGCCATACATCTTGATCCGCAATACTGCCGTGAGGTGGAAGGTCATCGAAATCTTCTATTTCATGGGCCACTGTCTTTCACTCTCTTAACACTGATGGTGGATAATCATGTCAAAAGTCAGGGAAAGACCATTGCAAGCATTGACTACAGGAATCTTGCTCCACTATATTGTAGCGAGCCGGTCAAGTTATGCGGTAGAGAATCAGGACCGGACAAGTTTGAGGTCTGGGTCGAGACCCCCGAAGGTGGCATTGCCGTCAAGGGGAGTGCGACAGTAAGAACTATATAGATGTCTTGACAAATCATCACAGGCGACATACTGCAAGTACTTGATTTTGAAGTCATTTCATGCATTTCAACGAGACCAGTAACAATAGTCTGAGATTCCGAAATGCAAGGGCATCCACCCGTCATCATCTCACCCTCCTTGCCGAGACTTATCCAGCCAGTCTGCTAGCGTGTTGTAATCAAATCCTCTTTAGCAGTGCGTCTGGTGCCTATACATACTGACTCATCCACCGAATACCTTCCCCGTAACCCTGCCTCAATACGACGCTGCACATGAACACCTCGATTGGACGAATTCCATCCAGCGGTACGCGGCCTTTTCCAGTAGTCTGATAGAGGCCGAGTACATTGCGTAGTTGTTCTTCAGAGACTGCTTCAGGATGATCTATCTTATTGCCGAGAATGAGGAAGGGAGTCTTGGAAAGCTCCTCCATAGCGAGCTGATGTCGATGTCAATTCTAGGAAAGACCCAATCCAGTGAGCATTAGTTTCATACCAAAGCATCAAGCTCAGCCTTAGCTTCAGGAAAACGTTCGTGGTCTTTGGCGTCGACGAGAAATACTATGCCTGAAACTTCGGGAAAGTACTATGCAGACAGTCAGATCGTTTCTTCCGTCAGGTCATCTCCTCTTGCACTTACATCTCTCCACAACCTTCTAGCCTGTGCGTGGCCGCCCAGGTCGAATGTGGTGAATCTGACATTCCCGATGCTCAGCTCTTCGCTTGTCGGGTGCAGTGTAGGCTGTAGAACAGCCACACGATCATTCTTTAGCATGTGCAGGAGCGTGGTCTTTCCGGCATTGTCAAGCCCGAGGAAGAGAAGTTCTGGGAGCATGTGTCAGAGCGTGAAAACATGACCTTGCAACGAGAGGGGACAGACTCGCGTGCTTGTTTGCAAGACCAAGGGAGGAGAGGAGATCCCAGACTAAGAATATAGGATTAGCACCGTTTCAAGGCTTGTTGGCAGTAATCGTCAAGGGCGGGTACGAACACTGTTAATAGTTAGACTGCGTTCAAACAACAGAGAAGAGCTACCAGTGCTTGCGATTCAACGTACCCAGTCAATGATCCACATGTTGCTGCGTCTAAGAAAGAAATTCTACAAGGGACAGAGATAGACAATCAACCACGAAAAAACGGGTTGATGAGAAGATTGCGGGATCAGCGATTGTGGTTGTGTGTGGAGAGAACGGCTAGTGTACGGTTGAGTGGCCTCATTGCATCACCTCGCCAGGAAGGTCTCTGTCCTTGGCAAATCCCAAGTCAGGATCACGCTGTGCACGGACCGTCGCCAGGCTGAGCGTAAGGCTCAAGCTTGAATTCATGGAGAACGCCGTCCGGCTATAGGCACAGCCAGTATATGCTATTTTATTGGTGCCAGAAACCTACAAGTACACTCTGGGTTCCCAAACTGGCAAGTCCCTTAGGTGTTCCTTATCAAAATGCACTTTGGCTTCTGCGTCCACCCAAGCGCCTTCTGCCGTAACCTCGATTTCCTTTGGTATGTGCTTGATCAGCTCTGCCGATATACCTATTTCATCGCTCGCGATCCAAATTTGCGGCCTCTTTAATTTTAGGTAAGGATTCTGATAAGCTTCGTGTTCTTGATCTTCTTGAAGTTCTGGTGCTACGTTAGCAAGTCGAGTCTTTGCTAGCATAGCTAGGTTCTTCGCAAATGATGCATATTTCTGTGGTTCGAAGAATCTCATGACTGAGCTTCGCAGACCGTGAGTGAACTCCAGGTGTGCATGGGCAATTAGTGCACTATCCTCTCCTTCCTCTCCATCCTCTCCATCCTCTCCATCTTCAATCTCATTTTGTTCACGTTCTTGCTCGCGAATAATGCTGGTTGGAAGTGATTTCGTAAGAGTATTCAGTTTCTGATGCATAAGACGATGAAATATAATAGTCATAATGGCAAATGATGTCATGATTACCAATGGCCCAGAAGAAACATTGTGTCGCTTCACGGATAAAGAAAAAAGGCCGATGAGACAAAGTTCAGACGTATAGACGCCGACGGTCAGTTGCTGTAAGCCTTTTGCGTATGTCCGTCCCTGAGTATCGACACTTGTTTGGAGAACGTAGAACAAGTTATACTTGAAGACGAGATATAGAAAAGAAAATGCCACAGTGGCAAAACCGAGAGTCAAAGGAGCTATGCAGGAATACGATATTGCTGCGTTGTCGTTAGTACTTCGGCTCCAATATGCATTGAAATGACGTGACGTACCAATTATAGCGAGATTGGTGAACTTTGGATACCATGATCCCCATCCTGTCCCGCCCATCCTAACATATCTTTCATACTTTTCTCTTGGAGTTTTGTCGAAAAGAGAAAGGAACTTATTTAGGAATAACCCTGACCAGTTCAGAAGATTCTTCGTGCTCTGGCCAAATCCATATATAATGAAATATGATAGATAGAAGTTGGATGCTCTAGGTAGCTTCTTCGCCAGCAACTCAGGTGCTTGCCTGGAATCGTTGATCAGATCAGATGTAACAGCGATGGCTCCGGATGAAAAAGTGGTAACCAGGAAAACTTGAATGACTTGGAACGCAAAGTACCAGTCTTGTGTCTTTAGTTCTATGTGTGCTGCTGTTACCTCCCCACTCCAGCAGGCGATAGAGCGAAAAATTGATGGCACATAGGAAACCAGACTGGACAAAAGTAGAGATGGCAGCAAACCTTCAATAGCATCAAGAACTGGCGGAGGTAGGTTGTTGATCCACTTGAGCCATTCTACCTCGTTAGCAAATTGTCCGATGTTAGACAGAATACCAAGCAGCGATGTTGGGATCGACCAGAATAGTGTCAACACAATAACGACGCTCATCGCAATGACTCCACGAAGCAACGTCTCCCAAACTGGTATGCCGATGTTTTCCCACACCACATCACTAGGAACTGTAGCAATGCACCGTGGTATCATGATCAACGGTGCTTGATGGATAATCGTCTGAAATGAGTTCTGAGCAGCAGACATGCTATTGAATTCAACAAATGCAGCCTGCGTGTCTTTGATGTTTCCTTGCTGTTCCTGGGTCTGCAGGAAAGTTATAGCCTCGTTTCCCTTTATCACTTGCTCGACATGCCTTCTTACGGTGCATTCCTCGTTTAGATCCTCAAACATCATCTGCTCACCCTGCTTTTTAAAGTGCTTCTTGACAGCAGATGTGATAGCTGTGATAAGTGCTTTTTCAAGCTTCATGGCATTCTTTCTGCGGTTTTCGGAGAGTTTTTTCAACTGGGGGCAGCTTTTAACTATCCAAACACGTTTGACTGACCCCAATGCTGTACGAAGAGAGGTGTCATTTAGTTGGCTATGCGGTATTGATGTGAATAATACTGTGCGGCTAGAAATCCGACTCGCATTCCAGGGGCTTAGCAAATACGCTTGTTTTAGGTTGATCTGGTATAGTGTTTCCCGAGTGATTGTGAACATCACAAACGTAAGGAAAACCATGGAGACTAAGAGATGAGCGTAGTAAAATTGAGGGTTTTCGATATTCCCAATCGTCAAGCGATCCAGCTCTTTCAAATTTCCACCTCCAGTGGCATTGATAGGTAGGATGATCGGCCAAGTGATCAGCATTCCGACAAAGCAAATCAGAATAACAATCTTCAGGAAGCGTAGAAACAAGTAAGCATCGAGAGACTGTTTTTCGAGCAAGCTTGAATCGTCCAACTTGATAAAGTACGGGATCCAGCTAAACCAGCTGTTATGTTGCATCTGTGGTGGCCTTTCATCGTCATCTAGTGTGCCGAGAACCACTCGAGGAGCATATAAATGTAGATTTGTTCTTCTCAGAACCAAGAATCCTATGACCTGAGCAGCTGCAATCGCAAAGATAGGTATGAGAGTTGTGAACAGCACACGAGCTGATGAAGGGGCTCTCGCCGGCTCTATAATTCCCTGCGTGAATAGGTCAGTACTATCACTGTCAACGACATTTCGGACAGGAGACGTACTGGGCTGCCAATCATCTGCTGATTTGAGTTCAAGCCAGCGGACATAAATTGATGCCACCTTATTATATTATCTAAATCGGAAATCGACCTCATTTTGAATAGATTTTAATTGTTTATCTATGTCCGAAATTCGTTGTGTGCAGCTGGTTGAGGAAAGGTTTCGACTCTTTCGGCAGACGTTTGTACAATGATGTCATCGGAGCTTACGGAAGTTAACTTAGTTGTACGAGCAGGTTCAATTCCAAATTAAGAATTGGTGAAATGTGTAACACTTACCGCTTACACTCAACGCAATGCCTAAATACAGTTGTAAAGGCTCAATGTTCTTGAGATTCCATTTAGACGCAAAAATAGCGATGTTAGGATTAAGTCGACGTCAATACTAGAAATTCTGTACACACGTGGTTATCCAATGAAGATTAAATGACAAGCGCAGAGATATGAATGCACTTAAGGATGACCTTAAATTATTACATTCTGCAGAGGCAGATACATACTTCTAGTTTGACAACACCGAGTTATTCTCAGTGACGGAGCGCTGATTAGCTGCCGTGATTTGATTACATTCGCATGCCATGTTTGGAGTGAGAAGAGAAATAGCTAACGCTGATTTCATGATGATCAGAGCGTCCTCAAATAAGGTCAGCTGTTGGTTGATCTTTCCACAGGCTAATGTGGCCATGATTCTCTTGTGAGGGAGCATAATATCATAGGCTTAGTTTCAATAACCGCCAGAGAAAAGTATGATATGCCTCGATGTCCTTGAATTCAAATTGAGGCCAATGTATCTTAACATACCCAGCTCGCTGACGGCGCCAAAAATGAGGCTTCGCTCCAACAATATGTCGTTAGGCAAGATTCGAGTCTGGCTACCTTTTCCTAGCTGTGCATCATCACAACTTGATGCACAGGATTGTTTTTCCTAATCGCTGTCATCATCGCTCCCATACGCTACCAAGGGACCTGAAGGCGTAGGCGCAGATTTTGCAGTTGTGAATTTCCGACCATTGAGAGCGGTCAAAGTTGAACTCGAGAAGATCCCATTATCGGTCGTGGATGCTGGTGTTTCTTCCGCTTCTGGTGAGCCGTCGGCTATAAGCCGCTCTTCCCGAGACTCAGCTACTTCGCGCTGCCCTCCCTCATCCAAACCCATCTTATTAGCTATCCAATTCGCTTGCTCCCTAGCTTGCCATACATCGTCCGGGGCTTCATAACCCTCCAATCCAAAGCTTCCCTCGATTTTCCTTCTCTTCGTGGCTTCTGGATCTCTTCCCTCCAGTTGAGCAACATAGTCAGGCGGTAGTGCCGCTCGAATAGCTGCTGCCGCTTGTTCTTCTATTGCTCGCGCCTCTCGCTTTTGCGCTGCAGGATTTGGATCAACCGTTGCCCAGCGAACATTCAGCACCTCCTCGTGATCAAGTGATTGATGTGCCATCGCTTCCTTCGCGAATTCGCTATTTGCCATATTTGAATACGTCACAAAGGCCACACCTCTGTTTGTGAGCACGCGTATCCTATCGATCTGGCCCCATTCTTGGAAGTGCCGACTAACCACCTCTTCAATATCGTCTGTAACGTGAATTCTTCCAACGTACAATGTTCTGTTCATGCGCATAAAGGAGCCAACGCCACCCATATCATCTCTGTAGTCTGCAAACTTTTCGCGTCCAAAGCAGTCCACCTGTGGACTGAATATATCGTGCAATCCAGGCAGCCTGTGCAAGTATTGGCAATCTCTTCCTTTTGGGCATATTCCTCTTGCAAAGAAGAGACAGAAATATGATCCGGGTATACTATCTGCTCTTGTGTAACCTGAATCTCTAGCGATGTTGCAACGTCCTGGTGCAGCGTGCTGGATGTTTTGATCGCGATCACCGCCAGACCATTTATTGTACCATATATTGAAGACAGTCCCTGTCTGTGGCGGTGGCTCGGTTTTGAAAGTGGCTGGGTCTACCTGCACACGCGCTGGTCTCTTCTTCTTAATTTTCTTAATCTTCTTGACTCTTTTCTCAGGGTTCGTAGTAACGAGCGACGTTTCCGTATGCTCATGGGCATCGTCAGTGGAAGGTGCTGCGTCATTTGAGGGTTCTTCGTCGGTCATTGCTAGTGCTCCTTTGAAATTCTGTCCACGGCTGTGTCTTTGTTACTTCAGAGCAAGGAGAGACGCTGGACGTTGAAACTCCTATGGAAAGAACCTTTGAACGACAGTATTTGATTCTGATGTCGCGTTTCTGCCTGAGGCAAATAAAGCCTCCCACGTGATGTTCAGCCTTGCCGTCATGGAGCTCCAAACCAAAGCGCGATCAGAACGAGAGGCGCCTGCGGCTGAAGTGCGGTATTCATTCGTCTTTAGCGTGAAAAAGGTTAAATTGAAGAGACTAAGAACTATCGCTACGCCTTAATGATTGTCCAATTTCACCGTATTGTATTCGTCAATCGTACCCAGTCAATTAAGGGATGCGAACTTTTCTAAGCAAAACTAATAGCCAAGACAATTATCGTAGCCTCGAATGTCTCTTAGCACGCCTCGCTTCTAATCGCGCCTGAGCAGCCTTTGCCCTTACTTCGCTCAGACCAGTGGAAACTGCGATAGCTGAGGCTGCATCAGATCGTTTATGCTTTCCATTCGGGATATCAAGACTGCCTTTTGGCATTGCAGTGTGTTTGCGTGTCGTAACAGGCCTTTGGGTCTGCAAACTGAGTTTCGACATTGGCGCTATATCCTCAAGATTTCCAATATCGTGATGATGTGCAAGAGAAGCCGCTGCCTCTGCCATCGCTTCTCGATGCGTTGGTGAATGTCCATTAGGCACACCATGCTTGATATCGTTCGATGGCTTTGAAATTTGCGCCATTATTCTCTCGTGATCAGATTCGGAGAAGAAACTTGGCATCGGTGGGCTTGAGGGGATGTTTGGGCTCATGTCAGCGAGAATGCGACGAAGCGGCTTCCTAGCATCTGCGCTAGGACGTGGTGTCGGACTCTGCTCCAAATCTGAGACTCCCATCTCGAAGTGCGAGCTCGGGGTAACCACTGAGTCTTGACGTGCCACTGATTCGGTTTTGCACGCTAGTCGCCACTCCTTGTTGCCTCGGCTGTGCCTTGCATGTTCACCACGAGTCTGAACGACGGCAGCTTGCAAGTATGCTCGCGTCATTGCGTGATCCTCCTCCTCGTCCTCGGGCCGCTCATTTACTCGAACTAATGCATCATCGCTGGCCTCCAATTTAAGCAAGGCTTGCTTGAGCTTTTCCGTGCTCGGTTTTGCCGTGACATCTCCAGTTTTGCTTCGCAACACCGAAATTTCAGTCGATGTTTTCATATTCTCAGCCATCTGTAGCCTTAGCTGCTCACGAAGCTCCTTGATCTGCTTCTCCAGCTCCTTCTCTCGAGCTCGATGTCGTTTGCTGATGCTTTCCAACTGGCGTTTGAACTCATTTGCTTCTTCATCCTTTTTCTTTGCGTGCTCTTTGCAAAGCTTATACTTGGCAGTGAGCTTATTGATATGCTCCTCCGACTGTTTTTGATACATTAAGTATTGTTCCTTCCAATGTCGTCCAGACTCTGATCTCGGCTCCATGATGTCAATAGTAATATCCGCGTCATCCTTCGCACGACCTTTCTGTCGCCTCAGCGTCGTGCCAGTAGCTTTAGCTTCATACAGAGCATTGTTTAAGTTATTCTTAGGGAATTGAGCCCCACTCTTCTCTGTTAACTTCGGCGTCCATGGGCTGGGGAACTTGCCAGGAAAGTCGTGAGGCAAACCAGACCGACTAGGCCTTTTGTTTTCATTGTCCACAACCTGCGCGCCAAATGTAACTTCCTTCTTCTTGCCACGCACTGTTCCTGGGGTCATCAGAATACCCGCTTTCGTAGGCGAATAATTGCTCATATTTGTGTCCCCAAGTGCGCCGAAATCCGTTGTACACTTTGCCTCGGTCTTCCCAGGTGCCTTTCGCTTCTTGGAAAGTCGTGTTGAATCAACCGTAGTAAGGGCTTGCGGAGTGCCCCATATCGCGTGTTTCATAGCTCGCACTGCAAATACGGGCGCAGGTGTTTCGGGAGGCTCAAGGCACGTGTCGTCAACTAGAGGCTGCATTTTAGTGCTTGGAGGATAACACGACGCATAAGGAATAATTACCATTCTCTGACGGGTTCTCCACCAGCTTGGAGCCTGTCAACCATGAAAACATGGCGATGTTGTGCGCCGCAGATACTTCGAGCAGGTTTCAGCTTTGTCAATGTCAACTAGGCTGGGCGCATAGTCGCCGTAAAATGCAAGAACAAAAGCAACGAGTAAGTAAGAGGAGAAATCTGTGCAAAGCTTGAGTGTGGCTCCAAAACAAACGGAACAGCATGTGCAGGTAGGCTGCTTTGATTGACAGAATTTATTGATGTTGTTGTTTCGTGTTGCGTCTAATGAGCCTGAATGTTTACACAAAGAACGTTGCGCAAGGAGACTGGTCACATGTGTCAAATATGAGGCAACGCTTGGCGAGTGAATACTATTTCTCGAGCTTGATAAGCCGTTGAGGAGGTCCAGAGTCGACAATCGCAGGGGCAGTGGAGCTTAGCAAAGGGCACTGGCAGAGACGAGTCGTTGTTGATACGCGTCAGTCGCGGACGGCGCAAGTCTTATTAGGCGGAACAGAAAAGTGGATCCACAGAGACGCCCAGACTCACCGACAGGGCGAGGTCACCTGACAAATGGTCTCGTTGGACAACTCATAACTTATCTAGCGTACATAAAAGCCCAGTGCGACTGCACATGACACAGTGGTTCGGTCATCAACATCAACAAAAAAACCTGCTCCAACATTTACCATGCAGCTATTTCTCGGCTAACAGACCAGTTGCCCTTGCTTCATTTTTGAAGCATGGGTATAGCTGTGTGCTCTTGAGTCGACCTCAGGATCGCTGAGTATACGACCACTCAAGAGCAGTAAACTCATGCCAACCACACCAGCAAACAGATGGCTCCGAAGGCTGCCAAGAACAAGAACAAGCAAAATGGAACTAAGCAGTCGCCGGTTGCTGCTGAATCGGAAGGGCTCCCCGCTGGTACCACCGACTATGCTCAACAGCAAAACGACGAGATCGAAGTGCTTCGGTCCATATACATGGACGATTTTTGCGAAGTTGAGACAAAGACTGCCTGGGCCAACAAACAATCTGATAAAGCCTTCAAGTTGCGATTAAGGCCTATGATGCATTCCGACGTTGAGGTTGCCATTACCCTTAGCGTTTGCTTGACTGCCACGTATCCGAGGAGCTTGCCAACGCTAAAGTTTCTGGACGTAGTCAATATCAGGCCATCAACGCTCGGAAAGCTTGAAGAATTCATCAAGAACAGGCCCAAACAACTGCTTGGAGAAGTCATGATTTACGAGCTTGCATCTAGTATTCAAGATATGCTTGAAGACGAAGCCCAATTCAAAGCTCAAGGCAATGCCATGCCCAGCTTGGAAGAGCAAAGAGTTGCCCAGGAAGCTGCAACCACGCAATTGGCCAAACAGCAAGAAGAGGAGGCCCGCCAACGCCAGCAACAAGCGCAGGCCGAAGAAGATCGTATGTTGCGGCGAATGGTTGAAGACGAAATGAATAGACGGCGCGAACTTAGAAAGAAAATGCGCCCTGTTTATGCGACCCACTCTGTCGCGACTGGTAATAGCATCGCTACGGTTGAACTTGACCGTACCGTTTCCTATCAGGCCGCGAACACGAGTCTTGAATTCACAGCCGTCACTGCGCCGGTTCCACTATCAGCTGGTCCACTTACGGAAGTCTCAACGGTGCAGCCTGTAATCAGGGCAGAGGGTCCTGAGAAATCATGTCTTCTGGTCGTCAAGCAGTTATCGCTTGAGTTCTCTTCAAACGTTGACAAGAAAAAAATTCTTGCTCTTGAAGACGAATTGGAAACGTTGCGAAAGATCAACCACACAAACGTCGCGCAAATCCTTGACTTTCGTGTCGATTTTGGAGACAAGTGGTCGATTATGGTACTTATGGAATTCGCTCGAAAGGGTTCACTAGGCGAACAATTGGTGATGATCGGGGCACTCCCACCTGCGCGTGTTAGAATATGGCTTGTTGAACTACTTGAAGCTCTGGATCATCTTCACAGGAATGGTATCGTGCATAAGCGAATACACCCGAACAATGTTCTACTTGTGCAACCATCTCATACATCTCCTTTACAGGTCCGGCTGGCAGATGTGAGTTTTCAAGCAGCTCTTTACGACATAAAAGCTGGTTGTACACAAAAACCTTCCGTCTCGTCATTTTCAGCTTACTGGAATCCGCCCGAGACCAACGACAAGACGCGCAAAACTGATATTTGGGAGCTTGGGATCGTTTTCCTACAAATGCTTTTCGGTCTCGATACACCACGCAAATACTCCAGCCCAAATGCGTTGATCGAAAATCTTTCTCTCTCCAATCCGTTGGAAGATCTCATTCGAAAGTTCTTCAGAACCGATGCAAAGAGGCGTCCTACAGCATTTGACCTTATTCCGTCCGAGTTTCTCAGGACAGATGCTGAAATTTACGCAGATGCCGTGTCGCCTGCGCAAAGCCGCCATGGCTCAATGATACTCACGCAAGTTCCCTCCCAGCAAAGACTTCGACGTGGATCGAGTGGCTACTTCGGTGCAATGTACTCACGTTACGCCCAAGAGTGGATTGAAATCGGACGGTTGGGTAGAGGTGGTTTTGGCGAGGTTGTTAAAGCACGTAATAAAATGGACGGTGGCATCTACGCTATCAAAAAAATCAAACAGAAAACAGGATCAAAGTTATCTGAAGTCCTGTCAGAAGTCATGCTACTCTCGCGCCTCAATCACCCCTACGTTGTTCGTTATTACACAGCATGGCCCGAAGAAGATTTTTCAGATATTGCAAATAGTGAAGACTCAGCAACAATCGCGACGACAACAGATGATGGTATAAACTCTACAGAGCAGATTCACGGAAATACGAGTATAGACATCGGGCAAAGCAGAACTGGCGATCTTGACTTTATCAGCAGCGGATTCCCTAAGATACAATTTGGTGCTGAATCTGATGATGACTCAGAAGATGACTTCTTTGAACGGGACGACGACGCCAGTGCAGAAGATATAGGAGAAGATTACCCAAAAAGTTCTAATTCTTTTGCAGATCGGGATCCATTAGCTTTGCGACGTACTTCAAGCTCTCGCAATGTTAGATCGGTGGCATCGACACTGGTAAGATCACACATCAATTGCTGGGACCAGGACGATCACTAAAACTTTTGGCAGTACATCCAAATGGAGTATTGTGAACGCCAGACGCTGAGAGATTTGATCAGGAAAGAAATGGACGACGAAGAAATATGGCGGCTATTCAGACAGATTGTGGAAGGTCTGGTGCATATTCATGGCCACGGAATTATACATCGAGACTTAAAGCCGGATAATATATTCATTGACCTTGCTGGAAATCCCAAGATTGGCGATTTTGGGCTAGCCACCAGTGGTCAGTATCAGCTGGCTGACAAAACGACATCATCTGGTCGGCAAACCGGTGGAGATATGACGCGAAGTATTGGTACTACATATTATGTTGCTCCTGAACTGCGCTCGAATGCCTCTGGTGCCTACAATGACAAAGTCGATGTAAGTTGGCGGTGAATTTAAAAGAAGGCAGCCCTAACTGAACTAGATGTACTCGCTCGGTATTATTTTCTTTGAGATGAATGTACCACTCAAGACAGCAATGGAGCGTGACAAGGCGATTCGCAGTATTCGAGAGAGAGAACACAATCTTCCTTCAATATTGGAGACACCCGAGAAAGCCATTCAAGGATCAATCATATTGTCACTGGTGAGCCACAAACCTAGCGAGCGCCCATCGTCGTCTGAACTTCTTTCTTCTGGGAAAATCCCGCTCAAGATTGAGGATGAAACCATAAGGCGTGCTCTGGAAGGACTTTCCGATCCAACCTCTCCGTATTATCATCAGTTGATGACAGCACTGTTTTCTCAGACCGCGAGTAAACAAATCAAAGACTATACGTGGGACCTTGGCACAATGACAGGTATGCACGACGCAAATGAAAATATGCTGCTTATGCGAAACTTGGTGAAAGATCATTTAATCAGTATTTTTCAACGCCACGGTGCTGTAGAGACGCAACGCCAGCAGATTCTGCCTCGTTCAGCACATTATGCGAACAACAATGTTGTACAGCTTCTTGACGCCTCGGGAACACTTGTTCAGCTACCATATGATCTCATATTGCCTCATGCAAGAGCAATCGCTCGCAAATATCCTGCTACGGACAAGAGCTTTGCCTTTGGGAATGTCTTTCGCGAAACAGTCATTGGTGGTGCTCCTCAGACTAGCGGGGAGGTAGATTTCGACATCGTCTCGCATGATGCGCTGGATTTGGCCCTGAAGGAAGCTGAAGTTATCAAAGTGCTCGATGAGATCCTCGAGGAGTTTCCCGGAATTGCTGTAGCACCAATGTGCTTTCATCTTAATCATGCGGACCTGTTGGAGCTCATCATGGATTTCTGCCGAATTAGCATTCCCCAAAGACAGGCAGTCAAGGAACAAATTAGCAAATTGAACATTCTGGATTTTGACTGGGTCAAGATTCGCAACGAACTTCGTTCGCCTGCTCTGGCTGTGTCATCAACCTCTTTAGACAGTATGTCCAGGTTTGATTTTCGAGACACGCCCGACAAGGCCATCTCTAAAATCAATGCGATTTTCGAAGGAACGGTTTATGCCGATCGAGCAAAGGCGTCCCTAAAACACATCCGTGATGTCGTCGGCTATCTGCAGGACTTTGGAGTACGTCACAAAATATTCATAAGCCCTCTCAGCGCGATAAATGAAAAGTTCTACTCCGGCGGTCTCCTATTCCAATGTTTGTTCGATAGGAAAAAACGAGCAGTTCTTGCCGCCGGCGGACGTTATGACAGACTGATCGAGGAACACAAGCCCAAAGTCCAAGGCATGTTTACAGGATGTCATGCTGTAGGCTTCAACCTCAGCTGGGATCGACTGGTTGTGGCGATGGACAAGCTTCTTAACAGCAAATCTAAAGCTACATCGTTCCTAAAGAGAGACAAAGCGCCTGAGCTGACGACCGCATGGAAGACAAGGCGTTGCGATGTTCTTGTTGCAGCCTTCGACGATGTAGTACTTCGTACTGCTGGACTTCGAGTTCTATCCGAGCTCTGGGCCAATAATATAAGCGCCGAGCTTGCAACAAATGCACACACTCTCGAAGAGATCATGAGCAAGCACCGGGATGACAGTCACGGCTGGATTGTCATCATCAAGCCCGACAGCGTCGCAGGTGGGCGACCGGACCTGCGGGTTCGAACGGCTGCCACGCGGGAGGACATAGAAGTTAAGGCCGAGAATTTAGTCTCACATCTCCTGTCTGAACTTCGAGAACGCGATAGTGCCGAAGGAAAGGGCAGGTATCACCGTCGCCAACTGGCGCATGCTAGTGAACAGCTCACCACGACATCTAATCGACGACAGAATGTTCAAGTTCTGGTTTCGCAGCATCGCAGCAAGAAATCCAACAAGTGGAACATAATCGAAGCTGTACAGTCGCGTGCACAGGAATTGCTTTCATCCTATAGCAATTCACCGATTGCTGCGGTTGAGACTCGTGATGACATCCTAGAGATGGTACGCGCAACAAGACTTAGTGATCCAGAAAGCTGGAGGAAGGTGGTGCATAGTGTGCCAGTCAACGAGAGAGACTACGTGCAGCAAATTCACCAACTTTTGGATGGTTTCAGAAGAGAGTGGCAGGAAAATACTTTAGAGAAGAGCCGAACTGCTTTTTTGAGCAACTTTAGAACTGGTTATGTGATGCTGTATGACCTTGGATTGTGACTACAGAAGGAGGCAAGGGTGAGTTTTCATTTCACAAGTATTAGTTAGAGTCGGCAATCGATGTGCATAAACTTAAGAGAAAAAGAAAAAGAAGAGTACAATTTTGTTGTATTCGCGGTGAAAATATTATGCACGACATCGATCACTTGAAGTACGCAGCGAGCGATCGAACTGCATTGGCTTGACCACTTGGATTCGCATCAAGAGGCACCCGTAATCGCGAGAGCACGAGGCATGTATATGCCTGAAGGCCGCTGCTTGTCTAGAGGCAAAATCATGGAAGCACTGTGATTTATTGCAATAGTCGGATGAGCGGTTTGAGATCTTGCTCCATGCGCTTATGATAACATTGCAAGGGCGCCCAGTTTGGGCGAACACGCCAATTCGAACCATGTTAGTTCTACGATCCGCAGTTTCTAGCAATTCCCGCAACCAACGCCAGAGTTCAGTCTGGTAGCTGCCATGCGCTTCTAGCCCACTCCCCCGTCGCTTGCATTCAAAGGTTGCAATACTCTCCCTATTTGCTTCTTGAAATTCCAGGCGAAGCACAGGAAGTTCGAAAGTCAGCGTCCTACCAGCTCGACGGAAGTGAGTGACTCTTCACGGCTGCCAGTCCACCATGGCCTTTCAAAACCCACGAGCGGAGATGCCAGTTGAGGACCCAAATTCCTCGTACGTTGCCTATTCGTGCTTTGAGTTCCTCCTCATTGAACTTGTACCGATGGCGTACCGTATTGCTGCCGAACAAGCGGAGCGCGAGCAGGTCCTTCTGGGTAAGAAGCAGCCATTATCAGTTGATGAGGCAAGCGACGATGCAAAGACACATGACAAGCTCGAAACTGAGCGACAGAATCGGCTACAGCGGGATGCAGAGCTGACCAAGGGCTTTGGCATCGGGGGGATTGGAGGCAGCATACAGGGACTAGACGAGGAGGAGACGAGGGAGAGAGTATGGCAGAAGCTGGATGCACTAGGATACCGCGTCGGGCAGGGCCTCGTAGAGAGGTTCTCGAGGGACAAGGCGCGGTTTCAGGATACGCTGGATGCCATCAAGTTTTTATGCAAGGACCTGTGGACGATTGTGTTCAAGAAGCAGATTGACAATCTGAAGACAAACCACAGGGTAAGTGCCATTTACGTCAATCTACAGCTTGGGAGGTTGCGGCTGCTTTGGCAGATTCCGTTTCAAGTGAATGGTTGCGCTCTGCTGACTCGGATCGTGCTCTACACAGGGCATCTACGTGCTTACGGACGCGAAATTCCATCCACTGTCCAAGATCAGCCACGAGCGCGGCCGCGACGGTATCATACAACAGACCCAGCCATTTCTATACTTCCCGGCCGGCATCATACGCGGAGCGCTTGCTTCGATGGGAATTAAGGCTCAAGTGCAAGCAGAATGCCAGGAACTGCCTGGAGCCACCTTTCAGATTCGCACGGTCGGCGCAAAGCCTTGAGATCCTTTGCTGTCGCTGCTTCGTTTGGTTGACGTGAATGGTGCTCCACAGATGTACAGCGTTCGCAAGCTCGAGCTGTCATCAATCGGACAGATGGTCCGAATCACGATCACACGCGCAGACCTCAGGTCCACTGCTCTTCTGGACAGCCACGGTGTGAATGCACAACGACCGATGCCATACGGGGCCAGCAAGTGCAGCGGGCACCAGCGGGATCGTGGCACTGTGTTCGACGGAAGCCTGTGCCTCTAAGACATGAACGGCGGGACGGTCAGGACAACGAGGTGCGATTGCTAACTATAAGCGTCTTGTGGACGGTTGCAGCTTGCCTAATTTTGTCATTGGAATGGTGGAAAATAGCTCTTGCGGCTGCCACCATCGCCGCCAGCTTGATTCTATGTACTACTTCTGCAGGCACCGCGGCACACAACACTTGTGACCTCGTCGAGCTTTGCAGCGATAGCACATCGGTCAATTGAGCGTACGCACTGTGCAACGACGGGTTCAGAACAGGGCTGGGTGGGCCGTTGAAGCGACGGGCGACTGGGAGCACCTCTTTTCAGATACTATTCAAGGAGGGACACGCACATTTCATGGACCGGATGATTGCGGAACATCCGTTGCCCATGTGGGATGATGAGTTGTAACAGCGCAATGGCTCGCCCTTTCGCCCTTTTCTGCGATGTCCAGCTTAGAGGAATTGTCACGGCAGCAGAGGCGTGGGATCGTTAGAGAAGACTAGGAATAGAATTTTCACAGTCAATGCATGTCCAGCCTTAAACATAGAATCAAGCAACACCTGGTGAATGTCTCGGCAATTCTCGTCAAGTGAACAGCAGGCCCAGGCCCGCGTAGAAAGCAAGCAAGGCTCAAGTGCAAGAGCGACGAGGAAGCACAGAGGCGTGCATACAGCAGAATCGAAGGCACGCCATACAGACGGGCAACAGTCGCATGCATGGCGCATCCGTACAACGGAGCAGGTGTGTGAGCTGTCAACCAAGGCTGACGAAGTGTTTGCAGCTACACCGTGACACGCTGGACCAACCAGAGCGGGCGCATTGGTTCAGATGTATGCAGAGCGAGCAAGCTGGGCCGCACACGCCGGGAGGGCCAGTAGGAGGCGTGTGTTGTCAACGAGAGAAGCGAGAAAGACGGGTTGAAGGAGGGGCGGGAGGAAGAAAAGTCAGGACGGACTTGGACAGAGAGCGGCAGGTATATAGCGAAGGGGGGGCGAGAGCCGTGTACGGGGCTATCTGTTGGCTTTTTCTCTGGTCTCTCTTCGCGCCGGTGCGAGCGCTGAACGTTACGTTGAACCGCTTCCGAGACGCACAAGAGCAGAGCGTGTCTTTGGCGCGCAGCACAGCACAGCACAGCGTCGCCCACGCAGGCAGACTGAAGGACGGCCTCAGCACGGTCGATTGCGATTGCGATTGCCAACGAACAAGAGCGTTGCTCGCGGCGCCGTCCACGACCGAGGCAGGATCCTTTGCGGACCGAGCCTTGCCCAGGACGAACACGTCCACGGAGGGCGTTTCGCGCACACGACGAGCACGAGGAGCATCTTGCGTTCAACAGCTCTGCCCGGCCGCCGGCGACTCTCTTGCGTCTGGGCGTGTTCGGACTGGACGCCGGCCCTGTGCTGCGGGAGTCGTCACATCCGCCGTACGAGCACGAGAAACAGGACGCTTGGCACGACAGCTGCACGCAGCGACGGCCAGTCCGGTCACCGCACACACAGGCGCAGACGGCTAAGGCACGATCACGACTTCCAGCTCGGGTGCAGCTCTTCACGAAGGTGACCGCGTGCGATCGCCGTCGTCGTCGCCGTCGTCGCTGCCCCGCGCTCGGGCCGCTGGAAGTTCCTGGAACCTCGGACCCGTGACTGCGCTCCCGTGGCTGGTCACGTGCTGCGCTCGGCAGCGGTCGACCTTGGCCCAACCACGCTTGTTGGTTGTTCGCTCGCCCGAACCTGCCCGGCCGCGACGATTTGATTCGATTGGATCGGACGTCATCTGCTCCTTCGCCGTCAACCTGCCCGCCGCCCTCGCGTCCTGCAGAAGAAGACGAAGAACACAGCAACGCGCACAAGATCCGCCGCGCAGGCCCACGCCGTCCAGCAGAAGCCCCGCTGCCTTGGCCCGGCCGTCGCACCTCGCAAGCCACCAGCGCTGGCCTTTTCCCGACCGGCCTGCTCCATCCTCCAACCGCCCTGTGGTCAGTACAAACCATCCGCTTCCATGCGAGCCTGCTCGTGACGTCTTCAACGCTTTGGCATCGCTGACAATGGACTCGGTGTAGATCCTCCTCCGCTTTCCTGCCTGACGCTGCCGTTCTGGTCGCATCCACACACCGCCTCAAGCCCGCCAAACACCCCGCCCTCACCTCTGCTCACCCTCGTCCCAGCGCCCGCAGCCACTGCATTTTCTTCCCTCCCACGCCGCGCTGACCTCAAAACAACAACAAAACAACGGCCGCAACCGCAACCGCAACCGCAGTCACAACACTGCTAATCTCTTCACGTCTACACCATACACTCTGCATCGAGTCCACACAATGAATCGCCCCGGCCAAAGCCAGCCGGTGCAGCAGCAAGCCGCCGGCGCTGCTCAGCCGCGCAGATATGACGGACAAAACGGCAACCCGTCGTACGACATAAGCGCTGGCGGTCACTATGGTACGTTTGCCTTAACAATCTTTCCCGTGCCTGCCCACAGCGTTCCTCTGCTGCGACTCTTTTATCCGTCCCAACCAACTCGCCTGCCCTTGGCCCCAACCGTTGTCCGCGTTCTCTTCGCCTCCATCCGCCGCTGTCTTACCACTTCCCCTGTCTTGTTGTCACTGCTAACCGTTCCTGTACAGGGGCATGCCAGAAAGTATGTTGTTTCCAGTAGTCTATCTTCGATTGCTCCAGGAGTCCGGGACGTAGTTATTTGGTGGATCGTTTTCCTCCCCCCACTGCCGTAGCTAATCATATCTGCTTTAGATTGCACTGAGTGGACATGCGCCTCCCCCCGAGGTGTTTACCGGTGCGTGGGTCAACGTTGGTGCAGGTAAGTAGCAAGGTTTTGCGTTCCGATCCTTCCACACCACACCGCGTCACTGACACCGTTGTCAAAAAACAAACAGGTCTTACCGGCCAGTCACAGGAGATCCTCAACACATACTGGCAGAACCAAGTCACCAAACTCGAGACAGATGAGCATGATTTCAAGCTGCACCAATTACCGCTCGCCCGCATAAAAAAGGTCATGAAGGCCGACCCCGAAGTCAAAATGATCTCCGCCGAGGCTCCCATTTTGTTTGCAAAAGGCTGCGACATTTTCATCACCGAGCTGACCATGCGTGCATGGATCCACGCTGAGGAAAACAAGAGGAGAACATTGCAGCGCTCAGATATCGCTTCTGCTCTGGCCAAGTCGGACATGTTCGATTTCCTCATCGACATTGTGCCTCGCGAGGAGGCGACGCAAGGTCGAAGCCGCGGTGCACAGCACGCCAATCAAGCAGCCGGCATGCCACAAGGCGGCGTGCAACAGCAGACGGGCATGCACCCACCGCCAGCGCAGCAGATGCCACAAGACTACGCAATGGACCCGCACGGTATGCAGCCTGGCATGTATCCTCCACCCGGCATGGGGGGGCAGGATCCGCCCTTGCCGTACGGCCAGTATCCGCAGCAGATGTTCCCCGGCGGTGACATGTACGGAGGCTATCCCTCGATGGGACAGCAGCCCGCAGTCAGTGATTCCTGACCACGTTCACTCTGCGAAAGCGTTGACGAAGATGACTGATGCGGTGTTGAGCAGATACATGAGCAAGATGCTGAAGGTGACGATCTATGAGAGGCTCTGAGCAGAGAGAGCGTGCAGTGGCTGTCACAATTCATACCCTAGGCAGGCGTTTCGCTTATTCTTCCCGCTAGCAGAACCTACTTGAAACCCTCCCCAACTCATCGTCGCTATATAATCTCCCCACCTCTCGTAGAGGCAAGAGGAAGGGTCGGAAAGCTACGAGCGTCTTCACACACGATCGTGCTTGGGCAATCGAGCCTCCTCTAGCTGATCGAAACCATTCGCCCCGTGCCGCTGTGTTCGATCCTTCCTCTGCCAGACTTGGCGGCCTTCACCAAAGGAGTGAAATGCTCGCGTCTGCCTTCGCCACCGCTACGAATGGTCGATGCTGGTTTGAAGGGTGCAGCCATACGTGTTTCCCAAGCCCCAAGATCGTTAAGTCTTTGGTTCATCATTTGGAGAGGTCTTCGTAATCTCTCAAAGTAGCGGATCCGGAAGACTGTTGTGGGAAGGGGAGGTGAAGCGGGGACAAAGATTAAGGACTGTAGCGCGCTAAAGGCTGTACTCGTCCGGGTCTTGAGCATCGTGTCTAGCCTCCGCCGGTCTCGACATCCATTCCTCACGATGTCCGGCCAGCGGTAACACGGTCAGGTAGGACTCGAGTTGTCCCCTTCCCCCCGGTTGCACTCTTCGAACAGTTGCGCGCAATACCGAGTATTGGGAACAGCCGTCAAGACATTAGGGGCCTGTGGATATGGACTTCACTTCTATGGCGGAAGGCACACCCTTTTTTGCATCTCACTGTCGCCATGTTCGTCTCTTTTCCCCTCCAAATCGTCACGAAACGAACAGTATGCTAGGTAGCAGAAATGAATCATCACAATGCCCGGCGCGAGACGTTCCGCGACGGCAATTCAATTGATTCTGCCAGGCACTTGTAAACACGGTCTTTTCGTCTCTCATTGGCTCGCTACGAACGGCGTGTACCTGCGTGAAGCCGTGAAGATGTTTCTGGTTCCGACTCTCTCCATACCAGCCCAGGGTTGAGGGTCATTCCGAGGCGGGACCTCACATGCATCAAGCTAGAGACTCCAGGCCATATATGAAAACGTCATGCCGCCTTGTGAGAGCAACGAAGAAAGAGGCTTTCCTGAAGATCTCGAACGCTCCGCACTCACAATTGCCCGTTTCTTTTCTCTTCTTTTGCTCTGCCACGACACACAGCGCTAACGACCAGCTTGGCCGACTTCGGTACCCCGCCATCACCACCGAAGCTTCCATTTCACCGCTCTGTGTGTGGGGGAATAAACAAGCTCCAAACTCCGTTCAAACTTTGTTGAGTTATTTACATAAACAAGCAGATTCGACTGCTCCTGCTGACTGCTTCTTCCATCTGCTCCCCTTCCGCCGCTCGCCCTCCTGTCTTGCTCTTGCGCCTTTCCATTCTCTTCCATCTCCAAATCAACCAACCCCACGCCGTGCAAACATCTTCTAGATCACCATGAAGGCTGGTGAGTCTCAGACCGGCGCTGCAACGCTGGGCCCCCTCCCACTCAGCTCGCTGCTAAATCTCGCAATCTAGTCGTTGCGGGTGCTTCTGGTGGCATTGGCCAGGTAAGCATGGCTCACTTGAACGTCGCATCCCATCCTGTCCAGATTGGCTGACCCTCTCACGCAGCCGTTGTCGCTCCTCCTCAAATCTAGCCCACTCATCGACGAGCTTGCGCTGTACGATGTGGTCAACACGCCCGGTGTTGCCGCAGATCTCTCACACATCTCCACGCCCGCAGTATGTTTCCGCCTGCTGTTCAGTTGCACCACAGACATACACGCAGTGGCTAAAGTGGCTTCTTCGATTAGAAAATCTCGGGCTACCTTCCAAAGGATGACGGCATGAAGCATGCCTTCACCGGCGCTGACTTGATCATCATTCCAGCCGGCATTCCACGTATGTACAGCCACATGCTTTCGTTGATTACGTCGAAATACGAAGCCGGCCCAACACCCTCACCTTCCTAACGGATTTGATGAGACGAAAAGGAGAGGATGCTAAAAGATGACTGTGACATAGGCAAACCTGGCATGACCCGTGACGACCTCTTCAAGATCAACGCCGGCATTGTCCGTGACCTTATCAAGGGTGCTGCCGAGTTCTGCCCCAAGGCGTACCTTCTGATCATCTCGAATCCCGTCAACTCCACAGTTCCCATCGCTGCTGAGGTGCTCAAAGCTGCCGGTGTTTTCGATCCGGCCAAGCTTTTCGGCGTAACCACACTGGACGTCGTCCGTGCCGAGACCTTCGTCGCCGAGATCACTGGCGAGAAGGACCCAGCGAAGACCGTCATCCCCGTCATTGGCGGTCACTCTGGCGAGACGATTGTGCCGCTTTTCAGCCAGGCCAAGCCAAGTGTGAACATTCCGGCGGACAAGCTTGATGCTTTAACATACCGTAAGCGCCTTCCCAAGCTCACCAGCGTCAGATGACCCAGAACTGTGGCTAAAGCTCACCATCATCGCAGGCGTCCAGTTCGGTGGTGACGAGGTCGTAAAGGCTAAAGACGGTGCTGGTTCTGCCACGCTTTCCATGGCCTATGCCGGCTTCCGCTTTGCCGAGAATGTCATCAAGGCTGTCAAGGGCGAAAGTGGCATCACCGTGCCCACTTATGTCTACCTTCCTGGTATTGAAGGTGGTGACGAGATCCAAAAGCTTACTGGCTGCGACTTCTTCTCCATCCCTGTTGAGCTAGGCGTACGTCTTTCCCCGCCCGCCTTCCCTTTAATTCCGTCTTTGAGGAGCCGTATGAACTGACCATTTGTCTTCTCACAGCCCAATGGTGCCAAGAAAGCCATCAACGTCGTTGCATCTGCCAACGACTATGAAAAGAAGTTGCTTGAGGCCTGCTACAAGGGTCTTTCAGGCAACATTGCCAAGGGCGTTGAATTCATCCGAAACCCTCCTCAGTAGATGCAGTCTGTGGTCAAGACATGACCAGTTGGGCGGCATTGCTCATTGCGATGTAAGCAAGGAAAAGTTGAGGCTCATAAAGACAGAAAAAAGTGTTCGGCAGGTGACTTTGTGCTGAAGAGGCATTTACCAGTCTTTCAAGTGACTACGAGTGTAGCTTCCACTAGTCCGTGCTCTGAGCGTATATTAGACACCAGGGTGGATTTGGCCCCCTTTCCCTCCCACGTCACAAAACAATATCAAAGAGCAGTATACACCGTGAAAGTAGGCCAGTTAGAAACATATTCGACCAAGTGGAGGGCCCGGGCTTCCGTTCACACCCATTCGCTTTCATCCGTGTCTCATTGTGCATCTTACGGCGCAGCAGCCGTTCGCACTGTAAGTCTCTACAGTATTAGACCGTCATGACACTCCCCCAGCATGAAACATGGCGTCTTTTGCCTTGCCGGCCATTTTCTACGATCAAGATCACGAATGCATGTGAGTTTCACGGTTACCGTGTTTGTCTTCCATGCACGGTGCGCTTCAGTCCCCACAACCAATCCCAAACTCAGCCTGGACATCGACCACTCTCATGCCCCTTCGATCTGCAATCATGCCGATCAGGCCCTGGGCGATATCTCTGACCTCGTTGTACTCGTGTAGTTTGCGGATATGTTGTTTTATGATACGACTTGCGTGAGCCACGAGTAGGTCCTTATCCTCTTCGCTGATGGACCTCAGGGCCGGGACGGTGTGGGCGTAAATAGACGGAGTGTATTTGTCATCGATACAGGGTGAGATCGAAAGATCTCGGGTTGCGTGTGCAGGTAGGGTTGAGAGAAGTTGCAAGAGCAGCATGGATCGTCGGTGGTCAAGTTGGGAAAGCGTGCGTGCAAGTTTGACCTGCTTGGATTGGAGCAGCTGCTGTTGAAGAACGGGTTAATCGCTGAACGCTCACGCGAAACAACTGACGGCTCACGAGTCGACGATGCTCAGCCGTGGGCTCAACCACGGCACTCGATCTGCTGCTGTCAAGGCCACCGGTTTCAACGGCGTCGGCACCGGGCTCAGAGCCTGGTTCTGACGGCTCCGCCGACATTGCCTGCCGCGGCGGCTGTGAGGTCCTTCTCATCGTAGTAGTACGTTCTGCGTTTCTGAACGACGTGGCGGTCGATTGAGTCGACTTCGACGTCGGTGGCAAGCAGTTCTCTACGTGACCTTCGAGCGCACGCTGCCCAGCGTCTTTCGTAGCAATCGACGCGTCGGAGTTTGACGCGTCGCCGTCGTCCTTCCGGGTGTATGCTGTTTCTCCGCTCACTGGATCTCCTACACGTTGCTCCGACCGACTCGTTGGCATTTCCGCTCATGTCTCAGTCATTGTTCAGTTCAGGGAGAACCAAGTCGCTTCTGAACTTCTGTCGCGTCGAGCAAAAGCTGGCCGAGCGTGCGTTCATACGGCGAGCTTATGTCATACGATCGCTCCACCACAGAGCGGAAGTGGCGCTCGGATGCGGACGCAAGAGGTGCGTAAGTTAAGTTGGCCTCCCCCCCCCGTTCAGACACCTTTTGGGACGGCTGTAGAATCCTCGCAAAAAGTCTTCTAATTCCACCACGATCGCTGCGGCTGCGAGGATCTTGATCTCAAAAAGAGGATGATCTCATAAATTCACCTCGAATCGCACATCTGCGCCACGCATCCCTTACACCAACACAGATAGCCCGTTGGAAGCAAGTGCTTGTCGTGCACACGCCTGCCTGTCATGTCTCCTCGCTCGTCGACACAGTCACAATGGCTCGGCCGGATACCGCTGCACAAGGCCGCAATTCTCTTCTTCGCGCTGGCGAAAATGACAAATGGCCATGAGCATCACTTTGAAGGAGCGGAGGGCAAGTTCGTTTCGGACGAACCCATCGTACGTGCCTAGGTGGAAGCATGGGTCGTGCAAGAGCGAGGAAGCTGACGGATGAACAGGATGCGATACTATGGATACACATCTTGCTGCAGACGTTTGTTTGGGGGATACTCTTCCCCACAGGCATGGTGTTAGGCGTACGTTTCTCCCGTTTCGCCTCCTCGTTGCCCTCTCTGCGCGCAACAAATTGCTCACGTTGGCATATGTAGATTATCCGATCTAGATGGCATGTCCCCGTCCAGATCTTAGCAACAGGTCTTGCCGTGCTAGGTTGGTTTCTAGGCCACATGCACAAAGGCCGTCAGTTCGCGCCCAGCGCGCATGGGCACTTTGCGAAATGGATCATGCTCCTCCTCATCGTCCAGGTTGGGCTCGGTCTTTATCTCAAACTTCATCTCAAACGGCTATTCCAGGACCGCATACGCAAATACCTTGTCCTTGCTCATGGAGTTCTCGGGAAAGCACTTCCCGTTGCCGCGTGGGTGCAGATGCTTTTTGGTGGCATCGCCGCGCTGGGTTTCTGCCACGACGACCACCTGGGCCAATGCCTGGCTCACTTTATCATGGGCAGCGCCTTCATTGCTTACGGAATCATCCTGACCATTCTGCTCCTCGTCGGACAGGCCTGGCTGCGCAGCACTGGTCGCAGTCAGGAGTTCTTCGACTCGGCCATCATTGCCGCCTGGGGCTGCGTCAATACCTTCACAGAACATCGGTGGGGTACGGCGTGGGTCCACAACGACGTCCAGCATACCACAATGGGCGTGATATGGTGGTGCGCGGGCTTGCTGGGCATGTGGCTAGCGCGAACACGGGACGGTCGTGCGAAGCGCAACATCATTCCGGCTCTGGTCATCCTTCTGACGGGATACGCGATGAGCAGCCACCCGCAGACGCTGAAGATCAGTGCGATGACGCACACCGTGTTTGGTTACACGCTCATGGGGGCTGGGTTGGCCAGGCTGATCGAAATTAGCTTCGTACTGAAAGACAAGGCCACGCTCGACGAAACTGGCAACGACCCAAACAGTTTTCAGCATTTGCCTCCTTTCTTGCTTTATGCCGCGGGGTTCCTGTTCATGGGCGCAACAGAGGAACAAATGCAGCTTCTGGATCAGTCGGGCGTGGACCACGTCTCGTACCTTCTCATCCTGTACAGCATCGCCTTTTTGTTGTACCTTTGTAAGTACTCTACATCTACACCATTTCGGCCCAATTCCACGCAGCGATGTTTGTGCTAACCCGTGGAAGTTGTCAACATGCTCCTCCACCTGTACGCCAGTGGCGCACGGCCTGTAGTTGTCAAACTCGATCCAGAAGGAGCCCATGCAACTCCTAACGGACACCTACCAAACGGCTACTCGGATGTACAAGTCCAAGATGCGGAGGAATTTGAGCTCCATGGCTTGGCTTCTGACGATGAGGACGATGACGGAGATGATGCGCCGCTAGTGCACAAGGAGCCGCAGAGAGCCGGCTGAACGACTTCTGGACTCGGGTTTTTGTCTCTACGGGATAGACAGAGCCGAGACGCTCTCATAAGAAGCCTGCTACCTGCCGCGTGACACTACGCTGGGTGGGAAAAAATTCTTTTATGTGTAATTTGATGTGTGAACGGTGGGTCTGTTTGTGCATAGCGCCTAGATATCTCGCCTTCCGAACATTTGGGCCGGAAGTAATGTGATGTTGATGCTACTTCATACATGTCAAGCTGCGAAGTTCCTCGCAGCAGCTGCCACTCTGCCAACATAAAACGCTTGTTCTCGACGGTTTGCGCTGCAAATCTGATACAGAACGTTCGTTAAGCTAAACAGGATAAGGCCCGTACAGCTCTCCTGGCCGTCAGCTTCGAACATGAGAAAGAAGAAGACGGTCAGAGGAATAGTTCGCTTTGCAGACCATGGGCGAGCCCGGCTGACGCTCGTCATGCCGTGACGGCTTGCTCGCGAGGGATTTTAGGACAGAGATCGACGAGCGTGATAGACAACGGGTTTGAAGACTTGTAAGCGAGATGGATATCAAAGTCCTCACATGGTCAAGATCAAGCCACTCACGTGGTACAGAAGCAAGGTTATGCACCGACAAAGTTCACCAGCGTCGTCCTCGACCTGGCCATCGATGGTTTTTTCCTCTGAAAGCCTCGTCGACGCTTTCGTTGCAAGTCTACCGGCGTGGGTTGCCCCGTTCGTGACTGGGTTCTTTCGTCGTCGCGATCGCCCGCGCCTTGACGGCCCTTTTTTTTTCAATTTAATTTAATTTAATCTGGTTTTTTTTTTCTTTTGGTCGCCCGTCACCCGCTGAGATGGCTGCCGCCGGTCTCCTCTTCGTCCTGCGCGCGGCTTGTCTGTGTACAGAAGCCAGGATTGCCCACGTCGTCGCAAAAAGCATGCCCAGCCCCCATCATGGCTCGGTCTCACTTGGCCGCTGCGTCCGTTGTCACAACACCTCTTCGTAACCTTTCCGTCTTTGTTGTCTCTTGTGGAATCCCATCGGCGGTCGACTAAAAAAGGATCGTGGCAGGCAACTCATGTGGACACTCTTGCAACAGGGTCGTCAACCACTCGCTTGCTCAAACGGGCTTAGCAGAACTGCCAACTTCCATCGCCCGCTCGTCTCCTGATCTTGCGAAACGTCCGACAAACCATGCCAGCGCATCAGCGACCTGTCGAATCTCGTCCGTGGTCGCAAAGGGACCGCAGAGGTCGGCGAATACGGTTGCGCGGCGGACCGCCATGTGTCAGAATAAATTCTCCGCCGTGGACGGGAGACTAGATGATGTCAGAAGACTGGTCGCTTCGTGCGATTCAAGGGCTGGTCATCGCCATTGGTGCAACAAGAGATTAACCCAGCCGCAAGCCCCATACGCTTCAATCTCGATGCCCGTTGACCTATGGCACCATCTCCGGCCCAGTTCTCCAGCGCCAGGCCGCGTGGCTGCAATTGTTCCTGCTGCTACCATCACGGGTCTGCAAGATTTATGCCTATTCCATGCCATGGCCTCGTAGTGCTCGGGGGAGGGGAGGCTTGCTTGAGTTTACACTTACAATCACCTTCCTTGAACGGTGAAACTTGCTTGTGCCAGATGACTCTGTGACGAGGCAGGGACGGCCGCAAGAAAAATCAGTATATATGCCTCTCGTTTGGCGCCGTTCTGTCGACTCCAACCACAGCGATACATTCGCCTGTCTTTTCATATCATCCAGCGTGACAGACCAAATATGGCCAAGTCCATGCCAATCGTACAGCGCGTGCGGTCGTATGTCAAACGCGGCGTGGACCGATTGCGTAACCTGCGCGGGGGGAAGGACAAAGGAACCCAAGTCCAGGAGGCGAAGAGCACCGTCAAGACCGCAGAGACCAAGGTGGACGCCTCGAAGGGACAGGAGACGGTGCCGAGCGCAGGAATTCTTACGCGACCGCTGCATTCACGAGCCGTGAACTCACAGATCGCTCTCATGCAAAAGAGCGTCGCGGCAACCAGCGCGTCTTCGCTCAATATTGCCCTCGTCAATCGTACGACGTCGAGCCAGGTCTATGTCTACATCGTCGGCCTCGCACTCAACAACAACAACGCCTGGTTCCTTCTCCAATCGGACGGGTCGACACCGTACTATCCAACCTCGCCATCTTCTACCATTCAACCTCTCCAGGCGAACGTCGCGATTCAACTCGGTGCCCCGGGAAGCACAAGGACGGTGACCATCCCCCAGCTTGCGGGAGCCAGAATTTTCGTTTCCATCGGCAGCCCTCTCACATTCTATCTCAACCCTGGACCTGCGCTGGTCGAACCTTCGGTCACCAATCCAAGCGATCCAAACTTCAACATCCAATGGGATTTTGCGGAATTCACCTTCAACGGCGGTCTGTATGCAAACATCACCTACGTCGATTTTGTCAGCATTCCGATATCTCTTCAGCTGCAGAACACGTCGGGCGCGACGCAGACGGTGACAGGTATGCCGGCGAACGGACTTGACACCATTTGTGCCAACCTCCAAGCTCAGTCCAACAGCGACGGCGTCGCAGGCTGGAAGAATCTGGTTGTCACGGCGAACGGTAAAAATCTTCGCGCCCTGAGTCCGAACAGTGACCTCGCACTGCGTCCGGGCGACTTCGCCAATTACTTTGAGCCTTACGTAGAGCAGGTGTGGCAGAAATACACCACTTCCACCTTGACCGTCAAGACTCCAGACAACTCCATCAACACGTCCGGGATGGTGACCAGCGGCAACCTGACGCTTGGCAGCACCAGTTTCACAAAGCCCAGCACGGCGGACATCTTCTCGTGCAGCACCGGTCCGTTCGCAACGGGCTCCGACGCGACCCGCAACGTGCTGATCCCGCAGCTTGCGGCCGCGTTCAACAGGACGACCCTCTTGAAGGATACGACGACGCCTGCGCCGTTGGCAGACTTCTACCAGAACAGCGTCACAAATCACTACGCGAGGATCGTGCACGCGGCCAACGTCGACGGGAAAGGGTACGCGTTCCCGTATGACGACGTCAACCCGGCCGAGGGAACAGACCAGAGCGGCTTCGTGTCCGATCCCAACCCGCAGCTACTGACGGTGACCTTTGGTGGGTGGTGAATCCGAAACGAACTCGTTCTCAACGTCCAGCTACTTCCAGCGCAACAATTCCCAATGTGCTATCATGATTCTTTGTGGCTTTTTGTGGGCTTTTTTAGCCAGATTTCTAATCCAATTTATCTATGTATATATGTATGGACAGTCCTTTAATTAGAAGACCTGCAACCATTTAGAAAGTTCTACACGATTCACCTCGCACCGAGCCTTCTCCGTGGATGCTTTACCCGAATTCCGCAAAGTCTTAATTGGCGACCGCTCCAGTTAGGCTCTGTTCTCCCTGCGTGGTTCGCTCCCATCGGATCTTTGCTATCACGTCTTTGAAACTAATTTTGGCGGGCCATCTGTCTCTTGTGCGTGTGTGTGTGTGTGTGTGTGTGTGTGTGTGTGTGTGTGTGTGTGTGTGTGTGTGTGTGTGTGCATGTGCGGAAGGGGGAGGAGGAGGAACATCGTTCTGGCCTTGATGATGAACGTAATTAATTTGGTGCCCATGGAATCAATCAATTCTCTACGTCGTTGATCAAAACTAGACCGAAGCTCTGCCGTCGCCGACTTATTCTTGCCGTAAAAATGCGCCGTATTTTCAGCATTAGCGGTTGCTAGCTGCTGAAATATCTGTACGCAAAATAGGGTTCGGAGTCTTCTGCCCCCCAAGTTGTGTACAGATGTGACAATTTCCAAAGCAATTTTCAAGTATGATATTTTTGCAGCCATGAATAAATATTGAGAATACGAAAGTCGCAAATGTTAGTGATGTTTACTAAATCGTTCCGCATTGCTCCTATTTGCTTACGTTGGCTTCCACGTCATGATGGCCTATATGATAAGACGAGCATACCGACAACTTCGAACCGTCTACCCAAGAATGCCCGTATACTACAGTGAGACTCAACGGCTGAGCTGGACGCAACGCATAGCTCTGGTCAGATACAATTTCCATGCAGCACTGCGCACAAACGATTTTACATTCTTCAGGACTTTGCAGGCTAAATATTTCTTGGAAGGAACTGATCATGTGGCGATCTTGACCTCTCTTCTGGGGGGCGAGGTCGACACTGTCTTGCACACACTTGACGATCTGAACATTAGCTTGGCATATGCTCATGAGGATGCGTTCAAAAACGTGTACGATTATATACTATCCAGCGCGGCCGAAGAGGAGCGTTCTCGCCGCTCAAAGATTCGGCTCAACATCGGCCAACAAAAAGCAACGGCTGACACTGGCATCGACAAGACGGCAGCAGCAGCGATTGCCCTCATAGAGAACCAGGATTCGGTGCTCCAAGAAGCCCTGGCCAACGTTTGGTTGTTCGGTACGACTATCGTGACCGATGCAATGCAAACTGTCGTTCTGCAAATGGACAACCTCGAGGCAATGATGGACGACTTGGTTTTACTTGAAAACGCCTGGCACGTCGTGCAAACCTCCATTGAGGCCACCGTGTCGGCCCTTCGCGGAGTCTTCAATCTTATGGCTAGCGCGGAGAACGAACCAAATTTCGCACGGGATCGCGATAGCTACTGTAGGACACTGAGCGGTGTTGGCCAACGAAGCCGCGCAACGTCTGTTGGATCTACGGCCAGTAATTTGTTCAAGCGGTTGAGCACAGTCCTCAGTTCCAATCCGTACCCGTCATCAACCTGTGTTTACAAGAATGCCAAGGATCAAACAGCGGCCCCAAAACGAGCTGGCAGAGTCGCAGAGACGAGTGTTCCGGCAATCACGCTTTCGGATGAGGGTGACGTCCATTTGGAGACAAGAACAGATCATTCAACGTCGTTCGAGACCCCCTTGAGCTCATTCGACATAGAATTCCAGAGGTAGGTGTCCAACCTATTGCGAAAGAAGGGTGCAACCTCACTGATCTTGGATCTAGTCTGCATGAGACATCATCCTGTTCGAATTCGCTTGTGGAGACGGCCACAGAATCTTCTATGTCGCCTCTCGACTTTGATCCACTGGACGACAATGCTGGCTTATCAATTACCGAGCCGAAGAACCACACCAAGGACAGCGGCCCGTGATTTTGGAAATTCTTAAAGGATCCAAGCTTGCAATCATTTCGTTCTTAGATAGAAGCTCCAATACTAAGTGGCCCTGGACTTGTCCTCATCGCCTTGGTACGAAGAATCCTTGTGTACAGGTTGGAATTCTGGTCAATGCTTGTGATAAGCAGCAGCTACGTGGGGAAGAGTGCAGTGTGGAGGGAGGATGCTTTAGCCTTTTCAGTGCTCATTAATTCGTCTGAAAATCCCAGATTCAAATGCTCTACTTATTCTGCCTGCGGTGCTGTTCCCTCTAGTATAGAACCCCTTTAGTACTCATGACTTCGCCCTCCCTTCCTCTAAGTGGGCTGCAAGCTTCCCTCGTAGCAACAGCCAACGCCTTAAAAGCACTTTCGGCCCTGTGATGATCATTGTCTCCTCGCAAGCAGTCGACGTGGAGCGTTACACCGGCTGCCTGAGCAAAGCTCTGCAGGCAGTGGGGAATCATCTCGCAGCTCAGGTCACCAATCTTTTCACGCTTAAGACCAAGATTAATGACGCTGTAAGGGCGGTTGGACAAGTCGATGACGGCGCGAGAGAGAGCCTCGTCAAGAGGTGCGTAGGCAGAGCCGAAGCGAGCAAGGCCAGTGTTGTTCTTTGCAAGCGCTGTCTTGAAAGCGGATCCGAGGGCTATGCATGTATCTTCTGCGGTGTGATGATCATCAACTATCACAGAGTCAGCATCATTGGCTTCACCTAGAGATGTCGACACGCCGCCGTACTGTGCAAGTCGCCTTTACAACGTATTCGAAGACTCCACCCGGCATGCTTTGCCAATGCATGAAGCATATGATCCAGAAAACCAATCCCTGAGTCTATGTCTATAACCTGTGATTTTGTACTTTGCGCGGCGTGTGCTTTCGCATCTCCATTCTGAGCCGCGGAGGACTCATTCTCCAAGGGCCCTCCATCTAAGCTCAGCTCCAGCTTGATCTTCGTCTCGTTCGTGTCACGTGTTATAGAACAGTATCTCCGTGCGTCCGACATCTTCGTCAAAGCGGTATGTAAGACAATTGACGGTGCTTTGGATTGTTGTTGCGGACGTCCCACGCTAGCACCCCAGCTTCGGAAGTTCCAGAAAAAAGTTTATCGATAGCGGCGACGCAAGCAGTTCCGCGTCTTCATCCAACCTCGCGTTACAAGAACTTTTTTTTTCTTTTGCGAATCCATCAAAATATATTTTTCGGTCCTAGTCAAAGACTGCAAATATGGCGGACGAGGAAATGAGAGATGCTGATGCGGTGGAAACGCCCGCGGAGAGCGAACTTCCTGAAGACCCAGACGACAACCTGGACCGTGTTCGCATGGTATAATGACACTCGACTCTGATTTATCATGATATACAATGTTAACAGCGAATTGACAGCTCCCGGGAGGTTCAGACACGGCGGCTTCTTTCGAGTTCCTTGAAGAAGATCACACGCTTGGAAATGCTCTTCGACATATCATCATGAAGAAGTGAGTCACGGCGTTTTCAAACAGCCAGCCAGATGTGATTTAACGCGTCTGTATAGTCCTCAAGTCGAATTTTGTGGTTATTCTATTCCCCATCCTGCTGAAAAGAAGATGAATCTACGAATACAGACATATGGTAAGTGCATTGCATTTGGTGGACGCAAATCCAGCAATTTGGATGTTCTTTGCGCTGAAGTATAGCTACAGATGGCGTGAACGTGCAAGATGTGCTAGAGAAGGGCCTAAATGATTTGATGGATCTATGTGATGTGGTAATTGAGAAGTTCGAAGACGCACAGAGGGAGTATCATTCGAAAATGAACGGCGCATGATATGTTCTTCGCAGGAAAATACTGAAAGACATGGGCTGCGCTTCTCAATTTCTACGAGTTTACTTATTCCAGCTTCGTGGTATAGAGAGCTTTCACCCGTGGTCCTCTTGGCACTGCGTCTCGCAGAAGCGACACAGCGTTTACTAAAGAAAAGTAAAAGAGTTACTCAGCGACGAATGATAGGGTCAAGAGAATGGAGAATTTTAAGTATATGGGAACGTAATGAATTGATGCCGACTGCGCTATTAAATGAATATGTACAGTACTTCTCTGTATAGCGATCAATCAACACTTAGTTACGTCCCTGGGTTTCGTCAGTGCCTGTTCTCGTTCCGTTGTGTATGCAAATGTTGGCTTACCGCCAGGAAACCGCTAATGAAGTTGCGCGGCAATTTTGCCTTTGGGTCTTCCTCCGTTCTGAAATACTTGAGAACGTGCGTCAATTGTTTCCAGTAGTTCAAGGTCTCCTGCGGTTGAAAGCTATTAGCCCCGAACTGCATTGAGCCTGTATGGCAGATATAGGGAAGCACATGCGCACCTGAAACTCGCTATGAGACTTGAAGAGCAAGACATCAACCGTCTGGAGTTGTTGAACGTATCTATGTCTCTCAAACTCCTGCCGTATCTTTGTGCGGATCGTTGACACTGGGAGGTTAAGCGAGTACATGGACTGGATTTCCGGCGCCTGCAACGGATTATTTTAGCATCTGAAGTTGCGCCACGCTGGGTTCTGAGGGTACGTGAGGGTCTTACGCTTCGTATCCAGTCCCGGTACGAGTGGAGGACTCGCTTTTTGGCATCGCTCCAGTTGACCGCTATGGTTGTGTCAGTGCATGAATGGCAAGTGCAGTGCGAAGACACTCACAGGAGCGCGTCCTCTGCGCTAGATAGGTCGGCTGAATCGTCATGGCGGGCAATTGCTTGCTTTGATGCTCAAGATGTAGAAAGCGGGATCGCGAGACGTGAGGTCGGAGAGCTCGGCCGGGTTTGTCTTTAGTGTGCGCTAAGGAGGTGATTAGTTGCCACTCGTTCCAGTACAGTCGCAGCTCTAGAGCATCTGCACGCAATGGCATCAACACGAAAATGAATTCTTTTGCGAATATTTTGTCACATGAGGCTAGCGCTTGCATTTGAATAGCTCACAGATGATTGAAGTTCATGCTCATTGTAGCTCAAAGCTTGCATACGAGCTCACGACATGACCTCTTGTGCCTCAACGCTATTCATCCTTGCCCACGTGTCGGTAACTCTATTCTGAGCGAAGTTTGGATCTTGTTACGCCTAAAACTTTACCTCCATACTTCGAGTATAATTGATAGAAGAGTGGCTTGGCTGCTTGGAATGTCCTTTGCTCCAGGGATCAAAGTGTCTCATATGCTGATTGAGCTTTAATATTCATACAGAAGATCCTAACGGGACTTGATTGTGAGGGTCTGGTACATTTAATGGTGCAATTAAATGTCCAAAAGCACCTATCGCATTCTAGCCTTTCTATCTTTTCTGAAGAAACTTGGCCTGCATACTCGAGCGTCACGTTGCAGGATTGCCGGCATTGTTTCGCTTAGGGTTTTACTGGGAGAATATTTCTTTACATATCAAATATGAGGTAAACCCGTAGTAAGAGCACTACTTCTATTAGGCGCCAATGCATAGTTTGAAGTTCACTGCATTTGCTCCATTTATGATGGCAGGAATCTTTTTGAGCCTTCCATCAGAGGCGGTCCATGTAGTTCCAAAAGAATGGACCATAGGGCTCTAGGGACAAGTAAATGGAGAATTCTCATGCTTCAACTGACTTCATACACCCTTTTTGTGGTTCTAGAATCCAATGCAAACATGACTCTCTTGAGAGCACAGGCGCCAACTCCGGCTTAACAGTTGCGTTTTAGTCTTTCCCTTGCAGAAATCTGGTAAACCAGTTGACAGCAGCGCTTTTCGCTTGCACCAAGGCCTCCCTCTCACCATCCTTTTCTTCAAAACCCCTCGTAAGACACCCGTGGTGCACGCCTGGGAAATGTTGATAGTCAAACATGATACTTTTCTTTATGATTGTTTGGAAGGCATGTTGCTTCAATTCCAGAGTAAAAACGGGGTCGTGCTCTGGCGCCAGCAGCTGGACAGGCACGGCGACATTGTCAATGTCTTCCTTTGTTAGCCACGTAGGGTGACCAGTGCTGATGCAGTCTACCAAAGGAGGAGCATGCGTTGCGGCACCGAGGCGAAACACAGCCCAACCACCATAGCAGAACCCAATAGCGCCGATTTTGGCGTATTTTTCTCTTAGTTCGCGAGCACATTCGAAGATCTCAGGCTCACGGATTTCTCTGCTGTTTTTAGCAACGAAACTCGCGACATCGATCTCCTGCCAGCGCTCGTTCAAGATTGGCTCGAAGGGCAAACTCTCTCCACCAAAGAAATCTGGGAGGTAGACCGTGACCCCAATCTCATTGGCGTAGTGGTCGGCCAGTAGGCGTAAGTTCGGGAAGGTCCAGCCCAAGAGATCGTGAATTAGCAAGATGGCCGCGGTAGGATTTTCGCCAACAATATATGCTTGGTTGTTCGCAAGACTACCGACGCGGCCAGTGGGAACACCGTCCCACTGGAATGTATTCAAGCAACAGGAGGATACAGACATCTTGAGCAATAGTCTGTCACGATGAACAGGTGATTTTGTGCAACACAATCGTCGAACTCAAGCAACTCAAGATCTGAAAATGACCGGCCTACGTTAAGGGAGCAGAAGCAAGTTAAAAATGGCACTAGGCTTGGCTTATCTTTATACTTGTGAGAACCAACGTTTGATGGGTTGAACAGAAAGAACTAAAGATTAGCAGACAAGGCAGGCTAAGCATGGTTTGCAGAATGAAATACCAGTCAACCCAAGGCTAATGCAACGTAAGCGAGCTGTAGGTCGAGACCTTTCCTCAAATCGTTGATTGCGATTAAGCAAGGTGTCAAGAGGGAGTAAGACTGAGGGGGGAAAGAGATGGAGAACAAGCTGACAGGCTAAACTGGGATTATAAGAGAGTATGCCGTCGAATCGGATCAATTATTCCAGCACAACTTGCTGAAATTCCTCCGACAACGCCGAGTTTGCTGAGGCCGCCATGATCGAAAGAGCAGCACAGAGGATCCTCATGGTGTTGTGAACCTGAACACTGTTCGAATTCATCTGAGTAGGCTTCAATGTCTATTGATAAGTTGCCAAAAAGTTTTCAGGAGGCGCCACTGCATGCATCTGGAGTACAAAGTCAGCGACGTGCTGATGGTGTTTGATTACGTAACCTTCATTGTCTGCTTGAATTCACGCTAAAAGTTCTTGAATCACCTCGAAACTCTTTCACACTCCGCCATCGCTGCCTTAGATACAAGCCCATTGTCCAAATTACCTGACGTATTGGACGTAGCCTTGTTCGGACTGGGCAGGTTTTACAGAACTTTTGAACAGTGAACAGACTGCGTTACCATGCCGCCTATTCGAAGTTCCCGCAACCGTAAGCCACCACCAGCAGGCTTCGAAGACATAGAAGACACACTGCTGGAGTTCGACACCAAGCTCAAGGATGCCACAAACGCATCGTCTGAAGGCAAGAAGCGCTACGAGTCGACATGGCCGATTTTCCAGATCACGCATCAGCGCTCGCGATACATCTATGATCTGTACTACGAGAAGGAAGCCATATCTAAGCAGTTGTACGACTGGCTATTGAAGAACGGCTATGCGGATGGGAACCTCATAGCGAAGTGGAAGAAGCAAGGCTACGAAAAGGTACGTTGGAGCAGACGTCCACTCCGCCATACCTAGAGCTCACAGGGTTTACAGCTTTGCTGCCTGCGTTGCATCCAGACGAACGAGACCAACTTCAAGAGTACATGCATTTGCCGCGTGCCGCGGGATCAGCTCAAGGAAGACCACACCATCGAATGTGTCAACTGCGGCTGCCGAGGTTGCGCATCTAGTGACTGAACATCGGCTAGAAAGCCCTACCAATATCAGCAGACGCAATGGGCGGACGAAAAAGATGCCTGGGTAACATCTTACTCCGTGATGAAGGTTGGGTCGAAAAGTCGGCACTGTATTAGCTCGATCGAGGCTCAATGTTGAGGCAACTCGCTGAAAAAGTTCTGTTCTCCGCTACGACATGAAGACATCACCGCACAAGGTTAGATTGCTTCAAATGATCACGATTTTTTGTATTACGAAATCTGACACTCTCCAGACTGCTTGATTTTTTCCCATAATCATGCACTTTCGACTCGCCCTCCTTGAACTTTTTGAGACCAACATTTTGATATGGCAAGTCAGCTGGCAAACACCCTCAAACCCGGAGATGACTAGCTTTAAGCTGTCTGAATGATATGCACACGAGACGCTCGTCATACTGATTTGCCTAAGCGAATGTCTGCGCCTGGGCAGCGCCGTGAACAGCATTAACCCAGGCTTGCCTCTGTGGCACCCAAAGCTCTACATCCGGGGCTCCTGCGAAGGCATCGCCGTCGGCCGTCCCAGCTTGCACAATGTAGACATCCTTGAACGCTTCATCTTCGCTCTGCTTCATGATCATGCCTCCACAGTCACCGCAAAATGACGTCTTGAAAACAATTCCGGAAGGGTTTTGCGTGAACGACCAGTCCTTGGGTGTGCCTGAGAGGAGTTTGAAACTGGTGCGAGGCACGAGCACGTTCGTCGTATAAGACGTCCCGCTGAGCTTTTGGCAGTTGCCGCAGTGGCACAGTGCCTAGCATGGGTTATTTGAGCGTTCCGTATCTGTAAACGCACCGCTTGTGTAGGGGCCTTGCAATGGGGGAAGTCGAATAGTCAATTCATACCTTCTTGAATGGCGGTTCTGCATCAATCTGGTACTTCAGCGCTCCGCACGCACAGGATCCTGTAACAACCATGCTGAAAAAGAGCCTACTGCGGATTTTCTTATGGCGTGTTCGGACAGTAATTTTCTTGTTAGCTCGGGGCCCGTAGCGTAGGTAGAGGACTATTTTGGTTCTCAGGTGATTATGAGCACAAAAGCGACGACCTCGAGTCTTGCGCATTTATACGGCCAGCTCCTGCTTGTAAATCTTGCATGAGCTGTGCTCGTTTCTCACCCCCGCATCTAAGCTCTAGCACTACTATCCTATGAAAGCTTACGTCGTATGCGCTCCATATCTATCGTTGGGCTACTCGCTGACCTCAGCTATTGGTACGACCCAAAATTGGACTCACATGGAGCAGCCTTCTAAGACACGACATCCCAGACGCCTATGACCGTTCTGAATTCCTTCTCTTTTTTCTCTTTCTATTTACTTTTTTTCGGCATCAACGGCCATGTCAGAACCATGCATCGATCGACCTCATTCATCCACAATCACTTTTCTCGTTCTGTGAAAGTGAATATTCAGCCCGGTTATTGCTGCGCAAGCGTGCTTGGCATGGCAAGTGCCGGGTCACTTCGCAAATCCAGGGCCCAGCAAGGATGTGGACGTGTCACGAGCAGAAACGGCTGAGGGATGGACCATAGCAGAGCGCTTGACCAAGGCGGGGCACGGTTTTGAAAAGAGACGGACGAACCAGCTTATCCGTTGCTGTTACAGGCCCCAGGGCACTTGGGCATACAGAATATACGAACCATACGAACAGTTGCCGCCCACTCAGCCCAGCCAAGGCCGTCCACTGATGTGCAGAAAATGATAACTATGCAAAGAACCAGGATACCACACGGACCTCGCCTTCCAGTCCCAGTATCCTAAATGCAATAAAAAAGAGAAAGCTGAAGAAAGCACAGTCTGCTAGTTACACAGGCCAAAAGAATTTTTTCGTGGGGTATCTTGAGTGAGGTGAACAGTAAAGAAAGAAAAGGGGGCGACAAATCGCGACAAACACTAACTCGATCCCTCTCGAGTTGGTCGCCAGCCTTCCTCAACAGTCAACCTGAACTTCCCAAAGCACCAGGCCTCGTCGGCCGATCACTCGAGAGAGGGTCGGTAGCACGCCGTCGTCAGCGAAGTCCAGGTCGTCCAAGTTAAGATGCTGGTTGTAGCGCCAGCGTTCACGTAGATACAGCTCGCCCTTCTCAGGCGGCGCTTTGCTCAGCTTCATTTCGCCACTCTCGCCAACGACGAACCTGTCGAGATAGACGGCGCTGTAGGGCGCGACTAGAAACACGCCACTCCGATCCTTGGCTTTGCAGTGTATCACGCCAGACAGCTCCTGCATCATACTCTCCTTCTGCATGCCCATCAGATCCGTCGTCTTCATGCTGTCAATCTTGCCGTCCAGAAGCCACAGAGGAGGGCTGTAGCTTTTCCACCAAAAGACGTGCTTCACACCATCCATAGCCCCAATGTGCAACTGCATGGGCACGACTCCGCCCTGGTGATATGTGCCCATCAGCGTCCCAAAGATAAGGTTAAAAACGACCCACACGCTGAAGAAGAACTTCGTGCCATGCTTGGGTAGTTTCAACGAGGACAGAATAAGCGGCACGGCAGGCAAAAGAAAGCGTGCTTCCTGGTGAGGAAAGATAGAGAGGATGAGAGTGCCGAAAACGGCGCCAACAAGGCGCGTGGATGTGTAGAAGCAGTTGGCAAAGATAAGCAGATATGCCGGGCCAAGCAGCTGCGGTAGATTTACGGCAGCATGCTGGTAGATGGGATGAAGACCGTGTTGAGCGAGATTGCTGGTCGCGACGTTGTATAAGAGGTTGTTGAACGGTGTGACGATGGGCGCTTTGAGCGCCGTCGCGAATAGCGGGGTGTCGCGACGGTAAAAGGCGGTATCCATTAGTACAGCGGACACCGCTGTGAGAAGACCAAAGATGACTATCGAGAGAAGTGCAACAGGTTTGCGCCTGAAGTGAGGGAGCAGCTGGGAGGCAGGTACGACTATGTAGGCAGGAAAGGTGATGCGGTTGAAGATGCCGAGTGTGACGAGGAAGGCCAAGACAGCGCAGGCAAATGCGCCCGAGTGCTCCTTGTCCTCAACGACGCGCTGAATAAGGACCAGGCTCCACAGCACGACAAGAGTCTCCACCGCGTTAGAAAATGTGTGCGATTGGTAGGTCCAGGTCACGTAGGAGGAGGCGACAAGCATGATGGCGACACGTCGTTTGCGGGGCGAGTGAACCAGCTCTTGCAGGGCCCAGTCCTCAAGTACAAAGCTGAGCGTGAACATGAGCAGGCGCAAGGTCCAATACACGACTCTTGGGGGCACCTCGCGGCCTAGACCTTCCCATATAGAGCGCAGGATAAGCATAGGCAGGCCATAGATGAGCCACAGGGGAAAAGTGCTTCGTATGGGGTAGTCCGAGGTGAACTCCCACGTGTGGTGCACGGGATAGTTAAAGACCTCACCTGTATTGAACCACGCTGTTGTCAGCTCTCCAACATTCGAGACGGTCGAGACGTTCCAAGACACGGTACGTACCAGCTATCACTTCGGGACCCTGAAAGTTCTCATCCGGGTGAAGGTAGCTTGGTGAAAGCGCAAAATAAATGCGCAGCACCACAAGCAAGAAGTAAACCCTTCTCCACATGTCTAAAGCAGCTCGATTGGCGGGATTGATGCGTAGCTTTATGTGTTACCTGCACAGCGTGGCGGGCAAGCTTGTGCGCATCTCTCAGCCGGGAGAGAGGACGACGCTACTCCGTACAGTCTCAACGAAACAGTTTCTCGCGTCCGGTACAGGCAGAAGATGCGTGGGAAGATGCTGGACGACGGGCGAAAGCTTGTATGAGGAGCGAGGCAATATTGTACGTATGCGCCACAGAAAATGGGTAGGTCGGTCGGACGATACGATGCGAGGCGAGGCTAGGTCGTACGATGCAGAGGGGGGTAAGAGAGTATCTCCCGGGCTAGATAAGAATAATCAAAGGACAGGCATTAAATATTAGGTTGTGATGTCAATTTTTGAGACAAGATTAGAAGGCAAAAGAAGAAAAAAGAGAGCACGCGCGAGAGAGCGAGGGGATGAAGAGGAAAAGTGTGAGTAGTGGACAGTGTGTGGGCGGATGTCTGTGGACGTGTTGGGTGCAAAGACAGGGAAAGACAACGATGAAGGGGAGAAACATATGACCACAAAAACACCTGCGTGCGGGCCCAAATGTTGTGCTTTTTTCTTCTTCTTCTTTTTTACTTCTTTCCCCTTTCCTCGCCCCTTTTGAGCCCAGGACCAGGCCAGTGCTGGAGTTGCTTCGGCCAGCTGTTTATTTTTATTATTATTCGCATTTCTGAGTCGTGACTCGTGAGCTCGTTAAAACTTGGACGAGCGCGTCGTCGCGCGTTAGGCTCCCAGCCAGTCACGTCACGTGATCTACACTGCCAACCAAATAGGTGGCCTTCTTGGCGCTGGATGAGCAGGTGAGCGCCAGCGCCGAAAGCAGCTCGATGACAATGCGAGCGGATGAGAGCAGCGAATGGCCAGGCCAAACGAGAACCAGGAGATTGCATAGTACGATCGAGGAGGTTTACCATTTGCCATGACCAACGTCGAAAATGGCGGACAAAGGCGCACACTTGGCTCAGACAAGATCCCGAGTTTGTTCGGCAATGCGCTCGAGTGACAAGCTAAACGCCAACCTGCTAAACCGTGCTGAGCGGCTCGAAGCCATGGTCACTTTGAGTTCCGACTTCACTGAACGATCTTGCCCCTTAGACGGCAGTTCACGTACGACAGGCTGAGTCGTCGGTCAGAGCAGACAGCCGAAATGTCACTGGCAGCCACTTCGGGTCACCGCGGTGAGCCCGCCGCTGGCCTCGTGCTTAGTTGGTCTCCAGGTTTCAACCTCGCGCAAGCCCGCCAGTGGAGGCTGAGTGCCTGGCAGGCATCCTCCTCACAGGCGAGCCACCATGGTACTGCGAGTCCTAGCACGCAGGCAGATGCGGACTAATTGTGCGAGGATCAGGAACGAGCGACAGGGGAGCTGGGGCCTCGACTGGACTTTGCTGGTAGACTGTGGTGTGGAAGAAGTCAAAAGAGCAGTCCGTTTGGTGCGCGGCATGTGAGGCTAGCGGACGCAGTAGACGGTCTCCGCGGTAGACGGCGTGCAGCACGTCAAAGTCGACTCAGCAGCTGTCGAGAAAATCAAAGGCCTCGTGAAGGAGTCAGACTCTCTTGCTATGGCTTTCTGGGCTTCGTTCGCCTTGTCTGCAGCCTGGTGCACAGACCATCCCCAACTTCACTCAATACAGTACTTTCGCTCTTTTGCGTCCAAACCCTTTCAAACACCGATCCTCAGTCACCGCTCACGCTCTGCTCGTTATAAAGATCGCCTCGCGCTGCCTTCGTCTTCAGTCTCCACCAATCGCACAACTTCCCCCGCTGCCTTGGCTCACCATTCGCCTCCCTCTCGTCCCTCCTGTGCCTCTTCATCCCCGCGGCACCGGTGTTCTCCCCCTCGTCATTCTCATCTCGCGCTCACCAGCTGAATCATGTCTACTTCTTCAGAGCCTACCATTACCCTCACCTCGTCCGACGGCGTTGACATCACCGTCCCTCGCCAGGTCGCCACCCGCTCGGTGCTGATCAAGAACTTGATCGATGATCTTGGCGAGGCCGCTACCTCCGAGCCGGTTCCCATACCCAACGTACGTCGCTTATTTCGCGCTTGCTTCGCCTTTCGTCTCACAGGTCGCACTGGAACCGCTTGTTTTGCTAACCTTGCACATCGTCGCAGGTCAACGAAGCTGTTTTGAAGAAGGTCATGGAGTGGTGCGAGCACCATAAGAACGACCCCCCCGCCACCAACGACGACGATGCCGACTCGCGCAAGAAGTCGACCGACATTGAGGAGTGGGACCAGAAATACATGCAAGTCGATCAGGAAATGCTGTTTGAAATCATCCTTGCCGCCAACTATCTCGACATCAAAGCCCTACTGGACGTCGGCTGCAAGACCGTGGCCAACATGATCAAGGGCAAGTCGCCAGAGGAGATCCGCAAGACGTTCAACATCCAGAATGACTTCACTCCCGAGGAGGAGGAGCAAATCCGCCGTGAGAATGAGTGGGCTGAGGACCGCTAAATCGCCTTGCCAACATTTCGGCAACATGACCAATGGCAGGCTGCGCCACACTAATGACAACGACGATCCCTAACAAACACACACCATATCACTGGTCGGCGTCACGCGGAGTTCTTTTCGACTAAGAAGTGTGAAATTCATGTGTCCATCTAGATCTTTGTGTAACTTCTCCTCTTCGGACGGGTGGCAGATGTCTCGGCCTTTCTGAGACGAGCTCGTTTTTTATCTTTCTTCCATCCCGCGCTTCATATGAACACCAACAAGACGGGTGGCGCTGAGAAAGCAGAGCCCGTTCTTTGCACAGGGTCATACAGATGACTGATGAGAAGCACGGCTAGGTAAGAGGGGTGGAGGGCAGAACTTGCTGAAAACACACAAAAAAAACCATAACACACCATGGAAAACCCCCTCCGCAAGAACATCATGTATGCTGAGCAGTAGTGAATGAAATGATCATATCGATAGAGTAGCGCACCTCCGCACAGTGTACGATTGTGATCGGCGTCTTGAGCTCGCGTGGTCTCTGACAAGTACTACTTTCTCGCTCGTTTCCCCAGGCTCTCTGTTCAGTCCTCTCTCCTCGCTCGCTCGCTCTCCCCGCCGCGTCCCTCCACAGTGTCAGTTCCCAGAACGAGCTCAATTGAAAAAGAAAAAGTGCCACACAAGAGACCTCAGATATTCGGTCCGGGATGCTTCAAAAAGGATTCTCGATTATTCGTACAATCTACCCAAGACGATGGCGAAAACAAGTCAAACAAGCAAACAAAAGACAGCCCTTTACCGCCCTCCCCCTCCAGAAGGAGAAAAAAAATATTGAAAGAATTTCGCGTGCCATGCAATGCGCGCGGCTGCGTACCTGTTAAATAGGACGCGTGCCGCGACGTCTACTTTCCGAGTAGAAAGGAAACGGCCTGCGCCGGGGTAGGGGACGCGCACGACTTTGAGTGGCGCCCTTCTAGTTGGCCCGTTGACTAGGCTGTATTACAAGCAACCATGATTAACAGAGAAAAATGTGGTAGTAGTCCGTCCGTACGCACGTTGCTTTCCGTGTGCGCAGATTCCGTTCCAGCCGTTGCGCCTCTTGGTCTTGAAAGGGGGGGAGGGGGCCGTCCTTTTTCCGTTGTCGTTCTTGTGCTCATCCTCTGCCCATTTCATCTCTTGCCGTCAAGCACAAGCCTCGTCTTGTCTTTTTTTTTGCTTTCTACCTCTTTCAACCTATTACAGAATCTAGTGTGAACATTTAATTGGCAGGAAGTTAAATGGCATCGCCGCCCCTCTTCCCACATCCGCTCCAATTCCGACATCAGTCCAGTGCAACATCTCGAGGCGGGCGTGGTCTACGCTTTCAAGCTGTCCTTCATGCTCTGGCTTGAGGCACTCACGATCGGGTTTGTGGTAGGCAGACTGTCCTTTGGCTTACTGTTCTGTCTGATCTTGGCCCAGGCATATACCAACCCGGATACGAAGCCGACGAAAATGGCGCTGACGCTGCCAAAGGTGACAGGGGCGTCGAAGAAGATGAGGCCGGAAATGGCGATGGGCAGCTTGTTCAGAGCACCCACCATCGAGTACGTGGTCGACGAAGTGACACGCACGCACCAGGCCGACGTGTACGAGATGAAGACGGTGCTGAGACCTGAGAAGATCATGGCCGAGATGATGGCGTTGCGAGAGGCGGGTGGGAAGTTCTTGGCCAGGTTTTCGGACGACCAGTCTTCAAGGATCAAGGAGGCGGCGAGAAGAATGGGAATGGTGAGCAGGTTGTTGTAGAACATGGCTACGGTGGCATTGTACGTCAGCGCCTCAACTTATCTACGTTCGGGAGCGAATAGAAGAATGCAGAAGGGGTAGAGGGTAAGGGCAACGTACTGTCAAAGTCCTTGAAGTTCGTGAGCTTGATGCGCTTGCGCATGCTGAGCACGTACGTTGCCGTGCACAGGCAATTGACCAACATCCAAATGTAGCCCGCGTTCAGGGTACTGATAGCCTCGCTGGTCTTCTCGCCGCTGTGGCCGTGCGTTGCCAAAGCGTGCTGAATGTCCGACCAAGCCGCAATGACGGAGGAGAGGACGATGAGGCCGAACGACAGGAGGGCCATGTTGGTCACGCTGCCGCCAAACCAGAGCACCTCGCCGTAAGCAATGAGGATGATGGTCAGGTTCTTGAAGATGGTGTACACGGGCACGGAGAGATACTTGATGGCCCACGTCGCCGTGTAGATCATGGCGATAAGGAGGAGAGAGATGGGGAACCCTTTGGTACGATCAGATTAGCCGGCCGAGTTCTGGGATCGACGTGGAATCACTTGGGAGGGATGCATACATTTCTTCGCCTCATCCGCGTTGAAGTCTCGGTATGTGATTAGACCGCCTCGTTTGCAGGCCTCGATCACGACCACGCATACCACGGACTGGATGGGCAGTCAGCCATCGTGTTGGGAGACAGGCGACGCTTGACGGCGGAGCGCCCTCGCTCTTACCTGAACACACAGCAGGAAGAAATTCAAGTTGTAATCTATGCCGCCCAAGATGTATTTGTTGGTGCAGGTCATCAAGATGCTGCTGGCGCAGTACGAGAGAATCGAGAGCATGGGGGAGTTCGCGAGGGACGCGGACGAGGCGTACGGAGACCGCGAGGGCGCCATGGCTTCGAATCTGGCTGGGCGGTGGGCTGGGGAAGAGGACGAGTCGTTGTCGTCGGCAATGTCGAGGGTATAGTCGTCGCGCTTCTTCTCGTCCGACATGACAAGAAGGGAGAGGGAGAGCAAGAAAACGGTTTCCAGAAGAAAAAATGTGGCACAAACAAGCCGGGACAAGGAGCGACTATGGTTAGGGGGCGAGAGGATTGCGCGGGACCCACGCGCGAGTGCAGGCGCAGTGACGCTTGGCAGAGCCTTACACAGGCGTAAAATGAGCGCGTTTGGGCGGCGGAATCGCAGCGGGACGACGGATTCAGATCGGCAGAGACGATGCAGACTGGCAGAAACCAGAGGAGATAGAAAGGAGCGAGATCCGATCTGAGGTCGTCTTCGTCGATGTGGACGACCTCAGATCGGAGGAGGACAGGGGACACGTTTGTCGACGACGCAGTGGCCACAAATAGAAAGACGCGCAAATTGAACGGGAACGAGAGCGTCGTACTGCTGGTACGGATGCTCGACAGTCTTGTCCACGAATGGTCTAAGCTGACACGAAATAACACAAAGGGTACGGAAGCGTACGCGGCGGGCTGAGCAGGCCTGCATGGACGGGCGGGAGTGCCAGCGCTGAACAGGCAAGACGGCGCAGACGAGCCCGGGACTGTGGATCAGCACGCCGCACTCTGCTTCGGACGGCTCGCGGCCAGAAATCGAGGCGGACGACAACACAAAGTGACAGGCGAGGAGAGCGACAGCTGCGAACGGCACCGGGTGCACTCTCGACTGCCGCCACGTCCTGTTCATGCGCCGTGTCGTTGTAGCAAAGGCCACCGCTCTCTGAGACACCTCGTTCTTGGGTATTCTCGCACCCAGCGTGCCTTAATTTTTTTTTTCCTTTTTTTTTCCCGCGACGCAAGTCTGGAAGTGATCCTCAGCGGGCCATCTCTTTTCGCGATCTCGAGCGAGGGAGATTTGCAGTCACCTAACACGCTGGGCAAAAGGGCGTGTGTGCCTGTTCGCGTCAGATATGGCGTCCATCGATCCCCGGGTGGCCGCTCTGGTCGACAACCGAGCGGCCGACTCAGACGACGAGGATGCCTTGCTCGCATCCTTGGAGGAGGATGACGACGACCACGCGCTCGCGGCGCTCCGCGAGCAGCGCATGCAGCAATTGCACGACGAAGTCTTGAGAGCGAAGCGCATGCGGGAGGCCGGCACGGGATCGTACGTCGAGATCAGAGACGAGAAGGAGGTCATGGACATCACCACCTCCACCAAGCTCGCCGTCGTGCATTTTTTCAAGCCCGACTTTGGCAGATGTGGTGTCATGGACAGACATTTGGAGGTGAGCACCCACGCGTCACACACAACACACCGCACACCCGTCGTCGCCCACGGACCACGATCGATCTTACGTCCAAGCTAACCTGAGCGGCGCAGGCGCTGGCACCGAAGCATTTCGACACTCGATTCGTCAAGATCAACGTCGACAACGCCCCGTTCTTGGTCGCGAAACTCAAAATTCAGGTCTTGCCGTGCGTGATCGCCTTTGTGGACGGCGTCGGCCAGGACCGCATCATCGGCTTCGAAGGTCTCGGTCAAGGAGACAAATTCACAACGGTCGATCTCGAGGCTCGACTGCTGCGCTGTGGAGTTCTCACACGAGCCAAGATGAGCGACGACGTGGCCGTCGGCAGGATGAGGACCGGCAGGGCGAACATGAATAGGGGGAAGCCCGAGGCCAGCGACGGCGACGGCTACGGCGACGATGATCACGATGACGATGATTGGGACTAACAGGACGCGATGCGCGAGAACGGGCAAGTCGACCTCGAGTAAAGGCCGTCCCCCTAAACGCCCACTGGACACATGTCTTGGGAAGCCAGACACGGGGCAGCGTCAAGCGGACGGGAGATTTTGTTGGCATCGATGTCTGTGGGCACGGCGACATTCACCAGGCTTATTGCCGTGCCGCCTTGGATGGGGGAGCACTGCGGCTCGGTCTGATGAACAGTGGGAATTGCTAGATTCCGCATGGCAGCGGGCCCGCGAGAATCAGGAACAGGATGCAGGAAGCTTGTACGTTCGTAGCGTAGCAGCAGCCCAGGACCGTCGCCGCGACAGCACTCAGCTGGGCGCTGGGGGCGTCGAGAGGGGCGGTCAAGAGGCTCCATTGGGCGTCTCCGCATGCAGGATGAAGAGGGGAAACCGATCAACTGACGCGGCCAGACGCCACCAGCACGCCGACAGCGTCCAAGTCGAGGACGAGCGCGCAACCCAAGCTGCTCTGCTGATCTCACGGTCTGCGTCTCCATCTGCCTCTGCCAGCGTTCTCTCATTCAAACTTTTAGGTAAACCAGCTGGACCACTTCCCTCATGCGGAATGGCGTGCGACGGTGCGAGCGCAGACCCGCCAAACGTACAGGCTCAGAACATGTGACGTCCGTTATCGTCAGGCCTTGCCCATGCAGCGTCATGCATTCGTGTGTGTCTTGCGCGACCGCCGACTTGGCTCCGGCGACTGTGTGGCCGACTGCTGTGTTGAGCTTGCGGACCTCGCATACCCACCGCGCTTCTCTTCGCTGCCTCTGATCGCCTCGCCGCTTGCTCGTGCTCCTCCTGTCTTCTTTTCCAGCCGTCTTTCGTCGATGACCGCATCTTGCTAGCCGCCGTCCTCCCCACTCATTGCGCCCTCCGCCTCCGCCTCCGCCACCAAGCAAGCATGGTCGTGCTCTTAGATCTGGACGACGACCCTCGCCTGCTCGACGCCGCAGATCGCTCTGCCTATGATCACTTCAAAACCCAGCTGCGGGGCCCATTGCTGCGGGCCGGCAATACCCAAGATGCTCTCGCGCACACTGACGAGACCGCTGCCGTCGACGCCGACACCGCGAACGACCAGCGGCCCAATCCAAACCTCAATGGATTCTCAGCCATCCTGAGCTGTTATCCGTGAGCACTGCACTTACCACCGCAAGCCTCTCCCCTTGACCAACACCCAGACGTCGTTTTTGCCAGCTTGCTTTCCTTGCTTGCTTGCGCAATGTACAACGACCCGTCTCAGCGCGAGGGGCTTTTGTGAGCGAGCCTTGACGCTAACACGAGCAGAATCGTGGCGAGTCTGGCGAGCCATCTCGACCTGAATTCCCTACATGATCTCTCGCGTACATGCCGTCAGTTCCGCGCCAATCTGCTCCAACACCGCAAGCAGCTCATCAGCCAGGCACTGCGCTGCTCGCGGGAGAACGAGGCCGGCGGCGTCAAGCTCGCCAACAGGCTCAGAGAAAGTTTTTTCGCTTGGCACGGCAATTACGATTATGCACCGGCGAATCGCATCACAAGCGGTAAAGTTGGACAATGTGCTAGAGACAAAGTGGGGGAGTGCCGCAGGTGCGGCACCATAGTATGCAGGGTACGAACCTCCCGACGAAAGAAAGTAAATCGGGAACAGGCGTGTTCCCCTTGAGGTCTACAGTTCAACCGCTGATACGCGTCGACACAGAACTGCATAGCGAAACCACCGCCTCTTCCCCTGCTGCGAGACCGACATCGTCGTTTATGCAAGACGTGTACGCGAGCACCTCTCGCCTCACTTACAAAACGCCAACTCCTTCCGCGCGAGGATCTCTACGACGACCGTTTCACGCCCTCGTCTTCGCCTTCATCTTCGCCTGCTAGGTCGTTACGCATCCCGACGCCGCCTGTCGAGCCGATCGAGCAGAAGAGAGCCTTCACCGCCCCTGCCTTTGAGTACACTCCGTGCAGCTGCCCCGAAGAGGTCTGGCTGTGTCAACCGTGCGGCCATTCTCTGCGGAGAGCGGACACAGACTACAAGAGAGGCTGGACGTGGCGGGCCAGATACTCGACGTACCTCGGCGTCGTTGGAACGGGCATAGGAGACGGCAACGAAGGCGTGCCCTGTGGCCGCGGCGGCGCCTGCCTGGCTGCCCAAGTCGTCGAACAGGAAGTCGACTGCGATCCGGGAACGCTCCAGCATCTCGAGGAAGAGGCGGAGCAGACGGGCCGAAGCTGGGAGGGGGGCGGGTTCGAGGTGCAGGAGATGGAAGGCGTCGGTGGCGTCGTGAAGCGAAAGATCAAGAAGCTCGTCCTGCTCGGCAAGAGGGTGCAGGAGCACGAGGACGAGCGGAGCGGCAACGCCAGATATCTTAGCCGCGAGGAGAACGGAGAGGTGCGGAGTTGGTGCGCGTGGTGCGAAAGGGTTATTTTATCCGACAACGACAAGGCATGCATTTGAGAGTGGCACTTTGTTTTTTTTTTTTTTTTCCTCTATTCTTTTTGCATTTGCATATATTTTGGTATCGGGCTACAAAGGAAAACAAACGCGGTACCTAGGCTATAATGGAACCATATTGATACTCGACCAACACTATGGCTCAAGTCTCTGCTCGACGCTCACGCTTCGACCTCGTCACTGTCCAATTTACCCCAAGCCTCGTGCCTGGCTACATTTCGCGCAGTCGTCCACTCTTGGAACGCGGAACGCTCGCGGCCGACAGGCAGGCAAAAGGGCCGTCGCCCACTCGGAAGTCAAACCAGCCTCGTGACGAGCTTGCCCTTGTTGCCGCCCTCGAACAGCTTGACCCACGTCTTGGGGACGTCCTCGAACTTGGTGTCCACCACCGTCTCGTTCTCGTCGCTGATCTTGATCTTTCCGTCCTTGACGCCCTGGATCAGCTTGCGGGTGATCTCCGGGTGCTCCTTGGCGAAGTCGAACACGATGAAGCCCTTGATCTGCAGCCGCATGGTGATCACGTCGAACCAGTTCTTGATCCCGTACTTTTCCTCGGCGTTGTAGTCCGCGATGGCGCCGCACGCGACGACGCGCCCGTGGCGGGCCAGGCGCGTCAGCATGAAGTCGAGCTGCTCGCCGCCGACGTTGTCGAAGTAGACGTTGGCGAGGCCCTCGGTCGCCGCCGTCAGCTGCGTCTTCCAGTCCTTCTTGTAGTTGATGCACACGTCCGCGCCGAGCGACTCGACCCACCGGCACTTTTCGTCCGTGCCGGCGAGCCCGATCACCTTCTTGCACCCGACCAGGTGTTTGGCGATCTGCACCACCATGCTCCCCGTCGCGCCGGCCGCGCCGCTGACCACCACCACGTCGTCCTTCGTCGCCTCGCCCACGAAGACCAGCCCACTGTACGCCGTCATGCCCGTCCCTCCCAGGGCACCGAGGTAGTGCGTCACGCTCACGCCAGGTATCTCCTCGCAAGGCTGAAGACCATTCGTGGTGGGTGACATGACCTGGTACTGCGACCAGCCTCCCCATCCACGCACCACACTGCCCTCGGGGAAGGAGGCGTTCTTGGAGGCGAGCACCTTGTAGATACCGCCAGAACGCATCGGCTCGCCCTTGTTGACCGGCGGTACGTACAGGCGTGCCGGGTCCTGGTTTGCATCTATCCACCCTCGCTGGGCGGGGTCGTTGGAGAGATACAGCAGTTCCGTAAGAACTTGGCCATCCTGGAGTTCAGGCAACGGTTTCTCCTCGAGAGTGAATGTTGGATTGGGCCCGTCAAGGACGATCTTGCCGGTCGGCTTGTTGGCAAGAATGAGTGTCTTTGTCGAGGTTGGCAGAGGCATCGTTGCGGAATCAACGAAGGAGGGAAAAACACGAGACTCTTTTGGTGAAAATGAGAGGGATCAATGAGGACACCGTTGTTGCAGCGAAGAGACTACTTGTTCTAGCTATGAATGCAAGCTCTTACAAATATGAAAGTCTGGACGCGTTGCGTATAGATTGGCCAGAAGAGGAGGTTCGAGAATGCTCCAGGCGAAAAAAGTTCTGCATAACCTGACGTGAATGGAACGTCAGGGCCTGCTATACTTACATATTGTGTACCGGGGTAGCATGGCTAATTGAAGTTGGGTGGAATCTTCGGCCGTTAGCTCCGCTTTGATCTGCTTGAACGTCCGCCGTCGAGTTCGTCCGGCTGATAAATTTCGTCGTCAATGTCCTGTCGACACCGCAAGAATAAAGTGGGGTTCACTGTTTTGGAAACCGAGGAACGCCGAAATCGAACAGAGAAACGAAGGGTTCAGGGTCTTGGACGCCCTCATGAAAACGTGCCCGTGTCGAAAAAGTTATGTAATGCATGGAGACGGACGGGTTGATCAGATTGAAGGATACAGTTGCGGTTCGAAAGTTTTATCATGGAATTGTTGTCTGCTTGGGTTGGAATTCACATAAGCGTACCTAGCTCGTTCCCTCTTAGGGACGTCAGAAGCAGTAAGCAAAACGCGACAGCGCAGTGGTGACTGTCCAGGATGACTTCGCCACTGGCAGATCTGTCTCTCTAATTTATTGAAACATTTAGTACTGGAACGCGGCGACTTAGGGGAAGCTAAGCTGTTATATTTTTAGTCTCTCCGGGTAACAGTCGTTGCCGATCAAGAGCATACCAGTCCGTTGCTGCATATTTCAACTACGTGTTCTTAACTTAAAAAAACACTGGACATCTGCAACGGGCTCTAAGATGTGTACTGGTAGAACATTATCACGCTTCCGGGGAATGCTAAAATCAGCTCCATGAACCGGCTCCAGATCAAAAAGCATGATGACGAGCGCAACGAAACTCGTGATCTCGTTCGTAGCAAAATGTCTACCTGAAACAGATCACATTAGCACATGTTTACAAAACGAGCATGTTCGTCTTGATTACCTGGACAGAGCGTCGCACCACCACCGAACGCTCGGTATGCCGCCGGATGGATCTTGTCCTGCTTTTTCACCCTTTCCTCTGTAAAGCGGTAGGGATCGAATGCGTCAGCATCCGATCCCCATATTCGCCGATCCACATGCATGGCACCTCCAGAAATCTGCAATACAGAATCTTTCTTCAAAAAGTACTTGTCGGCAAGCACCGTGTCTGCCATGACGATCCGGGTGGAAGAGTTTTCGGAGCCTACACGTAGCGTTTCCCGAAACACAGACATGAAAATCGGGCACTCGTTTCGGATCTTGGTCGCGTCTAGGGCTTGGCGTTTCTTGTTGATCGAAAGGGTGCCAAAAGCCGCCTGCAGCTCCTCTCGTACTTCATCGAGCAGTCTCGGGCGCGCGAAGATGTGTAGTATAAGCCAGAAAGAAGTTATAGCCGTGTTTACAATGCCGGCAAAGAGGAACGAGAGCTCTGCTCGCGCCAACATGTCAACTTTCCAGCCGTGTCTGACCGATATCTCCACTCGATTTTGGATGAGTTTCGACGCGGTTTTAGTGTGATCTTCACGGAGATAAGTCTCAAGAGCCTTGACAAGCTTCTCGCGGCCTCGGAAGGCCTTGCGGGCGGTGATTGAAGGCGCGACGTTGACCAAAAGGAGGCCGATGCCATGATCAAAGTCCCAAAATGCCTGCTCATTGCCGATATCAGTGTCGATTGGATTTTCGGGTCCATATAAGAAGCGTGCTGTAGCAACGGTGACGAAATGCTGGCAAAACTTCAGAAGATGTTCCTTATTTGATGAGTTGGCAGCATTTTGCAGTCCACCTGCGTAGTCATAAATCAGGTCGGCAAGTTCCTTAGAGGCACTTGCAGAGAGCTCATCCAAGGAGTCACCGGGGGCCATGTAGGCGTACACCATGTCGTGGATCTCTGGAATAAAACCACGGACATTATCCTCACGATTGAGGTTTTTCCTCACAATCTTAACGGTTTCTTGGTCTAAGCCTAGTATACGTTGTGTCGCTTCCGGAATCAAGGGGCTGAAAGACAGATTCTTGTTTCGCTGAACAGAAGCTGCGAGAGCTGGATCTGTGACGACGTACATGCGACTCCACGGCATAGCAATGGTGAAGATTGGATCCTGCGTGCGTATAGCAAGGTCTCGCAGCCATTTCCCACCTTGAGTCACCATGCCAATGAGTGCTCCAAAGTACGGAACCCCTAGTTTGACCACAGATGGCTCTCGAGGATCAACCTTGCGGCACGAGAGACTCTGCAGAGAAATAAAACTTATAAAGGTTATCGAAAGAAGCACTATTAGATCAAGTTGTAATCCTAGGACTTCCATGATCGTTGTTTTGCTCTTGAAGTAAGCATGTAATTGCTGAGGGGTGAGCGAAGGCCTGGGGGAACAGTGACAAAACAGCTCAGCTTTTTTTGTGCGAACAAAGTCCTACATGATTAAACGCGAGAGAGACAAGCTACGCTTGTTACTGGCGCAGCGCCTTAACGTGCTGAGTTCGGGTATTTGGCTTGATAGAGTTGCTGATTGGAGGCGGGGAGAAATGAGCGGAGAATTTCCTGAATGGGCGACGGAACCTGTCGAGCCCAACTTCATCCATTCAGGCCAGTGGCTTGGGCACGCTGTCATCCTCTCGTTGACTACCAGGCTTTGCTTCAATCAAAGCATCCACAACGACCAAAAGGTGTTCGAAACGAGCATCGCAAGACGCGATTCAGCCTCCTCATAAACACCCAGTACGTTATCATCAAGCTTCCTGCTGTAAAACGCACTCCAAGAAGTATCAAGTGCGCGTCTACCCAACCTTGTGTCCTTGCTGTGACTTCAGACTTAGCGAGTGATTCCCTTGACTCGTTTGGCGACGGCTGGACTTGTCGACTTCATCGCACAGCGAAGTCGGACTACTCCTTGCCTGATCATCTACTGACCTGATTGTTATTTGCAGCGCACGACGTACAGACGAGCAATATGGGGAAGAAGAGAAAGAACGAAGACATTGAGGATGTGCTCGCAAAGCCATGGTGTTATTACTGCGAGCGTCAGTTCGAAGATCTCAAGATTCTGATATCGCATCAGAAAGCGAAGCATTTCAAATGTGAACGCTGTGGTCGTCGTTTGAATACTGCCGGTGGTATGTTTGCTCCCTTCACTTTTGAATGATGGCCCCAAAATATCTACGAGCTGACGCTCCAGACAGGTCTATCGGTCCATCTCAACCAAGTGCACAAAGAAACGTTGACCGAAGTCGACAATGCGCTGCCTGAGCGCAAGGGCCTTGGCGTCGAGATTTTTGGTATGGAGGGCATACCAGACGACATCAAACAACGACACGACAAGCGCGTCGCAGAGAATTACTGGAAAGAGCAGGCAAGCAGACGCGAGGCCACGGGCAATCCGCCTGCTGGCTCAAAGGAAGCCTTGGCGGTCAAGCCATCCAAGTTTGGTGATGATGAGGACTTGCTTAAGCGCTTCAAAGAGCACCTGGCTCGAATCGAGAATGGCGACACACTTGCTCCTGCTGCAATTGATGGCGTGCAGCCTGTTCCAGCGCCAGGAATCGTAAGTTGAAACGCTCAGTTTGTCTCCAAGCGCAAGATCTCGTTACTCACTAACACTGAACGCACAGCCTCCGTCTGTATCGCCAGACCAAGCGCAGCCTTTCGCCCCTCCTCCATTCCAGCCGGCGCCTATAGGTTTCCCGCCCGTTCAGGCTCCCTTCCCAGGTCAACCTCCGTTTCAGCCCCCCTTCGCTGGAAGCCCTCCATTCGCACATGGGCCTTACCAGCCGCCCCCCGTACCAGGTGGTTCCAACCTGCCATCACGACCAGCGTTCCCGCCACACCCGGCTGGACCAATGCAGCAGGCTCCCCCAGGTGGCAATCCCGCCGTCTCAGCGGCAGTCGACGACCTTATATCCAGTGCACAGGCTGCTGCTGCTCCAACTCCTCCACCAGCAGCCACCTCTTCAGCGCCGGCGGAGAAGAAAGGCAAAGAGAAGAACGTACGCCTTGTGTACTCAGACAATGAAGTCAGCCCTGAAGAGAAGATGGCGGCAAGGGCTAAATATGCTTTCGTCAAGTCCTGAAAACCCTCCATCTTGCAAGTTGTGTTGGGTATGCCTGTGGGCTATTGCGCACTAGGTTCAGAGACACTGACGAAATGCAAAATAAATAAACTTTTCTGAAGTTTATATCTCAAAGTGAACGGCTTTGTAAGCCCTGCTTCTGGAGTAGGGAGAAGGTAAAATAACGGCGTGGGTGATGACAGAGTATATCGATCACTCGGCGCCTGTGTCTCATGCAAGCGCAATGTATCTTATGATCGTAGTTCACTAACATGACAGCTTTCAGTGGCTGGCCTTGCAGGTACATTGAACCGGTATATAGCTAATACAAGATACCATGCATTCGCTTCGAAGATCTTGATTATTTTCATGGCTCGATACGATCAGATTGCCCTTGACGGCCAGATAATTATGTGCGATACTGAAATTCAGCTCACAGCATTGCTCCTACTGTAATGCACCGCCTGAGGAGTTCAGGTTCTTTAATCTATGTGGGACACAGATATGGGCATTTCCGATGGGACTATTCAAGGGCTACGGGGAGGTGCGTCAAGAGCCAAGTGCTAGGCGAGCTGTTATTCAAACGAAGACGTTTTGAGTGGAGAAGCCTACTTGCAGACGAACTGCTGATCTTGTGTGTGTGTGTGTTTTTTTTTTTTTTTTTTCCTGGTCCACAAAACGAGATATTCTTTTTATGTCGCGCCACCCTCGAATGTTGCTTCCAAAGGTCCAGACAGTGAAAGAATGAGCCCATGGGTGATGCTAATCAGTCACCGACTTTAGAACATATCACGTAAGACATTTGCAGAGCAGAAGACTATCATTATTGATAGCTCTCCCCTAATCCACACAGCACACATCACCAGGATCCTAATACAGAAAATGGCAGCACCTAAGCCTGTAAAGTCGAAGGAAAGTCAGGACGCGCAGGTGCTAGACAGATCTCGAGTCGAGTGATTGGATGGAATTAGACATTCTATTCTCACATTCTCTGCTCGTGGCGTCGATTGTGTAAACTAATCATATGTAAGAATTGACCTTGCTCATCGCGTAAACCTAATGACGCGACGTTTTGGGCATTTTCACGATTGATCAAGTGCGTTCCATTTCTTTTTCTGTTCTGTCTATCGTATCCGGCTTTTAAAGAAGGAAAAGGGAAAAAAAATCTGGGGTATCTTGCTCGTCAACCAACTTTCGAAAGACTACACATCAAGTATCAGGGGGTGGCTATAAATAGGGCTTGTGTCACATAGGAGAACAGATCTTCTTGATCGATATTGAACGTATCTACACGCGAGGCTGGTAATTGGGTGGTCCTCCGAACATTGTTGATGAATACGTCGGTCCAGAGACGTGGTCGGAAGACGAGCACATCTCTGCCCACTTTTGTCGGCATTGCTTTGCGCTCCACTTTTCCGTAGACCCAAAGTCAACCATCTGTGATGTAAGAGTCAGAAAGGTCATCGAAATCGGCACTACCGTTCCATACCTTTGAGGCGATAATGTCGAATTTGGTCTCCATCCAGTACTGGTGGGCGAGGCGCAATGCTTGCACATCGCCATCCGTCCAGACCCGCATGCGGTCTCTGAGCCTCTTGATTCGCATCTGCAAAGCTGCGGGCTGATAGTCCTTGTTCAGGTCCTCGGCGAATTTGGTCACAATCTCCTTCCAAGAGAGGCCATCTTGATCACGAAGCTTAAGCAGCAGCTTGTCTTCGCTGGTCATCTCTGGTAGCGGCGATGGCGACTGAGGTGACTGTCGCACTCTCTTCGCGTTTGGTCCCTCGGGTTCATTCCTATCTAGAGCATGCTTTCGTGCCGGCAGGCCAGCAGGGTTTGGTGCAATGGGCGTGTAATAATGCGGCCGGGGGCTCGGAGGATGCCCTTCGGAAGTCCATGTGCCGGAAATCAGTGGAGATGAGGACGGCACGTCCTGTCTCGGCGTACTCATCGACGACCCCTCACGATTTGCTTTCCGGATTGGCGTGTGCTGTGGCGTAACAGGCTGTGTTGGTGCCATTGGCGGTCCACTGAATGACTGTGAACGACTATGTCGGGTTGAGGGAAGCGAAGATGCTGAGACCAGAGAACACGGAGACCAAAAGTCGTTCTGGTTTGCATCTGAATTCTCTATGGCCACCTGAGTAAAAAGCTTTGGGGGGGCCTGGGGGGTGCTTGGCGTTGGTTCCTGGAGTTGAAATAATGGCTGAGGTAGAAATGCATGGTTATGATGCGGTGGGCGGAAGGGTAATTCCGTTGGTATCGATGCTTCGTACACCAAAGATGTCGGGAAAAAATTTGATATCTCTCCTAGGTTACCACCATTATATGATATTCCGAGAGGATCCTGAAACAGTTGGTTTTCTCATCATATAGCAGGTCACAACAACTCACGCCTTCAATGAATTGCAAGTCTAAGTAAGGCATATCGAGCAAACTATATTGAACATGGCCGCCCAGGCCCTCAGCAGAACATACTGGGGTTGATGGTGATGAGTGCTTTGGATTGTCTTGCGACATAATTGGCCAACCAAAGGAAACAACCAGAAATCGTGAAACGAGCAAGATAACCTAAAGGCTGAAAAATCGTAGTAGTAATACAAGCAAGAGGTATAGAACAAGAATTCCAGAGAAGAGATTCCAGAGATGCGGTGTAACTATGCAACAGCGTATCACCTCGAGAAGACGCAGCGTACTTAAATGTACCATTCCATCTTGGACTGAAAATGAAAGATGTGTATAGCAACGACGGACGAGTGCTAAGCCTGCAAAAAGGCTGCAAGACGATTGGACCGGAAGGCAGAATCTCGCTCTTCCAGCACTGCCTGTTCACGGGTTGCAGCGACTGAAACGTAACGAGCGATGCGATCTCTGGCAAACGCTTCGAGATGGACGACCAGGGTGGAATGTTTACCGCGCTTGTGATTTCAGCCTGGCCTATGCTGGTACAGCAATGTGCAGCGAAATCCAGCTTCTCGGCGCTCGTTTGGCGCGAATTCTGCATCCTGTTGCGAATCGAGCAATAAGGCCTCTGCTTTGGGGGCAGCGCTCATCTCAATTCTGCGCATCACACATACAGCGTCGATAGATTCTTCTTGCTCCCGAACTACCGAGATAAATTCGTCTGCTGATCTCTCATGTCCATCGCATCGTGGCATAATCCTGAAGGATTTTGGGCCTCCGGTCGACGCAACCAGCCCTGCGGCCCGATGACGGGTCCTGACGGGAAGGATTGGATTGTGCGACCTAGAACTCGTGTGCGGCTTAGCATGTTGGCGTTGTCCAATGCAAGTGTCTGTGGCATGCGATCTACCGTGCGTTCACAAGACACACTGATTCTCACCCGTGGAGTTCGTCGAAGCGCTTCTCCTGCTGCCGCAGCTCTTCGCAGTTCGCATTCTTGAGCGTTGGAACGGACAGCATGGCAGGAAAGGAGAGCGGCAAGACCAAGCGCAGAGGGAGGGCAACGTCAGCTCATCGTGCGGCTTCCCCGGCGACGTCTCAAAAGGGGCTTGCGCCTACAGCAAGTCCTGCAAGAAGATTTTGGGGCAAGCGTCTGTCGCTTGTGGTGTCGATCATCGCCATTGGGTGTCCGTCGCAGTGAAGGTCGAAAGGAGGATAGTTCGTCTGCACGACGACCTATTAATGCTCGCTAATTTCTATATCAAGGTTCTTTGGGAGGATGGTTTGTCCCCGATCGAGTACTATTAGCTTCACAAATACACGCCGCTGAGCGTAAGTGGTCCTGCAGCACACCTCCAATCACGATTTTCGATAAGGCATGGATCGAAAATTCCGGAGTATTTCGTCTGGAACAAGCGGCCTCGCCCGCAGTCTGCCTACACTCTGAAACGCGAAGATATGCAGTCTCCGACCGAACGCTTAAGCGCGGGGCAATCTTCCAGATGCGCAAAACTCTGGCGACAGCATGCCAAGTTGAAGGAGAAATTTCAAATGAAATGGTCTGCGATGGTGATTCTTCCCAAGTAGTCGACTTATTGGACTTCTAGACGCCAGACAGGGTAAGATGTGTTTCAGATATCCCGCAAAGTCAGGTCGTTCATTCACATTTGTTGGAAGAGAACTGTGAGCGGGAGATTGTCTGCCTTGGGACTCCTTAGGTGATTATAGGTCTATGTGCTGCACAACAGCCACACCGTCAATGATGAGCCGCATATCTCCCTTACAGACCACAAGTCTTAACTCATTTCGGCACTCTCATGCGAAGACGATATCTCTTTATATGCTACAATCCAAGCTCATTAAGCAACCACCAAGCCAGAAAGGCGTATCGTTGTACAAGTAAGGAGCCAAGGCAATGAAGTCTTCCTCACTTCCAAAGGGATGTCAACAGCCGGTATGGAGTACAAAGCTCATTCTTAAGTCGACACAGCCTCCAGTGCTCAACCGCTAGCCGATACCCAGCACCCTTAAGTTTTAAACCTCGCAATTGTATAGTTCCGAGCTAGCACCGGGAGCAGTCATAACTCTCAGCCCTTCTCCCTGAGTAAGGGCCTGCTTAGATTTCAATACTCAAACTGCATCGACCAGCCTTGAAGCATGCTTAAACGATGCGGATTTGACCCAAAACGCACAATCTACCGATTACGTCTGTGGTGTTGCACTTTCGAACTTGAAGTCAGTCCCTGGTTACGTGGGGCGAAGCGATCCAAGAATCACCGAACAGCTGGGTTAACCGCCGGGTCGACTCTGCCCCCTTTCCGCATGCTTCATTCAAGTAGCCCTGATTGCCAAGGATTTGTGAACATGGGAAGAGGCCTGATACCACAGCCTCAATTGAAGTTACGTCTGTCGAACTTTGGGGCCTGATGGCCCTATCGTTGGCCGCCGAACAGACTATTGGACGCTTCGGATGGCCTTGATCCCGGACGAAGTTGGATCCGAGATGGTCGACAGCAATATCTCTGGGTTCGTTAATAAAGACAGATCGGTCCACCGTGATACGTCTTTAGGCCTTCTCATCCAAAAAGACGCTTCCAACGCGGCGGGCAATGATCATCCAGCATCTATATTCAAACTTCTCCACAATTGACGCCTTTCGAGATGCATGAACCAGGCGATAACCAATACAAGCCACGATGTTGTAGAGCAAACCAAGTTTGCAGGCGACAGAATAGATCTCTTCCATGATGAATGTTGTTGCCAATCCATCTCGCGAAGTATCTTTACGTTTGCGACACGTCTTCAGCTGACCAAAATGTACACGTGACCTTGATCCGCGCAAGCTTCGGTCTTAACTTGGCCAGCTGAGACAGACGACGTCGTGAATCGTAACTGCTGCCTGCGACCCAGTCCCTCGTCGTCAGCGCCTCTGCTGTTTCTTTGTGCATTGGGGATTCACTACGACTATCTGCGTTTATACGTGTTCGACCCCAGCTTGAACTGTGAGGGGTGTTGTCTGAGACGTGGACACGAAGCCTCAAAGCCGACTCCTTGCGCAGCCTTGCGATCCAAACACTACAAGCATCAACCACCAGCGCCATGATTTTCAATGTATTCCGGATAGTAGCAGACTTCTCACATTTGATTTCCAAAATCATTCTTCTATGGGCGATTCACTGGAACCGCAGCGCGGAGGTAACCTCAATCACATCTGGTCGCGCCAATACTTCACTAACATGCTTGCGAACAGGGCGTCTCACTCATAACACAAGTGCTTTACTTGCTGGTGTTTTGTACGCGGTATCTTGACCTCTTTCAGTCGCGGCCATTCGAGGACTTTACACACACATGGCTGTTCTTGTTTAAGATCTTTTATATCGCGTCGTCAGCCTACACTGTCTTCTTGATGACTTCCGTATATGCAAGGACAAGGGAACGCGAGAAGGCGTGGAAGTTTGGCATGTACTGCTTAGGGGGTTCAATCGCGTTAGCCATCCCTGTGACAGCCATATTCCAGCGTGGGCCCATGACATCCAGTGGTAAACTCATGTATTTGCACGAATTCAAGTTCATGGAGGTATGTGAACACCCTTTTTGAACATTCAAGCGCCATTCCTGACGACGATCTTAGATCCTCTGGGTGTTCTCCGAGATCCTGGAGTCTGTCTGCGTGCTTCCACAGTTATTGCTTCTTCGACAGACGACCGTGCCAACCGTCATCGATTCATACTATCTTGTCTGCCTGGGTTCATACCGAGCTTTCTATATTCTGAACTGGATACAGCGAGCGGCAGATAAGGAAGAGCGGCATTTCGATCCCATCTCCGTCCTCTTCGGTATTATTCAGACAGCTCTTTACATTGATTTTGCGTGGGTATACTACACCAGACAGCGGGTCAAGCTACGAGCTGGCGGCGTCGTCGATTCAGAAGATCTTGCTCGAGGCTGGCTCGTTGGCCGCTTCACCAAACACCACGATCTTGATGAAGAGGAGGAGCCAGCTCTTGGGCGGGATCCTAATAGAAATACTCGGAGAAATAACAAGTGGGGACAAAGGGGAATCAGTGTAAGTGCTGATGACGGCGTACATGACGTGCACGCAGAAGGCGACGAGGCTAGGCAGCCTCTAACGGATCCCCAAGCCTTTGAAGACGATTTAACAGATGACGAGGGTGCACCGCCGGCGAGCTCGCACGCGAATGTTGGTGATGGGTCGGAATGGGCTGACGAAGCGAGCGCGACGAGGAAATGAGGATACTATACGGAATTCAAAGTATTGTATCATGTTTGTGATTCTGGGCCACGGTAGAAATTATGTTTGCGCGCAAGAACACTCGTAGGTTGGGTCCTTGTGCAAATGACCCTATTTAAATGAACGTGAAAGCCTTATGACCTCCACATATCAAAAGTGCCAGACGACACCAGTAGCTCTAATGACTTGAAGTGCTCATAGTACGACGATGATTTATCGCCTCACAAGGTCTTCCAATCGTAAGTTATCAACATTCTTCTGTTTATGATTGCTGATTTTAACGGTTGCTTCTCACTATCACTTAGTATGAGCTTGTTTTTCTTTGCAAAATAGATGCAAATGTAGGGTTGTGCAATAGAAACAAGCGTTTACTACGATACCGAATTTGCCCGACTCACACAACTCCTAGTCTTCCAAATTGCTCCACGACTTCCTTGTCAACGTTCACAAGCCACTCCTCCTGGAATCTCTCGGGGCCACCGCACTTCTGTATAACCACTCCGACCGCATACTTGACCAGGTCCTTCAAGTTGACATTGTGCACGGGATCAGCGCTCTGAAGGGAGGCTCTCCTTGCTTCTCCGGCGCTTTGGCCTTCACTTGCCTCAAAGGGGCCTGATGGGGGCGTGTACACCAGAGAGTCCTTGTTTTTATCTTCACTGCCTTCTGTGAGAGACTCGATAACTGAGACCCATAGATCCATCAGCTGTTGGAGCCGACCCAGCGAATAGGGCTCGCCAGTTGTGAAAAGGTGCGTCAAGGCCATTGTCATGAGCTTCTGGCGGGGAGGATCAGTGACCAGCTCCTGTGTGTGAGAGAACCACTCTTCCAACAGCCAATTCATAGTCGCATTTATGTCAACTCCTAGACCCGTCGCGGGGCTTTGAATTGTTGATAAGAAAATTTCCGGACTGGTGTAAAGTATTCGTGCTAGTATCGAGAAGAAGTCCGTTTCGACTTGTCCTTGTACATTCGACACAATCGCCTTCGGGCCGGTAGTTTGGTGTGCATCGTACGCTTCCTTTAATCCTCCAAAGAGCTCTTGCATGAATCCAGACTCAACGAGTGCATCTGCAACAGTTTGAACACCCTGTGCACCGTTGAGCTCCTCCGCTGCACGAAGCAACTGCTCTACAACCTCGAAAACCTGTGCACTGGCTTCAGGTTTGAGCGTTCGCAAGTCTGGTGCTTGCGAGCGGAGAAGTTCGACAATGAATGACTGCTCGGACAGGAACTCTGCAGGTATAAGCAGAAAATACGAAGAAGCAATTTCTAGAGCGACGCGCCGAGCTTCTGAGTCCATTCCCAAGGCTGGGATTAGACTTGTTTTGAGGAGACGTAGAAGCTCGGGATGAAGCTCTGATGCAGTCATGTTCGGTATATTGTCTAGTACAGCACGCCATAGGTCAAGCGCATCGGCAAAAAGAGCCATCCTCTCCAACTCGGCAAGATTTGACTCTGGGCTTAGTACGGCGTTAATAATGAATAGAGCGAACTCCTGGTACTGTTTGCTTTCTGTGCCCATGCTACTAAACATGTTGACGAGCAATGTGACAATGACTTGTTTGCGCAATGTCTCGTCTCCAGTCTCGTCCCACAGTGAGGGAAGAAGTGCCACGATATGGTCTGCGAAAGGTGCAATATGCCTACCCATCTGCTCCACAATCGAGCTGATCGTCTCAAGGAGAGCCATTTTCGTTTCCGGAAGTTCGACCTCGGTGATCAGATTCATGACGCGCGATATCAAGTCGGGCGCGTAGTGCAAGAAGGGTTGAACTTCAAATTCCCAGTCTGAAATGATCTCCTTCAGCTGTCTGCCAGCCGTCACCCGCACGACTAGATCATTTAATTCATCGCTCTTGTCAAGCAAATGCAAAAAAATTTGATAGACCAAGGGCCGGTTCTCCTTTGATAGCTGAATGTGCACCCATTTCCCTATAAGTATGGCAATTCGCCTTCTTACGAGCCGGTAGCTGGGATCTCGGTTCTGCAGGTCTGTGATAAGTGGCGGCAGCGAGTCATTAAAGTTATAGCGCGGCTCGTTTTTCTCTGAGTGCACAAAGATTTTGTCTGCGGCAAGGCCTAGAGCGGTATATACCGATTCCTTCTGTATCGCTCCAATTGACGGATTCGACATTGTTATGTGGGCAAGGGATATAATACTGGGAACAATGGCTTCCGTGAAGCGCATCACCAAGTCCAAAAACAACTTTTCGGCTGACAAGCGTACAGAGAATCTATAACCTTCGGTATCGCCACCTTCGGCAGCTTCCCACTCGTCAGGTTCGTCTTCCCATCGTTGCAAGTCACTCGCAGTGAAAACAAAGTACTTGCTCACTATGATCTCCAACAGATTTTGCACCATGGTTGGTGGGAAGAACTCAGAGTGCAAGACTCGTACTACCTGCTCCTTCTGCTCCTTTTCAACATCTGTCCTTGCTCTTATGGCATTTGGATCAGACATGGCTCGTAGAGTCGCGCGAAGCAATAAGATCCCACGTAGTACAAGTTTCTCAACGAGCGACGGCTGGTTGTCAGACAGGCTACCATCACGTTGTTTCCTACCCACACTGGCGAATGAGGAGCCATATGTTTCTGCAAATCGCCGTATGAGGTCGAAGTACGTAGACTGTAGCTGAGCGGAACCAGGAAAGGAAACAAAAGCGACAGGATTGTCCTCCGCGAGTTCTAGGTGCATTTTTGCGAGTTGCAGCAAGACCTTCTCTAGCGCTTTCATGCTTGAACTCGTCTCACCGCTTCCAGCGGGATGCTGCTGTTGGGCACGTGCAAGCCAGAATAACGAGACATTCTGAAAGACCCTCACAGCAAGCTCGTCGCGATGCGGGAACTGATAACCTCTGACCAATATACGACGAATAATGCCTGCTGTTGGTACCAGCAGACCCAAGGCATTGGTATCATCAATACTGAAATTGGCGTCCGAGATGTTGATGAATCGTTCCGAGCATGATTGAAAGATATGGTGGACGGGTTCCAAGAGCTCTGGGGCCTTTTGTCGTAGCGTTGACAATTTCAAGCTAGCCTTTGACAACTCCTTGACGATTATCTGTAGCAACTCCAGCGCTCTTCTCATCTGGAGAAGATGAATTGGGTTTTGGTGATCAAAGCCACCCCCGATTGTAGCGTTTAGGTCATCAAATACATTCGGCCACTCTCGTGGGAAATCAGATCTTACGATCTTGGCCGTCAGTAACGCATTCTGCCTGGCTAGCCGGTCGTCAGGCTCTCTGTAGCTAGCGACCAGAAGCTGAGATCGAATTCTTTGCTTATCGTAGGCGTTGACACCTTGAGTGCTTGCTCTGCCCCACGCATGCTTGTTGATGACCGCATTGAGCAGCTGGAGAATGGCCAGGTAACGAACCTCAAAGGGCAGATCCTGATCCATGAACACAGCCTGTAGGTGAACGTAGAACTGGCTTTGGGATTCCCATTCTTGAAGTTGCTTGGTTGCCGTCTGGAGGTCATTTGTGCCTGCAGATCGACCAGCTCCAAGCGCAAGGTTGCGAATTAAATTGTCTCGACTGAGCGGATTTGCCTCGCCCGGAAGCTCGATAAACTCGCTTTCATAATCCATCTCCACGAAATCCTTTTCTCAGCGGATGGCGCAGAATTTATCAACTTTCGTTACGTTTTGACCCACGTTCGAGCAATGGTAGCTTCTGCGTGGGCAAGACGGAGTGCGCGAGCTCGAAATTTCTGTGCAGAAACCACGCCGGGACCACGAGTCACAAAGCCAGCCGTAAATCCGATTTTGAGGTGTCAGTTGCGTTTTGGATAATAGGTGAAACCATTTGTTTATATCGTCACGGTCACCGACGGGAGAGGCTGCCAGACCATTATTTTGACAACTTGGTCGTGGTAATTTTACGGTTTGTGGTGACTAAGCACGTAACGGATCTCAGAAGTCGGGCCAAGTTAGACAGAATGCGCCACACCTTGTCAAGCCACAGATCCTCTTTCCTGGAGCACTCTCCCCCATACCTCGGCTGATGTGCGCATCTTCAAGGCTGCTGGCTACGTTTCTCATCATCAGGCCATGTTGTCCTCTCCTTCAATTTATCCTTGACCACCTCCTTCTCTTTTGTTCAATGCTGCCCTCATAATATGCCCGCCGCTGACTTCGCCGCCGCCCAGCGCCGGCTTCATGAGCGGCGCCAGCAGCGCGAAGCAGCCATCCGCGCCCAGCAAGAGCAAGCCGCCGCCGCACGCGCCGCCGCAACACAGAGATTACCATTCCCTTTGCGAAACTTGGGTTCTGTCAGTCTCGCATTGTGGGACAGCATTAAGGGTCGTGAGGGTACCAAACCTGCTTTCCGCGTTGGCCAGGTCGACGCCGAGCTGTTGGACGAAGAGCTCCTGGAATTGTTGAAGGGACGGGTCGGAGAGGCGCTCAAGTACTATGGAAATCAGCTCCATTCTGACTACAGTGCCGAAATACTATTGGTTCTGAGGGCGATACTCTTTAAACTCTCCATATGGGATCACGACGCCAGTTACGGAGCCAGCCTGCAAGGTCTTCGATACACTGACGCACGTGAAAAGTCGTTATCGCGGCCACCACCCAAGAAATGGCAAAAAGCCGTGTACGGGCTCATAACCGTGTTCGGACGCTACGGCTGGACGAAGTGGGCCGCCTATCTAACGGAACAGGAGGGCGGATATGACGAACCCTCCCTGCTCATGCGGCGCCTCTCCCATCTGACGACTCGATTGTCGACCGTGCACAGCATCGTAGCGCTATTTTCCTTCCTAACTTTCCTCTATAACGGTCGCTACCGGACAATTCTCGACCGCATTCTGCGCCTCCGCCTGGTGCCGACAACAGCGCACACTAGCCGTGAAGTCTCCTTCGAGTACCTAAACCGACAACTCGTATGGCACGCATTCACTGAATTTCTTCTATTCTTGCTCCCTCTCGTTGGTGTCTCCCGATGGCGGCGCATCCTTTCACGAGCTTGGCGACGTGTTATCGCCTCCTTCAAGCGCTCCTTTGGCAGTAGTGCCGAAGATGACGAAGATGCAATACCGAAAGGGGAGCTTGGGTTTCTCCCCGAGCGCACCTGTGCGATCTGCTATTCAGATCAAAATCCAATCGTGGGCGCTGGCAGCGAGGCCGACATTTTGGCGGCCACTACAGGCGGTGGAGTCATTGGCAGTGCACAAACAGACATAACGAATGCGTATGAGGCCGTACCGTGCGGTCATATCTACTGCTTTGTGTGTCTTGCTCAGAAGATCGAAGCTGAAGAAGGCGAGGGTTGGACGTGTCTTCGTTGCGGTGAGATCGTCAAGGAATGTAAACCCTGGAACGGAGATGTTATTGAGGAATCGCCCCGTCCAGGAAGCGCGAAGAGTGTAGGGTTCACCAGTGGAGGGGCTGCAGACAGGAAAAGCGACCAGAAGAACGCACGTATCGAGGAGGAGCAAGAAGAAGAAGGCGAAGGAGAAGAAGAAAGTCTTGCTGAAGTAGACCCCATGCCAACCGACGATGAAGCCCGGACGGATCGCGGGATGGACACGAATGGTTTCATTAGCACCACCAGTCTCGGATTTCATAGCACTGATGGGCTTGGTGAGAGTAGCGAGTGGGCTCGCGCAAGTCGCATGACAGATGGACAGGATTACGAGAACCACAATGGGAGCGTTGTTGGTACCGAAACAGGGACTGAACCCGAGACAGAAACTGGTGCCAGCACGTTCGACAGCGATGAGGATGATGCTAGCGAAGAGATGGACGAAGAGATAGAAGAGATGGAGGGATTTGATTGAGGTGACTGCCGAGCGAGACATTTATGTGCAGTACGCACATGTGTTCTCAACGGGCCATTCTCTTTTCGCAATGCAGATGTCGCAACAGCTCAGAGTGGAGCCATCTCACAACAGCACTATGCAATCGTGCATACCTTTTGGTCGACCAGCACATAATGGCCAACTTTTCTGCTTTAGCAGATAACAAGCGCGCTTTTTCGCGCGAAGCTTGTGAAGCATAGAGGACAGTAATGGATTGCCCAAGCATAGTGACTCATTTGACTGTCGAGAATGAAGGAAGGAAAGCGGCTTGAGCGTGATCTTCTAGCCGTTACATCCGCTGCCAATGATTCCAGCGAAATATGTTTCTTGCATAAGCAAATAAAAGTCGGTACCTTCAAGCATTACTAATATCAAAGTGTTGTAACACTTCTTCATGCTATTCTATACAGGACCTGCGTATTCACGTCTGAATGGGTATCGTCATCTATCGTGTAAGCCTCAGCTGTATCGCTGTGTTCAACATCTTCCGTTGTTTTATTTCAGAGCTGGTCTTGTTCATCTGACCACAATTCCTCGCAAGGCGACCGGTTCATAAGTCAATACCGATCCTTATAAACATAGTCGTTGCTGTAGTCTTTGTCGGCATTGTCGGAATTTTTTTTCGCACGGTACCTGTCCTCGCTGTAGTTTCCACTCCTATTTCTTCTTGGTTCCTTGTCTGCGATGATGTCTCCACCTATCGCACCAACAAGACCCCCTGCGACTGTGGAGATAAGGTCGCCTTTGCCCAAAGATCGGCCTATGAGTCCTCCCGCAACCGCGCCGGCAAGGCTAGCGCCCAAATAATAGTCTCTCGATCTTCGCTTGTCTTGGCCGTAGGTTCTGCTGCGGCTGCGGGCATGGCGTCGGAATGAACTGCGGTCCTGAGGAGCTGCACTGCGCGCACGTCGGCGGCGCGGCAGGCTAGACCCAGAATCTGTACCCTCACACCTCAAGCGAGCATCGTAGCTTCTTTGCCTTCGAAGGTAGTTTGGCGAAGGTTCGCGCAATGAATAACCACGGCTTTCCGAGCGGCGTTGGTCCCGTTCAATGACAGCACCTGCTTCAGATGCACGATAACGTCCACGGCTGGTTCTGTGGTCCAGAGAAGCAGTGGGGGAGATTCCGTGGTCATCTCTGGGTTGCGGCTGGAAGTATGTGCTCCGTGGGACTTGCGGAGAATATGCTACACGCGCATCGCTGGGCAACTCGCTTGGATAAGGCTGCGATCATTCTTTAGCACGTTGGTTATCCACATGAGGATAGTCAGGAAGACAAAATTACTCGGCTCATCCTGACCTCTGTGAGAGGGTTGATCCTTACTTTACGAGACGAGTCCGGATCGTCGCTGCCAAAGCGATCTCGCTCACTAATGTTCACTGGCCCACGGTGACTCTCTCGAAATCCGTGGTCAAATCTGTAGTCATCACTGTACGTACTCTGATCGACAGGATGAGGCGAATTTTTGCCGCTTCCTCGGTCGCTGGCCTTGTCTTTCTTGAAACCTTGTGGACGCTCGTCTTTAGCTGGATCATATATCTCGGCCCTCTCGCCTTTATTTGGGTTCTGCTCTACATAGACGGACTTTTGACGGCCGGGAAGGTGAACCTTTTTCCATACTTTTCCCGCACTGTCGGTTGCAGTGTCATATGCTCGGTCATGGTATTTGTCCACGAGCCGATCAAAACCTTCCAGGCCAAGTTCCTATACTCCTGTGAGCAAAGCACAAAATGATGTCTTCCTTGTGCTCACGATTAGATTCTCCGCCATCGAAGCTCCCACAACTAACTTTCTGGTGTCTTTACCACTCAGTGGCGGCCTACTTCGATCTGCTAGAGGGGGCGAGAGCGATAAGTTGGCAGGCGGCTGAGGTTTGGCGATTGACCTTACGGAGCAAGAATGCTTAAACCTGGAATAAGAATATTGAGAAGAGTGCGCAGAGAAAGGTAGAGAAGATATTTGATAGGAAGGGTGCAGAATAGGTCTGGCGGAGAAACTGCTATTTATCTGACTGCTGCAATCGGAAGCAGGCAATGTAGAAATATGTGTCTGAGGATCCGAACTTAAGGGCGTCAGCGTATCGGGCCATACCAGTTCGGAGATACAGATCTCGGTCGCGGTGTCGAGAAAGGACGCCGTCGGCTCGAAATCGAGACTCACAGGGTCGAGTTCCAACTTGAACGTCTCGACTTGCGTCTGTTGTAGTTGTGGTTGCTAGTGCAGTCAAAGAAATGGCCGGGTAATGGTCCGAACGGGGATGTGCTTGTCTAGGTGAGAGCAAGGACTGGAGGTTAAGATGGAGGCGGGCGAGGTTCCAGAACGACTGTGTAAATGAATCTTGCAATCATAACCGGTTGCCCACTGGCGGCCGATGTCTGCTGGTACTTGCCGCAGCCAGCCAGACCTCGTGGTCGCTCGTATGCGCCTGCGTCTCGGCCTGCGTCATGGGTGTCGTTCGACGGCAACGCGGCGTGGAGGTCGCAAATCTGCACCCACTAAGGCATGACCATCGAAAGACTCCACCTTATCGAGGCCGAGCGATTCAACCACCTGCTGTATACCGAATTAGAACGGCTCTGGATGGTCCACCCCGTTCCTTCGTCATCATGACCGCAGTGTCCGACTCCATCATTTTCCGCAACATCTTTGCGACGCCAGAATCCACTGCCATATGGTCTGACGAGCGGCGAACCGCATATTATCTGCTCTTTGAGAAATGTCTAGCTGAAGCGCAAGCTGATTTAGGCATTGTTCGTTTCCGCTTCGAGACGACAGTCCTGCAAGAGCTCTAATGGCAGCAGATTCCACAGAAAGCGTGCGATGAAATCGTCAAGCGCTGCAAAACCGAATACCTCGATTGGGAGGAGCTCCGCAGACAGACCGAAATAATAGGATATCCCGTTCTGCCCGTTGTCAAGCAGCTTGTGAAGGGGGTCAACGATGTTGAACCGGGACTTGGCGAGTACTCGCACTGGGGAGCAACGACGCAGGATGTCACCGACACGGCTACCGTGCTACAGATTCGGGACACGCTGCAAATTCTTCAAGACGCAATCAACGACATAGTAAAGTCTACGAGAATGCTTGCGGGAAGGCACAAGGAGACGCCAATGGCCGCCCGCTCAAATCTGCAACAAGCTGTGCCCATCACCTACGGCTTCAAATTAGCTCGTTTGTTGGCAACCTTTTATCGCCACCAACAACGTTTGAACGAACTACGCGAACGCATTTTGGTTCTTGAGTTCAGTGGAGCCGCGGGCACTCTCGCCACATTGGACAAAGACAATGCCATGAAGTGCCAAAAGCTTTTGGCAGAGAAGTTGGGTCTAAAGGTCCCTGCGATAGCATGGCATACCGAACGCGACAACATCGCGGAGTTTGGTGCGTTTCTAGCAATGCTCACGAGTACGTGTGCAAAGTTTGCACTTGACACCAAGATACAGATGAGCACCGAAGTTGGCGAGGTTTCGGAGCCATACGTTCCACATCGAGGGTCTAGCTCGACAATGCCCCAGAAGCGAAACCCGATCTCGTGCGCGTACATCACGTCCATGAATGCCACCGTCCGCCAGCTGAGTGCTAGTCTGTTCGAGGCCATGGTGGAGGACTTTGAGCGTAGCACCGGGCCGTGGGAGATCGAGTGGGTTGTGCTCCCTCAGATCTGCACGTTAAGCCATGCTACCTTGATGCAAACACGCAATCTGATTGATGGGCTGGAAGTGCATACCGATGCGATGCGCAAGAATCTGCAGCTCACACACGGAGCCATAGTAAGCGAGGCGGTCATGATGGAGCTCGGAAAAACGATCGGGCGACAGTATGCTCATGATCTGGTCTATGACCTCTGTCGTAGAGCACAGCGTGAAGACAAAGCACTTGTGGACTTGCTTGATGAGCACCCGGAAGTCAATCTCACACGAGACAGGCTTCAGCAGCTCTGTGATCCGAACAATTATCTCGGTCTGAGCGTAGAGATGACCGAGCAGGTATTGGAGCAGCTAAAGTAAGCCACGCGTTGAGATTACGCCTGTTGTGATCCTTTGATCATAAGATGCCGCCTGAGGACAGTTGGTTTGCACGATGGGCGTAAGTGCCGTTCACAACGTAAGACAAAAGGCGCCTCACGACAGGAATGTTGCAGGTTGCTGCGTTGAGCATGCTTTTAACATTTGACGGATAAGACTCCGCTAGCAAGTGAAATACAAGCTTTCGATACTTTTCTAAACATGACATAGCTCCCGAATCAGTCGAACTCCGGATCGACTTCTTTTTTCGCCTTAGCTTTATTTCTCTTGTTGCCTTTAAAATGCTTTTTACTATTCAGCCTCAGCTCGGATGGATCCACGTCCTTTTCAAGCGCCATAATCTCCCTCATTTTTCTCCCAGTCAACTGCTTGCGTCCCTGCTCAGTATACTGATGGTGGAAGGGCTTTTTCATCACACCATGGCCTTGCCCCCTGGCAAAAAAGCTTTTGTCTAGCTGCGCCGACTTTTGGCCCTCAATTGGCAAAGCAATCATATCGTCACTGGCCATCAGCGAGGGGTTGACAGAACCGGCTGTTGATGCTGCTTCCAAACTTACGGCCACAGCCTCTCTCCTCTTCGGTGGCAGATGCTCCAGATCGTAGAGCTCACGATTGAAATATTGAGGATCAATTGGTGGATCTTTGGGTGGAGGGTGGCAGAACAATAACTTCCCTTTCACGTAGTCCTTGAGAACATATCTAGCTGCTCTGGATTCATCCGGGATGCCCATTCCCTGCGTTGCAAAGCCTCTCGCCTTTGCATATGCACGCAAAAGTTCAGACGCTGTGGGAACACCAGTGCCACCCTCCTCGAGTGGTCGCACATGTATTTTCATGCCATAGATAGCCTCCAAAAATGGCTGTGGTATCCTTTGAGCCACTAACGCAGCTGGGCCACTGTATTCGCGGAGCTGGTCGATGGGCAGAACACCTGAGCAAACGAGTTCCGCCTTTGTTGTTGCGAAATTAGGAAATACAAGACCGGGACAGTCACAGAGAATCACCTGGTCGCTCAAGTGTATCGTCTGGAAATGCTTCGTCTTTCCTGGAGTGGCAGACACGGATACCTTCTTCGCACCAATGAGGGCATTTATCGTGGATGATTTGCCGACGTTAGGATAACCGACTAAGCCAATCGTCGTTTTTCGCGCTTTCTGGTCGGGTCCGGTGTCAAGTTTGGGCGCATGCTCCAAGAAAAGTACTTCGAGATCATCAGTGGTCAATATGCGTGTTCGCTCATGACTTGATAGCGCTGAACTCTTGCTTGGCTCATCCGTGGTCCCTGCTTTTGAGCGGTCCTCAGCATCCTGTTCACTTTCATTCAGGTCGATTTGCTTAGTGCCCTCAAGTAGTTCTTTTTCCGCTGACCCCGTGTTATCGGCAACCTCGTCTTGTAAGGACGAGGAGGAAGCATCGTCATCATCATCATCTCCTTCTTCTCCATTGCCGAGACCTCTCGCTTCATTCCTTTCTCGTGCAAGTTCCGCAGAGAAAAACCTGAAGTTGATATTGTTCTCGACAAAATAATCTGCCCAAATCTGCCGCTGCTCCAACGTCATCATGTCCGCCTTGTTGACTAGCAGAAGGTTCGTCTTCTTCGCATCCACCTCTTTGACATACTTTTCAAGATCTTCACACCTGAACAAGAGTGGATTTCTGGCGTCTACAATCTGCACGATCAAGTCCGATCGCTCGATGACTCGCCACAACTGCCGCCAAACTTCCAAATTACGCTCAAATGGAGTCAAGAGCAGGTCGTTTGACTCTTGCAGCTCTGCCAATCCTCTGCGCCACTCCAAGAGTGATTCCCGCTCTCGCGCATCAAGCTCCTGAGGAGTAGTGTCTTCGTCCCAGTGGGGTCTTCGAGGTACTGTGAGTCGTGACCTGTTCTTGTTATGCTTCTTGACTGCTGCTCGCTCCTCCGTAGCTGACAAGAGGTACGGGTTTTTCTGGTCTGAGTGGATGATCTTTACATTGTTAATTTTTTCTGCGGTGAAATCTGTGCCCGCCAGCTCCGCCGTAGACAAGAACTCGTCCAGCGCAGCTTGCTCCGTGACAGAGCGCATCTTGACCCATGATGCCTCTTTCTTATCCGGCGTGATATAAGTCTCTCCAGTGGCGCCGGTGCGCTGAATGCCTGCCTGGAAGTTGCCCCTCCGCATGTCAGCGCCTTTCCCTTTGCCAAAGCGATCGTTCATGAGGCTGTTGCCCAGTCCCACGGCATTTTTGGACTTTGCGAGAGGCATTTTGACTCTCTGCTGGACCAGAAGTTTGACTGATTAATTGTTGGGCAGATTTAAAATCGCAAACGGCGGCGCCAGTGTTTCGAACTTTTTGTTGCCCGATGGCGGAGACGTCATATTCGAGATTGTGGCTTGTACCCATCACGTGCGTTTGAAGGACACATGCAAGGCTGTGGGTTCTAATGTCGTTGTAAGTTGGATTATAAAGAGCGAAAAGTCTTAGATGTCTAGAATCTCAGAGTCTCATGTGTTAGTATAGCCGTGCAATCCTATGAGATCGCTGCTGAGCCTTACTGCTAAAGCTCCCTTAGCCTTGCGATGCCACATACTCAATGGAAATTGCTTACTCAAGATGTCTTGAAACGTTCGCAACAGCTTTCCTATACAATGTTTGACAACTTGTACAATGTGAAAAAACTTTGCATCTCTAAGATTGTCTCACTATATTTTAGATTACGGCTATACTGTTTGCGAGGTAGTGAATCTGGAATCACATCGCAAGATTGAGTCCCACTGAACAGAGACCTCAGTATACCACGAGATTCAACGCAGTCAACTACGCTATCTCCGGGTTCACGATCGTTCCAATAAATCACAGAATTGCCTGCAAATTCAAAGACCTAATCACTGTGATCACTTGAATTAATGAAACTGAATTTCAAACGCATGGTAGCGACTTCGATAATTTTCGACTTTACTGCTAGGATCATTGGCGCTTCTGCTCACCTGGAAACGTGATTTCGGGGCTGTTTTCTCGCTGCGTTGCCAGACTTCAGAGTTCTTGCAGTACCTCAGATACCAGCTGGAAACGCCTCAAACGTTTTGTCCTGCTGCCGCGGGTTCTGCAAAAGCCCCGCGTGGTTGACACTTGACAGGATCACACTGAAACTTCATCTGCCAGCTGAGAAAATGTGATCTATGCTTGCTACCTGGATTTTCTCACACCGGGACTTCGAGGTTACTTTCTAAGGTTACCTCACAATGAACAGAACCAGCATCCATTTCTGTTCAGGCACTTTCATTGTTTCAAGCTTTTGCATATCCCTGAATGTGATTTTGGATGCAAACAAGAAACCGAATGGGTGTCCACAGCTATGCTCCGGGTTTCTGGCAGTCAAAAGTAAGGGAGACGACACCAGAAGCATGGCGCTTGTGCTGTTTCAGAAGCATGCACCGTCAACGTGGTCCATGAAACTTTTTCGTAGTTGTTGGTTGGAGCAGAGTCAAGACCTCGCCGTTTCTTGTCATCTGAAAGGCCCCTTAAGCTTTCCGGATTCTTGCACAAACATGCGTCTATAATGCGTGTGCGACTTTTATATATATATATATATATTTGATTGATAGAAATCACAACGGGTCCTAACAGATTTATCAGGTCAACGTAGAAAGAAATTCATCGTCGCGCCACAAATTAGATGCGGATTTTCGGTCAACCCAGCCTGTGAGGTGCTTTTCCAAGTCAAAATTTGCCTGCCTCTTTTGTGGTCCACAGTCCGCAATGCATGCGGCACGAAGCGTGATCGGCTGCACAGACACCTATTGATCCGTAGAACTATCCATTTCAGCTCAGAATCTAACCATGTTCAGGCGCAGACAGAATCAGGCTTCTGCTACACGCGGAGACGAAATCTAGTGGTTCATCAAAACAAAGCCTAGCTGAGCATCAGCTCTCACAAGAGAAGCTTCCGGATTCTAAGGCGCTCGATCTCTGCATAACACGTGTTGTACCTGCTGGCCGGAGAAGGATGCCGCCTTTGGTCTCATGTTTCCGTGAAAACTCAGAAGTGTTGAAAGCAGATATCCATTAAAAGCTGATACGGCTCTCAATTTTTTGCTCAACAACTGAAGAGTACGTACGCTGGATGTTCAGAACTTGTGGTTGAATATCTTACCGAAAGTAGACTCGTGCAGCCGAGGCATGGCCAAGAGGGGTATCCTCCTTTTATGCTATCCGAGCTAGCGAAGCCAAAGTTACTGCTTCCATCGAATCTCATCAAAGCCTATCGTTCTGCCCCTATAAACTGTTGAGTACTTTATAGTCATAGTGCAATTAGCTGGTTGTACGAGAATCTCTTGACCACTCTTTCCTCGCTTACGAGAATTCATGCCATCATGCCCCCAAATCCGGGAAAAATTATCGATAGCAAAACAGGGGAGCGAGTCCCCTGGGAGAAGGCTTCAATATACGATCGTGTAAATTACTTTCTCGAGACAATAAGAAATACGCCAAACTACAGCGTCAGTATGCACTCGCCACCAGCTCGTGAAAATCATGTTCACATGTTGCAGTTCTTCGATGCCCCCCTTGGCAGAGCCGTCAAGCTCCGTTCTATCAACGTTTCGCCTACGGACCCAAGGATAGCAACCGCGGTTTGGGAGCTCGACGTGTTGCCCGAGCTCTGCAACCAAACTGGCAACATGCACGGGGGCGCCGTCGCCATGGTGCTCGACAATCTGACGTCCTTGCCGATTGCTGCTGTCTCGTCCAAAGGCTTCTGGGACATGGGGCACGTGAGTCGAACCATCAACTGCACGTATCTGAGACCTGCCCCTATGAATTCGAAGTGCACGGTTGAAACGGAAATTGTGCATCTGGGGAAAGGAGCTGGGATGCTGCGAGGGGTTATAAAAAACGCGGAGGGAAAAGTATGCTACACGTGCGAGCACGGTAAAGTTGGATGGAGCTCCGACCCAAAGTTATGAATCTGCCTTCGCAGCTGCAGTGCTGGAGACGGCAACCATACAACTTTAGCGAGTTCTTTAGTTCATGTTGGTCTAGACGCGTGTGCTAGCGATTTTGTTGTGTAAAACCTAAGACATAGAGATATCTTTAGACACTCTTCGGGTAGGTAGGAAAGAGAAGGGGCGGGGGCGGGGGGGGAGGGAAGTACGCAGCTCTCGTGGCAAACGCGTTTTTCTTTAACTCCAAAATAGATTTTGTGACAGACGGGATATGTCGACGTCCCACATGGTGCCTTGACTGCTGAGCAGTCGGACGAAAGTTGCGTACGACTGCCGCGTAATTGTGAACAACGTGCATCCGATATATGGTTCCCAGCTGTTGCAGGAGACATCGCTTACATACTTGGCTGCTTTCCTTTCTTGAGGCGGATTATTTGCTTCTTCGAGACTTTTGCTAGCAGCGTGGGTGTACCACTTAGCGACCAGCATTGGCGTTCTGGTCACCGTGGGATCCAAGCCAACGGAAGGCTTGATCCCTGGCCGTCCTTCTGATGCAAGACAGATGCAAGCCATGCGCCATCGAATGTGCCAATCTTCCTAGAACCTTCCCACAAGCACCGATTGGAACTGCGCTCAGGAGTAGCCAGGAACCATGTCAGCTTGGGCGGCTTGTCGGGTGAGTGCTAGGGTGCGGTTCTTTTTCAAAGCAAAGACGACCTGTCCCAAGACGATTGCTTTTGCGCCTGAACGTGAGACTCCAACGGACCAGCCCTCCCACTCGTCGTGCGGCATGCAAGAAGGAGTGGTGACAGGCTAGCAGCCCTACTGAATGGAGAGCAGATGGGAGACCAGGCCGTCATCGCGCGTGGAGAGATCGTCCACTGCTGATCACCGCGCTTCTTCGCTCGCGCGCGTTTCCACAGCATTGTTCCGAGACGCTCGCGATTGACCCACGCCGGGGGGGCCGGTTGCACGCCGTCGAATGCAGAGTGCTGGACGGAGAGCTCAGCGCCGTACAGAGACGGGAGGGTCGCCCAAGATGGAAATCTCAGAAAGATGGCATCTGGCGGGCGGCGCAGTGTCGAGCAACGAAACGGCGCTGCGACAAATCAGACGTCTGCACGTCCACACGTGCTTGCTCGGCCCCGACAACCTCTCGACCCCAACGGTCTGGTTCGACGTGCCCGAACGCACGCCGCCAACGTGCACTCTCGCGCGGAGCGATGGCATGCTTGACGTGAAGAAACATGGCCCAGGGAGCCAATCGCACTGGTCGCAGGCCATCAAAACGCGCTAATCGTCGCCATCACGGAGGCAATATGGCGTTGGCGTTTTGGCTACGGGCGTGGGCGGAGTGGGATCCTACCGTCTCTCTGGAACGTACGAATTCCCAGACGTAGAGTCGGCCGCATGTCGAGTGCACGCCGGGGCCATTGTTGTGGACTGACGGGAGCCTTATTACGACACCCGCTTTCCTGGTGCGAGCTCTCCTTCTCCGACAATCTCTCATCCTGCATCAAAGCGCACGTCGTTGCGAACACGGCCTTTCTGGCCTTGGCTGAACACCGGTTCACGGACCATGGCGGGCGCTGTCAAGATCGGTGACTGTCTCATGCTCTCGCAGAAGGCCTGGAAATGCAGCAGATCCTTTACCGGCCCGAAGAGCACTCCCCCGGAATTCAAGGAGATCGAGCACGAACTCGCGCGCCTTGCCAAGTCGTTGAAGCTCCTCGCGGAATGTATGTTTGCTGAAAAGGCCGAATCGTTGCTGGCTGCTGCAGGAGACGGCACCAAGAAGGGCATCTCTCTCATTCTCGACTACTGCAAGTACACATTGACCAATTTGGAAAGCCTTATTGAGCAGTACCAAAACCAAGACTCGGAAGGATTCTCTGTCCAGAAAACATGGAGCGATCTCGTTCTTGCAAACTACAAGCAATTCATGTGGACTGTGGATGGGGGCAGCATCTTCATCCTGCGGGACCTGCTGCACATGCACGTGTCAACCACTGCGATTGTCCGGCAGGCTCTGGAAAGGTCGGGCGCAACTCCGGAGTGCAATTGGCCGTTTCACTGATGTGTAGTTACAGCAACTCTCGCGATCGAGTCGAATGGACCGTCTCGCCCATAGCTGAACGCATTCAGGCCATGGCAACGCAGGACGACCGCGACACGAGCGAGCAAATCGAAGGTATCGAACGAATTGTTCAATCATTGCTGGACCAGTCTCCCACTTTGGGCGTGGCTTTCGATCGAGTCAATTCTGTGGGCAGCGACCTCTCTCTCCCCAGCATTGGCCTAGGCAGCCAAAGGGGCCCCGGAAACTCTACCAGAGCAAGCACGCCTACTCGCACGGCGACACCGAGTACACTTAGCAATGAGTCCCAGCCGGACAGCTCCAATCTGTCCCGAGCTGGAACCATCTCCCAGGGAGCGCCTCCATTACGTGCGCCTAGCCGAAACAAGGAACTCAGGACACTAGAGATCCGCTCGAAGACCTCGGTTCCTTCAAGTATCGCGTCGTCGTATTATTCGCCTACGACGAGCCCGGACACGCTCTCTGGTTCCGAGCTGGCGCCTTCGGAGGCTGGCATGTGGGAGAACACCTCCAGCGTCGGATTTCCAAGTCCGCACTTGCCAATCAAGTCCACACGAAGACACTGGAAGCCTCCAGACACTCGTCAAGTGGCGGGCAAGTCGCTTCCGGCCGTTCCAAAAACCGTCATGGTGGAAAGGGCTCGGACGGAACAAGCGCTATCAATGCCAGCTCTTCCAACGCCCCCTGACTCCGACGTTGAGCACAAGGTGAACTATCCGCTCCTACATCAACGTCAACGCGCTCCATCTGTGGCTGAATCAATTGTGCTACCGCCTTCCGCGTGGGAAGACGACAACGCAACCATCAAGGACACGTCCCAGTATTCGTTGATGCCGTCTTCTGATGCTGAAGCCATCATGCTCGGAAAACACATGAGCACCATCAGTCAGCAAGAAAATTTCGAGAAGGAAGTGTTCAAGAACTCCGCCATCTACTGCGACTTGTAAGTGAGGAAAGATCAAAACGTAGCGTATCAACTCTAATATTGTTTTTCTCTCTCAGGCGGGCCAAGCAAGTAGAATTTGTGCTACCGTCCAAGGACGAGTCGAGGCCGCACGAAACCCGGTTGGAGTCGGCCATGAGGGATTGTCGTATCTGTCTAGTAAGAAGGCGGGAGACGTACAGCAACGGAGAGCCTCGGTTCACAACGTCCATCTGGGCATTCAGCGACGACAGGACGATGAGACTTCAGCAGAGCATCCCGGACGGCGAGGAGCTGGTTCCGTTTCCGTCGTACTTTCAGGACGAAAAGATCTCCATCACGATTCCGACCGATCTGACGTTCCACAGCCTCACGTACGGAGCGCCACCCATCCGGACCGAAAGGTCCAAATGGGTCAACTACATCTTTGAAGACGAGGCCGCGGCGACTACGTTCGGCAACGCGCTGTTCGGCAAGACGTTGCTCGACAACTTCAAGACGGAGAAGACGACGCGGCTGCGCGACGGCATCAAGGGTGCGATGGCGTATCAGGAGCAGATGTGCGGCATGGAGAATCTCCGACTCTGGTCGCAAGAGCCCTCCGGCGCCGTCCTCGCCATGATCCACTTTTCCGCCATGTTCAGGAAAGGGTGGCTGCAGTTTGTGATCAACGACAAGGACCAGCCGATCAAGGTCAAGGACGACGGCGGCAAGGCTGTCAAGCTGAAGGGACTGCGCATTCCGGACGGAGAGTACCCGGAAGAGCTGCGGAAGAACAAAAAGTCCAAGGACGATCTGAAAAAGTACATCACGGGCGCAAAGGTCGAGTTCAAAGACGTCGCTGAGAAGTACAGATTTCTCACCGTGGTGAGGGAGTTACAGATCAGCGCTGTCACGCTCGGTGCGAATGGCACCCGAGAGATGGATTAACGGAGCGACGACTGTGGCTAGCGATGCTGCTCTCTGTTCACACTGTCATGACCGGGCGGAGTTTTGGAACAAACTTTCATCTTCTGGTACGATTCCCCAAACCGTTGCGACATCTCTCTCTCTCTCTCTCTCTCTCTCTCTCTCTCTCTCTCTCAAGCCTTGTGTATTTTGCGGCACGTTTAGTAGCAAGTCCGCTGGATGTACTGTGTATTCTACTTACTTTTGCCTCATGTTTAGAAGGCCCGCTAGCGCTAGCAATGTCAAAAACAATCCATCTGCATCCGCTCAACAGGTGGAGTCACGTTCGTCCTCGACAATTTCTTTTCTTCATATGGGCCGCGGCTCCGCTTGTTTCGTACGACGTGGCTTAGTTTTCCACGATTCGGTTTTAGCTTAATGCGGGCATCATTCTGGTTTTCCGCGAGGTATGTCCCACGCATCTATTCGACGATGGCGCCTTGCATCAAAGCCAGCCTTGCCCGTGGCTCCCGTCCTCTAGCCATAAGTGGCGCGATTGGCGTCTACACAGTAAAGCAGCGCTCCTGCAATGCCTTTTTTTTTTTTTGCTTTATTTTATCAAAAATAAAAAGCATGTAGAATTTCCCATCCTTTCACCGCTCCTCCGCCTGCGCGTTTAATTTCTCCACCACTGCCACCGCCAGCTCTTCCTCCGTGCGTTCCAAGACGTACATGTAGTGTGACGTGACAGGCCTGTGCACGAAAGCAAACGTGTCTCTGAAGTTCTCGGGTATCTTTTGCTCGGTCTGTATCTCCTTCTGACGTCTCAGTTTCCAATATCGGTTCGGATCTGGAAAGCCGTCTGGTAACGGATCCGGGAAAGGCGCAAACAGCGTAGGGAGGAAAGGGTACCGCTCCTTGGAGTAAGAGAGCGATATCCAGCGTGCTTCTGGCGCGCTGATTACAGCAAGGTTGAGAGCCAGGATGTGGAGGGGATGGACCTTGGTCGTCCGTACTGCCGAGCCGTCCTTTGATGATGATGTACCGACGCGTACATCAGATGATGGAGAGATATTGATGCGGACGTCTAAACCACAGGCTATGGCGTCGGAGGTGCTTTTGTCGACAATGAGCCGGACGGAGCGAGGACGGGCAACCGAGAGTAGCGATGACAGAGAGAGCAAGGACACGCGTGACCACCGCATCGTTGGAAGCTGTGATCTCGTCTCGTCCGCCTGATCGACCTCTTTCTCCTTTCTTTCGCCCCAGTCCACGGATTCCTGGCTAAAGTCGACATTGTGTATCACGTACCTTGGGCCCATGAACGTTTTCAGATGAAAGGACAGCATCGACGTGCCGGGCCCAATGTGCAGCACAGGTCTGGTAGACGTGACACAGTCATCGCCGTCGTGATGATCATGGTCACCGTCATGTTTACGAAAGGCGTCTAGTTCTTCGTCAAAGCACGACTCCGGCAACAGCCATTCAAACGACTGAGGGTTATCCTGGAATCGCTTGTCCCAATACTTGGCGCTGGAGAAGGACGGCACCTCCTTGGACATCTCAACTTTGTTGCAGCCCTGCAAAACGACAAGACTAGGCACCTGGCACTGCTTTTTTTTCGAGGAAGACGGCCTATGAAGGGGAAACTTGGCAGATCAACGGAGGACAAAAGGCGCGCAAAAAAATGTGCGACTTTCATGCGACGCCAAAGTCAAATCCAGCTCTGCGTCCGAAAACGGCAATTGCACCATGCCCGCTAATTAGGCTGTGTAGTATGTACATACGGCGACGTACGTTACAGCCGTTCCCGCATAACGCGGAGTCAAGTCTGCAAAACGGAACAAAAGCAGACCTTCCACGAATTATGACATGCACCGATTGACGGCGTCGCTCACACATGGGGGAATGCTGATCGAAGTGTCGCACGGCGAAGCTCCAAGAACAAGCCAGCCCTCTTTCCTGAACTGGCTTAGAATAGAGCGGCCATGGCTCCGCACACAAGGTGTTGCGAACGTTGCTGCTGCGCCGGCTCAGGACGGTGAGGATGAAGAATCTGATGCCTTCGCTGGTTTTGGAAACGCAGCGAAAGGACAAGGATAGAAGCTCAAATACGCGATTAGGAATACTGCGTCGTTGGTCAGCAGCTGGAGGTGGCGAAGCAGCGGAGGACGCCCCAGGGCTTCCGAGGATGTCCCACTCTTCGTCATCCGCCCAAACATCCATGACAGCTATATTTGCATGAAGCATTTGCCAAAACATTTAAACACGCCCAGAGCGCGCACCCCCTTCCTCTCCTCGCCTCTTGCTCGTCTCATACACGCGCTGCCGCATTTCTCACAATCGTGCAAGCAAAGCTCCTCGCCGGCCTGTCGCTCGTCGGGCTCGCTCTACACTACTCTATGCCCTCGTTCTTGTCGCAGCTGATCCGCCCGTTCTCGTCTGCACCACTCGCCGCCATGAACGTTCCTGCCGGTGCACAGCTGGCCACCGTGGCAGCTGGATGCTTCTGGGGCGTGGAACACATGTACAGGAAGGCCTTCAAGGACAAGGGCCTCATCGACGCCAGAGTGGGCTACATCGGAGGGGACACAGAGAATCCTAGTTACCGGGCCGTGTGCTCTGGCCGAACAGGACGTACGTGGTTGCAGTTTTCCCCGATGACATTCGGCCAGGAGACCGGCGGCTGACGTTCAAGCCACAGACGCAGAAGCTCTGCAAGTCGTGTACGACCCTACCAAAGTGACGTACCGGGACCTGATCGAGTTCTTCTACAAAATGCACGACCCCACCACGGCGAACAGGCAAGGCCCCGACGTAGGCACCCAGTATCGCAGCGCCATCTTCTACCACAGCCCGGAGCAAGAGGAAGAGGCCAAGACGATCACGAAGCAGGTGCAAGAGCAGTGGTGGAAGAACGGCAAGGTCACGACGGAGATTCTGCCGGCGAAGCAGTGGTGGGACGCGGAGACGTACCACCAGCTGTACCTGGACAAAAACCCAGGAGGCTATGAATGCCCGAGCCAGTATGTGACGCTTGAATTTTCCCTTCTTTTTCTTCTTCTTTTTTTTCTTCTTTTTTCTCTTCTTTTTTCTCTTCTTTTTCTTCTCTTTCATCATCATCATCTTCTTCTTCTTCTTCGTCTTCTTCGTCTTACCTGCGCGTGTTGGCTTTCCAAGGTGGGGGTTGTGCTAACAAGACTGGTAGTTTTCTTCGCAACTTCCCGCCACTTTCTTGACGCGACACCACGCGTACAGCGTGGCCTTTGGTGGGATGCTAACAGCCTGGCGTGACGAAGCCGGGCGAGGTTTTGCAATGGGATACCCAGTGTAGTAGTGTGTGTAGAAAAGCAATCAAACGTTTTGCGACTCTTTCGCTCTCGATGTAAGCTGTGATTCTGTTCAATCAACCCGTCCAAGGCGAGCACCGGGAAGGAAGCAAAGGAGATCAGAAAAGGACGAGAAGAGACATGCTGAACCCGGCTTCGCAAACTCCGTATCAGACAGGTGACTGATACAATCGTTCCGAAAGGTTCTGGTATGCACGGAGTATCTGACAAGAGGATGTGGGAGCGTCGGCAAGCGTAGGGCCGTACGCATTCACGAGGGTGGAGCGCTGCGCACATCCGGATCAGAGACCAAGTGCGGCGTAACGTAGTCGGTGTTTTGCGCGCACTCGAGAGAGACTGCCTGGACGGGCCGTACACAGCATGCAGGCCCGTCGTACTGCCGTAAGCAGAGGGCGCCGTCGAGACGCTGCGAGCGGGTCAGGCGAGGAGCCTTCGCGCGGTATTTGGAAGACAGCGAGTGATTTGGAATTCCTGCACGCGGCGGGATTCCCTGCGAAAGGGCGCTGGATGTGGGCCTGCAGCCTGTCGGCGGCGAGCTTGCAGACCATCGGGCCAGCGACGTACGCAGCAGCGCGCCTGGGATGCATCATCTAGGCTGCGAAGACAGGCACGGTGGCGCGAGCACGCAGCTGCACGCCCCGGCCGGCCAGTGTTCGTCCTGCGCCGTCCGATCTGCAGAGGCCGTGGCCGCGTCGGCACATCGCACGACAACGCCCTACAGCGCTGGGGGTGCGCCAGCGGGTGCGCGGTTGGCCAGCGCATGCAGGTCCCGGCCGGCGGTAGCGACGACGAGCGTTCCTGCCCAGGAAATAGCACTTGCCTGTCCAGCACGTCCCGTTCGTTGCTCACGTCCGCGACGGCGTGCGGCTGCGGTGGCGTATGACTCATCCGCTCCCAGAGCTCGACCAGGCTCTCTTGCGGGACCTTTCGCGCGCACCAGTTCGGTCACCGCAACGCTGCCGAACTCAAGGCCTGCGTCGACGCAAATTTCTTTGGCATCCTCTGGCACGCCCGGAGCTGCGTCGACGTGACTTGACGGTGGCGGCAGCTGACTTCGTGCGGTCCCTTGGCTTACATAACCACCGTCCCTTCACTGCACTTAACTTACCCCACCTCGAACCTCTTTTTCCTCTCAGACGTTTGCGCCCCACCGGAGATGCAACATGGCATGCGCCCAGCGCTTTGCTTGTACATCACTCTATTCCTTCGCGATCGGCCGACGATGGCCAAACGAAACGCACCCAGCCCACTCCCGGCTTCGGCCTGCTGTTCTCTCCCTGTTCGACACGATGCAGATTCCGCCCGTCAACCGCCCCGCGCACCGACCAGTAGCAACAACAGTACGGTACACTTCGTTTCTGTTCTCTTCTGTTGTGTATGTAGCATATGCGATCCGGACACCTGGAGTGGCCTGCCCATGAGTGCTTATCGCTCCTGTCCGCATGCTGCGTCCAGCGCTGTGTTTCCGTCCTGGCCCGCACTCGACCTGCCTCCGAGCTAGAGCTTCACTTGTAGCGCATATATAAAGTGACCTTGTGCTCGCACCCGCCGCTTCCCCTTTCCCCTCTCAACCTCTTTTCCTTCTCCTCACTTCCTTGCCACGGACACAATCCCAATCCATCCCACGTCGGTCGCCTCTCACGCCACCTTTCAAACCCCTCTGCCCCTTTCCACAAGCTACGTACATCGCCTCTGCAATCATGACGACCTACACCGGCAAATGCCACTGCGGCGAGACGCAATGGGAGGTCACTCTCCAGCCCGAGCAGGCTTCTCACGTCCTGTGCCACTGCAACACCTGCAAGGCCTTGTCTGGCGGCGCCTTCACTCTCAACCAGATTGTCCCCGCCGACGCCATCAAGTTCACAAAGGGCGGTGACGCCCTCAAGAAGTACACCTACAAGGGCGACTCCGGTGAGTAACACCTGCCGGCCGTACGGTGGACTCGTGCGCGATGTTGGAGCCAAGGCTGCGGAAAAACGCTCGCCGTGCTCGCTCACTGAGACTGACCATGACGGACGATTTGCAGGCCACGACGTCAACTGCTACTTCTGCCCCACTTGCTCCGCCCACCCATACCACCAGCAGACTGTCATGCCGGACAAGATCATTCTGCGCACCGTCCTGCTCGACAAAGCCGCCGACTTCGACGCCGCCGCCGAAATCTACGGCAAGGACAAGCTGAAGTGGGAGAAGGAGCAGGCCCCCGTCACTTTCCCCGTCCTGCCTCCGCAGTAGACTTCAGATCCCCCAACTTTGCAGGTGCCAGTGGGGTTCTGCCGTTGCGGAAGCGGCTGGCCTGGATCGGGCAACTGCTGAGTTTCGGCCACAAAAAGGAGTATGTCCACTGAATATGCTGGGCGCTCGCGCGCCGTCCTATGAAGAGAAAAATAAAAAAAAAATCGGGGCTTCGGATACTTGATTGGGTGGAGTGCAGATTACATGCATGCGCTCTTGCAGGGTCGAGGTGGGAGCATCCCTAGCTACGGTAGCACGGTAGTATAAAGCCTCTCCCAAAATGTCCAGTCTTTAAGCTATCTGAATCCCTTGGTTCCTGCCTCTTTTCCTTTCCCCCCTCGCCTTGTCTGCAGTCCATCTCGTTTTCTTCGCATCCCCTTTCTCGCCCCTTCGTTTTGCGTGGTACCCTGAGCGAAGCTGGGTGGATGGACAGTAAGCGCCGCACAACTGAGCCTGCACGCTCGGCTGTTAGCCCGCGGGTCCGGGAGGCGACTCGAGAGGACGCTCCGGGCTATGTCGAGGCCATGCTGGCGGGATACGAGATGGACCCTCAGTTTGTATACCGTTATCCATATCGAAAGCAGTACCCGGATGACGCCCGCTCAGCCTCAATCGCCGTAGTCGAAGCAGCGATCGAAAATCCAAACACAGTCGTCCTTGTGGCTGAGCTACCCGTCCCGCAGTCTGACAACGAGGCCATCGCTGAGGAGGATTGGAAGATCGCCGCCGTTGCAACGTGGGAGTGGAAAACTCTCGACGACGTCGAGAGTGGAACACGTTAGTTCAAAGCCCCTCTCGCCACGAGTTACCCATCCTCGGCCTCTCTGATATTTATGCTTCACGTGATTAGATCCGCCAGGCTTCTCAGCCGTGGATTCACCTCGCCGTGACATGGATCCCACTAGACAGGCCGAGTTCATCGACGCCATCACCGCCGCCGAGCGGCGATGCTTCGGCCCCCAGTGGGGTCAGCACAGGATGGAGCTCGCCGACCTGGCGTGCCACCCGGCGTTTCAGCGTCGCGGCGCCGCAACTGCGCTGACGAGGTGGGGGATGGCGAAGGCGAGCTTGCAGGGCGTGCCCGTCATGCTGACGGCGAGCCCCATGGGCAGAAAGGTCTACCTCAACCTGGGCTTCAGAGAGCTGGACTACTTCGAGGTCGGCGGTGGCATCGAGAGGATCGGGACCTGGGTCATGGTCTGGACTCCGGACGGATGGGAAGCTCCAAAATGAAAATGAAGTCAAAAAAGAAGCGGAAGAGAAGAAAAGAAAGCGCCTACTCGGCCTCTGTGTCGCGTGTATTCAGACTGTAAAAGAGGCTTGTGGTCATCGCTTCTCCTGGCCTGTTGAGCTGCAAGCAAAAGCTGTGTGATGGGCTGGCCTTCGATGATACTACCGCTGCAAAGCTTCGTTTGGTGCCTCGTCCAAAGCCTGTGCACATTCTGCGTGACTCTTTTCTCCTCTCACACACACACTCTCTCTCTCTCATTTTTTTTCTGGGTCTATACTCTGCAAAGTGGGCCGTCTGTAATATTTACTTGGCTCATCCCACGCTTAGTTCCCCGCAAGACGCTGACTTTCCACAAATTTGATCTCGGGACCTCGCCTTCAACATCCGTGAAGGAGCCGATTGATAGTGTGTGATCTGAATACATCGCTCTGAGAGAGCCCGTCTTTTTGAGAAGTATAATTAATTGCGTTGAGACTGCATTCGTCTAGCTGAGGTGCTACGAGATGGCGCAAGGCTGTCCTCCCAGCTGGAGCATCTTCTCATCGCAGAGTCTGGTATTGGCCTCGAATATGTCTGCGGTGACAAATCACCGCTGAGTATTTAAGGAAACGCGAAAGAGAAGCTGGATTCGCAAAATTCACTAGTTTGAGGGTCGTGGGGACACCGCACGACTGTTCAGCTACTGCGGGAGAAAGACAAGTCACGTGGATTACATAATCTAATCAGTCCTCTCCGACTTGATTTGGATTTCTTGAACAGGGTCTTCCTATATTCTTGACTTGACTGCAGGACGTTCACTCGCACCCATAAGACAAACGAAAATCCTCTCAACATGGCCGAATCAATGGAGATAGACGACGCGCCGCTGAAGAAATCGTCGAGCAGCGAGCCACGCACGGCTGCAGGAGCCGTTGCTGTGCGCAGCATCGAAGGTTGGATCATCATCGTCACAAACGTACACGAGGAGGCTAGCGAGGAAGACATCCAAGACATGTTCGGAGAGTGGGGCGAGATCAAGAACTTGCATTTGAATCTGGACAGGCGGACGGGCTATGTCAAGGTACAGCGCTTTGTCCTATCCACGACGGCTTTTTACGACCGGGCATTAATGTCGCCATCTAGGGATACGTGCTCATTGAGTACGCGACGTTGGACGAGGCCAAAGCTGCAATAGAGGGCGCAAACAACACAAAGCTGCTCGACCAAACCATCACAGTGGACTATGCCTTTGTGCGACCACCGCCAGAGCGGGGCCAGGGAAGCGGACGAGGACGTGGAGGGGGTCGCGGGGAACGAGACAGTCGTGGTGGCAGAGGTGGAGGTCGGGCTAGGAGTAGAAGTCCGGGAGATGACAGAAGACGGGATAGGGATGACGACGACGACGCTGACTGAGGAAAAGGAATTGGCGCACCACGTCGTCAGATCCGGCGCAAAAACAAAAGCGGGACGGGAGGGCGAAACAAACAACAGGACCACGAAACAGCTACACGGATGGGTTTCTTTCTCTTCATGCTCAGGAGCCAATAAAGTATCGTCGGCTTGCTCACTCTCCGAGCAAGTCGGCAGTTTTTGCAAGCTGCACGGTGAGCATACGCTGGGTCCTACGCACCCCCCGAGAGAGGAATGTCTGCTAAGAAAAGCTCACAGTGCCTTGTGAATATTGCTCCACGTCACTGCACCAGGGACGTCGATAATCAGGTGAGTGTGTCTTACGCTTGTCTGATTTAGTCTATCTCTACGCATCTTCTTTCAAAGCTTCTCCTTGCCACCGACGGGCACAATCGTACGTATCGCTTGGAACCTGTTCTGGAACGCCCGCTGTGAAACGTTCGCCTGTGGCGCTGTCAACTCGAAGCCGTGCGTGCATCCAGGATAGATATGTAGCTCGCAGCTCACGCCAGCCTGGACAAGTTTCTTCGCATAGTCAATGTCCTCATCACGGAAAATGTCCATGTCGCCGCAGTCAATGTACGTCGCTGGCAGCTTTGCCGCCTGCTCGATAGTCATTCGAGCAGGTGCAGCTGAAGGCTTGAGGTCTGCCGCGCCGCGGCTGCTACCAAGGATACCGTCCCAGCCCGTGCGATTGTCGTCCGCTTTCCACACGGCGATATCATCTATGGCCGGATCAGGATCCACGTTGCGATCGTCGAGCATGGGGTATATGAGGATCTGCTTTGCGATGGCGGGTCCGTTCTTCTCGAGGTTGTAGTGCTGCGGCTCAAGTTAGCAGTGTTGAGCGTAACCGCTCCCGAGCCGCGTCATGCCATACCAGTAGTGCGGCGGTCATACCCCCTCCGGCACTGTCTCCCATGATTGCGATCTTTTTGGGATCGATGCCGAACTCAGCTGCATGCTCAACCATAAAGAGCAAGGCCTTGTGCGAGTCATCTACGTTTCCAGGGTACTTGACCTCAGGCGCCAGCCGATACTCGGCGGAAAAGAAAGGCACTCCCGTCTCCTCGACATATTTGCCGACAACCCCGTTGTACATATCAATGTCGCCTGAAATGTAACCCCCGCCGTGCAGATAGAGCACACCGGAGCCACCCTCTGGTGCGTTCTGCTTCTTGTACAGGCGACACCTGATCGACTGCCCATCGCTGACGGGAACACTGTAATCCTTTGTCGTGATGTCTGCGGGCATGGCAGGCGCTAAAGCCGCGAACATGCCGGCAATCATCTGACGACGAGATTCGACGTCGCCGACTTTAGCTGGCGGAGGTGGAGGCGCACCACCCATCATGGCCATGAGGCCTGTTTGAACCTCTGGGTCAAGAGTGAACCCCATTTCTGCGGATACGATGGGCGAAGGGACGAAAAATGCTCGGCAAGGATGGTGAACCGTGGTCCAGAGTCTCGAGTGTAGCTGTGGTGCTTCAACGCAAGAGAAATTACCAAGCTGTCGGAGGGGGAAGTCAAGTTGTATTTATACGTATTTTTTTTTATTTCTATGCAATGCCCTCAGAAACCCCGCTCGGAAGCTTTCTCACATCTCCACAGTCTTCTATTTTATCGGGGTGTCGGAGTCGATTCAGGTACTGCTTGACCGTGCAGCAAACACGGCTTCGCGGCTTTTGAACCACCTTAACCCCGCTCCAGGGTTCCTTCGGCGAAAGTACACTACCGCCTCTATCACAATAAAAAAAAACATCTCATACGACAACACGCAAGTTGGCACAGCCTTTTGAATCTTACGTGAACTTCGTCCAAATGCGGATTAGTCAGACGTGACGTCCTTCCACTTGATTGATCGCGAAACCGTCTCTTGTCCTGAACGAGACGCAACAAATGCCCTACCTGACCAGCGGTGCGCTGACAAAGAAAGCCGGACAACTGACGCATGAGACAGCCCCATCGTCGCTCCGCCGGATGCTGGGCTGGTGGTGACTCTTGTCTCTGACGCTTCTGAATCCTTTGGCTTACGCGACGCCGCTCGTCTCCATTTTTTTTTTTATAATCTTTTTGTCGCTCACGTTCGCTCCGTGACATCCGGTGGGATGACGACGGGCTTTTTTGGACTGCGTTTCGACGGGAGCAACGGGTTCATGCCATGGGGGGAATAAAAATCAACGTCGAAGCGAAATGCACGGCTTTACGACCCACGGAAAGGTTCCCCGCCATCTCAGCCCCCCACCACCAACGTCCGTTTCGCCCAGCCCACGTTATGAAGTGAGAACTTCGTGTGTTATCTCCTTGACGTAGAAGTTGTGAACGGCAAAGGGGTTGTGTAGGGTGCGCCGCTGTTTGGCTGGAGCTCCTTCTAGCGGGCGTTGCTGGCACATGGGGATTGAAACTTGCCTTAATACGCGTGCAAACGCCAGGGTACAATGCTCTCTCTCTATTCTATCCGAGCTAGTTTTGCGCGCTTGCTCAAAAGGTTTTTGGCACGCTCTAGACCTACCCACCCTTTTCTGATCGTCTGCAGCTCTAAGTTATGCCTATTCTAGTTTCGTGCAACAAGCAGGAGACCTCACGTGGCGGCGGCCAACGGTTGGGCCTCTTCTCGGATCCTCTTTGCGGCTCTCTCGGCGCGCTCGCTGAATCTATCTGCGAACAGATGAAAGTGCGGCTTCATGACGATGCTGTATTTCACAAACTCCTCCATGCAGTCGACCAGGCGGTTCCGGTTGTCGCTCGGCATGAGCCTGCTACCCCCTTCCTCGTCATGCTCCCCGGTGAACTGGGTATACGCTTTCGGTATGGAACTTTGATTGGGAATCGTGAACATGCGCATCCAGCGGCCTAAGACGCGCAGGCTGTTGACCGTGTTGAAAGATTGCGATCCGCCGGACACTTGAGCTATCGCGAGGGTGCGGCCTTGCGTAGGACGCACAGAGCCCGTTGCGAGCGGGATCCAGTCGATCTGGTTTTTGAACACGGCAGTCTGCGGATGGTCAGTTCGTAACTGAAGTGTTGAAGCGAGGGGTTGCCTTGATCACCAGGTTTCCGTGCTGCTCTGGACACACCCACACGTGCCCGTCGCTCCATTTGCTGAGACCCCGCAGCTCTTGCACTTTGTAGTGGTCGTGCTGGACGTCATCCTTGACGGGCAGGCCTTCTGGATCGAACACTCTAACGTCACACCCAAGGCGAAATAGGATGCGGCATGCTTCGTACGCGAGCAGTCGAGAATATGAACTGTTGGACCCGGTCAGATCTAGACTTGGATCCCACGTAGCGGTATCAGCTTCTTTTTTACCGCCTCCTAAGACTTCCGTAAAGGACAAGCACCTTGAGCCTGTCGTTGCCTGCTTCTTCGAGATGCTGTTCAGCCATACGCAGCACGGTGCTGAGCTCCAGCTTCGCTATCCAGTCGTTGTCGGCCACTTCATCCGGGAGAAGAAACGGTCGGTACGTCTTGCGGACAATAGGATCGTCGTCCACTTCCCGAATGGCCAAGGATCGGAACTGGTAGCTAGGATCCGGTTCGAGATGGATCACGGTGCGCAGAACAGAGTCATTGTTGAGATCACCCATCGTGGTTATAGAACGGCGCTGGATGCTCGGCAAGACGACTTGCGCTGGTGAAACCAATGCCTTTCCAGCCCTCCAACGCATCCGACCGAGCATTATCAAAAGCGCATTTTTCTTCTTTTTTTGCGTTCGCAAGCCAGCTCCATATATTTTGCAGCTCCAGCACGTACCACCCCATTTCAGCATGTCACTGATTAATCGCGATTGGATGGACGGAGCCATCGTTTGCCAAGCCTTCGGATCCCTGTACCCGCACATATTTCAAGGTTGAGTGGGGAGTTGAGGGCTGGCACTGTGCGAGAAACGTGCCCTTTGGATCTATGCAGAGCTGAACTTTGATTGAGAGGAGGCGCTCTTTAATAAGCTGCGATACTGTGCAGGACCAGAATTGTGGCCTGTTGCTGTAGAATGAGCCGGCCATCAGGATTCCGATGGAAAGTAACAGCGCGCATCGGCATTGAGTTGGTGTTTGTAGATTGTGGAACCACTTACGCATAGAAAGCATATTGAGGAGTACAAGATGTCGTCTGTAACTTGCCATATTCACTTGAGGAATGAAAATTCACGCCGTAATTGCTGCTAGTCTACGGCATCGTTTTATATGATCACCACGAATGCCTCGCCGCTGTAGAGTAACACGCGGTACAAAGCGTGAGACCCACGCGGCACAGTCGTGAATGTGAGACGTTCAGAATCGGAAAGGTCACAAAGACGGGTAGGCAAATCGTGCATCACAGGCGACAGGATGACCTCGAAAATGTCGCCGAATGGTGCGAGTATCCGTGAAGCTAACGTGAAAGAAGACAAATTTTTTCTTGATTGTGATTTAATCGCTTAGTCTCTCTCGTAGACCTCGTCTAGGACCAATAAACTGAATAACATTCTACCTCCTGCCACCACCCAGGATTGTCTAAAGCGAGAAGCAAATCTTTCCTTTGTCAGCAGCAATGTGAACCTCGAAAATCGGGAGGTCAGAGCGCCTGCGAAGTGACTTTCCGGACTGTTTCAGGTTGTAGAACGCAGCTCCGTTATGAGAGTCTCGATGCGGCGACGGATCTCGTCGCGAATAGGACGAACGGCAGCGATGCCTTCTCCAGCTGGATCTTTGAGTTTCCAATCGAGATAGCGCTTCCCGGGAAAGAAGGGACAGGCGTCGCCACAGCCCATGGTGATAACAACGTCGCTGGCTTGGACGGCGTCTGGTGTGAGAATCTTGGGTTTTTGGTCGGCGATGTTGATGCCTTCCTCGAGCATGGCTTCCACAACAACCGGGTTGACGGAGTCGGCCGGGGCTGATCCAGCAGAACGAACTTCGACCTCGTCTCCGGCAAGATGAGAAAGGTACGCCGCGGCCATTTGCGAGCGGCCGGCGTTGTGAACGCACACGAATAGGACGCTTGGTTTGTTGGCCATCCGGTTGGATATCAGACGACTGATCGGAATGGAGATTGAGAGCCTCTTGAGTTGAAGCGGGAGCTGAGTCTTAACCGGACCTTGGAAGGATTCGGAGACGACTGCAGCGACATGATATCAGACAGGACGAAGGCAGGCTGAGAAAATAACAATGTCGCAACAGATACGGTCTGATTGGACACCTCTCGAAGAGGGGCCTGGGTTTGAAAAACGGCGCCAACAGGAGGCTCGAAAAGCCACGCTGCACGGTACAAGCGCTCTTCACCTTGCGCTGCGTCGCGGCCGTTGCTTACAGTCGCCCGGCGGTTGTCGAGCGGCCTTAGAGCACGTGATACAATGCCATTCAAGCGTCGACCAGGCTCTTACGCATTTTCTTTTTCACCGCCAGCCCAACGCTGGCTTGCAGGTCAAGACCTTGACGGGCTCAAAAAGGTTGGACAACGAACGAGCGAACGCGGCGAGCGGCCGTGGAAATCTTCACACCGAACCACGAGCCGGACCCACATTTTCTCCACAAGTTGATTCGCAAATGCAGGAACCAAGCGAGCGCGTGGTGCACACCGCATGACCCCAACCATCGCTCGTTCATGTACAATATCGATTACCGCGTGAGCACCCGGAGAACCTCACCGTTCGCACGCTCGCATGTCGTCCGTTTCCCGTGCGTTTGCGATGATTGAGTGAACGGCTCGAGCCACTTTCAGCGGGGCTGGCTCCTTGGGTTTCCTTTTCTCTTTTGGCAGATTATCGCTTCTGCGTCGCTTTTTCCTATTTCTGCGCGAGCAAATACATCGAGTCGACATGGATCGTCGCGAGGTCGGCGTAAATTGGCGTAAGAAGTGGGCTTCGAAGGCCATCCTGGCGTTGCTGGTGCTGTTGCCGCTGTACTCGCTCTGGACGTTCTACACCTTGCCATTTGTCCCCAACGTGCTGCCCCAACACCAGTCGCCGTTCAATGCCCTCGAGGAACTGCATTATGCTCTCGAGACAATGCAGAACGAGTATTTTCAGATATGGCTGGGCAAATGGCCGACCTCCATTGACTGGACCGGCGCCGTACTGGGCACGCTCATGTCGGCGTCCTTGTTCTCGCTTACCCGCTCCCTCGACTATGTTCTGCCTCCTTCAACCTGGCAGCCGAAGTGGACGACCGTACAGGGTGAGAAGGTGGAGAACGAGATCAATCGTTATTTCTCGCAGTCGATTGCATACTACTTTGGGGAGGATGCCTTCAGCATACGGCTGCAAGCGTATGATGACATGCTGTGGGTTGTACTAGGTTGGTTGGAAGGCATCCGTTTTGTGACCCTGCACTCGAATGCCCACTATCCACCATCTTCCGGCCAGGACGGTCTCGGGGCAGGCAAGCCGTGGTACGGCACCCAGTTTATACCCAGTTTCGCGCACCGGGCCAATGTCTTTTACGAGATCGCACGCCAAGGTTGGGACACGGAGCTATGCGGCGGAGGCATGGTCTGGAACCCCCGTCTGACGCCGTACAAAAATGCCATCACGAACGAGCTGTACATCTCGGCTAGCGTGGGCATGTACTTGTACTTTCCTGGTGATAGCAACACGTCGCCCTATCTGCAGAATACGGTGACGAATGTGCTTGCACGTGATACAGACGAAACCGCGATGACTGCTATCGAGCGGAAAGGACCTCACGACCCTACGTATCTCTCGAACGCAATCAAAGCTTACGAGTGGCTCAAGCATAGCAACATGACGAACGAGAAAGGTTTGTACGTTGATGGCTTCCACATCGCGGGCTGGAACCGCAACGGCAGCATAGGTACGGGAAATTGTGACGTCAGAAACGAAATGGTGTACACATACAACCAGGGCGTGCTTTTATCTGGCTTGCGTAACCTCTGGGAAGCCACTGGCAAAGTCTCATATCTCAAGGACGGACACGAACTCGTCCGCAATGTTATAGCCGCAACTGGGTGGCGCTCTCCGACGTCCCGGGTCCGTTGGTGGAGTGGCCTAGGCCGCAACGGTGTTCTTGAGGAGATCTGCGACGCCTCTGGAACCTGCTCCCAGAACGGGCAGACATTCAAAGGCATCTTCTTCCACCATCTCACGCTATTTTGCGAACCCTTGCCAGATAAACCGCTTGTTCCGGGCAAAACGTACGCCGCTGATCCCGCTACGTATAGTCTGCATGCTCAAAGCTGCAAGGAATATGCAGCGTGGGTTGTCTGGAATGCAAAGGCGGCATTGGCGACAAGGGACGCACATGGCCGATTTGGAATGTGGTGGGGCGTGCCGAACTGGGATGCTGATGGAGACGATATTGTCTCGGAGACTCCGGAGAGTTCAGAAGATTACAGGAACGAAGGCCTGGGAAGTGAAGAGCTCTGGGGCGTTGGATGGCGTGAAGGCCTGGAGATCAGCCCTCCCAACCTTCCAAGATTTGGAGGTGGTACCATGTGGCCCGGTGGTGAAGAGTCTCTCAATGCAGAGAACATGAACTTGGCTGGAACGCACGTAGAGCTGCGCAAAAAGCGCCAGGATCATCGCTCAAACTGGGTTGGAAGCACAACCGACCTTAACGATCGTGGACGTGGGAGAACCGTTGAGACCCAAGGCGGAGGTGTAGCTGTTTTGAGGGCGATGTGGGAGTTTGTGCGTATGTACAGTGATTAACCCCAGGTCCAAACTCAGCGATGGCATGAGCGTTTTCGTTTTTATTTTCTCCTCGTGTTTATAGTCTAGATGCTCGAACGACGATGAAATGACAGAACGAAGAAATCATGATGCAAAAATTTCTTTCAGCACCGGATACAAACATAGAGAATCTATTGCTTCTTTTTGCTGCTGGGATTCAGGCAATGGATAGAACAGTCTTTAACGGTGGCTAATGTGGGAAAAGAGCAAGAATGGTTTTCGTTAGCGTGACGAGAGATCTGAAAAAGACGATATACACTTGCATCAATCCACTTTGTAATCGTCTGCGATCTGTCTGATCAGAATTTTTCGCCGGCAATTGCGGTGGCATTTGTGATGTTTGTATAAGTAGGGTAACAAAAATTGGTTTAGAACTGTAATAACCCTCCTAGCTTGTAGGTTCACGCGGTGGTTCATTCACTTTTTGGACATGGAAGGCAGTTCACGTCCAGAGAGAATTCAGCATCCCACGACACTGTTGTTACTTGGTGAGTTTAATCGTGCCAACCGTCCTTAGACGAACACAAGCACGTCGTAGGCAGTGTGCTTGCGAATGACAACCCGTCTCCTAGCAAAGACTCAAAACGTGTTCTCCTGGCTCGTCTGTAACGTCCGTTCGATGTATGGTTGCCAGAATCTGTAGGAAGCGTGAAATTCCTAGCAAATACGGGCAAAATACCAAGCTCAAACCGTTGGCATGCTTGGTCAAGGTGCGTTTTCAAATGAATAGAGGTGGTATTATTTGCTCCGCTGACGAGGGAATCAGACGCCATGTTCAGACCCCACACGTTTTCCTGTTGTTTTCGACCGTGGTTTCGGAAATCGCGATGCTCGTTGCTTTTAAGATCTAGATGGGTGCTGGGCCAGACTGCTCACGTTTGAAGCAGGCAATCAAACGCGATGGAGAGCAGCTTTCTTGACGCGAGGTAGTATTTATAGAGTTTAAATGCCGTCGTGTTGACTATATGAAATATCCACGACGTACTAAGGTGAATTTTGTCTTTAATGTGCGGCAAGATCTTCCGTTACGAGCTGCGTGGACATCTGGATCCGTATAACGTCTACCACAGCCATTTCTGCAGGGAGCTTGATTGGCAGATTAATCGAATCAATGATCACAATGACCCGTTCGCCAGGCATCCGTATTACATCTACCCTTCCGAATAATTTGTCAGCCATCCGTCAGGTCTAAGCGTGGCAGCTGTCCCAGCTGCTAACGTTCAAGATATGACGATCTGAGCTTAGCACAGTCCTGGGGTACTTTTAGGGGCCTGGGTAGATTCGTCGTGTTTGGTGGGCGGACCTAATTGAGGACTGATGAAGAGCTTGATGGTGTTCTAAATTATTCAGCAATTCATGTCGGCCTAACAGACGGTATATTGTACATGATGGGACAACACTTTTTTTCCAGCTTCCATTATCGTAGAACCGGCAAGTGCCCAGTGGCTACAGGATGCTTTGTAACACGAGCTGAGATTTGCTGGATTGAGTTATTGGGCTAAGATATGGAAAGATCCCACAACCCAATTGGGAAATCCTCGGATAAATAAACATTACCCGAAGTAAGATATCAGACTAATTTGCCCACTTGGTCTTAAACGGGGCAAATCGATTGACTTGTACGTCGGAGTATAACTCAACACATCTGCTTCGTCTGACTAAGCAAGCTGTTTTCGGCTGGACTTGTCGGAATGATCACAATCACGCTCCGCACAACGGCGAACTTGCTTTGATCAACGTCATGGCCTGGCCATGAATTTAAAGCTGAAGCACTTGTGAAACCTGTGGTTCTACTGATTCCAATCATTATTCTCGCCAAAGCTCGAAGACGCTGAGCATTTGTTGCATGCCATGATTGGCGTGTGGGGACTTGTCTTGACGCCTCTGCTCACCCTTGCTCAAGCGCAGCTACCCGCATACAACGGTCGATATGGCGTGGGCTACGTGACCATTGAGGTTCCCGTCTCTGATCCTAGGAATACTAGCAACTATACAATCTCTTCGACGGGACAGCCCGCATTTCAAGTAAGCCAACGGAAGCTTTGAATTAAAGGCCTATCGTGACCTAACACCTTGTGTCAGCTCGAGACAGTCCTGTTCTCGGCCTATTATCCGTCTAGCAAAAACAACGAATCCACAAAGGCGAGCCCACCGTGGCTCCAAAACATCGACCTGATCTCTCTTGGTATCGCCGAAAGCACAAATGGGTCCGTGACTGCACAAGTTGTTAAAATCGGGCTCGAAGCGCTGGCCGGTAGCGCTGTGATACCCGCTTTCACCGACGTTCCCATTGTCAACGCGACTGGTTATCCAGTTTTCATATTTTCCCATGGAGACACGACTCTACCGGAGTGGTATTCGCATTACCTTGGATCTATTGCCGCGGATGGCAATGTCGTCGTTGCAATCACGCACCGAGATGGAAGCAATGCAGGATCTGTCGTGGAGATCAAGGGTCAGCCGCCAAAGAACGTGACTTATATCTTGCCAGATCAATTGAGACCACCCGTGAACGCGACTGGTCTGGCGATGCTTCAGCGGGCCTTCAGGCAGGCTGAAGTCGAAGAAACGGTGCGCGTCCTAAAAGCAATCAACGACGGTCAGGGTGTGGACGTATACCAGAGCAATTCCCGAGGCGATGGACAGACCCTTGCTAATTGGAAGGGTCGACTGGATTTTGATAAATTGGTCATTGGCGGCCATTCATTTGGTGCCACCTCTGCTGTACGTTCTTGAATTTACTCGGGTCACTCCGACTGACTGCCTCCCCAGTTGGATACAATACAGTCGCGCCAAGTTTCAAACAGTACTGTACGTGCTGGACTAACACTAGACCCGTACGTTGTACGTTCTGTTGTCACTGATTCGCTTATGGGCTGATGTCTTCTCAGAGGCAAGGAAAGTGGACCGCTATCCACCAATGTCCAGGTGCCAATTTTGATCCCCGATTCGGAAGCTTGGTCAAGCCAGCCTTCAGTCTTATTCGGCAAGGATTTCTTCACCGTCGTCAAGACCATAGCTGAGACTTCACTGAATGCTACCAACGCCGGCTGGTTCATGACTCTACTCGGCACCGCACATAGCTCAATCACCGATGCCGGTTTGATTGCTGGTAGCTCTTTGTTGTCGCTGTTCGACAGTACCGCAGCAAACGCCACATTGGATCCTGCAACCGCCCTTGCTAAATACGTTAACGTATCCCTCGAGTTCTTCAACTATTTGAAAAATGGCACTGTATCCGACATACTCGCCATAAACGTCACAGATCCAACGTACTCGATTCGTCCGCCAAATAGCTCAACTCCAGGAAACGAGACAAGCTTCTGGGAAATCCACGTTGCTCCCATCTCAAAGTAGGTCACTTTTCTCCTTCGCAGTTACAATGAAGCTAACCAGAAACTACCGTAGCGCAACGGGTACTTCCACCGTTTCCTCTCCAGGAGCCTCTAGCACAAAGAAATCAACTGCCAACCGTGAACTGGTGGCAAGCACAGGTAACTTTGTATTTATAGCTACAATGTTGGTTATCGCTATGTCAGTATAGGGAGTAATACATGTTGACTTTGTTTTTTCCGTCGATCATATTCAAGGTAGAATTTCCATGAGACACTGTTTGCGTGACTCCAAAGGAGCTATATGACCTGCTTTCTCTCTTGTTTTGCTGCTCGGCTGGGGGGCATCTGGTTTCCTGAGCCCCACCTCGTTCTGATCATATTGTTGTAGCTTCGTGTTCTTGGTTTAAGCCATTCTAAGATTGAGTCTCAAAGTTTCCATGGGCTTCTCATTTATTTCACTTTGGCAGTTTGTGATCAGGGCACATGCTCACACTGGCAAGAATTCCACATATTACTATCTTTTTTCATAATAAGATTTGGTCTGCACATGTTGAAAGAAGCCTTGCTCAATAGCGCGTGCGCGACCACACATATGGCTAGCAAAGCCGTCGTGCAGAAACGTACGGGATGGGAATTGAATGCCTCTCATGAATTGGGGGAGTAAAGTGCTGCATAGCTAGGAACGTAGGCTTACTTTCGTAGAGATCCTGAACATAGAGTTCACCTCTTAGAGCTCTGTAAGCGTACTAAATGACGCCTATGGCTCACTCTTCAAGGCCTGAGGAAAATGAAAGGGGAAATATGGTGTTTAGAGGGATTTAAGATCTACCCCGCGCGGTGCTTTCAAAAGACTGTTGGTTGGGGTACTTCATTCCTTTGAAAGTTTTACACAACGACGTCCCTGATGGTATCTAGCCGAAGGTACTTGCGCCTGCCCTTCTAGTTGACGTTATACTTACTATTTCAAACTTGAAGATACAACTATGAAATATACGGGATTTTTGTCTGGCATATTTTTCGGTCGGAATCACTTCTTGAAAGAAAAACATGAGGTGTTCAGCGGCCGGCGAAATGATTCCATCGGCAACGAAGAGAATATTTCCAGCTTCAGCATCGGAGTCGTCAATTAAGTTTTCGGTCTCCTGTATTTGCAAACTTGATTGCTGGGTGACGTAGGATTACGATACATCACTCACATGTAACACGTCCAGGCCTGAGTGTACGTTGCAGATACCGTAAGCTAACACAGAAACGATGCGTAAACAGGATTAGAGCGGGCGGAAAATATCATGATGGATTCTCTGCCAGATTCACACTTGGCGAGTGAAAGTTTATAGCTTGAATAACGGTAAACAGCCTGCTTTAGATCATGTATGAATGGACTATGACCACTGTCCTTCCAAAAATACTAAAAAAACCGGTGACAAACACAGTTCGTGACATCTTTGCAATCACAGAACTCCAAAGCCCAAGAAGTATATAAAGATCTCCAATCAATCAACGTCAAAGTACATTACCAAGCTCTTTACCACTTCTATCACCACTTCTTTGACCGGCAAAGGCACTTGAGCACTCTAAACCAGCGTCTTCGCTCTATCACTTCTACAGTGCAGCAACACCACCTAGGAACACCGCCAAAGTTCTTATATAGAAAAATCACGATGTCCTCGAATTCGCGTCGGATCACTGATTGGGAATGCTGCCGCTGCGCACGCCTTCACGATATATCTATCACGACGTGCCCTGCGTCTCGCCACAATGGTACACCACATAATCGATGCAGCTTCTGTGACACCTTTTACGAGGATGGAACCAATACAAAGGTTGGGGCCGGACATGGTGGTTCTGGTCGTACTAGGAACAGATGAGAAGCTCTTCAAGAGGATTGTGTGAAGCTCCACAGTGCTGCCGTTCCCATTTGAGGAATGCCGTCGACAATGGGTTGGCGAGAATGCTCATGGCCTTCGTCAGGACTCAGAAACATTTAGCAAACAAATGATGAAAATATTGATATTGTCAACCTTGTGAATTTTCGTACTGAGATAGCTGAGAAAGAAACAACTCACGATGTCACGACGTCTACGCATGACTTAAGTTTTGATTGTCGAACATATCAGGTGCGTGTCAAACAGTGAATATCTCACACTTTGTCTCGCTGGCGAAGTTTAGCAGCCTCGCTTGGCCGAAAGGCATCGTCGGACTGTCCGTCAAACTATTTCCCCTCGCAATTTCCTTCTACAGAGAAGTTGACCTTCTAGGCTTTTGCCGACGACTGGCACTACTCTCAGAGAACGAAGCTCCGTGTGGTCATGTTTGTGCCCGCTGCGTGAATATTCTCACTCGTTTAATGAATGCAGACTAAAATGTAGAAACGACCAGCGAAATGAATCCACAGTTATTTCAGGGCAAAACGCGCTCTTGGGAGTTGCCTAGACATCTGGAACCACGAAGCTTAAAGCAATCCCTTCTAGCGAAGCCAGACGCGTCTATGATCGCGGAGATTCTCATCCAGGAGTATCTCAATTTGACTCATACCTTTCGTGGCAACTTCATCTCTAACAGGCACGGTCTTGTAGGCTGGTCTCTGGGCGTAAACACCGGTGTTGAGATGCCTGGTCAGCCGATTTCAACGCCCTTCAGACATTGACGTGGAGCATTGCGGCATCAGGAGGGAAACAGACAAAGAATTCGGATCCATGGGCTTGTTGCCATAGAATCAGATGTCGGTGCCATGCTTATCCATTCTACGGAATCTGTTGTCGAAGAGCGTCCGGAGGATGTTAAACTCATTTTAGCAGTTTCCCGTCAGCGGAGGAGCAATTACATAATCAAAGCGTGATCACCGAAAAGGGCAAGTCCACACGAGGGCGTCGAGCGGGGCCAAGCTCTTCTGCATGGGGAGGTGCGACCGTGCAGACTGGCAGGGGCGCCTTCCTCCCGCGAGTTGCCCCGCTAACTCTTAGCAACGCTGGTTATCATCGGCACGTCGAACGCGCCATGCGAGCATTGGGACGAGGGCCATAGCCGCCCACAAAAAGCGGTCATAGTCCCTCTCTGTTCTCCGTGATCTTTGCATCCCAACTACCTCACGCTCGAGACATCATGGTCTTTCCGTTCGATTACTTCGCCCACAAGCGAGACTGGTACGTTCCTTGCGCGCACGTTTGCATGTGCTCTGACACTGATTATGCACCTAGCAAACGAAAGCAAGATGAACGCAGCGCCAAAATTGCGTCCTTGCCCACCCCGTACTTAACTTCGTTCACGGAGGTTGAGAAACAGATTCAGACCACGCCCATCGAAAAACTGGTCGAGGGCGTGCACAGCGGCTCAATCAAGCCCGTCGACATACTCCGAACGTATGGCAAAGCCGCCGTGAAAGCACATCGCAAGACGAATGCTCTCACTGAAATTCTTTTTCCAGAGGCTGAGAAGTGGCTGCAAGATGGCAGCGTTAATCTCAAGGGCCCGTTGGCGGGCATCCCTGTGAGTTTGAAAGACAGCATTGCCGTCGGCGGCTGGGATGTCTCCGTGGGATATTCAAGGTACACGGGAAAGCCTTACAAGGAAGACGGCCCGATGGTCAAGCTTCTGAAGGAGGCGGGTGCTGTCCCCTTCGTTAAGACTGCATTGCCCATCACGCTGCTCAGCTTCGAGAGCACCAACGACGTCTGGGGTCAGGCGAAGAATCCACACAATCCAGACTACTCGCCTGGAGGCTCTACTGGAGGTGAGGGTGCTCTCCTTGCTTCTGGAGCGAGTATCATTGGGGTCGGCTCAGATGTCGCCGGGTCGGTCCGTGTGCCGGCCCACTTCTCTGGCTGCTATTCGTTACGATGTTCAACTGGCCGGTGGCCCAAGATGGGCATGAACACTTCGATGCCTGGTCAGGAGGGGATCCCAAGTGTTTTCAGTCCGATGGCTTGGAATCTGAACGCTTTGATCTACTTCACGCGCAATCTAATCAAGATGAAGCCTTGGCGGCTGGATTATAGTGTCCATCCTCTCGAGTGGAGAGACAGCATGGAGCAAGATTGGCGAGAAAAGAAGACGCTGAAGGTTGGTGTCTTGCGAGACGATGGCGTGGTTACTCCCTCGCCAGCTTGCGCGCGGGGACTCGACATGGTTGCCGAGTCTCTCAAGTCACACGGACACACTGTCATCGACGTTTCTCCACCTTCACCGTACGAAGCCCTGGTCATTGCCTCGCAGCTGCTCAACGCAGATGGTTGTACCACTTTCAAATCGGTGTTCCGGACGGGGGAAAGTGACGATCCCGGAGCAGCGCAGATGGGATTCTACATGCGCTTGCCACGTTTCATCAAGAAGATATACTACTGGTACGTTAAATACATTAAACGTGACGACATCTGGGCTGGGCTGTTGAAGGACTGGCATCCCAAGACGGCTGCAGAAAATTGGCAATTGGTGAGCAAGAGGGAGGCTTACAAGAATCGATGGCATGAGTGGTGGAACCAAGAGGGGCTGGATATCCTAATTACCGTGCCCAACGCCACACCTGCTGTGCCGCATGGCGGTATGAAAGACGCTGTCAGCAGCTGCGGCTATACATTCTTGTTCAACTTGGTAAGAGCCACTCCGCCTCGACGGTTCCTGCCCAAGCTAACAAAGGCCAGCTCGACTATACCGCTGGTGTCATGCCGGTCACCAAGGTAGACCCGTCCAAAGATATGCTGCCCGCAGATTTCAAACTCAACAGGCTGAATGGCGTGGCAAGAGGCGCGTACGTGCATTATGATGCTGTCAAGATGGCCGGCCTGCCAGTCGGCGTTCAGGTTGTGGGGCGAAGACTGGAGGAGGAAAAGGTGCTTTCGGTGATGTCTAGGATTCTGGACATGCTCGAGGAAGACGGTAAGGCATACGAGCTAATGTATCCCTATAAGGAGGATGAGAAGCTGTAGCAGGCCTGTTGCGGGACGGGCAGGCCGCGGTCGTAGGAGCAGCGGAGGCGGTGGCCGTCCGAACGGTCAGGACGGTCGAGCATATCGATACGCCAGCGTTGTGGCACGTGCTCTAGTTCTACTGTTCGTGCCCCAGCGGCTGCAGCCAGACAGATCTGCTGAAGATTGAAGGCGTCCGCAAGCACGTCGGCTTCGTGTAGAAATAGTAGTAATATGCTGTGGGCAAGCCATGCCAACGTCCATTCGGCAGAGAAAGAGTGAATCGAGCCGGCTGTAATGTTCAGGAGGTGTTCTGAGACGCGCTTTCGACTCCGCCTTACCCCGACTTTGCCTTGGAGGTAGAGAATGGCACTAAGCTGGGCGTCGTCGTCGCATCACACTAACACAGGTCTGTCGCGGAAACTTTTCTTCTCACCTTCCGCTTTCGGCTGCGCGTCGTACGTCCTCGTTATCGCGTCCCCTTGACAAGCTCGAGGCCAGCGACAAGAGCAGCACCGAGCGGGCCCATCGCTATCTCTTGCGTTGTGCCCGTGCCTACGCCTGCGTTCATTGTTTGCACCATCGTTCAGCGTCGTTGGAGTGCGGTGGAGACCATCCGTCCTCGTTGTTCGCCAAGGTAGACTCCAGCCACGTTGCGGATATGCGTAGAGACCGTCCGACCAGGCCATGACGGCGGCAAGCTGCAAGCTGCAACGCGTTGCGAAAGTTTGGATCGACTACTGCTAGGCACGCCTTTTGGCATCCTTTCCCTTTGGTGACGGCCAATTTTCGTCAAGTCATGTGTGAGCGTGGCATTGGACGGCTGCAACCGCAAGCGTTCGACACGGAGGCTCAACCAGGGCCGTAATTCGCTCTTGTGCGGAGTTGCTGCATCGCTCGTCCACGCCCATGGTCACGACGATGTCACAAGGCCGAGTTCGTGGCGCACCGGCGGTCAACGTCGCCGTCTCTCTCTCTCGCCGTCGAGGTCAGAGGACTTCGCCGCTGGCCCCTCTCTGTGTCGTCCATGGCCTCGACGGATGCACTCAACCTTCTGGACCTTGTCTGATTAAGCGTCGGCTCGGATACGGTCTAGAAAGACAGCCAGGTCATTCCAGCGGGTCCCTCCATGCTGATCCCCGCTGCAGGTCAGCCACAAACCCAGTTGTTATCTTTTGGCGATAAGGCTACTCGAACCCTTGGCGGGGAGCCCGGCAGCAGCTGGGCCTCTGCCCATTACTCCACTGGCACGTTCGTGATTACAAGTCCCGAAGCGCTTGCTGCTGGCCCTTCTACTCCGCATAATCTTTTTTGTCTTTCCTTTCCTTTCCTTTTCAATCTACCTGTCCTGACGTCCTCTTCGGAACAGGATTCTTTGTCCCGCACGGGCTTCTTTCTGCTTGCGGCGATTGTGCCAATGGTAAGGATAAGAAAGCCCGCTACATGGCAGATACCATCACGATTCCTTCCCCGCGTGTATTTTTGACAGGCTCTCCTATCGAATCCCACAGTCCTCCGAAGCCGGCGCCGTCGCAAAAACCGAAGCAGACCAGGAAGCGCAACCCAGCCGCTGCGAAGCCGAAGACTGCAAGCGACAAACCGGGCGACGCTGCAGCTGCCAGTGGTGTTGACAAGAAGAAACAGACGAAAAGCAGAAATGGTGCGTGCCCAATACGTCTCGTGGCCCGTCCGGCAACAGGCTTTGCTTCGTCCCCGTCACCGGACACACCATCCACGCTGACCTGCACCTAGGCTGCGTAACTTGCAAGGCGAAGCGATTGAAATGCGACGAGACGAAACCTACTTGCCAGCAGTGCGCACGACGAAACGTTGAATGTGGTGGATATAGGAAGGACTACAAGTGGCGACCATTCGGCGAAACTAGTTTTGTGACCACTACAACGTACAGCAAGCCGCAGGCTGCTTCAAAACCCAAGAAAGACGCCGGGACAGAAGCAACCCACCATGAGCGCTCCGAACAGTCTGAATCTCCACGAGAGGAGCAGACAGTCGTCGTGCGCACCGTGCAGCGGGTGCGACCTACCGCCGTCCAAGGACCCGAGCTGAAAATTGCACAACGGTCGAGTGAGCCGGTACAGGCCACTGAGCAGATCATAACCTCACCGTCGGAAGATCTAGATCTAGATCTTGCGCCAGGTGTTTTTGAATTCGAGGATAACCTGTCACTTCAAGACCTGCAAGATGCTGGTAACATAGAACTTGCTCTGGATTCGGACGGCATGCTGCAACAACCTGTGACCAGCTTGCCCGCGATGACATCAGGTCAATCTTCGCTATCACTGTCATTGTCCGATCCGTCTGATCCTTTGGTAGCGCTTGATGACCCCATGAATCTGGAGCCCAACATGCTTCTAGGCACAAGTTCGTCTACAGCATCCATTACTCCTCTGTCGGTGCAGGATACCCAGTTCTTTCTGGAGGGAGATGAAGATATCGAAGAAGTTGTCAGGACAAACTATCCCAAGGTTGAAAACGTGACCTGGGACATGGTGCCCATGCTGCCGGAGTCCTACAACTCGTCAGTCTCATCTGTGTCACCAGGGTCCATGTTCTCGATGTCAGACATGTTCTCAATCCCTCCAAGTATCGACATGGCTATCAACAGCCCGGAGACCATGACCCTCCGCTTTGACAAGCAGACATGCGGCATTCTGTCCGTTAAGGACGGTCCGTCGGAAAATCCTTGGAGGACAATGATATGGCCCCTCGCGCGGGACAGTCCCGCTTTGTATCACGCAATCGCCTCGATGACCAGTTTTCACACGTCAAAGTACCAGCCAGAGCTTAGATTGCAGGGCATCGAACACATGAGGAGCAGTATTGAAGCGTTAGCTTCGGGCATAGAAAACATGCAGTTCGACACGGCCATTGCGACAACGTTGGCGTTGGCGTTTGCGGAGTCATGGGACCAGCACACTTCGACAGGCATTAATCATATTCGAGGCGCCAAGGTTCTTGTGAATCAAGCACGTAACTGGCATGGTCGCAAGGCGTTCTCCGGCCCGAAACTAGAGAGGTTAAAGTTTCTCACGAACGCTTGGGTTTATATGGATGTTCTTGCTCGTTTGACGTCGAACGATGACGACGAGTCAAATGATTTCGACGCGGTGCTCTCAAATCCGTTCGTTACCGGCCCATTTGGAGAGGAAACTAACATCGATCCTCTGATGGGAGCGGCATCTACCCTCTTCCCAATTATTGGAAGGGTTGCAAACTTGGTGCGAAAGGTGCGAAGGATCGAGCGCAATTCGCCCACGATCATTTCACAGGCTATGGAGCTCAAGAAGATGCTCCAAGGATGGGAGCCTCCCGTGGTCGATGAAACGATCGAAGATCCGTCCGTTGAGATTGAACACAGCATTCAGACCGCAGAAGCCTATCGTTGGGCAACATTGCTGTATCTGCACCAGGCTGTTCCGGAGATTCCGTCTGAATCATCCGCAGAACTGGGAAAGAAAGTTATGATTCTACTGGCGACAGTGCCGCTCAGCTCTCGGACCGTCATCGTGCACATCTTTCCCTTGATTGCGGCTAGTTGCGAAGCTGTTGACCCGGAGGATCGTCAGTGGGTGCACGAGCGATGGAGCTCAATGGCCCAGCGAATGAAGATCGGTGTTATCGACCGCTGCGTTGAGGTTGTGAACGAAGTCTGGTCGCGGAGGGACACATATGAACTTCTGCCGGCGAAGAGACCACCAGGTATCAGAAGGAGTAGCACCATGGATGTTGACATGACAAGCGGTGCGGATCCTTCATTCCCCTGGTCGGATCCTTTCACAAATAGAAAGCGGCGAGCCACAAATGTTGCCTTTGATATGCTTCGTGATTCGACCATCAATAGACCTCGAAAGGCGAGTCGTTGTAACAGCGGCCCAATAGATCACGAATTTACAGTGAGGGGACGACTGCATTGGCTTAGTGTTATGAAGGAATGGGGATGGGAAGGTATGTCCAAGTAGTTCACCTGCCTGATAAAAGGAAGGTGCTGACAAGACGACAGTACTTTTGGGATAAAAAAATTTTTTTTTCTGATTGAAAATGAGGTGTATTGGATATTCTCAGACTTTTTTATGTCTGAAGAACGGTTCGAATGTGGTTTAGCATGGCGCTCGGTCTTTGTTAATGAGCTATGGTTGAGTGCCACGATTTACGGGGCTATGAACAAATGGATATCAATCTTGCGCTAGATTTGTATCCTGAGTCACGGTTGGGCGATATCTATTGTCAGATTCCGAACTTCGTTTCCTGAAATTGATATGGTGGTGTGATATGTTCTTCTCAGCCTCGTGCCCACGTGATATTCACGTCCCCAGGTGTTGGCGAATGACTGAGCCAGCTTCTGGCTCAACTACGGCGAGGCTCTACCGATAGACGATCTGCGCTTACCGTCCTCATTGCAGCGCGTTTGTCCCGAAAACGGACCTCCACTTGTGATCTCGTCCATCATGATCTGGTTGCGGAGGGCAGGATTTCATGCCCTAATCCGGTAAGGCTCAATGTGCTCCTCCATCACTGCAGATCCCTCCTCTCAAGCTCACGTTTCTTATCAGACACCACCAACGCGTAATTATTCATCGTGACTCCCAATTCCTATGGACGGTGGTTGACAAGCTCCACTGAGCCTGGCAACTACGCTGGCTCAAGTCTGATCCTTGTCCGACCTTTGGACGCAAGCGCTGGCACCAGCTAGGTCTTCCAGCCTTCTTTTCACTCGTCGTTTTTCTTCGCTGGTGAAGCCGTCATCTGCAGCTCGCTGTGATACACGCGTCCGGGTTTCGAAGCAGGGCGTAGCTATGCATCAATCCGTGTACGACGGTTTACTCGAACCGATTTGCCCATCGTATGTCTGCCACACGGTCATGTCCAATTATGGCGTGCGAGCGCAATATCAGTATCCCATCACGTCTCTTTCACGAGCGCGGGTTACCCTTCGCGCCTTACCCTATCCGGCCATCCTGTCCTTTCTTTACCTCTAAATGCAAGTCGATGCCCCCCTCAACAGCATGGCAGTCGGCAAACTCTACGGCCAGAAGGGTCCTACTCTGGATCTGCTCCACCAAAGCAATGCATTGGGTCGACGTATATAAGCGAACCGTATCTCCAGGACGGGGTGTGGCCGATCGTTGAACCTTTTCTCTTGCCATTTTCCGGACCTGCAAAGCACGCCACCACCACCACCATCCTGGCTCACTATCTGGACATAGATACAAACACGTCCGACTTTTCTGAGCGTTCGTTCTATCCCGTGTCTACTTCCCCACATCTGAAAAACTATCTTGAAAGCCTGCACTCGTATCTGAACGCTTGCAACGCAAAGTCTCATTTGCGGCCCGCGCGTACGACGACGACGACATCACCGTCCTCGCTTGCTTCTCCAAAGCCGTTCTCCGCAGCTATGGGTTCCGAGGCAGCTGTTCCGTTCACGTACTTTGCCAAGGCGTCGACCGACTTCGCGAAGACCATCCCATGCATTGCCAACGGAAATGCCTACCTCGGTGACATTGCAGTAAGGTGAGCGTCGACGCGCAGGCCCCATTTGATGTCTCCCTCGTAAGACGATATTGATCTTTCGCCTCCCACAGCACCGACAGCAAGGCACCGATCTCCGCCGGCTTCTACCGCCTCGAGAAGGGCACGCCTCTCGTGTACGGCTATCACTACGACGAGATGAAGATCATCATCGACGGCTCCTTCGACATAGCAGACGAGACGGGCAACAAGGTGCACGCTGTCAAGGGCGACGTGTTCTACTTCCCAAAGGGCAGCAAGATCACCTTTACCACCGAGGACTTTGGCCTAGCCTTCTACTGCGGCCAGCGACCAAAGGATTCGGCGTAAAGTGCACCAAAGGACGAGAAAGAAAAAAAATGGTGCTCCTATGTCGGGACAAGACAGTGTACCTAGGCTGATGGTGGGTTACCCGGCTCCATGGCTAGAGCGAAAAGCTAGCCAGTCAAACAGCCAGTCAGCCAGTCAGCCAGCCAATTGGCAAATGAGCCGCGTACGAGAGCTTTTTTTTGCAGATATCTCTTCTGTTGACAACTTTGTGATACCGCCATGAAATCAAAGAATTTTTTTTCATTTCTGCACGCTGCGCTCTATTTCTTAACGTGCCGTATCTTTCCTTGCGATCCGTGCCCTTTCAAGTCGTGTTAAGCCTACAGAAGCAGCTTGACTTGACCTCGACATCGGCAAAAGCCAGCGCAAGCTTCAGCTGTGGACGTAGCACGTTCGCCTCCGAAGTCCGACCAAGACGGACCAGGCACTCGTGGAAGCCGTGCAGCGCCCACACGTTGTTCAAGTGCTGCAACTGCCGCGGTAAGGTGTCGTTCATACCCAGATCAGCAGCGTACACCTCGCAAGCCTCCTCCACCTTTCCTTGCTCGAGCAGGAGAGCGCCGTACGCATGTCGTGCCGGCTGCATCCAGCCCCATGGCTCGTCATAGGGGAGCGTGTCGTCCCGTTCGACGGCCGTGCGCAGCGACGTCCAGGCAGCCTCGTAGTCCGCCTTTCGATACGCGATCTCGCCATCGAGCATCGCCGCAGCGATCTGCAGTATGTCCGTGCACCTGTTGTTGAACAGCGTGCGCGATTCCGGCACGCGGGCGGCCGCGTCGCGGAACCTGTCTCGATACGCAACCGCGTCATCGACCCGGCCCAGCGCGGCGGCCGCTACGCCTTTGCCGTAGTACACCATGGCGGTGGTGTTGCAGTACAGCTGCGAGTCTGACGGAACGGGCAGATCCAGAAGGTCGTGCCACTTTCCAAAGCGGACGAGCACGTGGACACGCACCGCTATGAAAGACTCGATCCAGTCGGCCATTGGGGGGGACGTGAGGCGCAGTAGGTCTTCCGTGATTGTACTTTCGAGCCTCGACGCCAGAGACAGGGCGAGTTTGGACTGCCCTCCCAGCATCGCGGCGTAGATGGCGAAGTGGTAGTCGTGACATCTGTACAGCGTGTAGAAGTTGACACCTCCTCGTTTGGCGAGGAAGGCCTCGTCCGCACGAGCTGCCTGCAGGTTTGAAGCAATTGCCCGTCTGTAGTCCCCACAGAGCACGTCCAAGTGCGTTGGCATGTGCTGCAGATGGCCGGCGTCCGGCACAAGACTGCGTAAGCCATCTGAGATGGCCAACGCGTTCTCTGGGTGTGGCGACATCTCCCAGAAGTGTATGTACAGATGCAGCAGTCCGGGGTGCTCCAAAGCACCGGGCAGCTTGAGCGCATCGTCAAGAATGCCCTTGACCTCTCTCGTCGGCGCGTCGGGCGACGGCTCGCCCGTCTTGATGTCCCACAATTGCCAAGGCTTCAGATTCATCAGCGCATCCACACAGAGCGCGGCGACGTCGAGATCTGTGGGAAACTGCGTGTGCACCCGTCTCATGGCCTCGGCGTAGCTGTCGTTCCAAATCGTCAGATCCTCTCCGGGTTTCTTCTCCGGGTATCGCTTTACGATGGCATCACACAAGGCCCTCTCCACGTCAGAGCCACGTTCGGCGGCGTGCTTGCTGGCCTTCAGGACTGCCTCGTGGGTCCGCTCCACGGTTCTGCGAAGCTCGTCGCCGTCGTAGAATTCCCAAGGCTTGTTGTAGTTTGGACCAAGCGCATATGCCAGACCCCAATATGCCAGAGGACAACTTTCGTCGTGCAACAGCGCTTGTTCGAAGCAGTACACCGCCTCTTCGTGGTTGAAGCTGTAGCACCATATCAAGCCACGGTTGAACCAGTGACGAGACTCATCGTTGGATGCCGAGATGTTGCGACGATATTCACCTAAATTGAAGTACGGATCCTTCGACGGAATGGGAACGCCTTTCATTGTGGCCTGGGAGGTGTTGGCGCAAGGATATTTTCTTGAGGTGCAGGCTATGGTTTCTTTATTACAGTTACGAGCTCCAGATCACACCACATGTCACGTGGGAGACATCCAATCTATTCATCTGCCAACACTCGTTCAAGCTGCTCCCTCTCTGCGGAGAAGCAAATTATACCAAGTTTCGAAAGACTTTAGAACGAATTCATGACTCTTCCGGTTGACAGTTATACCATGGCCGGACACAACTACAAACTTCCTCCTCACGCGAAGTTCTAAGCATGCATCGGGCACTAAGCCGCCTTTCCCGTTGATCCACAAACGTCCATCTGCCACTCTGTCAATTTCTGTGCTTTCTGGACGCCTTCTTCCATCAGCTTCGTCAAGCTCGTCGTCGCTGCGTTTTGTTGCAAATAGACAAGAGCATCATCCAGCACTAGCTTGTTTACATTCACCTTGCTCACGCCCCTCTTAATGCACTCCTTCATGACATCCTCTGGGAACCCGTTCGTACCATGCATGGCGATCCGAAGACGGCCGTTAATGGCTGTTCGAATGTCATCAAGGCGTGGGAAATCGAGCTGTGGACCTGCTGGGCCGTATTCTCCATGGATGTTACCAAAAGCTGGCGCGAGAATATCGACGCCCGTGGCATAAAAATCTTCTACATCGTTCGCTGTTGTCAACACGGCGGCCAGATCTGCAGTATCTGCAATCCCATCTTCACCTCCCTCAATACGTCCTGGCTCTGCTTCGGTTGCCTTGGATAAAATGCATTAGCCTCGACGAACCATTGAGTTAGAGCAAATAAAAAAAGACCTACAATTCCCCTTTCATGACAATATTGCACCAATTCTTTCGTCTTGGCCAGATTCTCTTCCCGCTCGTGATGTGACATGTCGACCATGATCGAATCGAATGGTAGAGTATCCGCAGCGAGTCGTATCATGTCCTCGTCCTGTGCGTGGTCAAGATGAACGGATACAGGAACCGAAGCAGTTTTCGCTGCCTGAGCAGCGGCATGTACTAGCAAGCCATTCGAAAATGTGATGGCCCATGGAAACATCTGAATGATGAGCGGCGATCTTTTCGCTTCCGCCGCGCGTATGAACGCAATTATGTGCTCGATCTTTTCATTCGGTGTCAATATGTCATGTCCCTTTGACCATCGCTGCGGACATTGTCAAGCAAGTCCAGTGTTATATCAACGTACATTGTACACAATCGGGGCGACGACGCCATATTTGCCCTCTTCGGCAGCCTTTAGGATTTGAAGGGTCTTGTTTGACTCTGCTGTAACCGTTGACATTGTGATTGGTGAATTTCTTCTGGATTTTTTTTGGCTCTTCTTGGATCAATGATCTTGATATTCAGATATAAATTCCAGTATTTAAATGCTCGGGGACTGGATTTGAGCCATGGAGCGCAGTCGAGCTGGCCCCGAGCTCGGTAGCGCGTGTGGAGCTCTCCATAGGCCTTCGAGACGGGGTGTCGTGGCGACGATTCCGGCACTTTGGCCTAGCCCCAGCCGTCGTTGATGTGAAACGAGATGATCAACTGCAGTCGAGGCCGCAAAATCATGACCTCGGCACTCTTGAGGGCGGCATTGATAGCAGTTTTCAAGGGGAGCAGATATGGGAGCAACGAGGAGAATGCCGAAGGGCGTTAGATCTATCGAGGTGGAGCAAAAAACTTTGGACCTCAGATCAAGAATGAGGAAGTGGGCTCACTTTGCACTCTCGCAGTCGCCCAGCAGACCTTGGATAAACTTAGCAATCTATCTAGACACACGACATGAATGCAAAGTCATACACGCCGCGCTGGTGAGTTCGCACGCGACTGTGACACACTCTCGACACACGCTGGACCCTGGAAATCGCCTGCGGGACTAATCCCCAATCTGTGCCGGGTGGGTCCATTCAGCCTCCTTCGCGATTGATTCTCCAAGACCGAGATATTAGCAATACAGGCAAACCCGTCGCCCGGAGTGAAGCCAGAGTTGCGCTCTATTCGAGGAGCGGCCGCAGAGACTGTGAGGCGTCACCTGCCAGCGGGTCCCGCTTCAGCAAGGAGGGTACGTCAGGTCCGGCGCCCTCGCCGAACGTCGCCACGATCGCGCTCATATTTGCCCTCGCAGTGTCGGACACACAAGGTATGAGTTGGCCAAGTGCACTCTGCTAGAGACGAGAAAAGCTTGGGAAAATCTTGGACGGACGTGGAGATTGCGCAGCATCGGCTTCATCGAAAGCTGCCCAGAGCCGCAAACCGAAGTCGACTAATCATCGGCCCATTGCAAACGTCCGCATCGGCAGCCATCTTCGCTCGCTCATTACTCCTTTAATACCGTCCGATTGTGCACAGAATTAATGAATGAACTTTCTTGTTAAGCGGCCACAGGAACCTACAACTACGACCGCTTGGAATTGCAGCCCGCTAATCTGAACATATTTCCATACACTGATCTGGCTACGATGGCGGAATCAAACGGCAGTGAGAAGCCCGTAATCTCAGATGCACAGCTGTCTGAAGTTGTACGTCGCCTCAACGACTACGTCCGTGGCAGCGACTAATCTTACCTGCACAGATACCTTCGATCATAGAGGACTGCCTCTACAACATAATACACGATATTGTTTTGGAGGTACATCGCACCGAGAAACAGCTTCGCATGACATCTGTTGCGGTCCAAGCTGAGCGAATCGCCTCACAAGCAAGCGGAGCGCCTCCCACACCTACAACTTCGAATTCTACGCCTTCGAAAGCTGGCGGCCCACCTTCTACAGCGCCACAAATAAGCATTCCCGTGCCTGGAGGCCACTACGAAAATGGAAAGGTGTACTTAAAAGGCAACACATTGAAACAGGTGAAAGATATATATTGCCCACACTGCAAGCTCCCCCGGCTCCTCTTTCCTGTAACAGGAGCGGGAGCACGCCTCCCAGACGACCCAAACGTGCAGTACTGCAACCTGCATCCCTTCATTCAAAAGCCAGGTCATGACATATATGGAAATCCTTTCCCAATAGATCAGACGAATAAAACCAAGAGGGAAAGAGAGCTCATCAAGAAGCAAGAGAAGGCGGAGAGGGATAACACTCCGGGCAGCCAAGACACAAATGAAGACGGTGGAATAACGGGTGAGCAATTTGTAAAACGCATGCTTTCTGGTGGCAAGCCTGCAAGTTATGTGCCATGGCACACGTGTCCGCTGTGCAAACGTAGCTTGCTTATCACGAAGTTTGCGCAGCATCTAGAAAAATGTCTAGGCATCGGTGGTCGAGCAGCTCGAAATACAGCGGCTGCTCGTCTCTCAGGTATGAATGGAAGCGCGAGTGGCAGCGTACAAGGCAGCCGGATGGGCACTCCTACTCCTTCTTCCCAAGGACGCCGAGATCAAGACGACGACGATGACGACACGGGTCCACCGAAGAAAAAGAGCAAGAAGGAATTGTCTTTCAAAAAGGACAAAAAGGAGAAACTCAAAGAGAAGCTGATCATCAAGGTAAATGCCAACGCAAAAGACGGCAAAAAACTCTCGAAGGGCGCAACGAGCAACCCGACCGAAAACGGGAAGGGCGATGGCACGCCAAGCAGGAAGCGAGATAGAGAAGATACGGCTGATGATATACCCTTGGCAAAGAAGGCCAAGATCAAAGGAGAAGACAGCAGCACTGGGAGTCCGTGAGCTCCCTGGTGCACATATGACTGTCAGTGCAAGGAAGGACGAGTTTAGCATATAATGAGCGAGGGACTTTAGGCGTTGGGTGCGGACTGCAATGTTTATCGAAAGTCAGCGTATACTATACCATTACAACGCAGAAGGGTCAGGGCGACGTTGCACGTCGGATGGATTTGCATTCTCACAGGCGTCGTGGAAGGTACAGGGCCATGTATCGTTACCCCTACATCATCAGCATCTCGATATCTACTCGAAATTACTAGTGACAGGAGTAATGGTCTCCCGAATACAGATGAGTTCACATTTACCCATAACACCAATGTCATGATCATAACCAGTTCAACGTGTCACATGTTTACAGATTGGCAACCCCATCCGCCAATGCCCTCAAGAATACGGAGAGTGCGTACGCCCCAGGATCTGGAGGGTTTTCACGCAGCTCCTCCGCCTTGTCGCCTACATATGTGGCCCTTCCGAACTTCGCCTTCATCCCCGCCGTGCTTCTTGCACCCTCCTCGGCAGCCTGCACAGCGGCTTCCAGATCGCTTGTGTTCTGCAACGTCTCGCAGAACGGAATGAATGTATCCATGACAGTACGGCCGCCTACGCGAGCACTGGTATACTTCATGAGGCCCTCGATAGCGGGACCGACGGCCTTGGAGACTGTCTCGATCGTAAGGGTTCCGCTGCTCTTCTGTTGGCGGATACTATTTGTGAATGCTGTGAGCAGGATAGCGATAATTGCAAACAGGGATCCGCCAATGTCTTCTACCGTGTCGACGATTATATCCATCTGCTCGAGGAAGGAAGTGCTCGTTATCGCCTTCGCATCGAGCTGGGCTAAAATGGCTGTGCAGGCACCAGCGACGGCTTCGCCGCAGTCTCCATCCCCCATCTGAATGTCGTATTTGGTAATCTCAGGCTCAGCAGCAATAGCCGCGTTACAAGCCTTCCGCAAGACTTTTTCTAGCGATTCAGGATTAACTTGAGGGCCGATGTCAGCCTCTGATGGCGAAGGCTTGGTGAGTTCTTCCATTTTGCCGTTGGTATAAATACCGTTAGTAGGTGCCTTTGTGGCATAGCCATTCTTTGGCCAGGCGGGAGCAGTGGTTGGGGCATCCAACAGCCTCAAAACCTCCTCTGATGTAGAGTTGATAGACCGTGCAACTCCGCTGATGTTTGCGAGGCTTATCGAAAAGCCAGGTCCGTTGAGAGACGTCTCAAAGACGGAGACGAAATTGCGCACAGGCTTGATCTTCCAATCCTTTTCGAGCAACTGGAGGGTAACATCGGCTAGAGCCTCGAGTTCAAAGACAGACAAGCCGCCAAAGTTGTTGATCAGCAAAGATACCTCGTCGCCCTCTCTGAACTCCACAAACGCTCTCTCACTGTCATTTGGATCTAGAAGGAATGACAGCATCTTTCCTACGATCTCTTCGGGTGACGGCATTGGCGAAATCGTGAGCAAGCCAGGCTCGTTGTGAATACCCATCCCCAGAACGCATGCATCGTCCGCAACTTGCTCGTGATGGGCTCGACCAGGTATGTGACAATGGTCTAGGCTTGTTCCCACGGTCACCAGATTTGCATTGATTTGGGTTCCAATTTCCACGCAACGCTCGAAAGACCAGCCCTCTTCAGCTGCAGCTCCCACAAGCTTTAGGACTTGTCTTTGTCAACTGAGGCCCACGACTCACCCAAAGCAATGTTTCGAACTCACCATACATATTCCCGGCCAGTCCTCGTCTTCCCAAGCCTTCGGACTTCTTTCTTCCCAAGGCAACATCTTCAGCTAGACTGATGACAGCGACATTTTGACCGTTGGCAGCTGCTTTCTCCCTCGCCAAACCGAAGTGTAGATTATCTCCAGTGTAATTCGTAATGCAAAGGATCAACCCAACATCGCTGGGAACGTGTCTCACGCCTGCCATGATCTGTTTGGTGGAAGGGCTAGCAAACACTTCTCCGCTGACAGCGGCACTGAGCATGCCGTCACCAACATAACCAGACCATGCTGGCTCATGGCCTGCACCACCTCCAGAGACGATTGCGATCTTCGACGGAGAATGTGTGGTCGAGTATACAACTTTATTTGCTTCATCCAAGGCAAGGTGATTATTTCTGGAGACGAGAGACCGAAGGCCTTGTACTACGACACCAGTCGTTTCTTTGAAAAAGTGTTTGCGGGACATGATGAGACTGTGTTGAAAGGCAGCGGAAACTACGAAAACACAGCCAAAGAACGAGTGATATAAGGGAAGAGAAATGCGACGAAGGTACAGGCTGGCCTAATAAGTGCAACACATTCCCCGCCCCGGAGGTTCCTGGCCACCGGGAATGGTCAATTTGGAACTATTCCTACCATGATTGTACTTCCCGATGCCGCCGAACATGCGGTTGCCGCAATATGGACAGTCTCGTGGTCGCATTACCCAAAGCGGTAATCCGCCTCCACTACGACGAGATGGTTCGTCATTAGAAAAGGGAACAGCCTGTGGGCACAGACACGTTTCGAGCATTTTTCTTCTAGTTCCTACGGGTAAAGGTTTTCGAATAAAGGCCAGCTTTTTGGTCTCGTTCAGCGCGTCGAAACGAAGACAGAACTTGTCGAAGGCGATGACTAGGATCCAAGGAATCAGTCGCGAAGGGTCCAAGTACCCCGTCTCGAGCATGGCTTAGTAAGGTCAACTCCGCCTATCAACCAATAACACCCGTCGCCTCTCCGTGGGGATATCAGTTGCCTCGCAGTGCCACGACGCGGTCGCGCCCACATCTGAACGTTCTGGAGCCTGTAGCCCGGATGTCGTTCTCGGTATCGCTCGGTGATGAATTGCTTTTGCTAGCGGAGCACATGCTGCTCACATGATCGTGGGAGGACGTATATATGATGACCAGCCGGACGCACAATGAGGTACATCTTTTATCGCAAAATTGGTCCAAATTGATTCTGTTCTCTTCAGAGTTTTTTACCCGTCTGTCTGATACGCACCATTATACGTCATTGCCAATACAATGTCTACCAACGGAGTAAGCAACGGGGTCTCCAACGGAGTCTCCAACGGAGTTCACACAGCCCAGCCAGCTAATGGGCCAGCACCACCTGTTCTGGGCTCTGGAGTCGACGCTCCATATCTGAGCACAGAGCCATCGCCAGATCAGTCATGGCAGATTACGCTGAAGGAAAAGGTCATTGCAATCACGGGCGCAAATCGGGGAATTGGTCTTGGCATTGCGCAGGTCTGCCTTGAGAATTCAGCACGGGTTGTGTATTCATTGGACCTCATGGAGCCCGGAGAGGACTTCACTGCCATGTGCAAAAAGCACCCGAATCTCAAGTACGTTCGTACGGACGTCACGAATGAGGAATCCATCGAGGCTGCCCTTGACAAGATCATCGAGACGGAGGGACGACTAGACGGCATGGTTGCCAACGCTGGCATGACCAAGCATCAGCCTGCTCTTGACTTTACGAGAGAGGAGGTTCTGAAGCTTTTCAACCTCAACGTCTTCGGTGCTTTCTCGTGCGCTCAAATCGCAGCGAGAAAATTTATCAAGCTCGGGATCAAAGGCAGTATCGTTTTCACGGCCAGCATGACCAGCTATCGCCCTAACCGGGCCGCGCCAAGTGCTCCATATGGAGGAACAAAGGGAGCGATCAGAAATATGACACACACACTCGGTAAGTCGAAAGGATGAAAGTCAATAATGCTGTGCTCGTTCGCTAACCTAAGTGCCTAAGCCATGGAATGGGCCAAACATGGTATCAGAGTGAACTCCATCTCACCAGGCTTTGTTCGTACAGCCATGACATATTACGTCGAAAAGTCACCGGACTGGAACCTCAAGATGCAATACTACGGGGGCATGCCACGCTTGGCCATGCCACAAGAACTGGGAGGCGCCTATGTCTATCTGCTAAGCGACACTGCAAGCTACACTACCGGCATTGACATTCCTATTGCAGGTATCGTTGGTGCTTGGTAATGGGTGTGTGAAAAGCAAATGAAAAGTCACGATGCATTCTTGGCGTTAAGGATATATGTCTTTCTGGTATCTAGAGGCGTATAGTGCAGTACACAGATGGTTCAAGTTGAATCGCCCAATGTAGCATGGTCACGAGTCTGAATGTTAGAATAGAAAAGGTGTCTTGATATCTGGCCAGCTCTTGTACACTTCCACCATCGGCTTTACCACTGTCATATCTTGACACGAGAACAAATTCATCTATCAAGCAACGGCCTATTGCTTGCTAAAGAATTTCTCAAAGTTTCTTCGTAAATTTCTGTCTCCTCACAGACGATTTCTATAATTTCTGCATGTTTATATGCTACGGGCATAACTTTGTCTAGACATTCACAGAAGCAATACTTGCTGCCGAGATAGTGCCACTTTCTTACAGGTTCTGTACCTATGCGGATGGTAAATATTGACGTTTACATGTCTTGTCGCATCTGTCTATTATAAAGCGGCTGGCTCTTCTGCCCATAGCACTTTCTTTAGAATCGGTTCGTGATGTGACTTTGAAAATGTTGGGATTCGCGAAATGTTGTGTATTCAGAGAAAAGAACGATTTCTTTATAGAAATTAACAGAAAAGAAAGTACTTGAACGACACAATTTGAAGGTGGGAAGAGGACAAGCGAATCAAAATTTTTCCTTTTCTGAAATTTATGACGGATGAGCTCAAAAATTTGTTGAAAACATGTTTGACCATTTGATCATGAGACTTATGCTAAGAAATGTGAAAATTCATAGATCTACAGGTGATTCATTACACATGTAACACGACTTGATATTTACAATATCCTGACTTCGCCTTTGGATTATTCACACACCGACACCGTCAGGTCCGACAACAGCACGCTTATTCGGGAACTTTCGTACCATAATATGTGCCGTAATGTAGACGCAGATACCAAAGAAGCACATCCCTGTGATTACGCCAAAGCCTTTGAGATACTTGGGCGCGTCAGACGATGGGAAGAGGTAAGCACCGTAAATTTGAGCAAGATTTCCGAGTGCGTTGACCAAGGCGAGAGCTACTGCTCGCACTTCTTGCTGCATAGAGCCGAACGTTGAAGCAGCGTATGACAGGGCCAAACCGTTGGATGCCCAGAGACCAGCCGCCATGAAAATGAGGAGGACGTAGCGAGCAGTGAAGTTGTAGACCAGACAGACGACCAAGCTGCAGATCATAGCAATAGTGAGCCAGCTTGCAATGACTAGACCGCGCATATGTGGGAATTTGTCCATGAAAAAGCCAGTGCATGCCACAGCAACAAATGCCACGGCATAGATTGGAACCACCATGTACTGAGCCATGTGTGCAGTGTAGCCAAGGCCCTTGACTAGAGTGGGGTAGAAATAACTGAGGGTTGAGGAGCCCACAATCACCATGTATCCGGCCACCATGATCCAGGTTCGCCAGTCACTGAGAGCCTTGACGAGCGCCTGGATAGATGTCAGACTCGCAGTGTCCTCTGTGCGTGTCTGAACATTATCTGCTGCCAGTCGAGCAATGGCCAAGGCACGTTCCCGAGCAGAGAATTTCTTCGTAGTGGAAGGAAAATCTAGAAGAATGAAGCTCGCAATGATGGCCCATCCCTAAGAATTTGTCAGTTTTCTTTTTCAGACTTTCTGCGGAGATGTGCTCAACGTACCGAAGTAGCGACACCTTCGACAATGAAAAGCCATCGCCAACCAGCAATTCCGTGTGCTCCATCAAGTCCACCAGTGATGGCTCCAGCAAGCAGACCACCAAACGCGCCAGACAAAACGGCGGCAGAAATGTATACCGCAAAGCGCTTCGACTGCTCGTTCTTCTTATACCAAGAGGAGAGGATCAGCAAGATACCGGGAGCAAAACCAGCTTCAAGAATGCCGACGATGAGTCTGAGGACTATCAAGTGGTGATAGGTCTTAGCTGCAGCCATGCAGCAAGTAACTGCTCCCCAGAGGAACATAATCACGGGCAGGAAGACGCTGGGTCGTGTCCTTGTTAGGATAAGATTGGAAGGAACTTCGAAAACGACATATGTGATCTAATCTGGTCAGTCTTTTCGCTTTTCACATTTTCCTATTTCGCAGACGTACAAAGAAGACGATGAGAGCAATCGAATATTCGCCTGAGGTCAGATGCATTTCATCGGCCATGCCGGCAATTTTGGCATTGCCAATGTTGGTGCGGTCCATGTACGACAGAAGATACATGATCCATATTGTCGGCAGCAGGTACAAGTCAATCTTCCTGACCAGTTTCTTCTCCTCCTCCGCAAATTGCTTGGAATTGGCGCTTAGCTCCTCGATGTACTGCTGCTCGTCTTTGGTTTCAATTTCAGCTCCTGATTGACCCATGGCGTGAGGATTGTCGAGTCCAAAACCTGCCAGCGTACGGGACGAAGAGATTGAGATGACGAATGATGCGCCGATCTAAACTCGAGGGTCTAGCTTGGGAGCAGAAGGTGCTTATAGAGTTTGCAAAGGGCGCGAATGTCCGGGGTGAGTCAAGGTGTGAAGCCAATGAGCAACAACTGAATCAGGGTGAGACACCTGGATTCGAGACAACTTCTCGAGGGAAAGTTCGCCAGGCGATGAAGACGGGAGATGTATCACAAAGGCCTACTTTATATGCATGTCAGGCTCGTGCCGGTAGAGTTCTTCTCCAAGAAAACCGACTAGGCTAAACCCATCCGTCGCCCCGGGGCACACTCCAGATTTTTCTGCTTCGTCTGCGGGGAGAACATGTCAGGTCGTGTCTGCATAGGCCAAAGCATTACGGCACGAGCACTGGCACTTCGAGTGGTTCGAGCTTCGGTCAAGTGTGCGGGTTGTCCACGCCATCGGACCAATTCATGTGCTGGGAACGCCAAGACCTGGCGCGCTAGCTGGAGACAGCCCCGAGACGAGCATGATCTAGACCCACATTTTAGCCAATCCCCCTCGCTCGTCTGATCGCTTCTTCTCCAGACTTTTTTTGCGGAGAAATGGATCCCGGGTTGCCGCGAGCTATATCGAGCTCGTCTCTGGCCATTTGAGAACCGAGACGATGAATCCTTTTCAACTTGACCGATGCTGCCATCACATACAGCCGCTGTCATGTCGGGTAACCCACCCGCTACCGCTGCACCTGAGTCAAGCAAGGCGAAGAAGCCCCGAAAGTCCCGATCCAAAGGACTGCGAGCCACAACAGGCTGCAAGACATGTCGGAGTCGCCATATGAAATGTGACGAAGCCAAACCCCGATGCGGTCCATGCAAGCGAAGTGCTCGAGAATGCGAGTATGGAGATCCGACTCAGGTACGTCAAGTGCACATGTTGAAATGCCTGTACCAGACTGTGGCGATTCACGCACGTTTACAATGACGACCATGGCTCCCAGCGCATCACGATTGAATCTGGAGGGCACATGTTTGCCGAAATTTGCTTTCTTTGTTGCGGGTAGTGTAGGGTATGGCGTTGCAATTGCGTACGCCTTGGTACACAAATCTAAGATGACTCTTGCGGATTTCTCTTTGCACATTGATTCTATTGAGCGAGATTTCGAACAGCAGACTGATTGGAATTTGTAGAGAGCAAGGCCGGCGAGAGAGGCAAGGCCCGCGACATCCACAAGGCCGGATCCAATAAGAGAAGAAATTGCGGCCAGCAATGACCGTCAGTCCGGATATGAGGCTGAGTCCAAAGTAGCCAGCAGCATCTCCAGAGACATACCGGAGAAGAGAGAGAGCTTACCTGAACCTCCGTGGGAACAAGCGAATCCGCTTGAGGTCTTCAATATCACAAGTCCACAGTCAACGCTTAGCTCCACTGGTTTTGGACTCGACGCTCCGTTACGGTGGTTTGACTTGCTCGCTGGCGATGCTAATGCCAATGACAAGGAATTCTCCATGGACCTTTTTAGCTGGGGTGATGCAGCGACGGGTGAAGCGTCGATAGCTCACAATATCGCGGTAAGTCGATCAAACAACACGTTTCCCGCGTCGTGGTTATGTGTCATGCCCGGTGTCGACAACCATGACCTCGAGACGATTCATTTGCCTAAGCGACGGTGTTTCCCCACAACTGATCCGCTAAACAGCATACGCCAGCGGGGTCTCAGCCTTCTCCAGCCTTTGCTGAAGTGCCTTTGCTTCCGCCCACGCCTCTGGACGTCCCAAACAGCTTAGCGAGGGAACCGTGGCAGGTTGCGTATCATCTGCAGGCACGCGAGCTCCCGATATTTCGGCGATTTGTGGATCGCATCGCTCTCTGGATGGACTTATTGGATCCAATGAAGTAAGTCCCGCGTGCTCTTATGTTTTGTTGGACGCCCATCTCCATTGTCAGGCGATCACCTGAGTGCTAGCCAGTGTGGGCTGCTCGTGGACCAAGACGATCTTTGCGCTGCAAATGAATTTTGAATGGATTTTTCATTACATAAAAATGGTCGCTATGAACTGCGAGATGAGTCTATCCACGCCAGCGCGGTCACTAAACATGTTTGCAGACACTTCTCGACTTTCGTACCTCATCTTGCCTTGGACAACGAAGGGTTGATGCTATCGATTCTTGCATTGGGAGCTCGTCACATGTCCATCAAGCCGTCCCCAGGTACCGAAGATGTGGATCGAAACGTATGTTCCGAAGCTTCTCCTTCTCCACATAGGCTTCTCCTCCCCAAGCTTTAGCATTGTTTGAGCGACAAACTCCATATGCCGAAACGGCTACCGCTTGCTGCAGGCTATTTGTACTCCATTGATCGATCCTACTAACATGCTATTTTCAGGTTGCGGTAGAATACTATTACAAGACCTTGCGCTACTTGCAGGGTGCCATGAAGTACGAGTCATACAACCGAAGCTTGCACCTGCACGCGACTGCACTTATAGTTTCCATGTACGAGATGATCGACGGTTATGGCAAGGGCTGGGAGCGTCATCTCAAGGGGGTGTTCTGGATTCAGCGTAGCCGCAACATAGGTGCCGAGACGCCAGGCCTAGAAGGCGCTGGCTGGTGGGCCTGGTTACGACAAGACGTGTGGGCCGCATTTCGGGAAAGAAGACGAGTGTATACTATTCACCGAACGGTTAAGCGGTATGATGAGATGGTATGTTATTCGATGAAATTTGCGCCGGCGGAAATGCAACAGCCTCCCGCACCCATGCTCAACGCCAGGCTTGTGAGAGGCCGGAACGAATAGCATGTTGTTGTGGGAGGTTTGGTGAACGTCTTGATGCCACGAGAACCAGGCTTTCGATTGCGAATGATTTACTGAACATGCAGCTAACCTTTGACAGAACCAGTATGATCTTGCTTCGAAATCAGTATACCTACTGGCCCAATGCGTAAATTACAGCTCGGAACAGGACACCCGCGACAGCGTCAACAACCTCAGCGCCCGTATACATCGCGCTCAGGCCCTCCACAATTTACTCGAAGAATGGCATCGAAATCTTACAGTACACTTCGCTCAGCTTCCCTGGCCCGGTACAACCAACGAAGACGACGTCTTCCAGCCCATTTGGATCAACCCGGCCCCCCTAGCCGCATCGATGCAGATGTACTACTTTGCCAGAGTGCTGCTGTTGGTCCACGAGCCTAGCGCCGGGGGTTACACGGAGTTCACGCGACGTGAGAAACAGCTTAGCGAGGCTGTCGAGGCCATCTGCGGAATCGCCATGACGATCACGGACGAGCCTGCGACGATCACGTCGACACAGTGTCTCTTCGCTGCAGGCCTGTACACACGTAGCCAAGATGTGCAAAAGCGAGCGGCCATCATGAAGCTGATTGACGAGGGCCAGATACGGACGGGTTGGCCCGTGAACTCTTTGACAGAAGAGCTTCAAGCTGAATGGAACTTGGCAGACACTCGCTGAGACTCGCATGAACTGGATATTAACTGCATTTACGACTATACAGCATCCTGGCCTACATTCATTCATGCAAAAATAGGCTGACAACAGCTGAAGCACTATCGCAGCGAAGCCACTTGGAGGCCTTGCTATCGTTACGACCTGATGTGGCATTCCCTTCGTTGTTGATGAGGATAGATAATCCGAACGAATCGTCGTTCATCTGCGCATTCTCGCCGTTGCCTCTGCTGCAGAGGACGGAGAGGCAGCGGAGCCCTACGAGGCGCGAGACTGAAGAGTTTGCGTTCTGCTGCTGCGACGAGAGGTAAACCCAGCGTCCAGATTCTGAATGTGGCGAAAAATATCCACATCTACAAACTATTTTGTCTGGATAGGGAGACATGGTCATGGAAGTGAAAAAGTGCGAATAGCAAAAGAAAGATGACGCAAATCTGAAAGATCTGGCGAAAGGACTCGATGGTCCGACTCCAACTATGTGGGTGCGGCCTTCAGCTGTTCATCAGCATGTGTATATTATTATGATACGTAGTCGATTATCACGAAGACAACTCGACTTCTTCAAAACGATGCGACCTCTTTAATGCACCCTACCCAATTCTCTTGCTCTCTGAGCAAGAACACTTAAATCCAGCATGCTACCTTCGCTCCCTGCCTCTGGCATCTCTTCACCGCTGTAAATGACGTGCACAACCATTCGAGGGTGATACTTCAGGCCGTTGAGTAGCTTGGGGGTGACGAGGAAATATTGTGACGTGTTCTCAGAGCATGCAATGTCCACCATGCGTTCGTGAACCATTCGTTCATTGCGCGGGTCCATACCCTGGTTGATCTCGTCGACGACGCGGAAGGGCGAGCGAGCCATCGATTGAAGAGCCATGAGATAGAAGATTGTCGAGACTGCTCGTTCTCCACCGGATTGGCGATGTGAGTCGAGGACGGCTAGCTCTTCATTCTCGCTGCTCATGCTGTCAGCCAGTTGCAGACCGAAACCAAGGAGAATAGATACGTACCGGAACTTTACTTCAATCTGAATCGCCCATTCCCTAAAGTCGTGGTCGTCTTTTCGCACCCTCACTTGTCCCGCACAACCAATCCTCTCAAAATTGTGGGAGAAGGCAGCACTGATTTTCTCCACCAGTTCATCCAGCTCAGGTTCCCATTTCCGTCTCAAGTCATCAATCTGCGCGTTCAGAGAATCCAAGTCTGTCTGGAAGTTCGCGATGCGATCCTTAACTTTCTCGATATCACGGCCACGCTGTTCAAATTGCTCAAATATTCGTGGATTACCCTCGTGCATCAACTCGATGCGCTGACGAGTTGAGACAATTTCCCCGTCGAGGTGCTCCACACTGGTCCGTTCATCATCCGTGGGCTGCCCCGTCTCCAGGTCCAAGCCCTGTAGCCACCTGGTCATAATCTCCTCGAGTTGCTCACCGTTCTCTAATGTCGCTCTTTTACGCTGAGCGTCCTGTATTTCTTTGACTAATCTTTTGCAAATCACAGTTTGCTCCTTAATACGCGCCTCGAAATCTCGGATCTCGACTCTTCGCTGCTCAAGCATATCTCGTACACGCTGACTTTTCTGGATAAGATGACCTAACTCAGACTCTCCTTCGACGAGCTGGATCTCAAGTTCGGCCATCTCTTCGTAAATTTGCATGCTTCGTTCAAGAGCGATCGTATGATCGATAGCCAGTTGTGCTCGCTCAAGTAACAAACCCTGTTTACGTTGAGCAATGTCGCGAAGGCGGTCGTGAATCTCGTTTTGATGTCTCTGTTTTTCTTCTCGACGCTCGACCATTGTTTCTTTCCATTCTGTTAGTACTTGCAGTGCAATAAATGAGTCTGGGTCTTTTGGACACGTACGAATCTTACGCGGCAAAGCTTCCCATTCACTCCTCGCCTTCTGGCGATCCAACTTTTCCGTGGTAATCGCTTGCTAAGTAGCCGTTAGCAGAGTTCACACATGAAGTTCTTAAAACAAAAAAAAAGAGACTACCTTTTCATCCTCTAGTGACTCTCTCTGTTCCTTCAACTCATTTAGCTTCTGTCTAATTGGTTGAAGTTCCTCCTGCAGTTCTGCAGCATCCACCTCAATATCCCTCAATTTTCGCTGCGCTTGTCTGATTGCTTCTACATCGCCGCCTCCAGAGCTATTCCAGAATTGTGCGGGTCTCACTTGTGACACAACTGTGGACACGGCACTAGGACCGTACTCGCGTCGTCGGTTGACCCTGTACGAGTTCTTGCCCGCTACCCAGGACTGAATCGGCGAATTCTGGAGACGCTCAAATTGCTCTTCTGTAGAATCATGTAGCGAAACACCAGTCCTATGCAGTCTCACTGCATCGCAAAGCATTGAGAGCACCGGCTCTGGGCCTTGGAGAAGGTCGCTAGCGAACTCGTCAAGCCCGTACTCGGCTAGTGCTTCCTTCGCCATGGGCGACTCCCAGAAAGACAAGGGTTTCGGTGCAACCTTGCTATGGATATCCTTGAGACGTAGCTGGTTCTGGCATATCTGCCTGAACTTGTTCCAATCGTCCTTGTTTGTAGCCGTGAATGTGAGAAAGTCGCCTCTCATCAAAAGCGACTCGAGAGCCCCTGCATATCGGGGATCCCTTACACTGCATTCCACAAGAGGAGGGCCATATATCTTCTCCTTGAACTCGGCCTGGTGCGTCTGTAGCCATTTATAGGCCTCGAGCGTGTCTGGAGACGCCTGCATCAGCTTCCGTGTTTGCTGTCCGGAAGCAGACTGCAAGTCCCTGATCTCATTCTGAATTGCTGCAAACTCGGCGCTCTTAGCTTCTGCACGAGCTTTTATGTCCGCTTCTTGAGCCTTTATATCTTCGGCTTTTCGTACAAGCTCACGAATCTGTAGATCTTTCTCTCTGATGCGTGCGTTGTAGGAGGCGCCATCAACAGCAGCCGGCTCTTCAGCTCTTTGGTCCTCCATTTGCTTGATTTCACGATCAAGACGCTGAATCTCCGGGATACGCTTTTTGTAGTTGTTGATTTCAGCATTGCGTTCAACCTCCAGTGCGGAGATCTTGTTTGCCTTGTCTTCAGCGTCTTTTGCCTTTTTCTCAATCTCGGTCTCGAAGCGCTTCGATATTCTGTCCGCTTCATCAACTGCTTCCTTGAGCTGTCGTACGTAAATCTCCTTCTGTTCTGTTTCCTGTAGAGCAGGAGCCACCTGCTGGGTGAGATCTCTAAGCTCCGCCTCATACTGTCTCTTGGTCCGTCTCATTTCATCATGCTTGTTCTTCTCTTGCGCGTATTGTAATGCAGGCCTCGTCATCTCCAAAGCTTGCAGCCTTGTGAGCAGCGTCTGTCGTTCCCTCATGCGATCTACCTCTACTTGTTGTTGCGCATGCCTTTTCTCCAGAGCATCAAGCTGTTTCAAATCCTCCTCACGCTTCGCCTGCATTTCTATACGCTTCTGTCCCAAGATCTTGAGCTTCACGTGCCACGCTTCCATCTCTTCCCTGGCGGCGGCCTTTTGCGTCGACTCTAGCAAGCCCACAGGTGTCATTTGCGCAAACTCGACAACTCGATCTTGTGGCAAAAATTGGCACAAATTGTCGATCTGGATGTTGAATGACTTTACGCACGCCATGACTTCCTTGTGGCTTGCCACCTTCCCGTTGATTTTGTAGGCCGACTTATTTCCCTCTCGTGTGATCGTATGTTGTATCACCGTATTTTCCCTCTGCCCAGGCTTTGCAGCAAGCTCTACCTCGATTCTGGCTTCCTTGCTACCATGCTTCACGAATTCGCCAATATTCTTCGCTCTTCCTAACACCGACGGTTTGTAGCCTAGACCTAGACATATAGCGCACACCAGTGTGGATTTTCCTGTGCCGTTAGGACCGATAATCATATTGAGACTGGGTCCGCAGTTGAACGTTGCCCTTGTGTATGTGACGAAGTTTTTGACCGCAATGCGCACGAGTGAGCCCGCCTGATGCTTCTCTGCGCCTGCTATGGCGGCTCCATGCCGATGTTTTCTTGGTGACCGGCGAAAGCTATCCGGGAGCAATTCACCTTCTGACTCTTCATCTTCAACATCGCCGTTCAGCCTTCTTCGTTTGCTGCCCTGTGAGCTTGCCGTCGACGATAAGTCCGACAATTCATCTTCCTCTTCCTCGAGGTTTCGGCGTCGCGACATGACTTTGACACCTTTTTCTCGCGACGCGAGACAAAACGAGAATATATGGCGAGAGCGTTCGCAAAGGAAATGCGACTCGGGTCTTTTGTTCACGATCGAAAATGTGTCAATCCCCCTCCAAAGTCGCGTCTCCACCTTGAGCGAACGCGTTTGGCGACTTAAGGCAGTGACCTACCAATCAGCGCCTGAGCGTTCCACGTGCGAAAAGAAGCCGCGCACGTGATCTCAGCCTCGTCTCAGCATGTATCAATCGGCAATAGGCTATGCCTCCGTAATTTCTAAGTTAGTCTTGCCCTCTTTATCAGCACGTTGCACTCTGTCCCCCGTTATTGATCTCACATCCGCGAAGATTGATTTATCATGAATTTCCATGTACTTTCTGTTTTCGCGTATTAGATCGTCAATTAGGCAAGTGGATTATTAAGAAAAAGTGGTCACGATAGCTCGAGGGAAATTCTTCAGCCCAGGGTTTAAACATGGAAAATTACTGTCCATCTTTGCGCGAGCTCAAATTGATCATATATCTGAATTTCTACCTTTTTCCACGACCCGGAGGCACGTGAGAGATTTCATGCAAAGAAAAGGACAACGACAAAAGGTTGAATTTGTTTTTCATGGTTCGCTTTTTATTGCACTTCGCTAGGCGCCGTTCGATTCAATGCAATCTAAGGGATAGAACATCTCAGCTTAGCGAAGACTTGTGGAACGTCCTCGAGCTTGGGGATGAAGTGCAGTCCAAAGTGACAACTTGCTTTGCGGAACTTCGATGCGAGAAATAGGATCACAAATAGGTCGGACCATAGGGACGGAGACTCCAGCTAAATCGCACAAACTGTGAACTGAGTATGTATTGCAGCATTTCCCTGGACGTTCGGTCCGTGCCTTAAGGTGGGTCAACTGGCAGCAGCTTATGCAAAGGTGATCTTCCGTTACCCGAGTTCGGAATGAAGCTGTTTTGACAGTACGCTTGATGGGGTGGGCCATTTCAATTGCAGTCAAGCCACAAGTTCATTCACTTGACATAAAGTATTCCCAGCTACAAAGACAATGGAAACGCTAGAAGCAGGGGAATCGCAGATAAAATAGTTTTCAAGATCTAGACGCTATGCTTATCCAAAATTCCACGTACACAATCTTTGGTATACGCTGTTTATACAATCTACCACGCCGTTGCCATAACCTGCAGCATCTCTTCGCGGCTCTACAATTCCCTCGCCTATTTTCAGTCTAGCCAATTTGCATCCTAGAATACAGACAAGAGCCACAACTTCATCCAAATCCCAATATTTATAGTTTGTATTCCTTGGGGCTAATCATAAGTTCAGGCCTCACGTACTTGTCGAAATCGGCCTCGCTCAGGGCTTTGAGTTCCATAGCGCTCTGCTTGAGCGTAAGACCCTTCTTATGCGCGTTCTTGGCGACCTTGGAGGCCATATCGTAACCGATGATTGGGTTGAGGCACGTTACGAGCATGAGTCTATATTGAAAACAAATCGTTAGCCTTGATCGTCGTAGAACACGAGCATCACAAAAGAAAGAACTTACGATTCCTTCATTATCTTGCTGATGCGCTCCTCGTCCGCTTCCAGGCCTTCGACGAGGTGCTTCTCGAAGCTCCTCATTCCATCAGCAAGCAGCCTCGAGCTATGCAGCAAATTCCTAATCATAACCGGCTTGAATACATTCAATTCAAAGTTGCCCTGCGAGCCCGCAAACGTAGTCGCCGCATTGTTGCCAAACACTTGCGCGCAGATCATAGTCAAACTTTCGCATTGTGTTGGGTTGACCTTGCCTGGCATGATAGACGAACCAGGCTCGTTTTCTGGAAGCTTAAGCTCGCCAAGACCGCAGCGGGGACCGGAGCCGAGGAATCGAATGTCTTGTGCAATCTTGAAGAGGGAGGCGGCAAGAGTGTTGAGAGCGCCGTGGGCTTCGACGATGGCGTCGTGTGCAGCGAGGGCCTCGAACTTGTTGGGTGCCGTGATGAATTTGTGGCCCGTCATCTTGCTGACCTCTTCCGCAATACCCTCAGCGAAACCCTTGAAAGTGTTGATGCCTGTACCGACGGCTGTTCCACCCTGAGCAAGCATCCTGAGCCTGGGAAGCGAGGATTCGACACGTGCAATGCCGTTCTCAAGCTGCTGGACGTAGCCGGAGAACTCCTGGCCAAGCGTAAGAGGCGTGGCATCCTGAAGATGAGTACGGCCGATCTTGATGATGGAATCGAAGCTCTTTGCCTTCTTGTCCATGGCGTCACGCAGACTCCTCAGTGCAGGAAGCAAACTCTCCTCTAGATCCAAAACAGCGGCTATGTGCATTACCGTCGGAAATGTGTCGTTCGAGGAGGCAGACATATTCACATGGTCATTGGGGTGCACAGGCTTCTTGCTTCCCATCTTGCCGCCCAGGATCTCAATTGCTCTGTTCGAAATGACTTCGTTCGCGTTCATGTTCGACTGAGTGCCGGAACCGGTCTGCCAGACGACCAGTGGGAAGTGGTCCAAAAGCTTGAGATCTGCGACCTCAGCAGCAGCCTGCTGAATGGCTTTGCCCAGTTCAGGCTGGAGGCCATATCGCATGTTCACAGTGGCAGCGGCACCCTTGAGAATACCGAAGGCGCGCACAATTGGAGGTGGCATGCGGTCCTGGGGCTGGTTGATGTCGAAGTTACCCAGTGACCGTTGTGTCTGGGCACCCCAGTACTTGTCCGCCGGTACCTCGATCTCGCCAAAGGCATCGCTCTCTATTCTCTTGCCAGCAGCCATTCTTGTGGTGGTGGTTGCGAAAGTGCGTCGTGCTGAAGCAATTGAGGTCGAGAAGAAAGCTGTTCGTGGTGCGATGGCTTGTGAAGATTGAGTTGAAGGAACAAGCCGAGCCACGGTCGAGAAACAGGCATTAGCAGCAGCAGGTCTTGCACATGATGCTACGGACCGAGGGAGGGCAGCGTTATGACGAAGCCGTGGAGCTACTGAGCGAATCATGTCGCAGCCTCTGTTTCTTAGTATCAGTACGGTCCAATTGATGAGTTCAGCGCAATTGGAGTGCAGCGAGATGGGGAAAGAAATAGTCAGAGACAAGTGATCAATTGCCAGGGTAGCTTAAGGAAACTTTTTTAGATCGTGCAGGAGAGTTTGCGTCGTTTTGCAGCGGATGCGCGGATCGTTGTCTTCCACAAGACGCTCGGAGAGTTACGGAACTTGGAAGAACATCCCCAGGCCGCTGTCCGCGACCGTAGGCGCCAACAGCGCCCTTCTTTTCCCGTCCTCTTTTGCCGCAGCGGCATCTCATTACGGGGAAAACCATCTGATGAAAAACTCGACCTTGACCAACGCGCCCCTTCTACTCGACGCATACAAGGCAACGACCCTTCGGGACGTATCACGTCCTCCGTAAATGGAGCACCATCCAGTCACGTGCCTGCTCTGGAAGGGCTCTTCTGCACCCTAGTTTTGGCCTTGCAGCCTAGACGCCGTGCAAGGCTGCACGCGGATTTTCAGGCAGCAGGGCTCCTAGGCTGCCAGGCGATTAAATGATTGCCTTGCAGCCCAATATATTCATGCCTGACAGTTTCACGCTCGTATTTCACATCCCCCACCATAAAGCCAAGCGCATGTCTAATTGGCCAGAACCAACACGAGGATGGGGCACCGCCTTCTTGCAAGGCGTAAATGGCACTTGGAAGTTTGATCTGTGCGACGCTTGTGAACGTGACGCTCTTAAAAGACGTATTCCCCTCAGCAGAGGCATGTTGTGCGTGTGGCTCCGGCTGAAGAAACTATTGTTACTCCAGTCTTCGTTCTTGACCAGTGATACAGTCCGCCTATAAGTACCAACATACGATGTGAAAGCTCAATCATGGTGCAGAAATGGGATGATTCAAAACCTGGTTTCCCAGGGAACGACAATATCTACGGCATTGGTATATTACCCAGCGGCATCGCACACATGCCAGAAATACATTGGACTGCTCACTTGGACTATCTTTTCTTCGAGCGCAGTGCTAACGCGCAGTCAGGTATCCGAGTTGGCTACTATACTCAGGCCATTTCAATGTACGCAACGAGCACTTTGGCGAGAAAGACGTGGGCAAAGGAGACCATACGCTAACCTATTCCTCAGCTGGGTCGCCAACTTCTATGCACGTCATGAAGCACCTTATTTGCACACCTTGACAATAGTGTTCCTTGTTGCCTTGTTCGTAGGCCTCTGTCAGCTGTGCAGAACGCCGTCGCAGACGCACGCCGTGGAGCCTTTCATGCTCACTACCATTGCGTATCATACCTTTTTTCTCGGTCTGTGGGACAGAGAACCCCCATATTTACTGCGTTGGGAAGTTGAGTTCCGGAAACGGATCTCTGTCTTGGTCATCTGGCTAGCTTTCAATGGCTTTGATACATGGTACTGGTGGTTCGGAGTATGGAAGATGAAGCCCTCAAATGGCCCGTGGGGTACCGTCATCTTCTTTCCTTACGTAGGAAATACTCCCTTGTTCGGTCCGGATCAGTGGATCAGCATCGCAGCCAAAATACTAAATGCTCTGTCCATTACGATTTTGTCCTGTGCTCTGGCACGCCTTTGTTTCAGCACGTTACAACAGCGGAGTCTGGACATGTTCATTACTGCTGAAAGACTTAGATCGCTTGCATCACAGTGGCTGCAATCGTTGGCCAGATTGAGTGCAGACAAGACACTTGAGAAAACCGAAGAAGACAACACAGCCGCCAAAGAGTGTAGAGTCATAATATCTGCGGAGTCAGATAGTATATCATATCCTGGATCCATAAAGGACGCCTCCCAGAAAGCAGAGCCCTCGCCGGTCTCCCAGCACGACCCCGAAAATCCACCACCTTATCGAAAGCTAACGCGGACAGGAACGGGCCTGTTAACGCGCCGTCTATGGCGTACTATGTCTGGCAAAGATTTTGAGGACCCGTCCGTACCGCCACCAGAATACATGCTGTACGAGCCTCGCTTCGAAGATATCAATGTCGCCTACGATCTGCTTAAGGCAACGACCACCTGCCCCAAACCAAAACCGCGGGTCTGGGGCTACTACGTCTTGCGTACCTGGTTATTCGGTCCAATCTGGATCTTCAAGCTCTGCCAATACCTCGTTACGCAGACCACACATCCATTCAACCCAAGAAAGCTCCTTGCAATCACAACACACTCCGCGAATCTTCAATTCGCGTGCTCGATGTCATATCCAACAATCATGAGGCTGGCTGTGCGTGATCCATGCCTCGCAAACGTGAGTAGCAAAGACCTTTTGCTTGCCTCACGCATCATCCTGTCAACAGAGAAGGTCGTGCATCCCTCACGCGCATGGTGGCTGGCAATGGGCTACACGATGTTAAGCGTTTGCAGCGTCCTTATCATCGGAACAGAACTTACCATCCAGTGGAATAGGATCACGGGCGTGCAGGATCTGACGTCAGTGGGGCAACTGATCCCGTTCACACTAGGCGTAGGCTCGCTTCTCAAGATCCTGTGGTCCGCTATGATGGAAAGGGAGGAAGCACAGGAGTTTTGCTACTTTGGGCATTGTGCCAAAGAAGCAAAAGGGCAACACTGGAAGGAAGCAGGTGAGATGTTCTTGAAGTGCAGGGAGGAACTGGAGAAGGCGAGGGTATCAGAAGCAATGCAGGAACGCAAGTCTGCCGAGGAAAATTGCTAACAATGTTGCGGAAAGCTCGTCCTTGACATCCCCTTTTACTTCTATGGAAGGACCGAATTGCTGTGAATATTAAAAAGACGAGTAGAATCATGGAGACGAAACGTAGCGTAGAATAGATTGTTATTTTGCTACACTGAATTGCTCACACTGCTCAGCGAATCCGCACTCAGGCGTTGGAACTGTCTTAGCCTTTGTATTCCATCCTGATCAGATTCGAAGACTTGCCTTCAGGAGAGTAATAGCCACTAGATGACACCATGCCCAAGGACTAAGTGAAGGCGCACCGCCCCCTTCCATGCCATGAGACTGTCGAACATGTACGACTTCTTTCTGAGAGGCAGCTAGTGGTGATGGTGCTCTTGCAACCGGCGTGACGTGCCTTCCTGCAGGGTCTACATAAGGGTGTGTACACAAGGCCGGGATCAAAGCGGCTAAGGACAAACGTAGCAATAGGAATTTGTATACACATGGTAAATTGTAGCGAGGTTAGCCTTGATGGAAAGTGGTGTAAAAGAAGTGAGAAAATAAAATAAAAAAAAAAGGAAAAAAAAGAAAAACCGGGGCTTCGAACATTTCAGGCGCGAAAAAGACAAATGTAAAAACCACATCCAGCACCTTTATCTCGGACTTATCATGCGTTAAAAGCGGGCGATGGCATTGACAGGCAGGTGCTACCTTGTGCAGCGTATATACATCTGCTGTTCTATGGCTACGGTGAAAATTGGCTGGCCCGTCTATCAAAGGCTAACGGTCGGATCCTCACGTAGACACGCAGGTGAGAGCGTAACAAATGAACTTCTTGTTCATGGTACTTCTCCTAGAGCTTGCTAGGGATGAAGGGGGAATCCATAAAACGGTATAAGCTCAAGGAACCAGTTGGAGGCCATACTCGATGCGTCCTGAGAGAGACCACTGATCCGGAACGTTTACACGTGTTATGGTCAAATTCAATGATCATTTACTATCTTATATCGCTGGCGCTTTACTCTCCTGAGCATCTCTAGCTTTCCGCTTCGCCGACGTGACGGTGGTTACGTATTTGCGTCAGCGAAGCACGACGCTTTGGAACGGTCGCATTGTCACGACAGTCCGCCAATCATGTATGAGGAATTTGCGTTCCGCTACATAGAAAGCTGCGGCAGGCCTTTGAAGACGACAGATCTTCCAAGCAATCAAAAGCATGATTGTTGGGAAATGACAGATCCACAGCGACACGGCAAAAGCCAAGAGGCAAAGTTACCCGACGAAGATGAGGCCATGGGGCTGGATTCGAGCCAGAGCTCGACATCCATGTCGCTGAGAGAAACGCACTGGATGCAAAGACACTAACCCATTCGTTGTCCGGTCCCCCACGATTTTGCGACAGACCAATCTCTACGTCACGCCGCACGGGAAGAACGCAGAGCAGCATTCGCGGGCCGTGTCCGACGTCGGGAGACTACGACCCAATGACTCTTTATCAGGTTAGGAAATTTTTTTTCTCACCCGAAGGCAAACCGAAGGGGAGAAAAGAAAAATACCTCACTCCTGTTGCACTTCTCATATTTAGAACCAGAAGGACATTCCCCTAGACAGGTCACACACATATCGTGACAATCTGAACGTCGAGGCTTTTCGTCGAATCACCGCAGTATGGATCCAATCCGCCCGTCAAAGATTGGTCCCCACTGTCTGCACCGTTCTTTCCGTCTTGATCTCTTTGGGTCTCGGGATGCCGTTAGCGAGTCCGCTTTGCCATTGCATGAGCCGGTGTTCGTCACATCCGCTGTGCGACTGAAGACCGGAAGAGCTTCTGAAGTTGCGCAGTGTGGCGATCTGAGATTATACGGCTGAACTTGATCTGGATAATTCCAGCGAAAGAATCATGCAGAGCGTTGAGGGGCTTTGAGAATTTGTTTTTTTATTCTCTTTCTTCCCCCTTTGGTGTTGCATGCAGGTTTTGGTGACACTAACGGGGAGGCAGATCGCAAAACATGGCTGCAGCAAGCGCCGAGATGAAGGACGTCGAGAAGGCCGCCGCAGACATGCGGCCGCACGGTCGGACAGCCGCCAACGAGGACGGGCAGGCAAAGCCGTCTAAGTCCTTTATGGACTACGTCCGCGGTTTCGAGCAGACGTTGATAGCTTACAATCTCGAGACGCGGGGCATCAAGAGGGTCGAGCCGGACGAGCGACACGACATGTCCAAGATCGGCTTCCTGCAGGCTTTCGTACTCTGGTTCTCGATAAACCTTGCGGCGAACAACATCACGCTCGGAATGCTGGGCCCCGTCGTCTTCGAGCTTAGTTTCCTGGATTCCTGCCTGTGCGCCGTCTTCGGGATGCTGGTCGGATGCCTTCCCGTCGCGTACACGGCCGTCTTCGGGCTCCGCTCCGGAAACAGGACCATGATCTTCGCCAGGTACACGATGGGGTGGTGGCCGTCCAAGCTAGTCGCGGTGCTCAACATCATCGTCATGCTCGGTTATTCGCTCATCGATTGCGTTGTCGCAGGCCAGATCCTGTCCGCCGTATCACCCAACAACAGCCTGTCCATCGTGGTTGGTATCGTAATCGTGGCGCTGCTGACCTGGGGAATCACCACGTTTGGATACTCCATCTTCCATTACTACGAGCGGTGGGCGTGGCTGCCCCAGCTGATCGTCTACTGCATCCTTGCAGGCGTCTCAGGGCCGAGCTACGATACGACAACGCCGTCCGCGGTGACGGGACGCACGCTGGTTGGTAACCGCTTGTCATTCTTCTCTCTCTGCCTCGCCGCGGCGATCACGTACGCAGGAGTCGGTGGCGACTATTTCGTGTACTACCCAGAAGACGCGCCAAAGCGCAACGTCTTTTTCAACACCATGGCTGGTCTGGCCTTGTCCTTCACCTTTGCGTTCATCCTTGGGATCGGACTTGCCTCCGGCATGACGGCGAATTCAGCCTGGTCGGCCGCGTACAACACATCCCAAGGTGCCCTCATCGTAGAAGGCTTCCGGCCACTTGGAACTTTTGGATCCTTCTGCGGCGTGATCGTCGCCCTGGGCTTGATCGCAAACCTAATCCCACCCACCTACTCAGCCGGCATTGATTGCCAGACTCTTGGGCGGTATTGTCTACGCGTCCCCCGCGTCGTTTGGAATACCGTCGGCGTCGTCATATACACCGTGTGTGCGTTGGCTGGCAGAGAGCATCTTGCCGAGATCTTCACCAACTTTCTCGCGCTCATGGGCTACTTCGTGTGCGTCTTCATCGCTATCTCGTTGGAGGAACATCTGCTGTTCCGAAGCTTCGGCAGGAAGCGAGCAGAGGGCGATCACGGCTTCGTGTGGTCTCACTGGAACCAGAAGGACAAGCTGCCACTGGGCATCGCGGCCTTCATCTCCTTCTTAGTTGGATGGGCCGGAGCGATCCTGTGCATGTCCCAAGTTTGGTACATCGGGCCCCTTGCCAGGCTGGTTGGAGAATACGGCGCTGATGTAAGTTGCCAATTTTTTTTTTTTTTGGTTATTGTTTTTCTTCGGCACTGTTCGCTGACAATGGATTAGATGGGAAACTACGTTGGATTTGCTTGGACTTCTCTCGTATTCCCGCCGCTTCGTTACCTCGAGCTCAAACGCTTCGGGCGGTAGACACGTGGTTGTCAAGTTACTACATATTGTGATGTAGATAAGCCATCCCAGTAGATGAGTGGGACTTTCTCCCAGTCCCACGCATAAAATCAACCTGCAACCTCTTCCATCTTGACGTCTGCTTGAAGTCCCTCCAATTTAGACCTCCATTTCCCATCGTCCCGTACGGTGCAGCCCAGTTGTCCCGGTCGCATTGTTCTTGCAAAAATTCGAGCAGTCTCGCCTCCAACCTCTTTTTCATGTCCCACAGCTCGTGTCCCTCGCCCTTCAGTCTCACCAGGACCGTGTACCCGCCGTCGCCGCAATTGATCCTGTCGCATTGATACTCTCCAACAGGAACAGCCCGAAGCCCAACTTGCCACCTTTCGTGCGCCAGAAGCTGGCGCTGCACGAGACACGGCCCGTGGCTCGACCGCAAGCAGCGAGAGCAGTGCGGCAATCTTCTGTCGCAAGGCAGGTCCTTGACTGCGCATTGCAGGCAGGGAGCTTGCTGCAGGATGCTGGTTTCGTCTATCCCGTCAGGGATGTGCCAAAAACGCAAGGCCGGGTCGAAGGGAGGCTCGAAATGGGCGTTGATGATCTCCCGAGGCGGTAGTTTTTCCGCCGACCACAGGTCGAAGAGCTTGGTCTTTGCATTTTCGTCCGGGTAAGTCTGAGACGTGGCTGCACGCATTTTTTGCGCGCAGCGGCTGTTGAAGGCTCTGTGGCCGCGATCTGCACCGTCGTCATGGTCACCTTCAAGACCGAGTAATCGTGGTATCAGGCCCGGAACCCGTGAAGTCGTGGAACTCGATTCAGATGAGGCATTCTCAGAATCCGATGCCTCTATTATCGCGGACGCAGGATGAGCCCGCGTCAGTTCTTCAGGTTCTTTGGTGGTTTCGTCCGCAGCCAAAGCGCTCAGCACAGAATCGTGCCTTGGCCTCCCTAACTCATCCTCGTGTTTTTGAGGCTCATAGATTTGATTATGCTGTCGCCCCGGTCCTTCTCGACATGTCGCAATCGTTGTGGCTAGACGGCCGGGTTCCTCGCAGTGCCGTTCGGCGCGTTTGCTTGCTCTCGTAGGTGTCGTGTCTAATGAGCTCCTCCAGTGTTCGAAATGTTCTTTCGACGCGACAACAGAGTGATAACCAGAATCGAAGGAACCGGAATTCTTCACCTGCTGGTTGCGCGGCGTTTTTGGCTCCCGTACGTCCAGGCACTGTGAAGTTGCTAGACTGTCCTGCTCAGCTGATTGTATCGGAACTGTAGCTGGTGACAAGTGTGTACACCGCGATCCTCCTCCCCACGCCTCATCACTCTCTTCTTCGGCATCTTCGCTATCCTTCCTATGCGCTTCTCCCCCCATCTCTCCTGTGGTCACCTTTCCACAAAGCCACATCAGCGACCTCATCGTGTACGCATCCGCCAAGGACGCAACCCGTTCACAGCACGCAAGCGCACCGGCTCAAACGCAGCAAACACGAAGTCGAAAAGGAAATAAAAAGAAAGTAAAAGAAAGCCACTAAAGGAGAGCGGAAAACGGGCTTGATTCGCAGAAGCAAAAAGTCATGAGCGCGCAGAGCGGCGGGTCAGACTTTCCGATCGTCACGACAGATATTAGCGGAAAAAAGTACACAAGAAGATGAAGAAGAGGGATCCGAGAGGAAAAGGAAGGAAAACGAAACGAAGAAGAAGGAGCATGCGTCCAGACGGTGTCACAAAGACGGAACACGCAGCCGTGCTCTAGAGCGGTCGTCGGCATCGAAGTCAGATCTCTGAATCTCCAAGTCGCTGTCGCAGTACGAGATGCATGTACGCCCTCCCTGAGAACAACAGAGTGACGCGCAAGTGAAGAGCACGCGAACCTGTCGCAGCCTTCCCTCTCCTCCCTTTCCCAGCCCGCGCTCGAACGGCGTCGGGGCCGAACGTCAGTTCAGCCGGGGCGGCAAGCACACAGTCGTACACGGAGGCGCGCGAGCAAAAGCACACGCACAGCGAGGTGACGGACTGTGGACAAAAGCCCAGAGCAAAAGCCATTCATAGTTTCCGAGCGTGGTACGGGACAGGAAGACCCCAGATCAAAAAAGGGTTGATGCCAGGGCGCGCAGAGGAGGAATGGCTTCACTTCAAAAGAGGGCGTGGAAGACAACAGGAAAATAAAAACCTGGGAAATCAGAAAAAAGAAAGAAAAATAGAAAAGCAAGAAAGTAACTTGGTTTCTCTACACCTTTGCCTCTGGTCTTTTTGCCTCCCTGGTTTTCCTTCCGCTTTCGCACTCATTTTTTTTTAGTACATTGGCTTCCCCTTCCTCTTCGCTCTTTCTCTGGACGCAAAAAAGGAAGAAAAGGGATCTGTGACGCGTGGCCTTTCCTCTACTCGACTTCTGCGGAAAAGGGACAGAAAAAAAAATCGGAGGGGCAAGACGGAAGGATGGAAGTAGGACAGGGCGGAGGGTGGAACGCAGCCGCTTGTTATACGGCAGCGTTTGCTTAATTTTAAACATTCCGGGGAAACGGAGGACGTGGAGATGGCCGGTAATAGTGTTAATAGAGAACCGCAAGGATGTAGGCATCCGTTCAGGTTTATACGCTCTTACGAAGGTTGGTCTTTTTGTGTTATGGTCGGTGACTGCTGTAAAAATATAATGGCAGCAGTCAAGCACAATTGCAGACCTCTGTGACACGGCAAGACACTAGCAATATTTCTAAACGAAACAACTCCATGACCATTCGCCGAGACGTAAAGCACTCAGTAGTTAGACTACACGAGTATGAATAAGATCTATAACGTCCACAAAAGACGTACACCGCAAAAGACACCTGGCACACATGTCGCACGTGCACGAGAAGATCCAGGGTAAGAAATGTGAGAGTGAAAAGAATGAAAAAGTGTATCAAGCTCCAACAGCACGCCGCGTGTCGCAAAACGTGTCTCTTCCTGAGCACGAAAATCCCAGCACCCTTTTCGCTGCGAGTGCCGCAAGATGATCGCGTCGCCGTTCTCGCCAGGATGCTTGCAAATAGGGTGAGCGATCGGCATGCAAGAAGAGAGAAACAGAATATGTGCACCTCCCCTTCCAGGGCGAGCTGTTCAATTACCAACCATGACAGTCATACCGGATCCGTTTCGTACCGTCAATTCATTCCTTGTCATTTCGCAGATTGTAGCAGTAACAAACATAGCCTTTGCCCTCTTGATGTGACTGAAAAAGAAAAGGAAATGATTCACCTGATCCGTGTCGACTGAGCAAAGAGAGGACACGGATTTTCGCCTGAGCCAGACCCCCAGGCCGCGTCGCTTGTCTTGTCGCAGAATTGCGTGCGGAGAGAGAGAGACAGGGTGGATGGCGAAAGACGGACAATGAAGTAGGCCTGTTTATTGGGCCTTCTCCGCGGCAGAGCGCAGGTTTGCCGAGGTCGACGGGCCGGTGAAGTAGCGAGAGAAGACGGGCTGGAGGAACGACCGGAAAACGATCTGGGCACCGCTATAGAAACGACCGTTAGCATGCGGATAAAAGGTAAGGTTTGCAGAGACAAAGCAGGTGCATAGAAAGGAAGGCGCGAGTCAGAAGAGAGAAATGGGAAGCGAACGTGAGAAGGCGTGAAACGAAGAGAGTAGCGTACCTGGTCTGGGGAAGGGCCATCCAGAGGACGAGCACGAACTTGAAGGTGTAGTAGAAGGGGAACCAGTAGACGGCGTTGACAGCGCTCTCGAAGACAGTGAGGAAGGCGTAGACGACCCAGTAGGTCAGCCATTGGGTGTCATCGGCGGTTCCAGCAGTGAACAGGGCGTCGAGCGAGTAGTATGCGGGAATGGCGAAGCCGACCGTGTTCGTGAGGAAGTTTGCGCCGATGTTGAAGAAGACGAGGAAGAAGTAGAGAGCGCCGAGACCGAGCACGACGTAGACCTTGGGCACATTGGTCTGCCGTTCGAAGTTGTTGAGCGCCTCATATTTGGACAGCTGCAGCGGGCGCGGTCAGTACGAGCTCAAAGGAGTGGACGCGGAGTGTGAGGACGGGAAGTGCGGAAGGAGCGAAGGGATGCGGATGTGTGTGGATGAGCGGGTGCATGAGAACGCAGGTCGAGACCGATGTGCTGTGGGAAGGCACGGCTGTCGCCATTGTGAGGCAGGCGCGGTGGACAGGGTGCTGGCCCAAGTGCTGGCTGGTGGTGTCATGATGCCGCGGGAGACGCTGGCGGTTCCGACAGCGGGCCTGGTGGCGGCGACGCAAGGGTGGCGCCTGGACGGAGGCACGACAAACGGAACAGCAGCCAGGCTCGTGGCCCGTCCAGCTGTGTCGAGCACGCAGACGGTGTTGGGCGCCGTCGCGGCGCAGGCAGCGCCTGGACGGCGGCAGAGTCGGACGTGGGAGAGAGGCCACGAGACCGAAGACGTGTGCTTTTGGGAACGGGTTCGCAGGCCAAACTCACCTCCTTATCGAGCTGCGAGATCTGGTGCTGGGCCTTGTCCTGGAGCGACATGGTGAAGGTCAAGATGGCGTGGGCGAATGCGTGTGCGAGGATGGGCAGGTGGGCAGAGGCGCAGTGCGAGCGGACGTTGTGTGCGTGTTTGTGGGCGAGGAGATGTGGGATGTGCGAGGTGGGAGTGTGTGTGGAAAGCGAGCGTTGGCAGGCTGGAGCTGGAGCTGGGCAGCTTTCTGGCCCGCAAGATGACGCACGACCTTTTAAAGCCAAATCAACGTTGCGCTGCTCAGTGCCCGTTCGAGGCCGGGCCACACTTGAAACAAGCGCCTTTCACGTGCTCAGCGTCATCCGCCTGGCCTAAACCTGCGCTCACCACTCGAGACATCACAGTGCCACAGAGATACAGAAGCGAAGATGGGCGAGAGAAGACGCTGCCAAGCATCCTGGCGAAGTCCCGCAGCCAGACAGGCCCATGCCATGCTTGAGCACATGTCTCTCACCACGAACTGTCATGCGCATCCGCTTATCTGCCCCGGGCTTTGCAGCGCCGGTACTTTGCCGTTGTTGCCATACGCGTGCCCTTTCACCCCGTTGATCACGTTCGTTTCTCTGTCTTCCTCTGACCGAAGCTCCTCATTGCCTGGTGATAGAGCGCGGGAGAGGCACATTGAGCACATCGACGTCACGTGTTGCTTTTCCCTCGTCGTTGCTCTTGTTGCACTTGTTGCAGCTGTTGCGGCTGGTGTTGCCTCTTTCTGTTTTGACTGATCGAATTGGGCTTCTTGCACCATCTTTCTCTCACACACAGGCAGTCTCCTTCTCTGTCCCCCCGTTTGCGTGCGTGTGAACGTGTGAGTCTATGTGCGTGCGTGTGTCCATCTCCGTTCTGCGCTTGTGGCTGGTGCGCTGCTTATGTCATCTCACGGCTTTGCTTGTGCCCGTCCAAGCGACGGCCCCAAACAAAAAAGCCCAGACACCGTAAACATTGCGACTTCAGCGCTGTTGCTTGCGCCCCTACACACGCCTTGTACCTTGGCTTTACAGCTCCATCGCTCTGCTTCTTGTCTTCAAAGTACTTGCCGCCTTTTTTTCTGCATCGCCTTAGTCGACTGCGCCGCCGGCTCTTGATCTGCCACTGTGCATCGCCGACGAGACCGAGTGCAACTCTCCAGTCTCCAAACCACCACCATCACACCCCGCCCAACAACACCCAGCCGGCAACCGTTCAATTCAGCCCGCCCACGTTTCGCATTGGAATGAAGACGCTAGAGCCTGATTCCATCTCCGACTTGACCATCCGCATCTGTCTTCGCCGGCCTGGATTGCATTGAGGCACGTTCTGTCGCAAGCATTCTCTCCAGCCACCGTAACCAAAAAATCGTGCCCTATCCATACTCAAGAACGTGCGAAACGACCTTCTTTGTCCAGCCGAGCGTCTCCGCAGCGCAGCAGCGCATACACAAGGAATAAACAACTCTATACACATATACGCTCATACTCGCCACAAACATTGCTTACTAGCATGACCTCGATGGACCGCCGCTCGCGGTCAACCACCGGAGCCAGCCAGCGTCCGCTCTCCAGAGATTCCACCGCAAGTATACAGTCGGCCGCCCCGCGGCTTGTTCGAGCAGACTCTATGCCGCAGTACGGCGCCCAGGCACAATACACCACCCAGCAGCAGCACATGGCTACCAGCCAGCCCCAGCAGTTTGACCACTTCACAGTTATGCAGACAGTTCCGCAGCCTCAGCCTTTCTCGACGCATGGCCTGCCCATGTCAGCTTCCGATGCGTCGCAGCACCAGCAGTACCACGCCAACCCCATGCAGAGCCAGAGTGCCATGTATCACTCTCACTCGTTGCAGGCCTTTGGCACGCAGCAGCCTGCCGTCGATCCCCAGTATGCGGCCTCCGTTGGTGCTCAGAACGTGCACGGCGTGCCGACGCCCGACATGGACGACGGAAAGAAGCGCGGTGGCGCTGCGTCAACCCAGTCGAATGAGAAGGAGCTCCGCGAGGCGCTGGAGAAGAACATGCACCGCTCGCTCAAGGACGTCGCCGAGGAGGTGCAGGCCTCGGAGCGAACTTCACGTGCGGAGAAGACGAAGCAACTATTTGCCATGCTCTGGTTCGTTGTTGTTCCCCGTCCCGTTTCCCAGACTACGCGTTCACGCATGCTTAAAGGCTTTTGTGGCCACGCTTGCTAACTCATGGTATTCCATAGGCTCCAAAGCTCGTGTGAGACAGCGAAGACGTCGGTGCCTCGCAGCAGGGTTTACGCTAGCTACGCAGATCGATGCGCCACTGAGCGTGTGCAGCCGCTCAATCCGGCCTCGTTCGGCAAGCTCGTGCGCATTATTTTCAAAGGTATCCAGACGAGACGGTTAGGTGTTCGCGGAGAGTCCAAATACCACTACGTTGACCTCGCCCTCAAGAGCGAAAAAGATCGCGAAGACGATGGCTTTGGCCGCAGCTTCTCGGGCCACGAGCCACGCTCTCCCAAGTCCATGTCACTCGACTTTGGAAACGTCCCGCATCTGCCGGCCAACTCCAATGTGTTTGCCGCAGATGGATCCCCAGTCGCCTCACCCGAGCTGGCTCCGAGGCGAGACCTGGATCAGGTAGACGGTGCCGTCTTCGCTGATCCGTTCAGTGCAGAGTACCGGTCGAACTTTCCCTTCTCACAGACGTATCCGCAGCAGCTGCGCTTCCCGTCACCCGAAGACGAGATAATATCAGACGAGGTTGAGCTGCCCAGCCTACGTCCGTATGCGCCGGAGAAGGCAGATGAAGACGCAGCCGACGCGCTCGTCGCTCTTTACCGCTCGCACTGCACCTCGCTTATCGAGTACTTCAAAAAGTGCAAGGAGAAACAGTTCTGGCGCACCTTCACCAGCTTCCAGGGCACCCTGACCGTGCCTGTTCAGAAGCTGCTGACCACACCATCAATGGCGGCTTGGATCCGCGAGTGCGACTATTACATGTACCAACGCATGCTGACTTTTATCGCACGCATCGCTCTGCAGGTCTTGCCTGCGCCCGCGCTGGTCTTCTTCGGCACAATTTCTCAGAATTTACACGCGCACATTGTGAAAACATTCTCCGGCCTCCCGCTGCACGTTCTTGAGGCGCGTCTTGAACCTGCAACCCGCTTTTGCGAGCTCGTCAACCGCATGATCAAGGTCAACAACGCCGCCCATGCAGCTTCCCAAGTGCTCGAGCTGGGACAGCATCGCGACCAGCTGCACCACGAGTGGCTGATGTACATCAATCCCAAGCGCCTGATGGAGGGCGAGCTACCTGGATGCGGCTACGAGCAGACATTCAAAATCCTCACTGAAGACATGGCACGCATTCTGCGACCCCTTGCGCCGCAGTCGCCAGCAACGTACGAAGACGGGCTTCCCTTTCCAAACTCTGAAGCACAGGGCGATACTGCAGATAACTACATCGACCGCATCGACGCGCTTCTGCGCTCGCTGCCGCTGCGATTCCCCGGTGCGTCTGCCCGCACTATAGTCGACTGTGTAAAAAATCTTGGAACGGCTGCCATGCGCGAATTTACAATGCAGGGCGCCAATACGTTCCACGCCTGGTGGATTGTCAAAGTCTTCATCGATGAGTACAGCCAATGGCTTGTCACCAGCGGCGGCTTTTTGGCGCACCGACCTGTTCGTCGAGGTCATTCGTCGCCGGCACTTTCGAACATGGCCGGCTCTGTGGCTAACGGTGCGCTCGAGAGCAGTGCAGAGGCTAGTCGGCACTCGAGCGCGGCGCCAGACGCAAGCTCGTCCGCTCCACCCGCCTCTACAGGACTTGGTGCTGTGGGAATGAACAAAGGCGCTGACGAGATGAGTAAGTTGACACCGATTCTTCTCCTTTCCTTGTGTGAGGATTGCAATTCTGGAAGGTGTAGCTAAGCGAAATGCCCACCCGCTGACAGCTCTATAGTTTCCTCTACCACTATTTCCGTCAACACCCATAGCATGGGCAGCCTGCGAAAACGTCGCTCGGACGAGTCCTTCAGCGCTGACCACCATGATACGGCAGATCAATCTGCTGTTACGAAAAGATTACGACTCACTCCAGACGACAAGCCTGGAGATGCACCTTCTTTCGAGCCACCGCACCCCAGCTTCGCAACCACGAGCTTCGGTTCGCTTCCCGGCGCCACTTCTGGAGTCGACACGAAGGGAGACGAGGTGACCGAGTTCGAGGACAGCGGCATCGGACTGGGTCTTCTCGAAGAGTCCGGCCTGCATGCACCTTCCAATGCGAATACGGGGAGGGGCGTAGTAGTGTGAGCTCTCCACCTTCTCTCTCTCTGCATCTGTCTTTGTTCTCTCTCTCACACTCTCGCACATGCGCTGCTTCACTAACGCACTGACTTAACCTCCCCCGCCCCACTATCTCTCGCTTCGCACGGGATAAAGGAAATGAGCATGATAGACAAGAAGGAACGACTGTTTATGAAGTGATGTCTATGAATTGCATGTCGCAATGGCCGCGTGGTTTGGTGGATATGCCCGGAAAGGATTAAAAAAAGGAACCAACACTGCGTGACATATTCAAAGGTTTGGGTGGCTTGCTTGTTTGTCCTTGTATTTTTGTTCTCTCTTCTTTCGTTTTGAACCTTTTAATCGATCATTATTTGGAGCGGGAGGGCGGGAGGAAAGAGCTCCTGCATTATTGTATACCCGAACCTTACTCGTACCACTTGTTCTTGGCCCCGGGCATACCACAGATTTGCTGGCGAGGCTCTCTTGGACGACTCGGAACCGTTTCTTCCACCGCAGAGAGCTGGGCAGGGAGAGCTTTTGGTCTTGTACATATTCATCGGTACTTCGCCCTTTTTATTTCTTTGCCCTTCCTCTCCTTTTTCCTCTTGCGCCTTGTTCGGGCCAGGCTCTGGGGAAGTGGACCTATGTCCACCTTCGAAGCGAGAAACAGGCATTGGGTTCTCGGCGCGACGAGCGCGCCTCGGATGGCGTTTGTATGGCACCTTTTTGGGTCTCCCCGCGAGTTCAAGTGTGCAGCGGCATTGCGACCCGCGGCTCCTGTTGCTACTCCCCCGTCGCTGCTATGCTCTGTATGTAGTTCATGCTACGGGCTGAGAATGAGAAGAGAGACTCGTTTGTTTCCAATATGCTTTTAAGAATTTCTTGCATACGTACGAGTCTGGGCTTGGCATGTTCCTCAACGACGCTGTGTTTGTGCAAAGTTCGCCGAAAATAAAAATGAAAAGAATCAGAAAAGTGATCCGTCTGACAAGTCCGTCATTCTGCGGACGAGCAAATTCGTGTCGGATCGTTTGAGCAGTGGTGCTTTTTGACTGTTCACGGTTCGGACCCGCTCGGGGCTCAACATGGCGTAGACGGTCAAACGTCCCAGTTATACATGGACACGTTTCTCGGGCCTGACCGGCTGGCAACGTCCTTTCCAGATAATTGTTTGGCCCTTTCTTTCCGAAGATGTGGTTGTTCAAAAAGCAACATCGCTGCTCTGTCTCGGGACTAGGAGACGCGCGATCGTGCCGCGGGAGTTGCGTGAACAGAATGCACGGCGAACCCAATGCTCCACCACTGCTCTCGTTGCTGACGATGGCGAAGAGGAGTGTGAAAAAGAAAAAGCAGTCGACACGTCAGACGGCGCTTTTGCAGCCAGACCTCATTGAGATGACGCAGAGCGGTACGAAACCGAGAGACAACAGCGAAGGCTGCCTTGTGGTGCAGATTCGGGAAAACTCGACTTGAACCTGTCCCATGCTATCCGGAGGCCGCATGAGTCGCAAGAGCTTGTTTGAAAGGCGTGATTCGGGAGATGACGAGTGCAGGTCCCACGAGCGCGCAAATTCGAAGAGACTTGTGTGCACGCGGAGGGTTCTCAGCACGAAAAGGTGAAACGTTCGGAAAGAAGACGTTGGATGAGCGGGATTCTGGATCTTGAGAGGCTGTGAGAGAGACTGTAGATGCTGAATGCATTGAGAGGTCTTGAACATACATACATACATACATACATACATACATATATATATATATATATATATATATATATAGAGAGAGAGAGAGAGAGAGAAGAGACGTGCGTCGTGTTCGAATCACACAGGCCTAACAATGACACGAAAAGATCATTGACGGTGGTATATAAATGGCACAGCGAGGCGAGGGGACCTCGCCCTGTTCTATTCACAGATGGCCAAACACGAAACGTGGAATCAGCCTATATCGAGATTCAAGCGCAAACCCGAAAACATCTGCACAACAGAGCGCGCCGGGGCAGGATGGGGACAGACAGACAAAGACGAAAAGGACATCAGACTCTCCCCGGAGGGCTCCTCTCCCGCATTTCGTGCAGGAGAGCCGTATGGATGAACGTATTGCCAGAGTGAGAAGACCCAATATACGGGATCGATGAGAAAGAAATGGCGAGTGGGACCGAGGAATTTGTTTGACGTACGAGCAGGCGAACGAGCGACGTGCACGCTGGATGCGACCCGGCCGTAAGTGGACGGTTGGACTGGAGGTATTCGGATGCCAGAGTAGAGAACGCCTTGTGTCGTCGTAGTCAACCTGCCCCCGCGCTTGTGCGGACCGAATGTCTTGGAATTGCTGTTCAACCACGGTCTCGAACAGGAGCATTCGTCTGAGGGGGTCGATCTCGTCGGTGCGCGGAAGCTCACCTGCGAGCCCCAGCGTCGCGCAGTCCACTGGTCGGTCAAAGGTATGGTTCGGAGCTGGAGCAACGGTTCAGCCTCACGACGCGGCTGAGGGGCGCTTTGACCACCCGCAAGGTCCCGCCGCCAATGACATCACACATCGCCCGCGGTCTTCCAGCAGGGCCTTTTCTGACCTTCAGAATCCCGTCGCCCTGGCAAAGGACGCTTCACTCCGACCAAAACATTCCAACCTGTTCGCAAAGCGGCCGCTCGAACGAGAAACCCACCTTCCCCACTTACGCTCAAGATGGCCTCCGGACTCTTTCTCCTCAGACGCTCTCTTCTTCCCTCCTTCCGCCTGTCGCCTGCCGCGGCGGCCGCGTGCTGCACGACGCTCGTCGCCGCGCCGCTCCTCGTGCACCAGCTCCAGCGACCCGTGCTCATGGACTCGTTCTCCATGCAGCAGTCGCCCGCCCTGCGGACGTACCAGAGGGAGGCGAAGACGCCGATTGTCAAGGACGGGAGGCTCAACGAGAGGGCGCTGCGGCAGGTCAGCGCCGGCAGCATTCTGGGCCTCGCGGGAGGCGTGCTGGTTAGCTTCTTCTCGAAGCCGCTGGCGCTCTTGATCGGGCTCTTGATAGTGGGCGTGCAGGTATGATGTTCTGTTGTTTTCAACACATGACGCGTGGGAGGCAAGAAGAGAAAAAAGGGGCACAGTGGCTAATCTCGAGTTGCAGGCACTCGAGTCGCGTGGCATACACATCGTTCCGTACCAGCGCATTCAAGGCTACGTAAAGGGCATCAATTTGCGGGGTGCATTGCAGGACAATGTCGCGTTCAAACTGTCATTTGGCGTGACTTTTGCGTTGGCTGCGTTTGCACAATTCTAGAATCTGCATGTATGGGTATATAGCATAGCAATAATGGTGTCTCGGTGTCGCGCCGTCTATGGAGGCATTGAGCGTGCGGGATTGACCTTGTACATAGCATATCAGCACACCGCTCGCAATCAAGCACGCCCCTATCATTGATCCACAATGCGCAACGGGTTTGTCATCAAAAAGGTGAAAAATGGAATCCGAAATGTTCAAAGTAAGGTCGGTTGTGGTTCATGGCGCGTAGCTGCCGTCAAAGCCTCGGCACTGAGACCAGAACGTCGAGACGACCTTCTTCATGACGCTGATACCGTTCGACCTATATATGATCAGTCTTCAGAACCACGCGCGGAAGAGACAAACGTACACAGCAACCTGCTTCAAAAATCTTGCCTTGACATCGGGTCCGACATTGGGACCCGCATCCACAGCCGCCAGAGCATCCTCAAGGAACTTCTTCGTATTCGCCGTCCTAGTGCTGAATTTTTTGAGCGGCTCCACAAACCAGTCCAAATCTCCACGTGCGGCACCGCCAGCAACATTTTGAATGATACCCAAAGCAAGACGGGGCCCGAAGTGATCAATCACATCATCGAGGTGCTGCTGGGATACTTTGGCGCGAGTGGGATTAAGGGTCAGGAATGTTGTCCAAAACTGGGCCGCCGCACGCTTTGGCAAGGGCTCCGGAATGGCGAGACACTCTAGAGGAAAGCTGAAAAGTCGTTCCAGATCGTCTGCTGGGATGGCGAGCAAAACACCGGTGTATCTGGGCATGAAACGTTCGAGGACGTCCAGCAGGCCTGTCGTGTTGTCTTCGGCCCTCAGATCTTGGATCGCGCCAATGAGCCTAAATACCTCGCCTAGCAGCCTGGTAGCTTCTTGCATAACGTCGGGCGAGCTGGCATGTGAGTGAGATCGCAGGAATGCACACGTTGTGCTGAGAACCATCTCCAGACGTGGAGTGTGCAGCTGCATCGTGCTGAATAGATCGACGAAGGCGGAGGCGGAGAAGACGAAGGGGCCCGGTTTGGACTCTGTGAAGCCGGCCTTGAAGATGTTGCACACGGCCTCAATGACATCGCCGTGAAGCTCCAAAGGTTGAGGCGAGGCGTTGAACATTTCCAGAACTGCACGAATCATACTGAAAATCTGAATAGGTATCTCACTGCCAGGGCCATTGTGCCAGAAATGGCGTGCTGCAGCCTCTGCATCATCGTCCATCGGCTCATCATTGGGTGACTGAAAAGCTTTGCCGATGCTCGCAAGACAGCGTAGTCCGGTTAGCCCAAATACCTGGGCTTGTTCAGATTGACCAGCAGTCAGCTGAAGCTGCGCTTGCTCAAGATCTCGCTGCACAAATGACATGAGCGTGCTTAATGACGTTGCCTGGTCGTTCAAAGAAGCCAAGGCTTGTGCGATGGCTGCAACACCACCAATCACCTTCTCTTTTGTGGACACATCCGCCGTCGGCCACGAGAGAAATTGTTCATACGCCTGTACAAAGTTGGGTAATTGAAGTGCCAGAGAGGATCTGCATGAACTACTTAAGCGGTTGATTGCCTTTGCGGATTTTTGCGCGAGCTGTATGCTCTGCAGCGATGCGAAGAGGAAATCAAGCACAGAGGGCAGGAAGTCTGTGTGCCGCTCGAAAAACTCCGCATACTGACCAAGCACATCTACGCCAGTTGCTTTCGCCCGGGCAGGAACGTCGGGGTCATCCTTAAGAAGGACAAACAATTGAGAGCCAAACAACTGGCTGAGTATTTGGTCTTCACTCTCCTGCTCAGCTATTGAGATGGCATTCAAGCAGAAGAGCGAAGCCTCCACCTCAAGCCAGTCACGTTTGTTGAGAGCATCTAGGCACAGTTGAGCAATTGCCTCCGTTAGACGACTTCTCAGCGCAGGATAAGCCGCCAAAAGTAGCTCTTTGACGTCGACACGGAACTGACGAAAATCCTTCTGTCGGTCCCCGTCGAGCTTCTTGAATTGCTGTTGGGTGGGCAACTTGACCTTCTTCCACAGCTCATGGAAAAGCTGCATGGTGTGCGCTGTTGCTGCGGGCATCCACGGTTTTGGCTCGTCTGGATCTTCAAATTCGGCGTCGGCGATGTGTTCGACAAACTGGGTCCAGAATTCTAATGCCTCCACGGCAACTGCATCATCAACCCCGGCGAAGCCAGGGCTCTGGAGAAGAGTGTGCATGGCAGCTGGAAAGTGTTAGTATGTAGTGGATAATCGACAAGCTTGATGGCGTACCCATGATCTTTTGACCTATTTCGTCTTCCTCATTTTCCGCCAATCGAACCAGAGAATGATCAACATACGCCAGCAGTAGCTTCACGAATCGAGGGATCTCATCCGCCGGTTCAATGAGCAACGCCTGTAGACTCTCCTGTGCCCACGGTCCAACTAGCATCTTTGAGATCTGTTCCTTCTGCGCTTGGCCAAAGAAGCTTGGAAAGTCCAACAGGACGTCACCGACCATATCCGCAGCTTCGTCCAGCTGCGAGGATTCCAGCCAGTCAAGCACCGAGCCCATGAGTCGCTGCAGTGGCGTCATCAAGGTCTCATCTCGCATCCACGATGACTTTTGCGCGTAGAATATCCATGCAGACAGGGTGAGCGCCGCCTCGATCTGCAGCTCATAGCTCTGCTTGCTACCCTCGAGCATCTTCTCCGGAGAGAAGCAATATCTAAGGAGCGCCGCTGCATCGCGCAAATTGGCCTCGACGCGAGACATAATCATTGCCGATAGCCTCGCCTCCCTGCTCGCGCTCTCCTTGTTTGCCTCCTCCGTCATGCTCGTTAAGAACCACAGAAGGGCTTTCAGCTGGGCGTTGCTGAGTGCGCCCAACACGCTCTCCGGATCTGGCAGTTCGTCCACCGTGAAGTCGACGGCCTGGCCATGCGCCACCGACAGGATAACGCGACGCACAACGGTGCCGACCGTCACTTCGCGATCTAACGTGCAGTAGAACGCGATCGTGCTGCACAGCTTGCGCAGCGTGACCGCAGCATCCCCACGCGTGATTGACGTGACGAGCCACTGCAGCAGCCGGTTGCCGACCTGAGCCAAAACTGCGTCGTCAAGCTCAGCACTGCTCGTGTTGAGCTTCATGTGAAAGGTCAGCGCTCCAAAGTACTGCAGGCTGCTGTGGTCGCGCCCCAGAAGGTAGTCAGCCATCTCCCAGCCCTGCGGGGAGCGCTGGATCTCGCGTAGCTGGGCCTCGATCTGCTTGATGTCGTGTGGATTGCCTGGCTGATAGAAGCGGAGTACAAGCTGTTGTCGGCGTGGTTAGGTCAGTCTCGTCGTGTGCGATTTTCACTGCCGGTTTGCCAGGGCATGTCTCACCTCCTCGACTTCTGGGCCAGAAATGGCTGCCATTCTGGCGGTATCGAGTCGTGCTGAGCCTCTGTTTCGCGGATTTGATCCAGGGAGTCGACCCTTGAGGCTTCGTGGGAGCTTCGTGGAGGCTTCCTATCGCTGAGACAAGGGATGTCAGCGCACAGGAGCGATCCAGTCACTTATGACCGCTTTTCAGCGTCGGCCCCGCGGTCCCCAAGATTGCACTGGCGTGACAGCGTGTAGGGAGCAACAAGTGAAGCTCGAAAGCCACAGATGAAGATTTTGTTCTGGTCAAAGGAGGTTCTTTGACTGCAGCTAATGAACGCCTAATCTTCTCATGCCTATCTACCATGACCGGACCGCACTACACAGTGGAGGACAGCATGTCAAGTCTCGACTGGGTCTCAGATGCACCGCTTGGGTTTGGATGCGTTGTCACCTGGGCGAGTCGAGCACGAAAATTTGGTGTCACAAAGCGACGATGCGGCGGAACCGTTCCGAGTCAAGGCCACACGCCTCCAAGGCCTCAGTGAGCTTGTCGAAGCGTGCGACGCTGGGAAATCAGGACGCGATCGCTTTGGCGACTGGGAAAGGCACTGGCACGCAGCAGGCTGAAGATGTTACGCTGGGAAATTAGTGAGCATTGCCGGCACACGCTCGCACATGAGGCTGTAGAGCACAGCAGGCGTGTTGGCGTGGGACACGGATGCATGCGATGCACGACGCGAACCATTCAGATCGCGCTCCCGCTTCGGCATCGCGTCAAGTGCGGGAAAACGCAGCGGCAAGACGAGCCTGGATGCAGCGGTTATACTCGGCAGGGCCAAATTGCAGCAGACTGAGAAGAGCATGTCGCATCTCGTCACTGCGGGACGGCCACGACGGTGCCAAAGCAGGCCGGCCGGAAGACGGCACGTAGGCGGGCCTGGGACTTGGGTTGGTCCATTGGGCGTGTGGGAGCGCCGGGCGCGAGCTGCTGGCTGAACGTACTACAGGCGCAGGACAGCTCCCTGCATGACGCTGCCCATTGCGACATTCCCCCATGCGCTCGCTGCGTAGCTTTTTTATACGCAGCACTGTGTCGGCGCGCTCATGTCCTGCTTCTTCAGTTCGTCCATTCGCCGTTTCGTTCCCTCGACTGCGTTCGCTTGACATGGAGACCGTCAACACCACCGAGCGGCTTGCCAACCTGCGGCAGCTGATGAAGCAACATCAAGTCGATGTTTACAGTCCGTCCATCCATCTGTTTACCGTCTCGGGCTCCAGCGTCCTCGTGCTGACACCGGTCTTGTAGTCGTGCCCTCTGAAGACAGCCATCAGTCCGAGTACATTGCCCCCACCGACGCCCGCAGAAGTAGGCTTCTCCCAATTCTCCAAATTCCGCAGCTGGTCGCGTGCTCACAGTCTCAGCCTTCATTTGCGGTTTCTCAGGCTCCGCCGGCACCGCCGTGATAACGCACGAAAAGGCCGCCTTGGCTACGGATGGCAGGTACTTCAACCAGGCCGAGAAACAGCTGGACTCGAATTGGGAGCTTCTCAAGCAAGGCTTGACAGACGTCCCCACATGGCAAGAATGGTAATGAGCACGCGGGAAAAGCGCCTCGTTGACACACTTGAGAAGTCTAACACCTCTGCAGGGCGGCCGATCAGTCGGAAGGTGGCAAGACGGTCGGTGTAGATCCCGCTGTCATCACAGCTGGTAAGGCGCACCAACCGCATTCCAGCTTCTCTCGCTCCCCCCATCGCACACGGCTAACTCTAGAGCAGCCGAGTCGCGCAAGCTTGCAGAGAAGATCAAGAAGAAAGGTGGTGCAGCGCTCAAGCCCGTTTCGGAGAACCTCGTCGATGCAGTGTGGGGAAAGAGCAAGCCCCCGCGACCAAACGAGAAGGTTATCGTGCTGGAAGAGAAGTACGCCGGTAAGAAGTTCGAGGAAAAGATTGAAGACCTGCGCAAGGAGCTGGATAAGAAGAAGAGCGCCGGAATGGTGATTTCTATGCTAGATGAAATCGCGTGGCTTTTCAACCTGAGGGGCAACGATATTCCCTACAACCCTGTCTTTTTCTCGTACGCAGTGGTTACACCAGACGACGTAACGCTGTACGTGGACGATAGCAAGCTAGATGAGGACGTGAGGAAGCACCTAGGTAAGGTTAAGATCCGGCCGTACGATGCCATCTTCGGTGACATCACCGCCCTCAGCGCCGAGCTCAGCAAGCAGGCAACCGGCGAAGAAAAAACGGAGCCGCGAAAGTTCCTCATCTCGACCAAGGCATCTTGGGCGCTAAGTGAGGCACTGGGTGGCAAGGACAAAGTCGACGAGCTAAGAAGCCCCGTCGGCGATGCAAAGGCCGTCAAGAACCAGACCGAGCTCGAAGGCATGCGCCAATGTCACATCCGTGACGGCGCCGCTCTCTCCGAATTCTTTGCCTGGCTCGAAGACCAGCTCGTCAACAAGAAGGCTACACTGGATGAAGTTGCTGCAGCAGACAAGCTTGAGCAGATACGATCGTAAGATTACCCTTTGTTGCAACGCTCTCATGTTCACCAGGATTGACGAGACCAGGAAGCACGATCTCTTCATGGGCCTGTCATTCGACACCATTTCGTCCACCGGCCCCAACGCTGCCGTCATCCACTACAAGCCAGAGCCAGGCAGCTGCTCCGTCATAGATCCTTCGGCCATCTACTTGTGCGATTCAGGCGCGCAGTACAAGGATGGCACGACAGACACAACACGCACTCTGCATTTTGGGGAGCCGACACCTATGGAACGCAAAGCTTACACACTTGTGCTGAAAGGCCATATCGCGCTCGACGTGATCCGCTTCCCCAAAGGCGTGACGGGATTCGCTCTCGATAGCTTAGCGCGCCAGCACCTTTGGATGCAGGGGCTGGATTACAGACACGGCACTGGACATGGCGTTGGCTCTTTTTTGAATGTGCACGAGGGACCAATCGGAATTGGAACAAGAAAGCAGTATTCGGAAGTGCCGCTGGCGGTTGGGAACGTTATATCCAACGAACCCGGATACTACGAGGATGGAAGCTTTGGCATCCGCATCGAAAGTATGTCTGATCGCAACCTCTCGTGCCTCGTCTCCTCTCTATCTTTGCAAGACACTAACCGAAGACACCAGATATAATAATGGTTCGTGAGGTTGAGACGGAGCACAAATTTGGCGACAAGCCCTTCCTCGGCTTCGAGCACGTAACCATGACACCCATGTGCCGCAAACTCATCGATCCGACGCTGCTAACTCCGGAAGAAAAGAAATGGCTGAATGAATACCACGCTGAGGTTTTCGAAAAGACGAAGGGCTACTTCGAAAATGACGAATTGACCATGGCGTGGCTGAAGAGGGAGACGGCCCCATACTAAATGTCTTTGGCGACGAAATAGACATATACACTGATCATTGATTTTTAAAGCGCTAGTAATGGGATCGAACATATGCCATTGAGAATATTCCACGAATGCGACTACATCTTGAGCAAGAGATTCGACAACTGCTCGAAGTTCGGACAGTGAACTACTTATGTCCACCCAATGGTTAGATGTGTGTATAACGAAGCCAGTCGCTGACAATCCTTGCACTCAGTGCTTAAGATCATCTGCCCCAAACCTCGAGTTTCCATCGTCTTCGAACTGCCAATTGTTGGCATCTCCAAGCTCCAACACACGCAAGATATCGTCCAAGTTCCGCTTCAGCTCTTGAACGTGGCTTTGCTGCGTTTGCTGCTTTTGCTGCTCTCCGCCGTGAAGCCGCTCTTGAAGACTGGGTAGCTCAGCAAGGTAGCGTCTCAGCATCTCCGTGGGCCGTTTTGACGAGCTTCTGTCAAGTCAGACACGTTCGGCTGACACACGCCGTGTGACGGGCGAACAGACCTTTGTGGCATCTTCTCGTGCTAAACCTCGCAGATGCACGTGTAGGTTCTGAGACAATCTCGACGTCCTCCGTGGGCGAGGAAAAAGAACGACTGATTATGATTCTCGTTGCTCTTTCTAAGACTGAATTGCGTTCGTCTTGCTTCGTTTCAGTGGAAGATGCACGCTATTTATACCATCCATCTTCTCATGAAATTCTACGCTATGATTTCTTCTCGCTGTCGTTTGGGTATTAGGGATGTATTGCGCAATCCGCCCCCTCAGCGATCAATCAAACAAGGAGGAGGCTTTGTCCGCCAATTCGTTGTCAATGTCGCTAAAGATTATTTGTGCCCATAACTCAGACGGATCAGTAGCATACAACCGGTTGTAGGAAATGCTAAGTCGCGCGTTATAGGAATTCAATACTGAAGGGGTCCCTCGCAGTACGATGCAAGGATCCAACTTTTTACGCCCAAAAAGATTACACGATGCAGGCAGAAAACGTTCATTCTGGGTAATGCTCAGCAGCGCATTGCAAAAGCACCGAAGTGTAGGATCAGGCGCGCATTCCACAGAATGCCAACGGTCAACTGTGAAGTCAATTGATGAGTCCGCCTTAACCAGCCGCTGGATTGCAGGATGATCGTAGGTATGATTCCCCAGGGACCACCACATAAGTAGGTTCGAAAGTTTCCTGTCTTTGCCAGGATCTCGCCCTCGGTGCAGATTATTCTTCTTTCCTTTTCATATTCTATATTTTTCTTTTCTCCGTGCGTCCCCCAAGAAGTGGCTAGGTCAAGATCGAGCTCGTACCACAGTAGAACTATGGCAACGACAGTCGCAGCCCCGTGATAGAGAGACATAGCAAAAGTTTTTCGCGCAGGCAGCCTCCCGCCAATACGAGCGGAGCCAACGTTGATTGGCGGGCTGGGCGTAATAAACTCCACTGACGATGGCACCGATGGTGTTGCGCAGCTGCGCATTTTTAGGGTGTCCCACGGTACGGTACGGTACGGTATTTACCTATGTCGTACTGTACCGAATACCGATCGGTATATACCGTCGCGGTATCGGTATCGGTATGGAATCTACTAAAAATACTGTACCATACCGTTGATACCGTTTCTAGTAATTTTTTATAGTAGTAAAAGTTACAGATTATAGTATTATTTGAACACTTTTTAAATATATTTTATATAAGTATAAGTATGAATAAGTTACCAGAAACAGTATACCGTTTATCCTCTGGTATAGTACGGTATTTACCGTTTTTTTCAGTATAGTATCTGGCATGGTGATACCGTCCCGTTTACCATACCATATACTGTACCGAACGGTACGGTACGGTATATACTGCTACCGTGGGGCACCCTAGCCTTATTCAAGGAAGCTGCTCGCTCGTATCCACATCTTTCCTTAACAGCACTTTCCCTCTATGCGCGATACACATGCGCGCTTCAGGATGACTCGATCCGGTTGATCATCCTCATCCTTTTGCAGTATTGCGCATGTCGACGCAGCACTTGTTAGTACAAAGTCATGGACGAGACCAACTTTCAAGCTAAGCCCCAGCAACCTGGTCGCCTCCAGCAGACCCAAGGAAGTGCCACGCTATGGAGCGTTAATTCAGAGATGGAGCAAAGAAAGGCTAGCTTAAAAGACTTTGCAAAAGCTTATTGGACATTTTCGCCGTTTCCAGGCCGCGCTGTGCTTGGGCGTTCATCAGAATCACCAGTGAGGCACAATACTCCTGACATCCCCAATGAATTGTTCTCTTTTGAAGGGTTGAACGGCCGTAGCACAGTTCTGGATACTTATTTTGAAAAGCCTTCTGGCTCGCCAGAGCCGTCCGCGCATTGCCCCTGGTCTCCAGCAACTACTATGTTCCAGGACCCGCTTGGCAAGCATAGCGTCTCGACTTCATCACCAAAGCTCGAAAATACATCCAGCGAGAATGGGTACGAGTATGTTAAACTGACGCGCAACAAAAAAGAGGAGATCAGAGTGAATAGTGACGGTGCGCTGCTGGGTGGGTGGAAATTTAGAGTCCCCGTCTTCCCCATCTTATCCAGAAATCATGAGGACGCAGATTGTTCTAATCTAACTGTCGACGATTTACGCTACACGCGAGAGCTATACGCTGTGGCCTATAGGTGCGCTAAGGTACTTGGTTATAAAAACACATTTGAATTTCTCAGAAAGTATCCCGCACTGTATAGAATTGTTGCGACTGCAGAGGAGAAGGAAGATTTGATCGATAGGGGCATTTTAAGACCATTTCATCGATTGCGGCGTGTCCATCTTGTTACTGCTAAATCTGTGTTTAGAATATTTGGCCATCGCATCGTAAGTTGTTTACTTGTATATCTGCCTATCTATGTAAAGATTTGAAAACTTCAAGCATCGACTAAAGCTTTTATAGGTGAGACATGGAAATCCTGCAGAAGGTGGATATTGGAAGCCACCTGATAGAACAGAGTCCATTTCCATGGGATTCTCAAGTTCGACCTCCCTCTCAAGCGAAGATGAGCAATATAAAAGGCCCAGAGTTCAAAGGACACGAAATGTTCCCCAAACCTCAGTCGACTTTGGTGAAAAACTTACAGAACTATCAGTTGACAAGGTCCCACCGGTTGCATTGCCGTCAAACAGGCCAGAAGCAATAATACCACAAACTAGGCGAAACATACCGTTTACCTCCCTCTCGGATGATTTTGAAGTCGTTCCGAGTCCAGCAGAGATCTCGGCTAGAAATCCGGCATCGATGGTTCAATCTCAGCCAAGTATGGATGGTGCCTTTGCTACTGTTTTCCGTTCAGATGACAGCCTGTCTGGGTGGGAAAGAGAAACATTGTCAGCAGACCCATCGTATAATATTTCCGGAATTCAAAGTCCCAGAGAAGACAGCGTCCAGGATTTAGGTCTTTCCATGTCATCGTGCAGCATCGCAAGTTACAGTATCCACTCGTCATCTGAAGATGACGTCGATACCTCCTTCGTAAATCAGTTGCTAAGAGAATATTTAAATGACGTTCTCAAACAGATTACATCAACCTGTCATGGCTTTGCCCATATTCACAATGCTAAGATAAATTCTGCACATAATGAACAGGGTGATGAGCCATCTAATCCTTCACGTTCATATCACAAAAGCCAGTCATGTCGAGGTCAGAAGCGAAGCCGTAGCGAGTACAAACAGACAGCAAAGACCGGAACAGGGTTTAACTCAGAAGAAAATGATGACGATGAAAATTCTGGCGAAGATGACGATTCTCGCAAGAGATCGAAGGCTCCGAGGGCTTTAATTCGAGATCGAATCCCAACACTCAAGCTCGCATGCCCCTTTTACAAAAGGAATCCGCAACGTTACCAGAATTGTCGACCCTGTAGAGGTCCTGGCTGGGACACAGCACATCGAGTGAAGTATGTTACTTCCAAGCCCCCAAGATCAGATCTCACATTCAACAGGGAGCATATCTACCGAAAGCATGCTCTGCCAATTCATTGTCGCCGCTGCAACGCAATCTTCGATACCGAAACGAGTCTAACTGTAGGTCCTCTTGCAAGTTTTATACACGTAGCTTTATCGAACGTTTTATTTTCTCGTCGTGCAGTTCGAAATCGATTACTGTCATTTTTAATCAAAAATAATCCGGCATCCTAACAAGGGGCTAGGTGCACTCTAAACAGGAAATTTCCTGCCTCCCAACAGTGGGGATAGAGCTTGAAGGATTCGATAAAAATCAAGAGAAGATGCTTAAGGCTAAAAAGAAATTGCCTCATCTCTCCGAGGCCGAAAAATGGATCGAAATTTTCAAGATTCTCTTCCCGCATGACGATCCAGATCAGATCCCATCACCTTGTAAGTTTGAAAATGCAGCCTGTTCATGTCTTAAAACCCTGAACGTTGTCCTTTATCGTCAGCGACAAGCTGTTTCCTCTATTTTCTTATTTCTTTCTTTTCTTTTCTTTTTTTTTTTTTTAAAAAAAAAAAATGTCCAACTGACGCCAACTGCGAACAGATTGTGATCTCACGAGATCTGATTTCGATCACTTGGAAAAATTCAAGGACTACGTCATCCAAGAGCTTCCTGAAAAATTGCAAAGTATCTTACAATGTTCAGGTCCGGATGGGGATGGTCCTCTTAACAGAGAGGATCCCCTGCAACGCATTAGTACAATCGTTCAGCAGGTCGCTGAGGAGGTGCTGCAGTCGTACAGTCTACGAATGAATGGGGCAATTTCGGCCGTTCTTCAGAAGCAAAACAAGAGCAACGCCAGTGATAATACCACGAAAGATTGGGAAGATGATTTCGCATGCGACGGGAACAGCAGAACACGAGATGTATTGCCTGAAACCTTAGGAGATATTTTTGATACCTCTGATTCGTTCTACGAGGGGGAATTCAAAACACAAATGTTTGGGTGGTTCGAAATTGATACTGATACTTTCCTCGACGGCTTTTCTATGGCAAACACCCCTGAAAGCGGAAGTATAATAAACCACCCAGCACAATCTTTGGATTCCGCAGAAATCCATGGAGAATTAACCGAGGACTTTTTGAGAACAAGACTGGCTAAGGGCATAGCTCAAGATCGTATGTACGAGAAAGTCACTCGCGGAGGGCATTTCCCCTTCCCTTCGCTACCCTTAAACATAGGCGCATAAGCTTGAGTATTATCAATTATGAATGTTAGAGATAAATTGCAGAATCTTTCTTGAACAGCTGCAATAGTCCTCACACAATGAACATATCTTGACACAGCTCAGTCTTCCATTGCTCGCCATACATCAGTCCGTGAATATACATTGACCCCACCAATTCCCACCCCATTCCAAATCTTGCTTGTCTCACCAAGAATGGGGTCTTCCCTCCTTTGAACAGCGCGACTCGATCACCCACAGCACTTTGGCGAGGCACAAGGGCCAAGTACCCTTTTTCGGTCCTTGCCAGACGGCGATATAGTGTCTTTTCCGTTGCGGTCGCAAACACGCGATCGCTAAGGTTTCTTCTACCCGAAACCATACCGCTGAGGCCAGCGAGGGTTTTGTAGAAGCCCCCCTTTATGCCTAGAGATTTCAGATGTTGGAGCTTCTTTGGAGCGCGAAGCGTCTCTCTCCACCTCCTGAACCGGATCAATCCATGCTCAGGGCCGCCTGGTAAGTCTCCCGCGCACATCGTCATGGCGTATACAGTCTCGGGATCATCGTTCGTAGGGTGGGTGGGATAATTCTTCGAAAGAGCCAACTTCTCCCACCTAACAAGGATATCGAAGTAATTACCCAATCCAGAAAAGAGATTTTTACTAAAGCTCGCCAATTCCTGCACCGACGACAAGTTGGGATTCAAGTCTACGAAATCCATTTCCGGGACAGTAAGCACGTCCTCAAGTAAAACCAATCGGTCAAGTACGTAGCCGGAAAGTATCAACGAATTCGTGGCGCGGTCAACATCTGGCGTCCAATTCACTTCCAGAGACGCGCAGAACATAGGTTGCTTTGAAGCTTCGTCGGTGGCCTTTTCTACAGTCTGAAGCAAGACGATTGGAGCAGGTCGGTCTAGTTGACTCCAATCAGGAACCCAAGAAGGTAACTGAAATTCACACTTAGTCTGACGATCAGTCAAGAGAACATCGAGGTTGTTAGTGTGTGAGATGATTGCCAGAGCTGTCTGCTTGTAGCATTCCTCCACGCTGACGGTGTAATCAGGCTTTATTCTGGACAGCGATGACATCTCCTTTGGAATCAGTCCCAAGAGGGAATAAACTTTGTCTCTCGGGTCAGTCGAACCAAATGATCGGGCGCTCTGCAGCAGCCAAAGAATATCGAATGGCACTGTGTCCTGTTCGGGATGCTGGACTTGCATCCGTAATAGATGCATGAGCACCAACCCACCGCGCAGAATCTGTTCGGGCCTGCCTTCGAGCCCCCGGTTTCCCAGAAGCACAATCAAAGTAAAGCCAACGTAGAACACGTCCGAATCAATCGAACTTGTACCGCATAACAGCTGGACCTCGCGACCGAGCACAAATTCTTGCAGAACCCAACAGCGAGTGAACCAAGGTCTCGATATCAGCTTTAAAATTGCTATTACCTCCTCCTTCGTTGCATCAGATACATCTCCTGTTTCCTCTTCGTTGCTATTGGCATCGTCATCCATGCCGAAAACATCGACGTGCTGCTGTTTAGAACTATCCGCTCCAACCAGATTTGGGGAATCTACTTGCAGATCAATGTCGTTATCGTCTTTCTCTAAAGCATGTGTAGTTCCTTGCTGAGCTTGATGCTTTGCACCGTCGGCCTGCGCTTCAGCGCTTAATTTTCGACTCTTCAGCTCTTCCATTTTTCGTTGAATGATCTGGCTTTTATCCGAACGCCACAAAAAATCATTGCTCATTAGATCACCGAATTCGTCGGTAAGAAGCTCTACTCTGGCTTTAGCTATTCGCTCGCAAGCAGCAAAGGCTAGCTCGCTGTCTTCACCGGCCTCTCCTAGCCAGACCAGGACCCTCTTTGCACGACTGTAAATACTTCGCATCATACCAACCTGATGCTTTCGCTCCTCATAGTCGGCCTGGTTTATGCAAATGGCGTCAATCCACAAAATTCGTTCCGATTCTTCGAGACGAAGATGTCGGAGTGCAGTCTCCAGATTTTCGGAGACCAGAAATGGTTTTCCATCGCAAAAAATGAGCAGCCTTTTGCTGATATCTCCCCAACAGTACGAGAGAGCCTCGTATACCAAGTCGTCGGACAGCCTGGCCTCAACTAAACGGACATGGATGGCGTCAGTCCAATCTCGGCTAGGGGCAAGTGATAACAGCCGGATGTGATCGTCATCCTGGCGGTCCACAAGCGAGCGGTACTCGTAGTCAAACATTAGTGAACAAGATTGCGGCTGGTTCCTTGATGGTTCTCGTGCACCGATGGTACAGAGCGAAGCAAAATTTGGGGTGAAAATGCTCGATATTTACACATTTCAAGCTGCTTATGTTGATGAGGTGATCACTATCTGGATCTTATCAGATCAGATCCCGAAGCTTCTCCACGAACAATGTTAACCCAAAGTCAGCCTTCATCCATGCTCAACTGCAAATGGCTAAAGCTGTTTAACAAACTATGTATAGCCTTTGCACTGAGGCTGGTATCAGTCGATAAGGTGTTGGTGCCCCACCGATCGACCGAGCGTTGTCGGTCCTTGGCGCACAGAATTCACTGAAACTTCAACCCAGCCCCTCCCTTCCGTTCAGCAAGTTGTATGAATGCTTCCTTCTTAAGGGAAACGATGACCAAATGCCTGTATAGTCTTGGTTTGTCGATTTTACATATTGCTGTCCAGGCTCTCGCGGATAACAAGCCTATATTCATAAGAAATGCCGCGAATCTTGGAGCTCCGAAGGAATTCCCATGGGACGATATCGTTGGCTCACCATTTCTTGACTGGCATGAATGTTATGATTCGAACAAGTTCCAATGTGCTCGCTTAATCTTGCCTCTGGACTGGAAGAATGAATCGAATCCGAATAATATATCTCTTGCCTTAATCCGGCTTCCCGCGAAGGTCCCGTACAAGGACCCGAGCCACGGAGGCACGATCATAACGAATCCCGGCGGACCCGGAGGCTCAGGTGTGTGCTGGGTGCTGGAAAATGCCGAAAAACTCCAGTATCAACTGGATGGGCCGAAGCACTATGAAATACTGTCTTTCGACCCGCGCGGAGTCTTCAACAGCAGACCGAACGCATACTGTTTCAAAAGTGCCGTTGAATCGGAGATTTGGTATGACCAGAAGGAAGCCGTTGGCAGGACGGACTCTGGAAACTATGCCCTTAAGTACAACTGGGCGGCCGAGATGGCGCGAGGAGAGCTTTGTGCCACTACTGAGAACGGGAAATATCCTAATGGCGACAATATCCGCCAGTACGTCTCCACGGCATCGGTAGCTCGAGATATGCTGGAGATAACGAGGCTTCTTGAGCTCGAAAAAGCACGAGATAAAAAGGATATCCCCTACGAGGCAAGCACACAACAGCCACTGCAGCGGGATATCTCGACATATCCGGGAAAGTTGCAGTACTTTGGAACTTCCTACGGCACTTTTTTAGGCCAAACATTTGCTTCCATGTTTCCGCAACATGTCGGTCGGATGGTCCTTGATGCAAACGTGGACCCCGATAACTGGGTGTCTCGATACGAAGCCGGGATCGATGATCATAATAAGATACGCAAGTATTTCTTCGAACGGTGCTTCGACGTGAAAGGCGAGTGTCCTTTTCGACGGGACGGGGACGCAAGCGCGGCTGACGTCGAGGAGCGATTCAATCTCCTCCTCGACTCTCTGGACGAATTTCCACAATACGCGACCGGTCTTGGGCGAGCCATGCCCATCACGCGAACCGTCGTCGAGATGGGGTTCCTGACCGCCACGTATCAGCCGCTCTTCTTCTTCAAGCCATACGCGCGTTTCTTGAACGACCTGCTCCTCAACGTCAACCCCGGCATTCCGTTCTGGGATAGACCCGTGCCAACGGAAGACACCTTCACGGACAAGATGCTCCAGCAAAAGTACCAAGGCGAAGAAGTTGGACCTGCCGTGCATTGCAGCGACGGTCCCCTTTTATCCGGCGAGCCGCTCTCCGCGTTCGAAGGCTACGTGAGCAACCTGACGGCGAGGTTCGGGTCGATCGCGGCAGGTCTACAGGCAGACTACAAGATTCCGTGCTGGACCTGGCCGCGGTCGTTGCGTACGAAATGGAGATACCCCGGCCCCTTCGGCGGCGATGTGCAGATTTTGTTCGTCAACAACAGGCTGGATCCGGTCACCTCGATAAAGAACGCCGTCAAGATGAGCAGTCGCTTCAACGGAAGCGTGCTGTTGGAGCAGAACAGCGCCGGGCACGGCGCACTTTGGCCACCGTCGGAGTGCATGTGGTCGCACGTCAGGAACTATATCAATACGGGGCAGATGCCGCCCAAAGGAACGATATGCGAGCCATTGTGTATACCATTCAATGGAATGTGTGAAGGAGTCGACACGGGCGATTAAGCATTGAAGAGTTTCTGGCCGAAACTCGAGTGATGCAAACTTTTGATAAGTGGACGTAGCCTCACAAGACCGTGAGTGGTGCGTGAGTGACGTTTAATCTAGCCTGCGGCCGCTTGGAAGATTTGATAACATGCGCAGTCTAAATACAGAAACCTGGAGCTTTCTCAGGTCTCACGCGTAGCTAAGCGCTGAACGAGCTGTCGATCAGCTCGTGTGATGAGGTGGAGACTAATTCAAAGTAGAGGTGACGCTCATAGTAGATCTCGAATCCGTGCAGTCAAGACCCATGTCGTTCTTTCATTTCGCAAATGATCAATCGCACCTCTAGTTAGCGAAAAACACACAGTATTCAGTAACTTGGACCCGCGTCTCGGAGAACCGTCTTTTAGCATGACGTCTTTGAAGTCTCTCCAAATTGCGCACGAACCATTCGGCCCACCTTGCCCACGTGCTGCCGATCTCAGTTCTACCGTCGCATCCAAGCCACGCCCACGTCGCCAGTTCTCTGGCGCGGAAGCGTGCGGGTGGTACGCGGCATCCGCAGAAGTCTTCGCCTGCCGCCTCGTCGAAGGATCCCTTGATTTCGGCTTTGTCGCCGTCACCTGTCCAGCAGCCTGCAACTATGTCATTACCGTACATAGCCATGCGGGGGGCTTGCATGCCACCATTTTTGGCTGGAACGAACACGACCGTGACACCCATCTTCTTGCATATCCCGCCGATTTGTGATGGATCTGTACTCGCTGTTGCTGGTTCAACGCCAAACATAACAAGTCTAATCGTTGCTCAAGTCCTCTCTCTGTGAGCACGTATGGAAACCCAAGACTACCGACGTGACCTTGTTCAAGGTCAACAATATTAGGACAATCAATGCCAAGATCCCGAGCAAGCTCGTGCGTTGTTGAGTCGCTCCGAACATCGTGTTATGCAGCCTCGCAGCGACGTGGTCGGAGGATTCGCAGAATGAAGTCGCCGGCGGCATGGCTGGTGGCGAACTTGCTGGGTTTGTCCGGCGCGCTGTTTCCTAGTTTCCCTCTCATCCTGTCGGATAATATCACAACATTGTTGGCAGAAGACGAAGGTATAGGTGTAGGCTCTTCCACCATGATGCTGACGATCTGATTGAACGAACCGCCAGGGATTCGCTCGATTTTGAAATTCGTCTTCGCTCGGTTTGTCCAAAGTACCTCCGTGAATGATGCCAGAATGCTCGGTCTTACGGCTTTAAAGACCTCAGAACTCACGTTAAGGCTCACTAGTGAAGGTACGATGGATTGCCTCTGTGGACTTGCTTCGGAGCTCATTCTCATTCTTTTCGGAACATTTGTAAGGTCTCTAACGTATAAATACTGCTTTTTTGGGAGCAGTGCTTGTTAGGAGGTTGTTGGTATGAATTCTGAAGGAATGCTTGAAGCGGTGTCTAGTAAGATTCTTGATTCAAAGGCCGTGTTTCGTGGGGGTTCATTGGCCAACAGTTATCAGTTGGCCGTCCTGATCGATGCACGGAGTGACAATGGCCCCATTAGGCCATGGAGTTCTCCGACAATGTATCTCATTTTGGTCTAACCCTTAACGTATTCAAGATGTTCAAAAGCTCGAAGTCGACACAAGGTTTCGCTTGCTGTAAGAGGTTGCTCGTGATGGTTGAATATCACGAAAGATATGTTGAGCAGCTTCCACACTCGAACCTGGGCCTTTCCACGCTTAGTGTCGTTGTGTCTCGATTCCATTCACACCGAAGCTAGCTACTGCGTAGTTGTGGCCCTCAAAATTCTACGGAAAAGGTTTTTGCAAAGGTAAGATGGCATAGAATATACCGCTGAAAGACATTCAATACCGGTCACTGAGATTCGGATAAATGCGAGCCTGTCAAGGTGATTCAAAGACAAGAGTCAAACTTGAAAGTCGGCGTCACAAACAAAACACATATCGCATTCTGTGAGTGAGGGACGAGGGCATCAAACGTCTTAGACGAGCGAATTCGGTTGCAACAGATGATGACAATTTTCCCTTCTTACATCTATCTTAGTTATGTTCGTATTGTCACATCGCATCGGCGCATATTGGATGAGATGTTCTGCGGTCACTAGTCCGTGAACCGAGTGATGACGAATGACGCTCAGAGGATTCAGCACATTAGCACGATACACATTGTGGTCTCGCACAGGATATAGCTGGTCCATTCAGGAAGAAGATTTACAACTGGATGGGTTCGAGCTCGTGCCATTCGACATCGCACTTTCTCGTCCTGTTGAAAATTAGCGCACAGGCTCTCGAGACGCCGACTCTTCGCTCACAAGTGGCGGGAAAAAGGCACGATGGCATCCTCGTGTCGGCCCTTGAGGAACCATACGCGCCGTATCTCACCATCTGTTTCAGAATCTAGGATGTTCACCGATACCCAGATTACAATCTCCTCCAAGAGGGCCTGCTGTCGCGATCAGCGAAACTTTCGAAGGAAAGGGGTCGTCAGCATCTCCCTCACATAGCCTATTTGGGGATACCAGGACTCCTGACGCAACTTGAGCACCATGTACCACTTTACTTCCGGCCGTCGCGCCAGCGCCATGTAGTCGTAAAAGAAGTGGCCTAACCGCGGCGTGCTTTTGGCCATCCTTTGTACGAAGTTGATGGCCGTCTGAAGGGCGGGCGGTGATGTCCTCCACAGCGTGTACGCCACCGTGACTTCCTCGAGAGACTCCAGATCCGACCAGACTGCGTCGGGCGCGAGCCGCTGGACGCCCAGCGACGGGAGCTCGAAAGAAGAGAGCTTTTCTGGTAGAGGCTGGGGACCTATGCACAGCCGCTTGATGTGCCTGCGCCCATTTGCACCGATGGAGACGAAAAACCTCGTGAGGTCCGCAGCCAACTCCGCCGAGAAGATGACGGATCCATAGAGCACCGCAAGCGCCTCGGAATGAATCGTCTTGCACGTACGGAGGAACTGAGCGGACAAGTGAGGATGCTCGTGATTTGGCCAGATGTGCACCCTGTTCGCTTTCACATACAGCTGATCTTTATCCTTCAGCAGGTTGCAATAAACCTTATGACGCAGCTCCGCTGGCAAGCTCAAGAAGCGGCGGACCATGCTTAAATGCTCATATATCTCAAGCCTAAGAAGTAGAAGGTCTGAGTAACCTATTTGACGTTGACTTTTCTGGATTGCTTGTTCTTGATACGATCAACAAAGAGAGACGGGTGTCCAGCGTGGAAAGGGTGGCCGAGGGATGACCTTAAGCCAGCAGCTTCATCGACCAATACGAGCGTCTCGAATAGGTGACCGGTTAGCTGCGGTGCTAAAATAAAGAAATCATACGACAGGACAAAAAAGTTTAAATTCGTAGCAAGAAGCCATGTGCTGTTCAATTTTCATTCTTTTTCGTTTTCCTTTTTTCCCCCTGTCGAATGATGGCTTTTTGCAAAAGGCCGCAAGTATGTCCGAAAATGACATTGGGAGGAATAGCGACGCATTTTCTACCAACCTCAGTCGCTTCTTGAAGTCAGACAAACTTGGGCGACAAGCTTCTAAGAAGTAGCATGCGGTTTGGTCTTAACTCGTCTTCACTTTGCTAGATTTGCCCGCCCTGAGCAAGGATTTGACACGCACACATGCTTTCTGCAGCAGAGCAGCCAATCTGCGAGCGAGGCTGAATCGCAGGTAGCGTGATGACATTCCATGCTGTTCAAGGGTCTCTCCTGTGTCTGCGGACAAGGACGTCGCCAGGGAGAACTGCACGAGATAGGCTGAACGGATTGGTTACCCGGCGCAGTCGTGCCGTTGCTACGTGAAAAATAAAAGTTTGCCACTCGATTGCAGCAGGTCAGGGGGAGAGGATGGGACAAAGTGCGCACAACGAAGCCTCGACGGCCACACAAGTAGAGACCATTCTGAAGCGCACAAGCACACGTGCGATCACGAGCAGGGTGTTTTTCTTCCTGCTTATTTCTTCTTTGGTCGTCAAGCGCGTCTAGGGAGGTGCTGGGCCGGTTGCAAGCGTCCATTGCTCGAAAAAAAGTCTGCCCGTACTCCATTCTGTTAAAGTGAGCACGTCGGCCTTGGCTAGGGGACAGGAGCAACGGTTGGGACTCGGGACGTTAATATAAGCCGCCCCGCCACTAACGCGGACGTGGCTGCAAAAGTAAGATAAACCCACAGATCGGCCAGCGCGATTCGTGCGCAGACGCAGAGCCTGGAATCCCCTAAGTAACGACTTGGCATTGAAATTTAATGAGGATGATTTATGGCGATGCCCGTTTTGGAAAAGAACCTCGCGACAGCATTGATTTTTTTTTTTTTTTTTTTTTTTTTTTTTTTTTAATTTTTTGAAATTTTTTGTTTTTTTTTTTTTTTTTTTTTTTCTTTTGTTTCAATTTTTTTTTCCCCGTCGATGTCGAACGCCCTTTAGCGCCGGGCAAGGAAGAGGACGAATGAAGCAGGAGAGGCGAGCAGGCCCGAGACGGCCGAGGTGGGCATGTCCGGCGCGCAGGCTGTCAGCGAGGGCGAGCAGTTGTCTGGTCCCGTTGATCGCCGTTCACAGCAGAGAGATGCCGTGACTCTGCGGTCTGCGAGCGAGTGGGGAGACGCAGCAAGACGTACGCGTACGCTTCGCCCGCAGCACGCGCACGACGCACAAATCAGCCACGAAGCAGAGCGCGGCGGCCAGCGCAAGAGTCCACGCCTCGTACTGCTGTGCGCCCAATCCTCGACGCGTCGTGCTCGGCATCTAGAGAACGGGAGAGTGAGTGGGCGGGAGAGAGAGAGAGAGTGCGCGAGAGCGTGCGAGAGCGAGAGCGAGAGTGTGTGTGCGTGTGTGCGCGAGTGGCTTGGAGACTTGGTCGCCTGGAAATTGGCCCCCGGGCTCGCTCGTCCGCGAGTCTCAGCCAGGCCTTGGTTTATCTTCCGCCGCCCGCGCTCCCAGCCAGAGCGCCCGTTATCGAGCGCTCAGCACGCCGTCGTGCAGCTTGCACACTCCAAGCCCGAGCCGTCGTCGTTCCTTCACGCCCCCAGCATAGCATCCGGTGCGTCCTTTGCTTGCTCTGCATCGCCGTGACCGAGCGTACGCCACGCCCTCGCTGCTACTGCTAGCTATCTACCCCGGATTTTCCTGCCGGCCGCTCACCGACATCCCATGGACCCCGTGTGCTAGCCAACGCTTGTAGCCGACAGACGAACCAACAGCATTCCAGGCGCCCTCCACGACGGGAGCTGTGTAGCGCGGCACCACACGGCAGCATTACGACGACAGACCTGTCCGCATATACACTCTACGCTTGCCTCCCCTCCGCTCGCATCCTTAGCCCAGCATCCGCATCCCCCATCTTTCGCGCCAACCATGCCTCGCCGCAGCGTTTGGCTCTTCGTCATCGTCAACCTCCTCTTCGTAGCCTTCCTCGTCAACTCCGTGTGGACGCTGCTCTCGCTCCTCGTCGTCGACGGCGCCGAGGACAGGATCTCTCGCGCCGAACTGCCGGGGCCCAACAGCGACGTCAAGGCGCGGCAGCGGGTCATCCCCAAGATCATACACCAGACATACATAAACGAGAGCATACCTGCCCACTGGAAGGTGGCCCAGCAGTCATGCCTGGACTTGCACGAGGACTACGAGTACAAGCTGTGGACAGACAAGGCCAGCCGAGAATTCATTGCTGCCGAGTTCCCCTGGTTCCTGGAGACGTTCGATGGCTACGCATTCCCCATCCAACGGGCGGATGCGATCCGGTACTTTGTGCTGGCTCACTACGGAGGCGTGTATATTGATTTGGACGACGTATGCCGCCACCCTGCGCGTCCGTGTGCGTGCAACGCATGAGAGAGCTAACCGTCCCCACGCAGGGCTGCCAACGCCGCCTCGATCCCCTCCTCACCTACAGCGCTTGGGTCCGTCGCACGATTCCCACGGGCATATCAAACGACGTGATGGGCAGCGTTCCCCACCATCCGTTCTTCCTCAAGGTCATTGACGCCCTCCCTCGCTACGACCGCTCTTGGCTGCTCCCTTACATCACCGTCATGGGCTCGACCGGCCCGCTCTTCCTCAGCATCATCTGGCGCCACTACAACAACGAGGGCCACGACAGCGACGACGAAAGAATCCGCCTGCTGTTTCCGGACGAGTACAACAAGAACTCGTGGAGCTTCTTCAGCCATCACCTCGGCAACAGCTGGCACCGAGCGGATGTGAAATTGATTCTCTGGGTACGTCCAATTGAAAAGAAGATTCTTTTTTTTGATTTGAAAGGAACCCCCCACCCCCACCCCCGTCACACTTTCTTCGCAGTTTGCTTTCCAGACAGAACATGACATTGGAACTGACAACGTAAACTACAGATGGCCCAGCACTGGGTCTTCCTCACCGTCTTGGGCTTCATACTCGCCGGCGTCTTCTTCTTCGGCGTCTGGTGGCTGTACGGCAGATTCATCTCCAGCCCGGCCTCGCGCGTCCGCACCAGGCGCATCTGGTTCTGGCGCCGAAGAGGCGGCAGCGGCACCGTCAAGATCGGCGACCACGACGTGCCCCTGCTCGAGCGCCGCAACAGCGACCTGGAGGATCGCAGGGTCGAGTGAGAGCCCGCGCAGGCCCCGATCACGCACTTACACGCACACACACACACAGAGAGAGACTCGTACCCGGGAGGGGGCGTCCTCCGCGCCAGCGTGCGCCGCGACCTTTTCTCGCCGCCCCGTTTTCAGGCGCTGGCGCTTTCGCACCACTCAGGTTGCACGGCGACGGAGTTTCTTCTTCTCTCTTACTCTTTCTTCTTTCTTTTCTTTTTTTTCCCACCCTTCCCCTCCCCGCGGATCTCGAAACCTGTCGCAAAATCACGTCTCTCTGCTGCATGGGCAAAGCCTGGTTCATCGGCGGTGGGCAGGACCACCAAGCTTCGTGCGGAAAAAAAAAAAAAAAAAAGAAAAAGCACAAAAAGACAATCTTGCACCAACTCCGTGCGTCCGTGTATGCTTCTGCTACAGGCGCGCCTGGAATCGTCGTAGAGAGTTTTACCGGAGAGGCTAAGGGGCTGGACACAAACTAAGCTTAGAATCATTTGGATGTTCGTTTGCATGTAGAGGTCAGGAATTGGACCCTTCCCCACCCTTCCCCTCCCACTTCGTCGACAAAGACGGAACAGCATTTGTGTATAGCGCCTTTTTGGGTTTATGTATTTTTTGTGCTTCCCAGCAGGGCGACGTAGCTTCATATTACTGGTAAGCGACATTTGGGGAAAGTGTCGGCACACACAAAGAGAAAAAAGAAAATTAATCCTTTTTTTTTCAACTGGACAGCATTGTATTCATTTCCTATCGTATGATTTTTTGCCTTGACTTGGTTGCCGTGGCTGTCACAGCTAAAAGTGGTTTGTGGCGGGCTAGGCAGTTCTGTCCCAAAGGTCATGCAGACAATGATGTCACGCGACCGGTGTTAGAGACAGGCCACCAAAGCCCGATTGAATGGTTAAGCATCGCCTCCGTGTGTTCCCCGAACAATGGAAAATACTTGTCTACAGACCCCACCATCATCGCCATAGTCCATCAAAAGTTTCGTCCCGTACCATGTCATAGCTTCGTGAGAGTGACGTAACAAGTGCTCGTGATGCGGAGCCGCCCTTGGCAGATGCGTCGTCGAAAACTCCTTGTTGCAGTGATTTGATTCAGGCTGATGCCGAATGACCGACTACGGCAGTGAGCTGGTGAAGGCTATTCTGTGCTTGGGCGCACATTGATCGAGGGCTAGCATGCGATGGCTAGAGGCCGCTTATTTGCTGCAACAGATGTGAGCACACGTTTGAATCAGCAGCAACACACAGGACGCGACTCACGATCGGGCTCGCATCTTTCTTCGCTTGCGCTTAAGGCGTCGGACTCGCTTCTTCCTCCACTTGGCTCTCATTTTCGATAGCTAGGTGCTGTTCATGTGGCATTAGCTACCAGCGTCACGCTGAGAGGGGTAGCGGGCCGAGTCAAATTCATTGCGGGTTGGGACTTTTGGATTGCGACCGACAAAGATCCCACGACTGCAATTGAGACGGCCGCTGCTGGCGGTGAGGGACAACTTACAATAACTTTCGAAGATGAGGTTTGATGTTGGATGAGAGAGAAGGAGCTCGGGGTTGACGATTTTGGAGCTTTTTCTGTGCGTGCCCAACCTGCGCTAGCCTGCATCTGGACTAGTCAGCTCACGTGCCGTCCTATGACGCCTTCGACAGGTCCAGAGCAAATCGTTTCCATGTCCTTTGACCCAGACCCAGTAAATTGCAAGCGAAGCGACCCCTCTGCATGATTCTTACAAACTTGATTGTCCGTGGGGAGCGATGGCAGGTATTGGAGATGTAGGAGCGAAGAAACCGGTCGCTTTCCTTGACGTTTGCTCTCGCACTTCTCCAGAGGAAGAATTCCAATGCACCAATTCTACCCTTGACATCTATCCCAACGCTGATTTTTACTTTGGACGTTCGGACGCTTGGTTCGTACCCGCATGGATGTTTGTCAAGCCATCAGTGCTGACAACACTCGAGCCAGTACCAATGTCCTGACCCGACAGTTTCAAACAAGCATTTGCATTTTCACTGTATCATCTTCGAAGAAGGCGTCTCTGAAAACAACATACCGCCGCTGGTTTACGTCGAAGATCTTTCGACCAATGGCACGTATCTCGCGCGTGCGAGTCGAGACGTCAAGTGGCCCCTTGAGCAACGACTTTCTCGACGTAGTGGCAAGATCTTACTCAATGCTGGCGACAGACTACGTGTCAGCCCGACACTAGCTCTTCAATTTAGGTACTCTTCGACCATAGCGCCTAGCTCTTGCCGTCTGAGTGATTGGCAACGCCGACAGGCTGAGGTACATGACATCTGATCCATTCAAGGAGACTATGCTGAGGAAGAGATAGTTGTTTGCCGATAGATACACCATAACTGACCAGATTGTCGGCTGCGGAGGTCATGGTGAGGTTTTTGTTGCGATTCATAACAAGTCCCAGCGACAGCTTGCGTGCAAAGTCGTTGAGATCCTCTCACCCAACCTGACGAAGAAGTCATCGCTGAAGGGCAACGCAGAACAGCGGAACGGAAGCCCGATCAGTCATAGACATAGGAATCGCCTGCATACGGAGAATATCCTTGAAAGTCTCCAGTTTCGTGAGTTCGAAATCCTGAAAGATCTTGACCATCCCAACATCGTGCGGCTCGAGAAGGTTTTCTGGAGCGCGTCAACCATATTCATCTTCCAGGAGCTTGTCACCAGTGGCGATTTATTCTCATATATTGAGGGCCAAGGAGGTAAATTGTCTGATACAGACTCGGCCATCATTCTGCACCAGATTTTGAAGGGCGTAGAGTACATGCATGATCGCGACATCGTCCATCGAGACCTGAAGCCAGATAATATCCTCGTCTCTACTAGCACTGATTGCCCCCTTCGTATCGTAATCACGGATTTTGGAAGCTGCAGACGTATCGAGGGCCCGAAGTCCCCCGGGAGCGAGGCCAAGAAGAGAATGCACACCATCGTGGGAACCCTCGAATACGCCGCGCCGTTTGTCGTTTCCTTTGTGCTTATGTGTAAATGATAGCTGACTGAAACCAGAGAAATATACGGAAAAGGATCCAAAAATTCGCCCTTGCGGGGGTACTCGAAGGCTATCGACATGTGGTCCGTGGGCGCAATTGCGACCGCCTTGCTGACAGGAGATGCCATCTTCACTGACCGACTGAATCCCATGATTCGAACGGATCCAGCAAAAGTCATCCTTGAACTGTCGTCTCGATGTGACCTCAGCATCCTCGATAACGATTACAGTGTCTGGCGCGACGTGGGAAAGCGACCCAAAGATTTTATTCGTGGACTTCTTGTCCTGGACGAGTCGAAACGAATGACGGTGAAGCAAGCACTCGCTCACGAATGGTTCACAAACAAGTACTGCGAAAAGAGTTTCAATGATGTGTACCAGAAGGCCATTGCAGACTGGCAGCCTCGCCGTAGATCGTTTCGTGTTGTCGAGGCATTAGATCTCGACAGGCTGAAGCCTACTACAAGACAAGACTGTGCCGCGGGTCAGAAAATATCGCAACACTTTCCTCCGCGTGCTCTTTCAACGAAAAAGATCAACTTGTATCCAATTGACGTCGTTTCTCCCAGCAAAGGCATGTCAGCTGTTCTGCCAACTATAGGCGAAGAAGCGACTCCCGAGCCAGATGAGTCCGTCAATACTCCAAGGACGCCGAAAGCAGCACGGACAAGGAAAGCTCCCCAAACGCCCACAACATCTGACGTTCAATACAGCCTAAGTAAAATGGAGCTTGGACCTGACGTGCAAACGTCTGAAGCCACTACCAACTTTACCGTGAAGGACAGCCAGCAATATACCAGTACTGAATCAGTTGGTCTTGACGATTCTGCCGAGTATGATCAGCCAGCTGGATTCTATAATACTGTTCCAGAAACACCCCGTCCAAGATTAAAGCGACCGCGTGCTCAGGATAAGTGCAACCAAGACGATACCTTTCGCGACTTGACTGATGATCCACTTTCTTTCAACAGAAATATGGCTAAAAAAATGCGCATGCTATGACCGCCACTCTTGCCGGCATTTTGGCTTGAGACAATTGCTGATTCGTCACAGCAACAAGTAGAAACTTCGCAGCGCTTACGAAGCTTAGTGCATTTGTAGACTGGTATCGAGCTTTCGTGCGGAATGCAAATAGACGGGAAATGGTATGAGCAATCGTATCAAGGAAACCCTGACATGTAACGGCTACGAAAAGGTACCACGATAAATGATATAGTTAATGATGAATCTCTCTATCAATATGTTGAATCTCCCTCAATTGTGATGCGAGCTCTGAAAGAACAAATACGATTGTAGCACGGCAAACGATCCGTTGATTTGGATTTTCTTGGGAAAAGGCGATCAGGACGTCTTCTTTCTCGGCCGGAGAATATGAGCTAATAGCCGAAGTTTAGGATTGATTCACTTTCGGTGGCAGGATTCTCCGCAGCGACTTTGTTGTTACTTATTCGATAGTAGCAGGGGTGGCCGTTTGGGCAACGTCACGAGGTAGTTTATTGACCGTTCCTGTGGCGTCATCATCTCGGCAATCGCAACAAAATCCAGCGACGTGGGGTAGACACAGTCACTCCAGCCGCCGAATACATGCGGCTCACAAGGATTGCGCTACGAAGTCCGAAGCTTTCTCATTTGCAATTGCTTGACCCGGTTTCTATGCAATGTCAATCCTGCTCCTACAGCGCGGGGTATCACTAGTTTCAATCGTGACCTTGCCACCCCGCAAGCGGTGGGGGCAACGATTTAAAGCAGGATGGAGGAGTTGTCGGTCCAAGATGAGGAGTCTACCGCTCTTCTAGCCCACGAGATGGACGACAAGGACAGCATCAAGCACGCCGAGGAGACCCGCGCCGAGCTGGCCATCACGGACTCGAGCAAGAAACATGGAGATCGGGCGCTGGAGCTTATAGGAGACGAGCGTATCCCTCTGACGGACGAAGACAACAGACGGATACGGAGGAAGACCGACTTGAGGATCCTGCCGGTTCTGGTGTGGGTGTACTTTTTGCAAGGTGCGACTGTCCGTGGTTTGAGTTTTGTTCCAGTACAACACCCCACCCAATCCCTCCCCCTTCGCCCGCCCTCCCTTGGTCTAATTTCAAGGTTTGGCTCGTCGAACTGACCCGCAAGCAAACTACCAGTCATCGACAAGACAACGCTTGGCTACGGCGCCGTCTTCGGATTACAGAAAGATGCAAAGCTCTCGGCTCATGAGTACTCTCTGATCGGCAGCATTGCCCCGATTGCGCAGCTGGCGTGGCAGCCGTTCTCGTCCTTCCTGATTGTCAAGGTCCCGCACCGCATCCTGATGCCTTTGCTGGTCATCGGGTGGGGTGTCGCGCAAGCAACGATGGGCGCGTGTGATTCGTACGGCGGTCTGATGGCGACGCGTTTCCTGCTCGGCCTGTTCGAAGCGGGATGTCTGCCCCTTTTCTCCGTCATCACGAGCCATTGGTACCGCCGAGCGGAGCAGCCTCTGCGCGTTGCCGCCTGGTATTCCATGAACGGCATCGCGAACCTGACTGCCGCTGCCTTGTCCTACGGGCTGGGCCAGATCCGCACCTCGTCCATGTATTCGTGGCAGATGTAAGCAGCCGATTCCCCCAACCCTCTGAATGTCAAGCACTCGTTGACTCTGAGCCTCGTGTGCAGCATCTTCCTCTTCTGCGGCCTAGTAACCGTGTGTTCTGCGCCTCTGGTCTACTGGCGGCTTGAAAATGACATCCCGTCGGCGCGATTCCTAAGCCAGCACGAGAAGGCCCAGGCTGTCGAGCGGCTGCGCGCAAATCAGACGGGCACCGGCAACCGCGAGTTCAAATGGAAGCATGTGTTCGAGCTCGCCCTCGAGCCGAAAACGTACCTCTTCATCGGCATGACGCTGCTCCTCAACATCGGCGCCCAAGTGTCGAACACGTTTGGGCCCCTCATCCTCGCTGGCATTGGCTTCGACAAGTACAAGACCTCGCTGCTCAACATCCCCTTCGGCACGCTCCAGTTCTTGACCATCCTTGCCGGCTCTTGGGCCGCCGCCAAAGGGCGCTTCAAGTCCCTCGTGCTGGCCGTCTTCATGCTGCCCGTTATCGCCGGGATCGCGATGCTGTACGCGCTTCCGAGGACAAGCTCGCACCAGGCCGCGCTGATGGCAGGCTTCTACATGTTCGCCTTCCTCTTCGCCGGCAACCCGCTCATCGTCTCCTGGATGATCGGCAACACGGCCGGAACGACGAAGAAGTCCGTCCTGATGGCGTGCTACCAGGGCGCATCTTCCGCCGGGAACATAATCGGCCCGCTCCTGTTCAGCTCAAAGGACGCGCCCTCCTACCATCCGGGTCTTCGCGCGGTGCTCGGCATCTTCGTCGCTCTCGTCTGCGTCGTCTTGATCCAGCTCGCAAACCTGATTCTGCTGAACAAGCTGCAGGAGGGGAAACGCGTCAGAAACGGCAAGGCCGCCGTGATCAAGGATCTCTCGATGGAGGATACGTATGTGGGGTACGAAGCGGATCAGGAAGACGGGCAGACACAACGGCTGGGAGAAAGGGCCTTCCTGGATCTCACAGACCGCGAGAACGACGAGTTTACATATATTTACTAACCCTTTTGTTTAGATGTCTAATCGCATCTATCTGAATACACCAAGTTTGAAAACTGTGGCGTGTATGCTTTCCGAATAAGAAACGACGCAATATGCTTGACCTTTCTTGGTTCGTGCCCTGGCAAAGTCCCTCAATTTCTTTATCTCTCTCTTTCTCCCCTTCTATACATATATCATAGTGAATTTTAAACGCTTCACAAAAGCGGAATCGCACGCTCGTAGGCGGAAGAAAAAAGCCATGGCGGCAAGGGGGTTTCCTGCGCCCAGCGCAGCCGTCTTCGCGTGGAAGAAAAAAAAAAGTTCATTCTGAGCAAAGGATTTCTACGCTTCTTCGCTTCAGATTTTCTTTTTCTTCTTTTGCTCTAGATTTGTCTTTCTCCCGTTTCGCGCCTTGCTTAAACTCGAGGAAGTCTGAAGGGGTGGGCTTCCGTGTTGAAGACCCACTCGTCGAGACTGATGTAGGCGGGGTCGCTAAAGATGAGGTAGAGATACTTCAGCGTCTCGCTCATCCAGAAGCTCTCCATGCTGTCGATATGCGTGACGGCAGGGTCCGTCACGTTCTGGATCGCCGCGTTCCCAAACTCCGTCGCCGTATTGTTCTCGATCGCCTGGAACATGTCCCACGCGACGTCCTGGTACCGCGGGTCGCCGGTGATGCGGTACGCGTAAAAGACGCTCTCGACCGCTTCCGGGCGCAGGTTGTACCTCGCGTCGAGGACGCGCAGGAACGGCGCCGAGCGCGTCTCGTTCTCCGTGTCGTACTCGCACGGCTCGAAAGACGGGCAGGCGGGCACCTGGAGGATTTCCGGCATGATGCCCAGCGGCGCGTTCTGATACGCCCAGACGCATCCGTTCGTCAGTTTGCGCCCGATGTCGAGGTGCGACGCGTTTCCGAAGAGCTTCCCGCCCAACAGGTACATGCCGCCAGTGAAGCAGCCAAGATGCTGGACCTGCAGATCAAGCTCGCCAGAGACGGCATGGTAGTTTCCACTAAAGAGGATGTCCGCGTGGTCTGGTACGCTTGGCCTGAACAGTAGATGCGAGCTCGCAGCGTTCATGGCCCCCTCAAAAAGCGTCTGATATCGCCTGTCACGCCCATTAAGCAGTTGCCACGTCTTGCTAAAGTATTCAAAAGCCGAGTCAGCCATAGCCCCGAAGCTAAATGTTTCACCCTTTGTCAAATCTTCCTCTCGTGTACCGACTGCGATGGGGAACATGCCAGGCAGTTGAGTCTTGCTTTGTTGCTGGGCAAGCAGCTTTGTAATCCGTTCGACGATGTCATAGTAGCGCATATCTCCTGTCAACTGGGAAAGTCTGGTGAATTCGAGGCTCGCCGAGGCCAGCTCGGCGATGATGCCGTTTTCTGAGACAAGCTGCTGCTGATTATACTGATGGACCCTCCAGCGAGTGACAGGCATATGGTTGGGCGTATCGTAGCTGGCATAGATCATGGCGCCTAACTCCATGGCTTTGTCCAGCAGCTGCGGATATGTACAGTCCGTCAGATCGTACGCGGCAAGCAAGCCACCCAGGTGTCGGATCGTGGTCTCGAACATGTTGATAGAGTTTTCCCTAGCGTCTTCAGGGTCAAGGCTTATGTCGACGGCAGCGTAAACAGCCTCTTCAAACTCATCGTCTAAGCCCATGATCCACAGCGTGTCGAGATTATCGAAGAGTGTGGCGCCCCACCCACCAAAATTATCCTTCCAGTATCCACTAAGGGGACGAAGCTCATCATGCAGCCATGCTTTACTGCGGTACGTGTTCCAGCCCCGCAGAAAGACCTTCTTCACGGCCTCGCGCCGCTCGTCTAGTTCAATCAGACGCTTCTCCTCGCCGCCAGCAAAGGGATACTGGATTCTCGGTATCCTGGACGGCCGTGAAGTGGGCAACCTGGTCAGCGAGCGGACAGGATTCTTGATCTCGATTCCCCGCCAGTCGAACGTCGGCTTGTGCGACCAGCCCAACGGATAGCTTGGCGGCACATTGGGGCAGGTCTCCCACGTGAGATGGATGCGAGGTGACCTGAGCAACAGCGATAGAGGCAGAACGGTGCGTCTATTTGCGACGAGGTAAAAAAGTAAAAGACTGATTGCGACGGCGGTCAGGGTCGATCGCCGCGTGTATAGCATTGCGTTCACGGTACGAAGAGGAGCAGCATCTCAAAATGCTCCCGACAGGACAAGGAGACCGAAGTGCGTGATGCAATGTTCTCTTATCCCAGATTGGATGCAACAGATTCCAGATAAAAAGAGAAAAGAAAAATTGGAAAGAGAGTACAGCAAAATGGTATCGGCGACGAGACAACAAGAAAAGAATGTGAAGTGTTAAAGAGGGGTTGCAAAGAGCACGAGGTTAAGCAAAAAGAACCGTAAGCGCATGCGGGTGTGTTTGCAATGTTTGTAGCAGGATCCGGCTCAGGAGTCACAAGGGTTGCCGTTGATCCAACGGGGGCGACGAGGTCTTATGTGTTGTTAAATAAAAACTGGAGTTTTGTGCGGCCGCATCGTGCTCTGGGCGGGAATGAGGATCGCATCTGCTCCACCCTCCAAACACGCAAAGACACGCAGGCGCCGTTCGCGACTGGGCCGACTGCCGATTTCGAGATCTGCACAAAAATCCGGGACGCAGCATTGTCGGTGTCGGTGTTGGTTTTGCTGTGGCCCGTTTGACACGCCTGTTGTTTCAGATGCTGAGGCGAGCCGAGTAGGGCGAGAGGCGTGAGCCCTTCTTTTTTTGGTGTTGCACATTCGCCTGGCGGTGCCACCCTTGGCTTTTTACTTTTCTTTTCCCCCTTCAGGCGAAAATCCCGCTTAGCGGCCGGGTAACTGAATTTGACGCCCCACACAGAGTCGATGAGCGCAAACACTAGGTCGAGGTAGAAGAGATGCCCGAAGAATGTGCATTGCCGATTGTTGGAGATGGTTGACGGAGCCGACGGTTGAATAGCTTATCCCTAGGCCCAACGACAGATGCACGACTGTTCGTTGCACTTAACAAGAGCAAGCAGGCCATCTTTGATCAACAGGCGTGCAGGTGAAAAGAGATTGAAAAGACAAAGAAAAAGCCTCCGCTGAAAACGCATCACGAAATAGAGAGGTGATGGTTATCTTATTACTCATTATTCGTCTAGGACCAGATTTGTAGGGTTATAAAGCCTCGCCGCTCTATAAACTGGAAACAAAAAAAAAAGAGCATTCCTCATCTACTTTCCACCCTACTTGCCTTCCCTTTAAATTCACCAGCCCATTTTTTCCCTTCTCCAGCAGCTGCAGCGTGACTGCCGGTCATACCAAAGGCTTTTTTCCTCTTCCTTCTGGGGCCAACAAGGAACCTCCACACTTCGCCAGCAAGTTGGAACGGAAGTAGAAATAGGTGGCTCAGTGCCTCAAGGGGCCTTGTCAGCATCCACCGGACCACATCGAAGACCTGGGTAAGCAAGCCGCTCTTCTGGCTCTGCCTGCTCGCCGCGGCAGCGAGACTCAGCGCATCTTTGAGCTGGGCTTCCAGATCCTGAAGGCGAGCTTCTGTAACGATGGCTTGGGTTGTGGCGCGCTTTTCGTATCGTCGCACGGCGCGATTGAGGGCATCTAATTGAGGCTGCAAGCTTTGACGGATATTGCCCTCGAGCTCTGACGACGTCTCGGACGAGACCAATGCACTCTGCTTCTCGCTTGTGCCAGTCGCGGTGATTGTCTGTGTGTTGGTTCCAGGGAGCATGCTCGTCAGCTCCTCCACGCGTTTCGTGAGGTCTTCGACACGTAGTTCCAGCTGTCGCTCGTCACTTGCGGGGAGACTGCTCACGATACGCTGGAGGTGCAGCGTCCGCTCCTCGACGAGGCGAAAGAAATGCAGCACCGGCCGTAGCTCGGCGGCAAGAACAAACAAGGTGAGGTTGGAATTGGAAACCACGCCTCCAGATGGACGTGAGAGATAGGGCCGGATCTTATGCAGCATGTAAGCGACGGCGGCGGGGGAGAGGAAGCAGGAGCTCAGAGCCATGATCTCGAGAGTCTGCAGAGCCTTGAGGGCTTCGCCGCGCTTGGCCTTGGCGCGGTTCAGATGCTGAGCAGATGGGTTGGCACCTTGGGCGTCGCCTCTCGAGCTGGCCTCGCCCTGTTCGGGCTTGGCTTTGGGCTCTCCATCGTCCCGAGCGAGGTCGTCGTCGCTCTCTTCCACGATAGCGAATTCGGCGCTCGGATCGACCTCTGCAAGTTTCATTTCTTGCGTGGAGTAATACCACTGCCTGCAGCCTACTGTAAGCACGCAAACTCGTGCGGATATATTTCCTCCGACAGCGTGAAACGTACCAGGGCCATTTGACGCTCCAGTATAAGAATAAGCAGCCCAGGCCCAGCATGAGTATGTCCGTGACGACGGCACTTCCGTTCTCGAAGAATACGCCGGCAATGGCGGGAAGCGCGACGAAAATCAACGCGATCGAGTGCCACTCCTCCTTCGACTCGTCATGGTCACCGTCGGTCGCATTCTGCGCTCTTGTCACGGGGCGTTCGAGCAGGATCGAATCGGTGTCGACGGAGGTGCGAGAAAACTTCACCGACAAGAATCAGCAGCACGCTTGGGAAGAATGCGCCTGGGAGAAACAATGCCTGTGCTCCACGTACCTGGCGCGACCGCTGCCTGCGCAACACGGGTTCTGCAGAGGAAGTGCGCTGGAAGCCAGTGCCGGCTGCAGAGCGACTCCACGTTGGCTTGCTCGAAGGCGAAAAGGTGTTGGCCCGCTGCAGGCCGGGCACTGTGTCGCCGTCCTCGTCCATGGACGCGCGAACAGGTACAGACACGCGCAAAAGAGATCAGACGAGAGAGACGCGCGCTCGGGAAGAAACAGCAGCAGCGAAAAGAGTCGACGCAGTATAGAGAAAAACTTTTTCTCGGACGCTGAGCGAGCGGAGAACCGTTTGTGCGTGCGTGCAGGCGCGCTCGTGCATATGCGCGTGTATGGAGGTGTGTGTGCTACTCGCGGTGACGTATGGACTCGGCCCTCGCGTGCTCAGCGACGCTGCTTCTCTGCGGCGGGCGACGGGCCGGCATTGAGCGACGACAGCGGTGGCGGCGACGGGGATGGAAAGACGCAGAGAAGAGGCTGGGCGACGACGGCGAGCATGGCTGGGAAGGACCGGAGACAGCAGATCTGGTGGTGTCTGCCTCGTTGGCGCGCTGCACACTCCGTACATGGGCACGAAGGACGACGGCCAGCTGGGTCGACGCAGCGTCGCTGCGGTGTCGCGCCCAATCACCGCTCGCGGCCGGCGCCATCATCCACGGCCCTTTGCATGTGCTTGCAGCCCCGGCCCGGCGCCGTCTCGCCCAGGACGATCCCCTCGATCTCTGTCCGTGTCCGATCGGTCAGCCTGCGATCAGTCTCCTCTCCAGATGGCGCGGTCGCCCTGGCGGCCAGCTCGACCCGGGCCTCGTCGTTGGCTTGCTCCATACGCGCCAGCAGACTCCGTTCTCGCTTCCGAAGACGCTGCCTGGCCGGCCGGCGCCTGGCCGCCGTCCTTCGCTGTCGAACCATCCCCCGCCATGGACTTTTCTCGGCCCGTGTATGCAACAGCCAAGTACCGCCCAGTCTGTCCGGACGCAATCCCCGCAGGGTGAAAAAATAACCATCCTCGCGCTGCACAACGCACTGGAACTCGAGTGCTGGGACTCGCGTGCACATTGTCTAGCGACGTAAGAAGAGGACGCAACCTACGAGCTCCCTCTGGCCGATTTCCCGGATCAGACCTCCCACCCTCTCGTGCTACGTACAGTTCGAACAGCCGTCCAGGCCCCGTCTTGGTTCTTCCATTTCGTATCTAGCACACGCATCCTATACTCGCAATGTCTGGTCTGCCCTCTACTCAGTCGGCCGTGGTCATACAAAACCCAGGCCAAGAGGCCCAAGTGCTCGTCAAGCACGACGTGCCTGTCCCCACTCCTCGCGAGGGCGAGGTCCTCGTCAAAATGGAGTGTTGCGGTCTATGGTATTCAGCTACCCCCCTCTGCTCTGCGTTGTTGTCTGGCTTCGAGCTTATTCCACGAGCAGTCACTCTGACGTCCGCGCCCTGCTTGGCTGGGGCCCTTACAACGCCGTTCCGGGCCACGAAGGCATCGGCCGCGTCGTCTCCTTGGGCCCCAACGTCGACCCCTCCCTCCTCCACGCGCGCGTCGGCATAAAATGGCTCTACAAGGCATGCGGCAGCTGCAGCACCTGCGGCGATGGTTGGCCGAACAACTGTCCGTCACAGCTCAATACGGGCAAGGGCGCTGTGCAAGGCGTGTTACAGCAGTACGCGATTGGGGACGCCAAGTATCTGACGATGGTGCCGGACGCGGTGAAGAGCGAGATCGCGGCGCCGCTGCTGTGCGCAGGCCTCAGCATGGCCGGGGCAGTAGGGAGATTGGACGGTGACATGCGCGCAGGTGAGTGGCTTGTGCTTCCTGGGGCAGGCGGCGGGCTGGGTCATATTGGTCTTCAGATCGCAGCGCGAGTGAGGGGCTACAATGTCATTGCCGTAGACACAGGAGACGCGAGAAGGGAACTGTGCATGCGGCTAGGTGCCACTGCATTTGTCGACTTTGCGACGGAGGACGTCGAGGCGAGAGTCAAAGAGCTTACAGGCGGAGAAGGTGCCAAAGGGATCATCGTAGTGCCAGGTAGCGAGAGGGCATACGAGCTCGCGCCGAAGCTTGTGAAGAACAGAGGGATCATCGTGTGCGTTGGCCTGCCAAAGGGCGGGTTCAACATCCCGATCACGCCGCTCGACTGTGCGAATAGAGGACTCGTCATCAAGGGTTCCTCGACGGGTAACGAAGCTCAGATGCAGGAGTTGTTCAAGTACGCCATCGACGGTACTGTCCTCCCGATCGTTGAGGTACAGGACTTTGAACGGTCCGGAGACATCTTGTACATGCTGAAGCGCGACGAGGTCAAGGGGAGAATAGTGGTTCGGATACCTCAATAGCAATTGAACGATTTGCTTTTGGACGCAAAGTTCCTGGCACTTGCCAACAATCCTGGCTTATCCATCTCATTTGAACTCCCAGCCATAGCACGAACCCACCCGTTCCGCATTCGAAGAACGCAAATTTCTCTAAGATACTCAATCAAGCACGGGACGAGTTGCGGATGAGGTTCATGTGGATGCAGGTTGCAAACGGCAGCAGAAAGCATGACGGCGAGGCTGAAGGCTGACTATGCCGATTCGGGCGATCACTGCATAACTTTGCCAAAGCCGACCTAAAGATAGACAGAATCGTCCTCGGAGCCAGCGCAGCCTGCTCAAACAAAAATGTGAATTTGAGCTTCCTCCTCTTGCGCGTATGGATCCGCAGTTTGATGTTACGAGCGTGCTGGGCGTCGCCACCAGCAGCGCAAGGCTCGCCGGCGCCCTGTACGATGTCTCGAGCACCTTGAAAGCCGCCAAGAAAGATGTTCAGCTCGTTGCGGGCGACTTTAGAACTTTTGCCGCGGTAGGTTTCGGACGCCCAAAGGAAACATCCAAGAAAGAGATTATGTTCAAGAAGCCAGCTGTTGACTCATTTTTTTTTTTTACTTTCCTCTTTAGATCCTTAGGACTGTGCACCGCAGCTTGGCCAATGCGAACAGGCGAGCGCAGCACTCCGCCGTTGTGATAGGCGCCGGTGAAGTTGTCCGTGGCCTCGTGGACGGGATCAAATCGATGTATGAGGATGCCTACGAGCTTCTGGCTTCGCTGGAGTCCATGAAGAACGACGGGTCTCTGGCGTTGCGAATCCGGGCTCGCTTCGCCAAGGCTCGATGGCTGTTCCAGAAGTCGAGAATAGAGGTCTTGAGCGGCCGTTTGAAGAGTTTCCAAGCCAGTTTGCATCTTCTCGTTTCAACCGTCGATCTCGAGGTCGCGCTGGAGGATAAGTTTCCGCCGGATCTCGTGTGAGTTTTCTTCTTTCTTTTTTTTTCTTCTTTTACTTTTTTTGACCTTTGGTCTACTCCCTTCATAGTTTGCTGCAGTTGCTGCTCCGAGGAGGTCTAACGTGAGGCAGGGAGGCTTTGAAGGCCGAGAAGGACATCAACTTCAAGCTGGCAGAGCTCCAGAATAGGGATCTCACCGCGACTTTGAAAGAGGCGGAGGGCATGCAGACAGAGGCAAGAAAGTTGATAAGTCGAAGCAGCCTCCTCTTGGGCCTTCCAGCACTGCGGGCATGGCCCCTATTGGACTCGAAGCCACAGAAAGCCGTGTTGCAGCTGGCATTGATTCGGTCTGGGACAGCGGCGCACTGTGATCAGAGACCGCGACCCTCTGCCACTTCTGTTCTTCCTCCTGTTCGAGATCAAGCAGCCGTTCGAAACCGGGCTTCAACTGCCGGTCACGGTGTGGCGAGCGACCACGCTCCCGAGGACCTGGTGGATGGGAGATCAAGAGCCGCCGGCCGCGGCGACGGGAGATTATATTTCGACTGGGATGAAGACGGCCCTGAGATTTCGCAGCACGTGCTGACCGCACCGCCGTATTCTTGATTTGAAATCTGCACATCCGGCTGATGAAAGGACTCTCCAAACAGAACCGTCTATGATAGTTTTTACTTTAGAGGGAGTAGAATGGCTCGGTTCGCATTGTTCCCATGCGTTCTCAACGCAATAGAGATTCAAGCTATCGACGCACCCGTACATCGAGTTCGGGATACAATCTGTACATCCAGTTACAAATATATACATGCAATCCTCCGTGCACGAGGAGGGCCTCTGTTTGTATTTTTGTTGCACAAGGTTAATAATACGTTGGTATTTTCCAAGCATTGGTGCATGGACTATTTGTCTATCACGCCTGAAGTCGCGGTTATTGGGCAGATAGGATGCTCGTGCTTCAACTTCATTCCGTCTTAGACCTTTGATGGATTGCTCGCGTATCAGACTTGCTGTCATTTGGCGAACCTCTTAGGCAGACCCGTGTCTTTACAGAAAGAGCTAATGCGCACAACCGCTGTCCTGGTCGCGATGAAGATAGGGCTATACGTCGCTACGAAACAAACCAGAAGAAATTAAGGCTCTATGCTTCGATTGTGACTTCAACGCCGATGTAGTTAGGACAAACAATTTAAAAATTTGAAGTATGGAGACATCGAGTAGGATTTTGCCATCCTCAATCAAATTGTGAGCTTGAGCAAGTCGCAATTGAAAATTCCGTCGTGGTCCTTCCGTTCGCGTAGTCACCGAGCAGACCTCGGTCTGAGCAATGCAATGCAACAACTGAAATTTGACCAAGTTCAATAGCAGCCATCGCTGCTACTTTGTCCTTTGGGGCTCTCTATCTGCAGAATGATTTGTCACTTTGCATGATAATGTGTGCCCTTGACAGGTCAATCAGTGTAGACTTTGCATTTGACAGTACGTGAGAGTGGAGTTCAACAAAATCGCGCTAATCCCAAACAGGAAATCTTCTAGCACATGGCATGAGATCATGCTGTAACATTGCAACTTTCGACAGTGTTGCCGTTGTCGTCGAACGGCGCCCATCTAATTCGGCCAAATTGTACAGTAAAGACGAACCACAATCAGCGAGGATGCAATCGGCGTTCGCTCGCTCCATGCAAGCCCTTGGGCGTCCACTCGGAAGCGCCGCGGCAAGTTCAAGACAATTGCGAGCAGGTCAATCGACGTTACCCTACATATGCGCTCGCTGTCTGCATGCCACGCGGATAAATAACATCAAGTCTCGAGCGCCCAAAACGAGGGACCGTGGTCCACCGTCGAAGGAGGACACTCAGACGGACTTCGCAGCGCTGGACGTGCTAGGCAATACGCCTCCGCCCGCTACCGGCATCGATGCAACCACGGACTACGGATTCGCTTTCAGCAACAACACCAAATTATCAGGCAGCGGAGTGTTAATAGTAGGAGGTGAAGTTTTCAAATGGCGACCCTGGCTGCGCCCAGAGAGGCCGGAAGGTGGAGATCGAGGCGGCAGTACGTTGACAGGCAAGCTACTGAATAGCAAAGGCCAGTGGGAGCCTTCCTTGGAACTCAAGCCGTGGGGATTGCTGGAGGTTGTCTGGCCGAAACCAGATCTGCTCATCATCGGCACCGGACCGAGCATCGTGCCTGTCAGCCCCGCGACGAGGAAGCTCATCAACGATTTGGGAATACGGATCGAGGTGCAGGACACGAGAAATGCGGCAAGCCAGTACAATCTGCTGGCTACGGAGAGGGGCATAGAGCAGATTGCCGCGGCCCTTATACCCGTCGGCTGGAAGGAGCAGAGGTGATGCTGCAGCAACAGACGATGGGAGCGAGTCTGCACGGATGTGTAATTTCGGACCATGGAAGTGAACGTCAGACGGGCGCATCTGGGAAGCGTGATTGAGCTTTAGCGGTGTATCTGCGTTGATGGTATGAGGTTTCTGGGTCGAGCAAGTGGGCTCAGAAATGATCGGTATAGCTTTCGTCGGCCCACTCTCTTGATTCGGTGGAACCGACTCATTGTTCTAATCACACTACGTGAGGAGTACAAGTACTTCCACCTCGACGTCGAATTTCTCAAGGTGCAATCAACAAATGAGCTGTTCTACATGACCACGCCATGCAACTGCACTTCAGGATCCGCCGCTGCACAAAGTCAGGTGGAGCATAGCCCAGAAGTTCGACGCAAGAAGTACAACCGTCGTAAAGTACGCGTGCTCAGATCTCACAGCTGATCATCGTAGACATTACAGAGTCAAAATCGCATCCTTGGCTGGTCTCAGGTGTCCTTTCTTGAAGCAATTAGCATACGTGAACCTGTAGATTCTGATCGAGCCGTCTTCTCGCCATGTACCGAAGATGAAAAGAATCAATTGAGCGTGAGAGAGAGCTGACTATTTATTTCTGAGGCTCCCGTGATTACGATGCACTGACGCCTATTGGTCTCCACCTCGTGTTTCTTCGCGAAACAAAACTACGAGCTCGCTTTCAACAATGAGAGTGATTCATCCGCTGTAATAAACAAAGTTTCGCTGATGTGAGCAAGGTTCTCGTCATGACAAGCCAACTTCTCAAGATATAGCCTACGTTGATTGAGGTCTCGTCGTGCACAATGTACTCGATAAGACATCGCTTGCAATGTTCAGTCACGCACTCGCCTCCTCAATCATACTATTTTATCTGGTTAAGCTTGTGAACTACAGTCTGAATTCGTGCTTGGTGAGGAATGACCTCTTGGTTGAGTTAGGTCCCGAAAACCTGTGTGCGCACGGTACAGAGCGAGCGGCTGTGGTCAAAGGGGTAAACGCTAGAGAAGAGCGCGTTCGTCACGAGGCGGCAGCGTACAAGGACAACAGCAGAACGCGAAGTGAGGGCTCTTCCGGATGGTGAGACTCGTGGTGTTTGCGTGAGTGAGCCACATGGCGGGCTTGCAAACGTCGTGGCTTTTCCAGTGGTGGGGTCGAGTTGGACAAACAGTTTTTTTCCCCAAGAGACGTGCAGACGTCATGGCATCCCTGTGAACCCGCAACAACGCTCACGGGGCAACGCAGCTGATCACAGTAGCGAGACAGCGACGGAAAGGCACCGGAACACCGATTACAGTACCTCTTTGTCCTCCTTAGGGCATTACCACATCCTACATACAAACCCGCGACCTCTCCGCGACCCTTGCCACTTCGCATAGCGCACTCGCCTAAATCGCTTGCCTGGCTGAACCACGTCGCTGTGCTTGACGCTGACACGCCAAAATGGTGCTCGGTCACAGGCGGCATTCCGCTGCCAGTACGTAAATCGCACGGCCTGCTCCATACCTAAGGTTCAGACCTATTCTGACATGTTGTGGTATACAGGCAGCCGTGCTTCGCAAGACGACGGCCGTGAAGTGCAGACCGACGACGAGACGGTGGTGGATGCTGAGCAGGGCAATGGTACAAGCAAAGCGAACAGAACGTGCTGAGAAAATCACTTGGCTAAGAACGAGACAGTACTCATGCATATCATCTCACAGCTACGGCCAGGCGCCGACCTGAGCAGAGTAACTCTGCCAACCTTCATTCTGGAACCACGGTCCATGCTTGAACGGATAACTAAGTATCGCTCTCCTGGCCTTTGTAGATGACGTATGCTGATATGTAGCAGCTTCATGGCTCATCCCGAGCTACTCCTCCCCATAGAGAAAGTCGACGACCCCGTACAAAGATTTGTGGCCGTCACAAAATTCTACCTCAGTGGTTGGCACATTAAGCCTCCGTATGTGCATTGAGCATCTTCTCATGGGCCTGGAACAGGCTGACGCACAGGCAGTGGTGTAAAGAAGCCTCTCAATCCCATCCTCGGCGAAATATTCACCGGCTGGTGGGACTATCCTGACGGCACGAAAGGATACTACATCGCTGAGCAGACCTCGCATCATCCTCCCAAATCCAGCTACTTTTTCATGGCTCCAGAGCATTACATTCGCGTAGATGGGACGTTGAAACCGCGGAGCAAATTCCTAGGCAACTCCGCCGCCAGCATGATGGAGGGCATTGCAATCCTGCGGCTTTTGAACAGGGGCGAAAGATACTTCATAACGCAGCCAAATATGTACGCACGGGGCATCTTGTTTGGAAAGATGAAGTACGAGTTAGGCGATCACGCGTACATTCGGTGCCCGGAAAGTGGCCTCATGGCCGACATCGAGTTCAAAACAAAGGGATATTTCGGAGGAACGTACAATGCAATTGGTGGCTTCATCTCCGAAATAAAGACCGGTAAGCATCTTTTTGAGCTATCTGGACATTGGAACGCGGAAATGTACATCAAGGATTTGATCGTAAGTTACAGACTGGCCTTGATGCCACAAACGTTAACATCGATTAGACTGGAAAGAAGGATCTGCTGTTCGATGCCACACACGCCAAGGAGACGCCACCATTTGCAAGACCGATAGAAGAGCAAGAAGAACGTGAATCGCAGCGACTCTGGCGAGAGACAAATCTGGCAATCAAGGCAAGAGATCACGTGGGAGCAACAAATCACAAGACCGAAATCGAAGAAAGACAACGGCAAGAAGCTGCGAAGAGGGCCGATGAGGGCATTGAGTGGCGACCACGATTTTTCAGGCCAGTCAGAGGCGGTCCCGGGGGGCCTGAAGAAGGTGAGGAAGATCTGGATTGGATCATCCACGCGAAAATGTGAGTTCAAAAGTCCAGCTTGGCCCAGTCCGATTTTAATGAACCTTCAAGCGACGGAGCAACACCTGCCGAGCAGGTAAAGCAGATACTCAACATTGCAGCCATTCTCCCTGGCCAAAAGCCGGAGAGGAAGTTCAATATTCCAGCCCGACGAGAGTCAGAGCTCTCGCGACATGACTCTCGCCCGGAAACTAGTGCACACCAGTTCAAAACCTCAGACTCGGTGACGACCGATGAAAATCTAGTCAACTTTCACGGTGAACCTAAGCATGAGCCCAAGCCCGATGACAGCCGCGCTGTGAGCAAAGCGAACCCGGCACTCACGCAAGACCCACCGGGGTTTGAGAGACCTCAGTTGCTCAAAGACATAACAAATCATGGACAGGAACAGCAAAAAGCTAACACTGGTGGCGCAGCTGCGGACTTGACTGAGTTGCAGGACGATCTGGGGAACCTTCAGGTCGCATCCGACGGCTCAAAAGGCCTCACATCTTCGACAAGCGACCCTAAAAGAGGCGGGCTTAAGCGGATGGATTCCGAGACGCACGAGGAGGACGAGTTTGTTGACGCTGAGTCATGAGAGGCTGGACATTCGTTATAGCTTTTTAACCAAGCAGGATTCAACTCTGGATACCTAGAAGGCACATAGCTTGCGGTCAACTGGAGTTCTTTGTGCAGAGCATTTCCCCATATGTTTGGCGGTACGCTTTCTGCGAGGCATGCGGCATGTGTTGACGAAACGTACAGATGAGAGATATACTAGGGCACTTTCTTTCTTCTCAACATAGATCACGCTGAAAGCGGCGGTGCAGAAGCCCACTGTCTGGCATGTTTCACTTTTCCGAAAACATCGGGATATGGTATTTATTGGTTATGCTATAAATTACTTGCAAACTCATTCCGTCTTCATCGTTTTCCGAGCTGTGCAGTGACCCATTCGGCCCTATCTTTGACGAACTTTTGTGCAGCGCTAATTTGGGGAAACGCTGGGCCGAACCCGTGCGGCACGCCCTGATATACGAAGGTCGTCACTTGGACACCTTGTTCTTTCAACTCACGCGAGTATATGAGACTATCGTCTCGAAGAGGATCCAAGCCTGCACATTGGATCAGATGTGGGGGTAGATCTTTGTGTCCACCGGGCCACAGCAACGGGTTGAGCTGCGGATCAGACACGACTGGCTTGTAATTTCCTTCGCTCAGATTAGTTGCACGCTGTGGATAGATGATTAGGGTCATGGACGCACGCATGAAGAAGTCAATCGATTTCACGTCTAGCAGAGGCGCATCGGCGTTCTGCTGGTAACTACTGTGATCCTTTCGATATTTCTCCGGCAACACTTCTTGGCTCACGAGGGCAGGGCAGTCGAGCCAAACGGCCGTAAGCGGTGGGTTCAACTTCTCATCACGGGCTAAATGCGAAAGAACGGCAGATATGTTCCCTCCAGCAGACAAGCCTCCGACAAGAAAGCCTTTAGTTGGATCTGCACCCAGCGACGCCGCGCTTTTTGCAGCCCATTTGAGAGCGTCGAATGAGTCTGTGATCGGCGTAGGGAAGACATGCTCGGGCGCCATGCGATAATCGACGCTGATCGCAACAGCACCGTTGTTGCGGACCAGCTGGAGTGCGAAAGGTTCTTCCATTTCGGGTATGCCAACGCAGAAGCCGCCTCCGTGGTAGAGCACTGCAAGAGGGCTGCCGGAAGATGGCGGAGACTCCGGCTGGTACAGAAGCGCAGGTATAGACGATCCATCCCTGGTGGGTATCTCAATCGTCGACTTCTTGACACCGGAATAGTCTGGAGGCCCCGTCGCTGCTGCGGCTTGCTCTATGAAGCCGAGCACAATTTTACGGAGCGTTGGGACGTCGGGCCCGTCCAGGCTAGGCAGCTTGCCAATGGCTTTGAGAGCCTATTTAAGGATTTGTATCAGCAACTTTCGCCGCGGTTCCGGTTCGAAGGATCGCGTAAGAGCCGTGCTTACCGCGTCAAACTCGGGATCGATTGTGGCATATTGCGGCCAAGTCGAGGCATCTTGTAAAGACATGATGACCGAGGACGCGGACTTGACTTTTTTTGCTCAAAAGGAAAACCTCAACCGCAAAGAATTAAGAAGGTGATGTTCTGAATTGAACGCGAACCGGAACCCCTCATTATTTATAGCCGTACTTTCGTCGGCACTAGGATGGCAATGGGGGCTTGATTAAGTCCGAGACCACTAGTGGGTGAGCGACCTTAAACCCATGCGATGTTCAGCTTCAACGAATTTAGGCAATGTAGACTAACGAATTAGGTACTGACACTTATACCTTGAATTCATGGCATTTCACCTCTTTTTCAGATGAAGATGAGGTAAGCTCTACTGTAATGAGAAGATTCCAACAGCGACCATCCTTGAGAGCGGAGTGGTCAGCTTGACGACGCGCGGGGACCCACGAGACGTGCGTCTCCCGAGTCATGCATTGAGAACTCGTGACAAGACAAGACAACAATCACAGCCTTTTGTGTGCAGCTTGGGTGCAGCTTGGGTGCAACGTGGTCAATGTATCCGTAGGCGCCGTGGGCATCTGTGCTGTCGCCTAGCATAATTTAGTAGGTCTCGCGTTACAATCACGAATAGGTTTGATTGCTTGATGGCGGCACAGGGCTTCTAAGCCAGTTCGCCTGGGAAAAGTTCACAGAGGGTCTTCGTCTTAATCACTGTTTAACGAGGCGATATTTGTAAAATAAACCTGTGAAAGGTAGCATGTGCAAAAGCGATCGCAATTCTTATTAAATATAATCTACATTATCCATAGTCATTTCTACGCAATTAGTTTTCCAAATGGCTGCATTATCTTCATCCTCGTGAAAAAAAAATGCGGGATTATGAGGGTCAGAACTGCATTCCAAATAGTATGAGAGACCAATGATCTATCCCGGACGTAGTGTAGGCTCCTGAGATATCATGGAAATCCGGCTTGATTGTGCCTGTCCTTGAAAGGACTTAACATGGCGCTGAATCTGAGGACTGCATGTATCGATGGCATATAATGCGAAGACGAGACGAGTATGTCGAAAAATCGAAAGCTCTTTCGGCACAGGAGGTGGTATATCTGGTTGCTTTAGAGCACGTTGCTGGGTTTCATGCATAGCTTGCGCCCGGCAAATACGAAGAGCGGGAAGAACATGCAGAGGAGTTTGAATGAAGAAAATGCAAGTACAGCAATCGTAGATTAGTGTTCGGTCTCGCCGGATTTCCACGAAATGTTGAAGGAAAAATCGTTTCAGAGTATTTTAGAATTTCGTCGAGACTTTTTCCAAAAACCTGTCATACGAAGTAGGACGTTTCTTATAGTTCAACCAGGCCTAAGCTGTTATTAGACCTGTTGTATGTCCACTAGGACCCTCCATTGCGTAATCAACTGTGACAAAGGCCCTGTCCACCTCCGGTAGCCCTTCCAAGCAATATTGCAGTGTCTCGCTAATGTCGTGAGCCTTCATCACACTCGTGTTCGGATCTAGTAGTATGTCTACTTCTACCCAAACTCCATCACCAGCGTGGTAGGCAGTGATTGTCTTGAAGCCGTCAACGATGGGAGAGAATCGATACGCGAGAAAGGTGAGCCTTCGCTGTATTCGATCCTCGACAGCCGATCCGGAAAGACGGGTTATATTCTCAAAGGCTGTTCCGGTCCAGTCGTAGATAATATAGAGAGACAAGATTGTTGCCCCCGTAGGATCAAGCCACCAGACGTCGAGCTTATTTCCGATAAGCGGAAAGAGCAGCGACAGAGTGTTGAAGTAGACATCGGTCTTGCAGTCTTGCGCGAGTGCCTGCACTTGGGTGGTCTTAATCGGAATACAACCAATCCAAACTATACCTTTGACTACGATGTTTGCTACCATGGCGCCGATAGCAATACCGCCAAGCGAAGCCGTGGTGTGATCTCCAGACGGTAGTAGTTTCTCGACTGATTCTTGAAGTACCTGTGCAAAGGACACGACCATGATCTATCTCATGTGAGGGAAGCTTCTTCGAGGAGATAAAGGTAGAGTAGAGACGAACCACGGAGAATACCAGGATACCCAACGGTTCTAGTCTCCTCCTTCCAACAGGGAAACGGCGTCGCAAGCTCAACAGCCTCCATGAAACGAGCTTGTTGGTGACCCATACTATGATGGTACAAAACAGGTCTAGTGCGGAGTCTACCAGAGATGCGATTAGCGAGAGGGATGGCGAGAAGAATACTGCAATAACTTTTGCAATAAGCAGGATGACGTTGGATATAATGTTGACCTATGTGAGTTAGCCCATCAATGATTCACATCGACCGTTGCATCATACAGAAATAGCCCACTGTGCCCTCCGCTTCGCCTTTTTTCTCCTTCGTCGCTCATCCTCCGGCAAAAAGGCTTCCACATCCTCGCCAAGGTCTTGCAACGCCCCTCGTCGCTCAGGGATACCGTCGTGATCTGCATCTGGATCGAAGCTCTCGAAAATGTCGTCTGCGATGCTTCTTACAACTGTATCGACCTCCAGCCAATCGTTGCACGCTTCGTTTTGATCCTCGTAAAATTTCCTGACCTTCTTGTTCTTGCAGTTCCTGAGAAAGTCATCACTCTTCCTGTACTCCTCGAACTTTTCTCGGTAGACTTCCTCGATCAGCTTGTTTTTTATTTCCTCGCGGCGCCGGTCTTCTAGAGCTCTGTTCACGTTCTCTCTAAAACGCAGAAGAGAGGGTTTCAGACGGGTTTTCCGTGGATGTGTACCATATTCTCGATCACGATCCATCGAGCTGCCCTTGCGACCAAGAGTCGTGCCATTTATGTCAGACGCATTTTGAATATGAGCTGGTGAAACCCATGCTCTTTTACCGACCATGTTGTTCACAGGCACAACCTGCTTCTTGATGTCTGGAGAGTGACCAAGCAAGCGATGAACCAGGCAAGGAAGGCCAGATGAAAAGTGAATGCAAATACGAAACTGAGCGCGGGATTGTAGTTCCGTAGAATCCAAGGAAATTGCATAATTTTAAGTGAAAATATGGAATAGCTTTAATTAATTTTTTTTACAACCCCCTTACGGCCTGTAGCTGCTCATGTTTGGGAGAAACAACATCCGTAGGTTCCATGACGACGTCATTGCCTGGCATCCGCTGCCAAGATTTCAAGCATCTTCGCGTCGACTTACGACTCACGTGCATACGCTCTCTCAAACTATCGCCGTGACTCCGCTCAACCTCATAATACGTGCTGATGCACGATGCCGCGACCTCAAAGAAAGAAAGGACCATTGTTTCCAGTTTCCTCTGCCGCACGACAGCCTTTTATCACCGGAAATGGGCTCGGGAAGAACTTGTTTGGATTCAAACATCCCAGCAACAACCATAGGGATACAAAGGGTATGAATATCGGCCCCATCTTGACCGCCAACCTTCGACGTATCAGTAGCTGGCTATTGATTTAATCGGCTTTCTGACGGTTTTTTTGTAGTCAAAAGTTTCAACTCCTCTTATGAAGCCTCGCCCTTTCTTGATAAGTCAGTTATGGAGAGAAAGATAAAGAACGCAAAATAAACTTCTGGACTCGGTTTGCGATTGCAATTTTCTCATATGATAACGACCGCTCAAGTGGAAATTTTAATAAAGACTGCCATGCAACTAGAACTCTTCGTACGAGCTTCGGCTCTCAGCTCTTGCAACGACAGTATTAGCTTCCTTTGCCGCCCACGCAAGATATACGGTCTCATGAACTTGTACCGGTTTTCCATCCAAGCTTCCATCTTTGTCGAACTCAGGAACTTTTGAGACGCGAAATTCTAGCCCTTCATTCTTCTCGCGCCATGATGCATACAACTTGAACCCGAAATACCAGAAAAGACCAAATGACAAGATGCTTGCCGCAACCACTGGACTCGTGAACCAACTGACTCCCTGTACGAGTCCAGACTTACCTTTTGATGGAGGTACGCAAGCTGCGACGATTGGATATGTGCTACCAACGAAAAACAAGAGTGCGGCGAAAATGCTGAAGAATGGATTCGCCGCGGATTTTTTGCGCCATCCCCCTCTCCTTGAGAATCTTAATTTCATCATCCCAAGCCCTAACAGGCATCCAAAGATGCATACAACTGAGTAAGAATATAAATTGACCAGAAGTGAGTATGCGATAGAGGGTTTCAAGCGGATGGTAGCAACGATCATGACTACAGTGAAGAGCCAGTGTAGGGACAAGGCACCAAAAGGCGTTTCCTGTGAATGTTCTTCGACTCTCATCCATCGTTGTCTTAACAGCCAACTGAGATTCATATTGGCAAAAGAGTCGTCCTTTCGTTGAATGGCAGCAAGAAATCGACCGAATGATAAATTCGTGTTGCTGCCAAAATATCTCGCAAATGGAAGGATTCCCTCTTTCGCTATCTCTTGCTTGACTCGTGCAGCAACGAATGTCATAACCATAATATTTCCAAAAGCTGAGATGGCCATAAATGCAGCTAGGACTCGTCGAGGAGTGTTATCCGCGGGGTCAACTACACCAAGAGTGACCTTGAAGAATTCGAGAGCGACATTGTCCTTCGTTGTCAACTGTAGCTGTTTGGGTACTACGATCATATAAGCCAAATTGACAAGCATGTACAGTACGACGACAATGCTAACGCCGAGACTTGTGCCCCACGGAAATTTTCTGCGTGGAGTTCCGATCTCTCCGAGAACGTAGGTTGGCTGGTCGAAACCACTCCAAGCGAAAATGACGGCGAGAAAAGCGCTGGAGTATCCATATGGCTCTGTCGACACATTTGAAAAGGCATTGTGTACCGAAAGGTTCGTTTCGACGGAGTTTTTGGTTTTAAATGCCCCTCCCCATGTGCAGAAACCAAGAATGACCATCATAGTTAAGAGTAGGACCTTGATAAGTGCAAAGAGGTTGCCAAGCCAGATACCGCCTCTTCTGGAGACGGAGTGGATAAGACAGGCAAGCGTCGCAACTCCGACAGCAATGCCTCTGACAGTTGTGTCATAGTCAGCGCTATTCAGACCGGCAGCATCAACACATCGAAGACCAAACACAAGACAGTTTCCTGCCATATTTCCAAGGATAATGTACACGGCTCCGAAAAGACATGTAATCATTAGGACGGAACCTGGTCGATATGATGGCTTTGGGAACATGTATTGCAGCTACTTCTGGATTAGTATTACCCAAGCATTGCAGAACGCGGGAACTCACGTAGTTCAATGTCCCACCGCTCCGGGGAACAGCTTGATCAATGCCATCCAAAATGTACCTAGGAATGGATAATCCGAGTTCAATCGTTAAATGCGTACCTGCAATCGTAAAGACTGCACCGGCAAGCCAGAAGAGCATGGTAATTCCGACGCTTTCCGTACTTCTGATGATTGTCAAGGGTGACATGAATATCCCGGTTCCAACCATGCGATTGACCACGAGACCAATGACAGTCCACGTTCCGAGTCGAAAGCGTTCTTCTGGTGCTTTCGTTATGATTGTGTTTGGGATGTTTTCCGGTAGAATTTCAAATATTGCATCATTAATGCTGCTGTCATCGTCCCCGGTGGCAGGAATGCCACTACTTAGATTCTGGTTATGGGAACCGGTCGTTCTTGAGCCCATAATGCCGATTAATCTGATCTCTTCGCGCTTCAATCTCAAACAGAGTCTGAAAAGCAAGCAGAAACAAGAGCAGGTGTCGGGAGAAAATTTTTTGTAGAAACTCCGTCATCTCATAACTAAGTTCGATGACCGGTGGGCTTAATTAGAAGAAGCGCCTGGCAATTTTGTGGCAATGCTCGCCAATAACTCCGTCATATAGTATGCCAAGCACGGCAAAATTGACTTGGCTTGCTTTAGGCTTGCGTTCGAAGGGGCTGGCTAGAAGTCACGAGAATATTTGATCAGGCTGAGATTTAAAAGGAAGCGTGCCCCTTGTCTCCTGAGAGGCCCATGTGCTTCACATCGTTGCCCGATAATGTCCTTCAAGATTTTCCACCAAGGGCTTCAATCTTGCCGCTATCGAACAAGAATATCATATAATGGGAATTGATCGATTAACCCTTCTTCAGATCGACCACTGTAGTCGGGCGTAGCTTTTCGGTTGCTCGAGCTCTAAAATAGGCGACAGCTGCACAAGGCTGCGCGGTGGCGTTCTGGGCCCTGCATCTCCTCGTAATTTCTCCTGCGATAGGGACATTGCATTCCTTGGCTCCAATCATGACAGTCTTTCACAGCCAGAGGGACATCCAAATACTAGTCAATCTTGCTCGGCGGATTTCTAGTTTTCGTAATTGTCAGCTATCTCTGTCCCTGCTGCGAACAGCTTGATTTCGCCTCGTCATGTTTCTCAAGAAGAACTTTGCCTGCTTCTGAACCAGGTTCCTAAAACTACTAAATTTGCATTGAATCCAACTCAAAACAAAAGGATAGAGCGAGGATATCGTCATGGACCGTTTTCGGCAAGTCTGAGTTGCGCAAAACGCTGTAGTATACGTTGCCGTGATCATCGTCAAGAGATTAGGAAATTGTTCACGCAAAGATCAAGACAATGAACGGAATCACAGATCTGAACGAGATATCTGAGGCTCTTGGACTGGCATGGACGGTTTATGAGCAGGGATGGCCTCAAGATCAGTCGCCAAATCCACAACTTTCGAGATTTGGAGAAGAGATACGACAGCTGGCCGTGGGTCTTGGTAATTTGATCCGGGTCATAGAGAATGCACGAATTTGCTATCAGCAACATGCGATTCGGTCTCCTACATACCGCGGCAACAGCGTGCAAAGAGCTTGGAACCTCGTTTCGCTGCACGAAATATGTGGCATGTTCAAAGCGACAATTTCCGAATGCGAAAGAATACTTGTACAAAATTGGGACTGTTTCCGAGGCGACACATCGGCATACAGTGAAGAGTGGATAATGGTTATGAAACCAAAAGTAGAGGAATTGTGCCAGCGTCTTCGCATCCATAACGTGAAACTCTCTATGGTACTGAAGCCACTGGAGACGAAGTTGTTGGCCGAAGTGCAGCAGGAATTCGCAATCGCAACTCAATACACACGTCCTATGAGTGGATGGTTCACAACATTCCAGCTCCAAGGCCTAGTTGTTCTCAATCTTCAAAAGAGTCTCCAAGAGTACAGAGAGCAACAAACCATTTGCTTTGAGATCTCGAAAGAGCTGGAATCCCAGCTGCGCATTGCTTTGGAGCAATCAAAACCAGAGCTGAAGAATCCAGCAACTCTCCGAATATGTTCTGCGGTCGATTTAATCATCGAGTATTTTGATCAAAGCACTCGAGGATTCACACCGGGAAATTTCGTCAACGAGCGCAAGCCTAGTCCAAGGCAATATATCAACCTTTTAAATTCTTTGCTTATTTTCCAACTGATCCAACAGTCGCACGAGCTCAGATTGCCCATGAAAGATTCAATATGGCCATTCTTCGTCGCTGAGCTGGGGATGACATTGCGATTGGAGTGCCAAAGATTCTCCAGTCAAAGTCCAGACAGGCTGCTTACTCCAGATCTTCTCAGCGTCCAGAGAGAATTAAATGGACCTAGAGAGGCTAAGTTAAGCAAAGAGGACGTGTCGAAACTAATGTCGCCACATTTCAAGACCTTCTCGCATCCGGTTTTAACTGTGGCGCTTCCTAGCACGCGTGACGGCGTGGTGCGTCAGCTCTCTGTCTCTCGCGTTGACATGACTAAGCTACACCTTGTTGAATCGGTACATGAGGATCGTAATCCTCATGCACCATTAGGAGAGATCGTCATGGACATTGACCTTGCTTCTATTCAATTAACACCAATTTATGCAACACCAAGCTCCCGACCAAGACCTTTAGAGGTCCTGCTTCATACAGCCACAGGACAGCTGAATCCATCTTTCAACGAAGTGAAGCACATTTATCGTCTGCAACATCTTTTGACGGGATACAAGGTCTATGACAGGTATGATCAAGCGATGGTAAAGGTTAGCTTCTTCATTTCCGGCCAGAGTAGTCCGCTAGAGGAGCATGGTCGCATCCAGCTGTGGCTTCCTCAGCCCTACAATGAAGGCGACAAGTCTAAGGATGCACCGAATGGAGACATACAGAGCCAAAGCCTGGGTTCGACCGTCCCAAATGCCTCAGCACCCTTCTCCCAGCAGAATCCAGATTCAAAATTCAAACGTTCTGGCTCTCTACGTAAGTGGATACCAGGGTTAAGAAAGGCTTCAAGCGGTCCTGAATGCTCTGGACGTACGGACATACCTGTTTCAAAAGATTCGAGCGACGAAAATAAGTCCGCGACTATTTCGTACACGCGAGCTGCATCAACATGTTTGCGAGCAGTTCAGCCGTGTCCCAATTCATCTGACCCTCACGAGCTTCCTAGCGAGACATCGGAACTCTATCCCTCACGCTCTTCACATGAGCTTAAAAATAACAGCATGTATTCCAGAGATTTGATGAATGTGTCACCAGCCATTCAAAGCAGTTGGCATTCATATGATCATCATATCAGCTCACATCTGCCATACACTGTAGATGATCTTCCAGAGATAGCTGAAGCACCATTTCAACAATCACAGGTCGTCGGACAATCCCCATCACCTGACGGAGGTCTACAAAGAGACCTTGAACAGCCTGCAGAAAGTCCATGGCCATATTCTCCAGATTCTCTTCCCTCGCCATCACCATAGTTCAAAGATAGCAGTCCAAGTAATAAAAACCTTATCTCGAGTGATTCATTCCATTCAACGACTCTCAGCGCTCAAAGTCTTCAATCAAGTCCTCAGCTCAAACATCAATCATCTATCAAAGCCTCACCTTCTGTCATGTCGATGCGGAGTACTCGTTCACACGGCTCTCTGTCCTCATCTGTTAGCACAATTAAAACCTCTACGGGTTATTCGTCAGTCAGCAGCAGCGGAGTTGCGCGAGTGCATCATAAACCTCGAAAGCCATTATTGGTTCTATTCCTAAAAAGCCGCGATCCGACTGCTAAATTGTCCATAGTGGCAATACAAGTGGACAGCCAAACTTCTGTAGTACGGGAGAGATGTGAATGTTACAATTCCCATAGCTCGTGCCGTACCAGCTGTATAGAACGGAATAGGGGAGGCGGTTTGCTTGCGCAGCGCTGGGAAGCAGACGGTGGGCTTACAAGTTTCAATGTGGCCAAACTTGGCGAATACCAGCGGCAAGAAACTGAAAACTTGTGGCCGAACCTCAAGAGAATATCTTTAAAATTCGAGAAGATGGAAGGTACGTATCACGTTGAAGATTATGTGATGTCATGTTGACAGCAAGTAGACCGATACAGATTTGCTGGCAGCCCTTGCTCATGCAATGTCAAAACTACGCATGAATTATCGCGGTGCAATCTGAAAAGTCACAACGGAGTGTTTGGTATTGTGAAGCAGATCGGAGATCAAATGCTAATCAACTATCACAACGAGCGAAATTCAGCGTTGACAAAGCCAATGGTTCTTGCACCACTAGTGGAGAGTGAGCTATGAATTGAACTGAACATTTGGTCAATGCCTAAGGTTTGTACCTTCTAGAAAGCCTCAGATTATTGCCTACCTAGAATAATTTTTGTCGTCGTCACGATGTTTAAGATCGTAATTCATAAATTTCCCGATTTTTGTTCAGAAACTGTTCAGCTTAAAGTCGTGGAGCGTACGGACTAATTACGTCGAATAAACTTCTTCCATGGCTTTCATAATGTCGCAATGCCAACGTATCCAACGAAAACGTGTTCACCTTGTTGAGGCTGGTCCTGTACACGAATGTGTGCTGTTATTCTCAAGATACGTACGTTCCGATCTTTTCTCCAACCTTAACCAAGGTCTCGCACTGCTCCTCAGTAGATGCTTTAACAATGTCCGCGTCATACTCGACAGCACCCTTGGGATAAAGCGCGACAACAGTGCTTCCACCATAGTAAAACGCACCTACGCATTCACCGCGCTCCAATACTTTACCTTCTTTATTAGTGTCATTGACGTATTTTATTGATCCGACCAGCATAGCCCCAACAGCGACTAGCGCAAAGGGAGAACCATCAAATTTTGACTTCAGCATCATGACTGACCTCCTGTTTTCGCAAAATACATCTAAAGTGCTTGCTTCGTTGATAGCTTGGGGATTGACAGTGTAATACGTGCCGTCAATATCGGTGACTGAAGTGACCGTCCCACTGGTCGGCGCATGCCATCGGTGATAATCTTGTGGTGCAAGACGCGCGATCACCAGACTGCCACCGTCGAACAGCTTAGCTGCTTCAGCACTTCCCAGCAACTTCTCAAGGGTAAAGCCAAATCCCTTTATCCAATACTTGGTTGCAAGATCTATGGTCGGAAAAGCTGTCAGTCTGCAGTCTGCTGGCGATGAGACCACAGCTTCGTTCCCTTTCTCCGCAGGCGGTCTTGCGTCGGGCCGAATCTCCCGTGCAAAAAATTCATTGAACGTAGCATAGCTGTCTGGATCGGGCTTCACCATTTCCGCCATCGACGCCTGCAGATTGAAACTCTCGATGAATGGAACTATGTGGGCCTTGCTCGCAGGATCGTCGTATTTGGCACCCATTTTAACGCTCTGCTCTTTGAGTAGTTCTTTCACCCGCTGCGTGTGCAGCACATCCGCCTGCAAACTTCCATAATACAAAAGATGCATGCCTAGTCGCACATAGATGCTCATAGCCTCGAATTCTTTTGTTCCCTTCGCGCGGTCAGTGATTACGTAGTTGCCCATGTGAAGATGGGACTCGAGTTTCTCTGCAGTCTCTTTGGGCATAAACTTATGTAGAAGCCCATGAGCCTGAGGATGATCAGCAGGCCGGTGAATGTGAGACTGAGGATCTTGACTGTGGTCTCTTGTGGCCTGATCGGTGATTTCAACGAGAGCTGCAGATGTCGCGTTGAACGCAGCACCTTTCAGCTGCTCGTCTGTGAAGTGGGGGTGTGCCATATTGGATGAGCTCTGCAAGATCAACTATGAGCTATGGATTCTCGGCGAGATATTCGGATGAAATGAGCGCTGGTTGTAGAACTTCAAGGTTGTCGACAGATGTTGGTTGTTCACGTCAAGGATCATAAAAGAGGGTAGGAAGCTTGATCGTCAATCCCTGATTCTTGAAACTCGACGCAGCTAACCACGTCATCGGCACTTTCCTTACCGCTTTCCTCCAATAGCAGCGAATGCATGAGAACGATCTTGTGACGGGTGATCGTTCTTCACATGCACTTAACCGATCCTTGATCTCTGTTAACACTCACGAAGGGGTGTTGTGCCGTCGCACGTGATGCCGGGTAACAGCAGTTAGCTCTCGGCAGGCTTGGCATTGAGGGTAAAGACCTATATCGATCTTCAGATGGAGTATTCACTATTCAATTAAAATTTTCGAAGCGCAGGGAGTTCGGCATTTAGACGAGGAATACGTTTGTGATAGCCACGTGACAACATCATGCTGAGCCGTAAATTTGAATGCATGAGAAGTTTTCAACAGCGTATATGGGTTGAACATGTTTATCCCTTCTTAGAAAATGCTCCAAATTTATCGTTGCCTCGCATTCGAAGGACATTTACGTCGACGGACATTGACCATCTGATGGTGATTGCGGGTTGGGTCTAAAGGTTGTTTGCAAATACGCTTTGAGGGTGTCTGAGCACTAATCGCAGTACTGAAAAAAAGCGTTCGGCTCTAAAATGTTTGCATATGAGCTTAGCATGCATTTATGGAGGTACCATCTTGCTGAGAAATTCTTTTTGCGTTGCTGGCCTGCCAAATTTTGCCAGGCTGACAACGAGGCGGCGGGCTGCAGAGGCTGTCAGGTTTCCAGCGGTGCACCGATTCCAGATGGGATCGTGCACGGACCCACCAAAAAGAACGGCTCCGGCAAGCGTAAACATTTGGATACGACAGAGGAGCAACGCGGTCGCTCTCTGATCTCATCAATTTCCGCGACGCTTACGATACTACGAATCATGAATACTCGATCGCAGTTCCGTGGCGGCATGCAAGTGCATGCTGTGCCAGAGACAGAAAGAGCAATAGGCGCAAATGGGCAGCGGCTTCCTTGGGCATACGAATACGCAGAGTAAGTTTGACTTTTTGTCTTTTATCTTCCAGCATTGAGAACATATGCAGACTATGTCGCGTATGTTCTCCGCGTATCCTAGCTGGATCAAGTTCTCCCCTGCTCGGTTCCCAGTGTATCAGTTACAGGACTAAACAGCAAACGCTGATTCAATTCGCAGATCTTCTCACATTGATTCCCGAGAGAAAGGCCCCTTTGGTCGGTCAACACGAAGAAGGACACCATCACGGAGCAAAACCGCTACACCTTCGCGAAAAGAGGACAAAGATGCTGCGGAGAATTGGCGTGCAATTGATGACATTTTCAAGAGAGCCAAAGAAGCAGACGAGGCAAGAGAATTGGCCCGTTCAACAGCTGCCCCTGTAGCGGGAGTATTGCCAGCGCCAGAAAGCCAGGAAATCAAGAGTACACCAGCTGGGACACCAACTGAAGTTATTCTGTATGGATTTGCACCAGGTTTTCAATATGCGGCGATTGAGTTCTATGAGCGGGCTAGCAGGGGTATAATACTGGAAGACTACGATCGGTACCCGCCAAACCCGCGTTATTCAAACTCGCTGTCGATGAGACAATCACGGGGGCCGGGCCTGAAATTATCGAAGGAAGCTCTGCGAAAGAAGAACACTCATCGAGGAGGCACACACTGGATAAAAGTAACTTTTGACAGTGCTGAGGCGGCTGACTTGGCTTGCGCAGCTAGTCCTCATGTCATCAACGGGTACATCGTCCATGCCGAATTGTATAGAGGAGAAGGTCCTGCGGGAGGCGATGTTGCGATTTTAGCGACGCCACAAGCGCTTGCAAGTGCAACGGCGAGCCCGTCTCAACGAAGCTCTACAACGGCCCGAGATGTCAGTACAGAAACAGCGTCAACAGCGACTGCAACAACGGCGGCAACAATTCTTCCCGACCCTTTTGTCGCCCCTAGCACACAGAGACCAACATCTCCAACCTCAACAGTCCCCGTTCAAAATACTTCCGTCTCTTCAAGCATGGCCCTGAAAGAGCGGCCTCTCCGCATTCGGGGCGCCAAGCGCGCAGTGCTGCTCCCTGCTGACCAGGCCCTTGTCCCAGGGAAGAATGCCACACAGCGATTCATTGAGGCAGTGCCTATCTTGGGTTGGTTTTTCTCCGGGAGCAGCGATCTGATCGGTGAGGGGGTGCCGAGACGGGACGACGAGACAGTAGACTGGGACTCTGTAGGCATCTACTGGAAATTCTGGTGGTGGATTGATTGGTGGTTCGGAACAGATTACTGCGGGCTGAAAGGAGACGACTGAAGAGAGAGGAGGGATATTTGCTCATTCTCAAAACGGATTTAGCTCGGCATTTGGGGTTTGATTGTGATTAGATGTGAACGGGATGCATAGCATTGGCGTTGGTAGGTGGTATGAACTCCTTGAAGTGCCGATGACACTAAGTTTAATATCTTTTTATTGTCGTGCAACCATAAATTTCGACTATTGAAAATCGCCCGTTGTGCCAAGTAATGTTTTCACGCATGTGTCTTGATCTTCGTGGCAAAGCGATTCCAACCTTTTCAATTCAGTTTCTGCTTCTGTAGTTCAAACTCAATTTGGAGGTATCACCCTTTGGGGCGATCCTCTGTGCCTAAAATTTGGTCCATCTCTGAGAGAATCTAGAAGTTAGCATGGGAGAGCAAAGACTTCCTTATCTACTAAAAAGGTCCTCTGAAATCTCAATTCGTATCTCAAGAGTCAAAAGACATCACCTACTGTTAAGGCCGGCTTGTGTAATTCCGCAGTGGTATTCGCTGTCATGTGCAAAACAGGAGACGCCCTTGTACGATCAAGAGCTCGGTGTAATATGCACTAGATCATGGACGCAAATCGGTTCTTCCAATTCCTTCACATCTGGCACATCTTATCATGTCCATCCGAGCTAGGTGCCTTCGTTCGGTTCTTCATTTGCCACATGCGCTGTCGCATGGGATGAGCGTGATCCTAACTTCGGCACTGCCCAAACCACACGGCCATTTCTTCTTTATGCTTGTGTATGTTTGCCATCATCAACATGTGTGACCATGGACTTAGTCCATTTCTAAATTTGTTTGATCTTCATTAATTTGGCGCCTTTTAAAAGCCCAAACTTAATTTAACTTCATCTTCTAACTGATGAGTTATATATTAATTTCCGTCATTGAACCATGCCAATTCAAGGCAATGATTCCAGTGTGGTTCAACATCGCTTCAGGTTCGCCATTAAGGACTTAAGCGATAACTTCTCCAAACTCCTGTCGGTACAACCCCCAAAATCTGGGGCCAATAACTTATAGCAGTGATTGAAAATAAATCTTGTTCTATATTTCTTCATTCACGTTTGATCCAACTTTCTTTAGTTATTCATCGAATCCAGACTGTCCGGCATAACCAGATATGTCAAATCCTTTCCAATCAAACCACTTCTCGATCTTACAAGGCCTGCCCCTACAACATAGTCTCGATGCCACAAGTACCATTCATCGAACGCTGCATCATCACCTTCTACCAAAGTCATCAATCCAAATTGCAGCTCCTCTCTGTACCAGTTAGATAAAGAGGCTTTCGCGGAGTAGATCTTTGTCAGTTCAATGATAGCTTCTAGTGGTCGCGATCCTTTATCACACCAGTTCTGGATTTGCATTGCGCGTGCGAGCTGAAGCATGCAATCGTGAATTCGAGCAGCGTAAAGATCGGTCGACAAAATCATCATGATGGTGTCAACAAACACTTGATCTCTCGACTTTGCGTAGTCAATGTCAAGCTGCTGTTCGTCCTGTATGAGCGCTTGCAGTCCGTATACCTTGTCTCGCAAATCCTCGCATAAGCTGTCATAGCAATAGCGGATGGCTCCCATCAGACTCAAGGGCTTTCTTTTGATGTGCTCAGACTCTGCAACGAGGAAGTGTAGCTGTAATGGTGCACTTCCAACCCGAGCGTAAGCAGAGACTTCCGCCCAAGATATTATCTCACCGCAGTACCAAATTGTCAGAGATTTCGCTAGAAGAACTTCTTGTATGATCCATAGACGACGCCAGTATCGATTTTGGAGAAGTCCCTGAATCCATGTGCACGTCTTTTCGCCCATGTGGCGAGCCCTCTTGCATTTCTCTGTGCAAGGCAACGAGTTTTCTATTATTTCATGTTCTTCTTCATTCATCCAAACGATGACCTCCTGAGCACCTCGATATATCCGAGACATCAACCGCACTTGGTGGTTGCGCTCCGTGGTCGAGAGCTGGTTAATGCAGATCTTGGCAAAATTAGCTTATTCGCTCGCAAATATTGGTCTGCACGTACTTGATCAATCCAGATCCATTCGCCTTCGTGTTTTATTTTGTATTTGTCCAAAAACCTATACAGATTGCGTCGAATGACGAGCCCGTACCCATCTACACATATTTTCTCCGTTGCAGTTTTCGGGCCCCATGTATAAGATAAAGCTCGGTATGGCGGTGCTTTCTCGATATTAAAGTGTTGTATTTGTCCCTCAGTCGTCCCATCGTCACGACGGAATACTCTCAATAGTCGGACTATATGCTGTGAAGTGTCAACGTCTATATATTTGAATGGTCCCTCGGAGCGGGGTGACGCCCAATTCGCTGCATTCATTTTGTTTGAAGGCATCATTCGAAACCGTGGACGTGCTGCTTTATATTGTTCCTGATTCACAGTGCATGACCAGCTCATGTGAGGACCAGCTCAGCCACGAGGAGCAAGGCTGAGGCTGAAACCCCTTAGAACTAGCGTCTTTCCCAACGGCCGTGGTGGCACGCACGGCGCAGAGATGGAGGCCTCAATACATCTTAAGTTCGACTTTATGCACGGGCGACACATTTCTCTGCATGGGCGACACATTTCGCCATGTTCATATCAGGTGCAAATGTTGACTCATCGCTGATCTTAAAATTGTCATCTTACGAAGGCTACTGCACGACGTCGACCCGGCCTTAGGTATTTTGCATAGCTGGTACAACTGAATCAGAGAACTGAAATACGGACGTTCATATTGTGGAACATGAAATGGTTACAATTTACCCGACTTGGCTTGGAGTTTCTTCATAGTTCAGGAGAGAGTGGGACGAATAAGCAAAGTCAGCTTTGTGTTGCACGTGGCACGGTATTACGTCACTAGGTCTCAGCAAACATGGGAAACTGAGACAAATCGCATCTTGAAAGCTGATCCCGAATGCGTGCACCACCAAACTTGACCACTTCCCAAAGCCATAATCGCTGTTTCGTCATTCGCATGTAGTCTGTCTATCATGGGAATTCGCGAGAAGCGAATAAGAAAGTCTACCTTGCGCGCGCTCTTCCGCGACCGAAAAGAAGAGAAGCGTACTCTCCTCTCACGCCTACTAGCTCTGTTCTCTCTTTTCCAGCTGGAACTCGAAAAGTACAAGGCAGATACATTTGCAAGATTAAGACACGAGGTATGGGAGATTAATGAGGATGAGTACAAGGAGAGTTTTCGACCGAGGGACAAGAGTGGTATGGGATTGAATCCCGTAGGTGATCTAGGATACAGTGGCTCTGTACGCTACACACCCCCTGCTATTGCTTTCTGCTGAATATTCTAACTGAATATATGGACTTTCTTCACAACCGACAATGCGAAGTACCTGATCAAGTCGCTTCCCAGACCGAGTGAATATCGTTTCTTTGCGCGAGACCTCCTCTTACCGTACGCGGCCCACATGTCCAAGAATCCCAACTCGCTCCTCGTTCGAATAACGGACTTCCTATATTCACCATACATAACGATCGGAGCCCTCCTCGGCCTCGCACCACCATGCCACATAGTCATGGAGAACATCTTGTTCGGCAAAGAGATGTCCAAGAACAAAGACGCTTGGGAGACGTACGACCTCAAGCCCATCACGTACTTCTACCCGGAGCGCGACATCGCAGGCGGCCGTTTGGCAAGCGAAAGCACGAAAGAGAAACTCGTCGACAAATTCGAAGACGTGATCCGAATCAGCGACGACGATAGGACGATGCTGCTCCAAGCGCTCCAGACAGACACAAAACTTTTGGAAGAGAACAACGCGGTAGACTACTCCCTGTTCTTGGTCCGCTATCCACCAGACGCAGCGGCATCCTCTATCCCGCCCAAAGGGACTCCCTCTCGAAAGGCGAACCCGTCCATTCCCCCAGACTGGCGCCTCGGCATCGAAAGCAGCGATGGAAAATGGATCTATCGACTCGTCGTTTTGGATTTCTTCTGGGCCAAGCACAAGACACAGGCAAAAGCCATGACGGCGCTCATCGGCGTCTTCAACATCTTCGCTCGAAAGGGACCTATGAGCATCACTACGAACGCGGCCGAGTATAGAACGCGGTTTTTATGCATGATCGAAGGCATCGTTGTTAGCGATTCAATGACCTTGGAGCTCGTTCGAGATGCTGGCGAAGGTCAGGGACCCAGTGCGTCAACTTGAAATTTATATGGCTTTTCTGCGTTTCAAAAACGAACTTTGGATTTTCTTGGCGTTCTGGTTTCATGTTTTCGATTCTATACCCCTTCTCCGCTAAAATAGTTTAATGATGAGCATGAAGAGGTAGGTAGCCAGAGATGTCCAAGTATGAGCGTATATTTATCCCATCACTACCTCATTCCTTAATTTCAATCGAAGGGTAGCAAGACACAGCACTTTGCAATGCGAGAACTCAGGAACTTTATTTTTTCACGGCTGCTCTAGCATCTAGTTCGAGCTGTAAATCTAACTTTTGACGTAGAAAATTGCAACCCAAGCGCCTTAGTCTATCAAATCTATGGTTCTCTTCAAAATGCGACTTCAAGCAAACGCCATCCAATGCATATCATTTCATCCCTCTCAGGGGACCTAAAAATAGCCTTGACCGTTGCTAAGCTTCGTCATCGGTGTCTGGGGGCTTCGGCGTTCCCTTCGGACTGTTCAGCCATTCAATATACCGCAATCTCCTCCGCACTTCGCGCTCCTTCAGCTGCGCCCTTGTGAGCTTTGTCTTCTTCTTCTTCGCCTTGAACTTCATGTCTGCTGGTTTTTCGTCCTCGCTATTGACCGCAGACGCCGCTGCGGAGGGTACAGCAGAGCTGAGGGGTGATCCTGCTGCACTAGCCATGGCTGATGAGACAGCTGACGAGCCGGGACGGGAGTCCTCAAATCGGTCAAGTGAGATTCCAACGTGACCTTTGTGTGTGAGACGACCGTCGGCAACGTGCCATTGCTCGGGGCACAAAGCACCCACGAACTCTTCGTTGTGCGAAATCATGACGACGCCACCTTTGAAGTCGCGAATGGCAACGGCAAGACCACCAAGCGAATCGCGGTCTAAGAAGTTGGTCGGTCTGTGGTAATGGTGTTAGGGCATGTCTGATGCACAATGTCGCAGGAGCAAACTTACTCGTCAAGGACTAGCAGGTGAGGATTATTCCACATTGCGCCGGCCAGTACTACCTTGACCTTCTGCCCACCCGACAAGCCGGAGATGGCATTGTGGTTTGCGATTTCTGGGTCCAAACCAATATCTTCGAAATGCTTGCTGATAACCTTTGGCTCCAAAACTCTATAACCTAGACCCTCACGTGAAGCCTCATGGTCGTCGAATTCCTGAACAAGTTTGAAGAAGCCTCTATCAAGCAAAGTCTCACGCGAAATCATCGTGTTGAACTTAGGAAGCATGTTCTTCCATTTGACCTCGTATTGGAATGATTTCTGATATTTTTGACGGCCGATGAGGGCCTCGATGAATCTAGGGCCCTTGCCATCGCCGAGATCGATTGGCTTTGCCATCTGCGCAATATCTTCCTCCGTCATTTTGCGTGTCTGCTTCATGAGCACTTCGCGGTCATCGCCGTGCGCGTATCGCCACTGCAAATACTGATTTGGCGTTTTTTCCATGTGCATTTCGACGTGCTCAAGAGCGTGCTGCTTGATATAACCGATTCGCAGGTTTGGATGTTTCTCAACTTTGCCCTCCTGTGGGATAAGCTCTCCAGTAAGGATTTTGATAAGAGTCGATTTACCTGCGCCATTGGCGCCAATGATTGCCACACGCGATGACAGCGACAGTGCGCAAGACACGTCATACAAGGACGGTTTTGAGGCACCAGGATATGTATATGTGACATGCTGCATCTGCAGAATCTTTCGGGTGTTTGATTTGACACCACTCAAGATACCTGGCGGGGGGAACTTGAACTGGGCATTTGAAGCGGACAACGTGTAGTAGCTCTTTGCCTCTGGTTTAACCTTAACAAACTCTGCCAAGTTGCCTTTGTAGCACACAAGTTTCTTCTGCTCGTAGTGGTAGATGTCTGTGCATACATTGTCAAGGAAGCTGGAGTCGTGGGATACGATCAAACTGGTGATCTCGGTGTGCTTCTTAAGATACTGCTCCAGCCATGCGATGTTAGCTACGTCCAAGTGATTGGTTGGTTCATCCAGCAGAAGCACATCGGCTCGCATCAACATGGCTCGAGCAAGGGCAAGCTTCATCTTCCAACCACCAGATAAGGAGCCAACCTTATGGGATTGGCGGCCTTCAGGCCCTGCCGTGAAACCGACCTCCTCAAGAACCTGAGAGATACGCTCACGACCCTCAGGGGCGAGCTTGGGATCCTTTGCACAGTACTCAAGAATGCTGAGATCCGCATCTTCACCCTGGTTATGCTCCACGAAGCAGGTCCGGACCTGATCCTGTGGTGGGAAGCCCTCTAACTTGCCTTCAGCAATACTGCGCATAAGAGTAGACTTTCCAGCCCCGTTACGGCCACAAAGTCCATAACGATGGCCTTTAAGCAGGCGGAGATTCGTGTGTGAGAGAAGAAGCATGCCACCATAACCTAGGGAGAAGTTGGCATTCACAATCTCGACTTCACCATCCTCATCCTGGGGAGGAGCGCCGAACTTTCGATTATCCTCTTCGACAAAAAATTGGTGAACAGCTGCCGCTATTTTTTCTGAAGAGCCAGGCACGACGAGCTGCTTGATATACGGCTCAACACATGCGACGATCCGATTCAGCTTCCGCTGATTAGCATCGTCGGCCACCATTTGACCAAGATAGGACTTTGCAAACTTCCAAACCTCGGCATCGCCAGGAAGGTCCTCAAAGCCGCCGTTCTTCTTGATTTCGCTCTCAATGACCGCAGCTGCGTCATCCGCCGTAGCCTTTGAAAGGGGGCTCAGGCTACCATTCTGTTCGCCCATCGCCTTGCTCATTACATTCAGTGCTCGTTCACCGACCTCACGAACCTCAGGAAGGGAAGCACCAGTCTTGACTCGTGTTACACCTGGCTTGAGCTTGGGCAAGAATTCTCGCGCTTCGATGGGGTCGTGAACGAGCTTCGTGAGATTCTCGATAATAACACAGGTCTGTCGCAGAACCTCTTGTGTGGTCGCGGGAGCGTTGAGCGCGCGTTCAAGCAGCGGAGTCAGCAATGCGAGAACAGGTGAGTTTACTACGGCTACGAAGGTAGTCTGGGATAGCCCATGAATAGCCTTTTGCAGACTCTCTGTAGACGGCTTCTCCATAGCTGTGATCAAGAGCGGGATCTTCGGCTCCACGTCCTCATTTTGCAGCAGCGTCGTGAGCGACTTCATCGTCTTGTTGGCAGCTTTTGCCACTTCCGCCTTCAGATCATGCATACCTCCTTCGACGACGGGTATCAAATCGGACAGTCTCTTGCCCATGGCGTCTCGGAGAACATCCTTGGCTTCCTCTTCTTCCATGCTACCCATCCCCATCTTCGCCTTGTCAGCCATCTGGCCAACCATTTTGAAGGCGTATGCAACGCCCTGCCATTTTCCTGTAGATGTCTGCAAATAAGAAAGAAGAGCAGGGAGGAGCCCCGCAACGAGGGCTTCGACCTTCAGGTTGTTGAAGAGTGCATCCAGCGCGTACTGTGCAGACTCCTTAACGCTTGCGACTTTGTCCGCCATAGCGTCTAGAGACAGCTTCACCAGATCTTTCTCCTGACGCAGGAACACAACCTCGCTGATAGGCTCATGTGGCGGAAGGCGTTCAAATAGCGCGCCGAGCGCGAACATGGCTCCTTCTCGCTTGCCCACATTCTTCTTATCCGTAGCAGCCTTTCGAATAGCATCTAAGATCCCGTAGTCTCTAAGACCTCGGAATCCGACCGAGGACTGTAGCACATTGACAAGCGCGTAGGCTGCATCGAGGGAGGCCTGCGACTTGTCGGCTGTGAAGATTGTGTGCAGGATTGAGGCTACGTCCTCCCGGCTCGGCGCATTGGAAGCATTCTTGACGACGATAGGTGTCGCCATGGGCGGCGAGTCGACGTGAGGCATATACCAACCGCGCTACAGATGCGAAAGAGAGCGCGAGTTAATATGATCGCAGGCGGCTTCGACTGATTTCGGCGGTGGAGCGAACGAGCTTATCGATTGGCACCAGCGAGCGGTCTTATGCTCTTAGCTGAACCGCTTCGAAGCAGAGGGAAAGAAAACGAGAAAGATGCCGGAAAATTAGGAAGAGAGGAGAGGTGCGGCAAGGAGCCGCTAGGGGGAGGGAGATTTGAGGTTGTAAAGGAAAGAAATGAGAGCGTGGTGAAATGTTTGGGCGAGAGACATGGATCGGCGGCATGGAATTTTTCTTTGGGTGATCCCTGCCGTGCTGGGGACCGTCACTGTAATCGGGCTGGGCCCAGGTAGGGCTGGGAGGGGGCCAAAATTGACGCTTCGACCTAGGCTCGTTTCAGCCTGGCGTGGTCGAGGCTCTTTTGGCCTTGGCTGTTCGACGGTGATCCTCTCGCTCTTGTTCGACCGAGCATTCCGCTGGAGTTACCCGGCCGCATAGCAGGTACCTGGGCTATCGAGAGCATCTAGTCGTCCCCAATCGCGCCAAGACAGTATCAAGGCTGTGCTAGAACCAAGCCATGTCGAATGCTCGATTGAGGACGTCGGACGAAATCTGACGGCATCTTCTGACGGACTTTCGTGCTGCTAATCTCCATCGCCCACAGGCAAACGCATGACGCGTAGTTGAGACATTGCATTTATTATTCTGAATCAAGCTCACCGCGTCCGGGCATTCTACAAAGCAGTTTCGTCCCTCGTCCATCCACCATGGTAGGCATCAGCGAAGTCAGGACGCAGCTAAAAGACCTCAGCCGTTACGGCTCCGGATTGGTTGGCGTCTTTGGTAAGATCGCCATTTCCCTTGCAGGACCATAATGTCTAATCATTCTGAATTTTTATCTTGAATACAGTCGGAGGAACTTCTGGTATCGGCGAGACGACTGCTCGTGAGTTCGTGCGATATACCACGAAGCCACACGTTTACGTCGTCGGTCGGTCCCAGGAAGCAGCCGACAGGCTCATCCCGGAATTCAAATCCCTTAACGCAGACAGCAACATCGAATTCATCAAGTCAGACGTCTCGCTCCTCCGGAATGTCGATGATGTGTGCAAGCAGCTCATCGCCAAGGAAGATAAGATCAACCTACTGTGCCTGTCCGCCGGCTTTTTTACCTTCCAGGGACGCCAGGAAACCAACGAAGGTCTGGACTCAAAACTGTCCCTTCACTACTACTCGCGCATGCGGTTCATCCAGCAGCTCCTACCGCAACTGGCCAAGGCTGCAGAGACACCAGCCGAGGGAGGAAAACAGCCCATGTCTCGTGTGATCTCTGTTCTCGGAGCTGGCCTCGAGAAGCAAATCGACCTCTCGGACTTCGATCTCAAGAAGAACTACTCTCTCGCTCGTTGCGCAAACCACGCGCAAACAGGAACCACACTTGCGATGCACGTACTGTCCTCCCAGCCGGAAGCCAAGGGCGTCACGTTAATTCACTCCGCGCCTGGTGGAGTCAACACCAACATCGGGAAGCGAGCACCGGGCCTTGCCGGCATCGTTCTCAGAACTGCAGCTTCAGTGCTGCCAATTTTAATGCCGAGCATCATGGTTCCCATTGTGGATAGCGGAGAGAGGCACATGTACGCGGCGACCAATGACGAGTGGGGAAATGGGGGAGTTGTCTTGTTAAATCAAAAGAGTGATGTTATTCCGAATAACGGTGCACTGAAGGAGCTGCTAAAGAATAAGACCGAGGTGAAGGTATGGGAGCATACTCAGGAGGTGTTTAAGAAGATCTGTGATGAAGGTGGAAAGTTTTAAGGCTTGCATGTAGCAGGCGGTCTGTCAAGCAATAAGGTCTTTTTAAAGTTTCTTCGTGTAGGATATACTTAATAGTTTGATACATGCCATCCATTTAAATGACAGTGTCTCGCTAACTCAGTCTGTTGAGCTCAGGAATTGTTCTCACACATGGCACTAATAATGGCAAATGACGAACCAGGAGCTTTTGGGAACTGCGAACCTCTGGCATTGATGTAGCTGTAGTTGAGCGCTACCAAGTACTGATGCGTTGAGGTATGAATGATTTGAAACCTAGCTCTAGTTTCTAACACTCAGTTCTTGAGATAGTTGAATTTTGGTGACTTTTAATAAGACTGCAGCTTGCACAACCAGTGACATATTTAAGCACGTCTGTGCGAGTTCTTTTATCCACCAGAACTCCTGCTTTGTTGAATAACGAGCATTCTTGTAAGATGCCAAGCTGCAAGATCAAGATATGCACTCCTCGACGAATTGAATCATAAGACATAATTGACGTTCGACGAACTGAGGAATCTTTATCCATGAATTCCATTTGGAAGCAAGAACAAGGGTGCGAATTCAGGTGTGAGGCTGAGGCAGGCTGAGCCTTGCTTGAAGTGGTTAGCCACGATCACTTCGGCAGAGCGCTGCAGCCAGACGACGTGATGTCGCATACGGCAGGAATATGGAATCACCCAACTCCCTCCGCTGTCCTAAAACTGTTCGGCTCTGTCGATGTGCTATCAGCGCCACGATGCGCCAGCTTCTATGAGTCACTGATAGCGAGAAAAACATCCGCACCCTCACCTCTCCCTTGTTGCCATGGAGTTCGATACACCAGGCGCGTATGTGCCTGCCACTGAATTCCAAGACGGTCTGGACGAGTCGCTACCCATCTTCAACGTTGAAAGGGTTCAGTTGCAGTTCGCACGACCATCGGACTTCGTGGCAGCACAAGTGGCCAATAATGCAATTGTACTAGCGTTTACAACCGGACGGATTCTAAGGATAGGTACATGCAGAAGGCAAATGGCGGAAGGAGTAGAGACTAATGCAGCATGACAGATCTTGATAATGCAGGCGAAATAGAAGGTAGATCACGACCACTCAAGTCCTCTGTATAAACTAATAGATGATTACTAGACATCGACCTCCCCAAGCGTCCCTCGGAAATAGGCGTCATTCGGCGCATGTTCCTCGACCCTACAGCGTCGCATCTCCTAATCAACACCACCATGGGCGAGAATTACTATCTACACTCACAGTCTAAACACCCAAAGAACTTGTCCCGTCTGAAAGGGGTTCCGATCGAGTGCGTTGCCTGGAATCCGTCGAAGCCGACGGCTTCAACACGCGAGATTCTGCTCGGAACCACAGATGGCAATATCTACGAGACATATATCGAGCCGTCGCCTGATTTGTTCAGAAGAGAGGAAAAGTATGTGAAGAGCGTTTATAAAATCCCCAAAGGACCGATCGTGGGCATTTGGAGCGACGTTCTCTCCAGTCGGCCAGATATTCGACGCGTATTGGTTGCCACACCCAAGCAGCTGCTGCACTTTGTTGGAGCCGCCCAACAGCATTCGCATGAAGGCAGCGGAGCGATATTTTCCCGCTTCTTCGATACAGAGAATTTAGTCGTGCATGAAGATGACTCCGCCGTGTCGGACGTGCCATCCGCGTTGGCGATATCACCGGAGCCAGAAGACTCTACATCGCCCGAAGATTCAAGTTCTACTCGTAGCTTCGCATGGCTGTCTGAGCAAGGCGTGTTCCATGGAGATTTGGCCACATTCCCTCGATTGCCTGAGTTAGGGCATCGAATCTTTGCAGACGGAAAGCTCTTTCCGCGATCACAGATTCCCCCGTCCATGGGGCCGACCGGCCGGCCGAGGGCAGCGCAAGAACCCACAAGCTCGATTATCATGTCGCAGTGGCATATCATCCAGCTTGTCGAAGGTCGGATCGTCATCAGCAATAAGCTCGACGACAGCATCGTGCTTGACCAACTTGTTCTTGAATCCGATCAGTCCGCGCTCGGTATGTTCGCAGACATTACGAAGAGCACATTCTGGCTCATCACCACGGACGAGCTGTTCGAGATTGCGGCCAACGACGAGAGCAGAGATATCTGGAAGGTCATGCTGAAATCACAGAAATTCGACGCTGCGTCCCACTTCGCGAAGACGGCTGCTCAAAAGGATGCTGTTGCCACGGCGTCCGGCGACTTCCTAATCAACAAGAAACAATACATGGAGGCGGCCACGGTTTATGGACGGAGCAGCAAGCCGTTTGAGCAAGTTGCATTGACGTTCATCGAAGCGAACGAGCAGGACGCGTTGCGGAAATATCTTGTCACCAAACTTAGCAGCCTCAAGAAACAGGCAGTCATGCAGCGCATGATGATTGCCGCTTGGCTCATCGAGCTATACATGTCTAAGCTCAACATCCTCGACGACACGATCGGGACCAAGGCTGAGCTTGCAGAGGGCATGAACGCGGCCCAGTCTGTGGACCAGCTATCTACGATACGGAAAGAGTTTCAAGATTTTGTTGCAAAACACAAGGCCGATCTCGATGTGAAGACTACGTACGAAGTCATCAGCAGTCACGGACGCGAGGAAGAGTTGCTCTACTTTGCAACGGTCGTCAACGACTACGATTACGTGCTATCATACTGGATCCAGCGTGAGCGCTGGGACGAATCGCTGGCTGTGCTGAAGAAGCAGACCAAGCCGGAGAACTTTTACAAGTACAGCAGCGTGTTAATGACCAACGTGCCGGTCGAGCTCGTTGACATCCTTATGCGGCAGTCAAATCTGGACCCTCAACGGCTGATCCCAGCTCTGCTCAACTACGACAAAATCGCGAACGTGCCCCTAAACAAGAATCAAGCGGTGCGATACCTTAACTATGTGATCAACACCATGCAATCGACGGACCCGTCGGTGCATAACACGCTGATATCGATCTATGCTGCGGCGCCGACGAAGGACGAATCCGCCCTCTTGGCTTATTTGAGGGCACAGTCGTACGCTCAAGAACAGCTGTACGACGCAGACTTTGCGTTGAGGCTATGCATCCAGCACTCGCGCGTGCAGTCATGCGTGCACATATACACGTCAATGGGACAGTACGCTCGCGCCGTCGACCTGGCCCTTAAGCATGACGAAACTGATCTCGCCGCCTCGGTCGCCGACCGGTGCGAGGGAAATCCGGCGTTGCGAAAGAAGCTGTGGCTCAAGATCGCAAAGGAGGTCATTAAGAAGAGCGAGGGCATCAAGGCTGCGATCGACTTCCTCAAGCGCTGCGACCTCCTCCGGATCGAGGACCTGATCCCCTTCTTCCCGGACTTTGTCGTCATAGACGACTTCAAGGAAGAGATCTGCCTCGCCCTGGAGGAATACTCGCGACACATCGACTCGCTGAAGACGGAGATGGACCTCAGCGCGCAGACGGCGGCGCACATCCAGTCCTCGATCCGCTCGCTGGACGCTCGGTACGCGATCGTCGAGCCGGGCGAGAAGTGTTACCTCTGCCGCTTGCCCCTGCTCGTGCGGCAGTTCTTCGTGTTTCCCTGTCAACACGCCTTCCATGCCGACTGTCTGGGAAAGAGAGTCATAGAGATGGCCGGCGTTGGGGAGGGAATGCGGATCCGGAAGCTGCAAGGGGAAGTTGGACGGGCGACTGGCAGACGGAGGGAGAAGGCTGTGAGAGAGCTGGATGAGGCCGTGGCGGGCATGTGTGTGCTGTGCAGCGAGCTGGCCGTGAAGGGCGTGGACGAGCCGTTTGTCAAGGCGGGCGAAGGACGCGACGAATGGGCGTTGTAATGATACCCGTGGCAGGACGTAGTGTGTGCCTTGATTTGCATCGTACAGGCATCCTTTTCAATCGACTCTCAAGGAGAGCTTAGTAGTAGATTGACGAAACCATGCCAATTCGCACCCGGAAAGATTTTTTTTTTTTTTTGAACACACAAAAACGTCTTGTTGGGCTGCCTCGCAACCCGACTGAAGCGATACACACAAAAAGCTACTGCCAGCATCGCTTTGGCCAAAAACCACTTCACCAGCCCCGTGCGGTGCGGCACCTGTCTCGGGCAGATCAAGTCTCAAGGGCGCGAGTGGCCAAAGTCACATACGGTTTTGAGTGGAATCGAAATCCCCAGCCCTCCCTCTTTCGCTTTCCCTCTTTCGGGGCGGAGCGTGCCTGCGCAAACGCTCGATCAGACATGCCACCGACGTCGTAGAGCGCTCGAACGTGAGCTGTCGGAACGCGCAAAACCGCCATCGCCACACGCGCAGTCTGGTTTGACTTCCGGGCCCCGCTCGCACGTCAAAGGCCGCAGCGGTCGAGAGAGGATGGCGTGAACGGGAAGGCGGCCCCCAATGCGTGTTTTGTGTGTGTGTGTGTGTGTGTGTATGTGTGTATGTGTGTGGCCCCGTCCTGGCCGAGGGCCCGCACGCCTAAGAGCGTACCGACGCAAAAGGAGGAAAAGAAGTGTTTTTGGGCCTCCCCGTTTTTAATTGCCTACAGGAGCTTTGTGCGGGCAGCAGGCTGAGGTCGATCCGAAGAGCAAGGCCGCAGCGCGCTTGATTGCACACTGCGTACTTCACCCACGATCCGCCCTTGCCTTGAGAAAACAGAACACCGTTGGCTGGGGTGTTTGTCGACCTTTTTTTTTTTTCTCTCTCTCTTCGATTTTCCTCCTTCTTTTCGCCTGGCCCATCGGTGCTAGCACGCGCCGGTGGGTCGTACAAAGACCGTTGTTTACTGTGTAAGATTGTACTTTGTACGGGCGGTGGTCGGGCGCGGGAAAGCTTGATACGTCATCTGCGCCCTTTCGCGACGACGTTCAGGCACCGGAAAAAGGTCTGATTACGATGGCTAGCCGGATCCGGAGCTCGCGTTGCTCTTCTGTTGATATAGCGGGCAGCAACTAAGCATGAACCAACGTCAAGCGCGAGGTTCTCCACCAAGGCTGACGTGCTGCTTGGGCTGCCAAGCAAGGTGAAAGCCTTCACGCAGGGACGATCAGCTTCTGTTCGACTCGTTCTTGGAAGACGTATCACGGATCCTCATCAGATCCCCGATGAAACGCCCGGGTCGATCAGGTACGCCACGCTGCCCACAACCTCCACAGCAGGATCGAACGAGAAAAGAAAGAAAAAAAAAAGAATTTGCAACGTAGCGCCCGCGCACGTCGCCGTGCAAACGACGGGCTGCAGCGGTACGAACCATGAGCGACGACTCGATCCTGTCGACAAACACGGGCAATGGGCTCTTACATGACAATCGGCATCACGCGACACCCTAACGAGTGCGATTTCAATCAGTGCCCGTGTCCGTGACGTTTCAATTTCGGCGCCCGAGTCCGCGTCTATCGAAAAGTAAATGGCCCGCACGGATGGCGATCAGCGTGGTTCGCGAGTGATGAGGGAAAGCAAGCGCCAGTTCACGGCCAAGGCAGCAGCAGGCTTTTCGATCTTGCTCTGCTGCCAATAGGACATCGTGGTGTTGGGCCAATGGCAGTCCGCTCATTTGGAGCGAAAAAGGAAAAGAAGAAAAAGTTTTTTTTTTCCTTTTTTTTTTCCTTTTTGGCGTCCGGCAGCTTGGATCATGCTGACAGGAGCTGTGTTCCTGGACGTATATCACACGTACGATAATGCGGACGAACGCGGCGTGAGTCACTGGCTACTGTTCACGGCGACGCCTTCTGGTGGTGAGCCCGTGGACCAACGACCCCGCCTTTTGGAACGCGTCGGCGAGCCAAAACAAAGACGGGTGAGAGACGCGTCGTGCATGCAGACGAGGCGGATGCCCAGTCGGTGACGGGCAGGATGCATACGATGAAACTGCAGCATGACGAAAGGAAGCGTGGTGAGCAGCGCAGGCTGTCAAGGAGCTTCAGAGTCGAACGATGGCGCGATGCTACGGCTGGCTAGCTCTCGGCTCCTGGGACGAGAGGGAGAGGGTGGCCGTGGACTGTGCTGTCGAGCGACTGGGAAGGGCGCCCATGTTTCAGCTAGAGAGGAAGGGAAACGCGCCCGTTGTTCGGCGGTGCGCAGGAACAAAGAGAGAGAGAGAGAGCGAGAGAGACAGAGAGAGAAAGCAGATGGACGCAGAGCGAACATCATTGGCACCTGTTTCTACAAAGCGCTCCTGCGCGTCGGAGAGAGGAGTGGGGCGTGATTCACATCAAATATAGCGATCCGAGGCTACAGCACGGCGGTGATAGGCCAGCGTCACACCAGACGTCGCCGGGCTGGGCCCGTGGGCAGGCCTGTGGTCCCGTCCAGCTCAGCTGTTTCTGTCCTTCTCAGACCAGCACGCCGCCGTGCTCGCCGAGCTGGCTGGCGCACTGGCTCGCTAAGGGGGGGAGCCGGACGCCAGAGCCTCCTAGCTTCAGCCTTATGTGAGGAGCCGGAACATTAACAAGGCGCGTTGCTGGCGAGGTAATCTCCGGCGGCGACGTAGAGCCGCGAGCTAGATGGCCACGGGGAGCGCAGCGCGAGTGTGTGTGTGGCTGCGAGCGGGAGAGTGGGTCGTGGTGGTCGTGGTGGTCGCGGTGCTGGAACTGGTGTTGCCCGTGGTGGACGGCGTGGGCGAGGCACGAGGCAAGAAAAGGAGAAGATCCACGGGCTCGATGACGACGGTGGAAGCCAGCGGCCAAGGCAGAGCAGGTTACGGAGCATGGAACAGGCTGGGAGACGACGCGCGAGACCAGAGACGGCGCGGTGGCTCTGGCGCACGAGAGAGCGCGATCTGAGCCGTGCCAGCCAATCAAGCCGCCGGGGCCGGGCGCGTTTGCGTGCGTTGGCAGCGCCTGCAGGCCTCAGCTCCGGCGCATTGCGTCGGCCGGGGATGACGGGGCCCAGAGCGAGCTGGTGGGCGGCGGCGGGCAGAGTAGAAGTAGCCGCGGGCGGGAGCAGGACGGCCAGTGCCAGCGACGCCAGTCCGCCCGAGCGACTCCCTGCACTGCTGCTGGCCTCGCTGCGCTCTCTCGCTGCGACACACGCTGGTCCCCCCCCCTGCGCCCGCTGCATCTTCGGCGCCCCCCCCCCCCAGAGGAATCCTGGAGCGCAGCCCGGCCATTCTCCCTACGCTCCCAAGTCGCTTTCCTTCCTATCTTACCAACGCTGCGGTACACTACTACCTCCAACTCCGTCTCCTCCTCCTTCTCCTCCACCTCCTCCACACGTCCATCTTCCATCTTCGTCTACGCCACACTGGCCCTTTCTCCCTTTGTTCTTCTGTGCCTTTGCTGCGCTTCGACGCTTTTTCAGAACCCAATCCGCTCCTCTACTTCGCGTCCACAGATCCCCTCAGTCACTCGCACTTCATCAGCCGTGCACAGTGCCTCTCGCCCCCACGACGTGCTTTTCAACCTGGTACGGACAAGAGCCCCCTTACGCCTCCTGCGTCGCTCTCCGGCGACTGCGTGTATCTGGAGGCCGCTTGCCTGCGGTGTTAACCGGCGTTCAGGCTTCGACCCGCCAGAATTGTCTCGCCCGTGACGAATTGAGCTCTTGAAAGCTCGCTCAGTCCCAACCCGAACCCCTCCGGAGACACACACCCTTACACAGCGACACCACAGCCTTGTCAGCGATCACAACAACGTTTCCGACGCGTCATTGCGCGTGCAGGACCTCCATTCATCGCCTCCAAGCTCTCTCGGCACCGCTGCGATGACGGCGACGCGTCGAGCACCCCCCTTGCAGATTTTTCAGGACCCCGTCGACGCCGTCGACGACTTCGGCTCCATCCAGCATCGCCAGGCCGCGTTTTTCGACTCCAACTCGCCCCAGAACATGTCGTTCGATCCATCATACACCGTGCCCAGCGGTCTGTCGCCCGTGAAGACGAGACACCACTCCAGCTCGCCGCCGGCCAAGGCCCTGGCCGACAAGACGAACCTCAACACCGTCGTCTTCCCACCTCCACCAGACTTTGGTCTTGCCACCGACTCGCCGATAAAGCGTGGTGCCCCGGCGTACGAATGCCCTCCCATCACAGACGAGCGTGGAATGCCGCTACAGCCCTATCAGATGCGCAACTACAAGTCCGTCAATCCACGGACGGACGCCGCCGCGATGGACAAGGAAAACGTGCATGGCTCGGCCGCGCCGAAGATCAGACATCAGGGTTCGGCCAGCGTCTCACTGCCACCGAAGAAGTCGACGCTCAAGAGACGCATGACCGACAGCGGGCCACTCTCTACCGTTAGCACCAACGGTGCCGGCAAGAAGCAGAAGACCGAGTCCGTCTCTCTCCCAGCCCCGGAGGACATGCCCATACTCGAGGACGACGGCACGAAGCCACCCTACAGCTACGCACAGCTCATCGGCATGGCCATCTTGCGCTCCCCAAACCGCCGCCTGACTCTGGCCTCCATATACAACTGGATATCCTCAAGCTTTTCGTTCTACCAGGCCGGTGACGCAGGCTGGCAGAACAGCATCCGCCACAACCTGAGCCTGAACAAAGCCTTCTACAAACAGGAACGTCCAAAGGATGACCCGGGGAAGGGTAACTACTGGGCCATCGTCGCAGGTATGGAGGGACAGTTCATGAAAGAGAAGCCGCGCCGAAACACGCTGCCGTCAGAAAGCAACTCGTTCACATACCCAAATCCAAACGAGCTCCCGCGTCCGATGACGTCGTCGTCCAACGCAAACCTTGCGCTCGACTCGAGCTACGCAAAGAAGACGGACGCGACCAAGTTCGGCGACGAGACTGAGCTGTCGTCCGACGCGACGATCCCTGCGTCGGATCCTGCTATTCATGAAGGCATCGACCCCCCAGCGGAGGCGCTGATGCCACCACCGTCACGTACGTTTCGATCGTCTTCACCGCCGGTGGATATACGCTCGTCGCCGCCGCCAGTGCCCGAACGCGAGGACACTCCTCCCCGGCCGGTCAGACAGGCGCCCTCCAGCCGGCCTTCGGGTGGCCGGAAGCGCAAGTTCGGCGGTCTTGGAGACAGCGGCTATTACTCATCGATCGAGTCGTCCGCCACACGCAACGTGCGCTTTCTAACCTCGGAGGTGGATCGCGATCACCCTGCCATGAAGCGTGGCCGCGCCGAGGAAGAGATCAGGCGTATGCGCAGCTCCTCCATTGACGTGAGTCCGAGCAAATTTGGCACGTCTAGGCTCGATGCACCGCTCGCCTTCGTCTCCTCGTCGCCCTACAAGAATGTCGACGCAGCTGGCAATGCCCTTCAACACGGCCCACTCACCCCAGCAGTCATCTTCAAGAAGCCGGCGCGACCTCCCATGTCTGTCTCTCCCGGAACCAACCTCAGGAATCATCGCGAGCACGTACGTAAGCTCTTGGGCTCCCCAGACAAGAGTTCCATGGGCATATTTGAGGACAAGAGCCCGTTCAAGATTCCCGACGTTGAACTTCCAAACACGTCAGCGTTCGAAATCTTCTCCAACGACAACGGCACCGACGCATTCTCCGGCGTCTTCGATGTCTTCGCCGACGAGGAATTCCTAGGCAGTTCACCGCTCAAGTCGACGAAGCGCCCACGCCTTGACCGCAGCTTGACCGCAACGGACGCTCTTCACGACGTGTTCGGCGGCAAGCTAGCCAGCCCCTTTGACGAAAACGACAAGCCAATGTCTGACTTTAAGACGAAGCTGCTCGGTTCTCCCGCGCGCATCGCTTCGCCCGTTCGCTCGTCCAACGGCAGCACGTCGCCGATCAAGCGTAACCAGCCCCGTTCGCATCCGTCTCCCATGTCCACGCATCACGGTCTTCTTCAGACCATGACGCTGCCAGAAATCCAGGAGGAAGACGACTTCATGTTCGCAACGGTCAATTTGCCGTCGGACGACTCGGACGGGCTGGACATTTCGAGGGGATTCCAGAAGATCGGAGCGAAGGCTCCTGCTGCGGCCTCTGGTTCCACGTCCGCGCCCCGTGCGAGCGGGCACACCGGTACCACCACGCATCTTGCGCCTCCTCAGGGTGCCTGGATGAAGAGCTATGGCTCCCCGAGCAAACCGCATCCAAATGCGAGGGCGAGTGCACGTCCAGGACTAGGACGGAGTGCAACCAATCTATTCTGACGGCGCTCCGTCTCCCATTCGTATAAACGTCAATTTCCTGTTCAATGATTTGGCTGGACACGCTCATTGTTCTTACTCCTTCCTTTCTAAAACGGCCCCCTCCTTCTCAATGTCTATGGCGATTTTGGAGAACCCCTCCGAGACCGCTAACGGCTGATTAATGAATGTAATGAACGGACACGAATGTATACGAGCACGAGAAAGAGAATTAGCCCGGCTTCACAGCAAAGAGGCCCACGATCTCTCGATCGCGATTTGGTTTGTCGAGGTCTTCATGGAGTTCTTTTTCTTTTTTTTTTTTTTTTAAATACAACCACATCATCCAGGGTTTCCTTGTTCCTTTTTTCATTGAGACCTTTCGTAGGACGTACGTGATACCTGGGACGGTTGGGCGGAAACTTTTCATGGCGTTTGTGCTCGATCTGGATAAGGGGTCTTTTTTTCTCATGGCTCCAGATGAGCTTTTCTAATGTGGCGAACGTATGTCTGGAGAGAATGGCTTTGTAGGACGATCCTGCGCTCCTAATTTGGCTGAACAGCGGCAGTATGGGAAAAAAAACTGTAACCTTTTCTTTTTAGAAAAACACTCAGGTGGTTGTCTACGAGGACAGAAAGGAATCTAAGTATATCAATCGTCTTTTAATCTCATGACACTTTTCTCTGAAAGCGGTTTCTGAAACTTGGTGCGCCTAAGCATTGTAAAAAAAGAGACGTTGTGACTTTGCCGAACCCCCCCCCCCCCCCCCCTAGGCGCAAAGACGACGGTACATGCATATGTTGCTGAACTTTACACACGGCTTGGGAGGTAGATGCGCTACATGCAGAGACAAACATGATCAAAAGACGACAAACGGAACACAAAAAACGTCTACAGCTTGCTGATCTTGGTCGCGGTGCCGACCAGGCCTTTTGCCTCCTCGACGAGGCCCCTTGCGATCTCTGCGCTGGGCGCCATCTCCTGTCCGACCTCGAAGGCCTGTGCAGAGGAGGCCTGGCGCTGGGCGTAGCGCGCGGCGATGCCCTGGAAGATGATGGCGTTTCTGAACATGGCGAAGGCGGTGCCCCAGGGGATGTCCGGGGCGGCGTCGTAGCCGGACACGCGGGAGTACAGGGCGATGTTGTCGGCGCGGGTGGGCAGGCCGACGAGCAGGGTGGAGGGGCGGAACTGCTCGCGCGAGTTGCGGCGCGGCACGTACGTGCGCGGCGTGATCGTGTACGGCTCGAGCAGGCAGCAGAGGTCCGACAGCGGGTGGCCGACGGTGGACATTTCCCAGCTGTTGCGGCGCGGCGCGGGGACGTCAGTCGTTTGGCGCTTGCGAGGACAGGAAAGGGGGAGATTGGGGAAGGATGGCGTCGCAACGGGAGAGAGAGAGAGAGAGAGGGAGAGAGAGAGAGAGAGAGAGAGAGAAAGAAAGAGCCAAGACTCACTCGAGGATACCAATCACCCTGGGCTCCGTCTTGTGGTAGACCAGGTTGTCGATCTTGAAGTCGCCGTGGACGAGCGTGCCCCTGTCCTTGGGCTGGGTGGCCGGGTTCTTGAAGAAGTCGACGAAGTAGTCCGAGTGCGGGACCTTGCCGACGGGCTTGCCGGTCTCGACGTCGGCGACGGCGGCCTGGGCCTCGTTCAGCGTCGAGAAGGTGGCGATCTGCCTGTTGTAGAAGCCGGTCGGCTTGCCGTACGAGCCCAGGCCGATGCTGTTGGGGTCGATCCTGTGCAGCTTGGCGAGGGTGCGGATGGCGTCGTTCCACATCTCGCGGCGCTCCTCGGGCGAGACGTCCGGCATGTGCGGCTCCTCGAAGATGCGGCCGTCCAGGAACTCCATGATGTAGAACGCCGACCCGATCACGCCGTCGTCCATGCACAGGCAGTACGCCTTGGGCACCGGCACGTCCGTCTGCTCCAGCGCGTGGATGATGCGGTACTCGCGGTCGACCTTGTGCGCCGTCTTCGAGATCAGCTTTCCCGGCGGCTTCTTGCGCATCACGTACTTGCGCCCGTCCCGGCCGGTGAGCTGGTACGTGGGGTTGGACTGGCCGAAGCCGAACTGCTTGATCTGCAGCGGCGTCTTGATCTCCGGCACGTTCTCGTCGATGTACTTCTCCAGCGACTTGAGGTCGATTGGCTGTCGAACGGGGCCCGCCATGGTTTCTTCCTTTTTTTTTTTTATTTTTTTTTCTCCTTTCCCAAGCTCCTTCTGCTTCACTTTGGCCTGGCGAAGAGCTGGACCGCGGAGCCAAAGTCGTGAGGCCAACCTTGTTGCTGTTGGTCGCAGAGACGGATGGACAGAGCGAAGACAGGTCGTGTGCGACGCAAAAGAGACCTTCTCGCCAGAGGAATAATAAGGCGGTTCGTTCGTTCACTCGCCAGAAACAAAAACAAATCCGACTCCGCGTCGTCGAGGTGTGTCGACCGCGGCAACGGGTCTTACAGCCATTTGCACACACGGCCGTCCCAGGAGCAATACAGCAGAGGCAAGGCGTCTAGGCGCGCTTTTCCGCCGGGTCGCCAGCCAGCTGTGAGAGTCGCCGAGGATGAAGCACGATGTGGGGAACGAACTGAATCATTGCGCACGCCCCAAACGGGGCATGGCGACGTCGAGCTGCAGACCGAAGCGCTGCCTCCGCCCGGAAATCATCTTCCAGACAAACGCCGGGAGAACACTTCGTCCTGCTCTGCCGTCCTCTCTCGTTCGCCCAACACGGGGCCCCTCCCCTCTCTGCTGTCGTCTGTTTGACTCAAATCGCGGGCCACTCCCCTCCACGATGCTGTCACTGCTTGGAACCCTGCCCAGCGGACTTGTAGAGCCCGCCTGTCTGCTCGCCTGGTGGGGTCGCGGGGCAGAATAGCGTGCGCGTGTACGCTGAGTAGGAATGGCGTTCCTGACCTTCGCGTCTTGATGTCCGGGAAGGTCATGAGGAGAGCGACAGAGGGTTTTAAAAAAAAAAACCACAATTGATCGTCTCCGTTTTTTCTTTCTATTTTAAATAGGCTCGCACACATAGCTGCGTCTGCTTTCCGTCCTCGCCATTCTCGCCGTCTCCCCTTCACAGTCGCTCTGGTTCAGCCTCTTGCCCCCACCCCCTCCCGCCTGTCTGGTCTCTGTAGTCCAAAGAAGAAGAAGAAGAAGAAGAAGAAGAAGAAAAAGAAAAAGAAGAAAAAAAATGCCTGGACACCACGCTCTCGTGTTTGGCGCCAGCGGTATCACTGGCTGGTCTATCGTGGACCAGATCTTGAAGGGATATCCAGATGCGAACACCTTCGACAAAGTCACGGCGTTGACCAACAGGCCTCTGAGCAAAGAGGACACGCTATGGCCGGAGAGCGACAAGCTCCAGCTCGTCAGTGGCATTGACTTGAACACCGACACGCAGGAGGCGCTGGACGCGGAGATGAAGAGCAAGATCAAGGACATCGACACCGTCACGGAGGTGTACTTCTTCGGTGTGGAGAGCTTTGCGTGATGCGAGCGGTCGAGAGCTAACGTGTCGCTAGCGTACATCATGGACCCAGATCCTGCAAAGGAGATTGCCATCAACATCAAGCTGCTCGAGCGAGCCGTAGTGGCGGTGGAGAACCTGTCCAAGAAGCTCAACTTCGTCGTGCTGCCCACCGGCACGAAGAGGTACGGCGTGCACCTCATCGACGAGTTCCCGTTCAAGAACGACCTGCCATGCAAGGAATCTCTGCCGCGCATCCCGGAGCCGTACGCGTCCCAGATGTTCTACTACAACCAGATTGACACGCTTATTTCCCTCAGCAAGGGGAAGAGCTGGACCTGGTGCGAGATCATCCCCGACGTCATCGTCGGCTTCGTGCCGAACAACAACATCTACTGCCTGGCCCAGCACCTGGCCCTGTACCTTTCGCTGTACCGGCACCTCAACGGCGAGGGCGCCGAGGTGCCCTTCCCCGGCACGCCGCAGTCCTACAAGATCCTTCACAACGACAGCTTCCAGGACGAGATTGCAAAGTTCTCCATCTACGCCTCCCTGAACGGCCTCGGCAACGGCGAGGGCTACAACACGTCCGGAAGTGCCACGCCACACTCGTGGAGCCAGAAGTGGCCCGTCATCTGCGCGTACTTTGGCCTCAAGGGCGTCGACCCCCCCGCCGACGGCAGCGCTCCGCAGCCGTACAACTACGTGATCGACCACAAGGACGAGTGGGAGAAGATCGTCAAGGAGAAAGGCCTCAAGGGCGGACGCGTCGGAAACGACCGCAGCTTCGGCGGCTTCCCCTACTTCATCATGACGTACGTATTTCCCAAAGCCCCTGTGTGCCTAAAAATGAAGAGATGTGGGGGGAGGGAAAAAAAATATCGAATGAAAAAAAAAAAAAAAAGAAAAGAAGAAACATGGAGCAGTACGCGTCGCTAACTCCGGCATAGCATGTTCAACTTCGACCGTCACGTCGACATGTCCAAGACGCTGAAGGCGTGGGGCGACAAGGCGGAGGAGTTCGACATCAAGCAGTCTTGGTATACCGTCTTCGACCGGTTCAGGCAGGCGAAGATCATCCCGTGAAAGGAGAAAAAAAGTGTGTGTGTTTGTGTGAAAGAGAGAGAGAGAGAGAGAGAGAGACGAAAGTAAAGAAACGAAGGGCCGGTCTAGGATATTCTTTTTTTTATTCGGGCACGTGTAGATACCACTTGCATTTCCGAGTCGTCCGGATCATTCTTCTTCCTTTTCGACCTTCCTTTTGCCCCCTCTTTATTTTTCTTTTCTTTTTCTTTCTTTCCTCTTTACAGAAGCGCGGATGGGTTTTGATCCAGCTACGGTCTATATACAAGGGGGGGGGGGGGGGGGGGTTCGATTTAGCAGTATGGCAGAGCAAAGATATCATGAAAAGAGAAAAAAAAATAATACATGAGAGCGATGAAATTTGCAGTGGTTCGAATTTCCCCTGCCCCCGGCTCTTACGGCGCTGGTGCCGGGGTGTTTTTTTTTTGGTTTGTTTTTTGTTTTTCACTTTGCCGTTGCAGAGGTATGTTGGATTAGTACTCGATGCCTCCGTACGGCACGTACTTCACGCCCCATTTCTCGCACAGCTCCTTGTGCCTCTTCACGTAGGCCGCGTGTCGCTCCTTGAACGCCGGGGCCGTCTTCAGGGCGTCGCGTCCGACCTGGTGTCTGTGTGCGGCGTCCGGCCCGTCGGCGAGACGCACGAAGCGAGCGTACGTCCACATCTGGGGCAGGGCGGTGTGCTGCGTGAGGCCCTGGCCGCCGTACATCTGCATGCACTCGTCGATGATCTTGGCGGCCTGGATGGGGACGAGGATCTTGCTCTGCGCGATGGCGTACTTTCCAGCCTTGTTGCCCATGATGTCCATCGTGTCCGCCGCGTTGAGGACGACGAGGCGCATCTGGTCCAGCTCCAGGCGCATCTGCGCGAGGCGCTCGATGTTGCTGTCGAACTCGCCGATGAGCTTGCCCCGCGGCTTGATCTTTGGGTCGATGGCCCGGATGAGGGCCAGCTCGTACGCACGCTCCGTCTGCCCGATCAGACGCATGCAGTGGTGGATTCTTCCGGGGCCAAGCCGGCCTTGGGCAATCTCGAAGGCGCGGCCGGGCCCAAGGATGATGTTCTCCTTCGGCACCCGCACGTTCTCGTATACGTACTCGCCGTGTCCCTCTGGAGCCCAGTCGTAGCCCATGATAGAGAGGTTCCGCTTGATCGTGAGGCCGGGAGCGTCGGAGGGTACGATGAGAGTAGTGTGACGCTTCCACGGGTTCGGGTTCGTAGGATCCGAGCAGCCCATGAGAATGAAAATCTTCATCTCCTTGTTGTAGGACACGTTTCCGTACAGCTTGCGCCCGTTGATGATGACCTCCTTGTCCGTGATCTCCATACGACAAGCAATGTTGGTCGCATCGGACGCGGCCACGTCTGGCTCCGTCATCGAGTAAGCGGAGGACATCTCACCGTTCATGAGCGGCTTGAGCCACTTTTCCTTCTGCTCATCGGTGCAGTATTTGGCCAGAAGCTCGATGTTGCCCGTTTCTGGGGCATGGCAGTTCATCGTCTATCAAATCGTGTCAGCCGAGTTTCTTTTGCTAGGCACGAATCAAGAACGAAAGACGTACCTGCGCCGCCCAGTAGCAACGACCCATGATCTCCGCGCAGCACGAATACTCGAGATTCGTCAGGCCAGGGCTCTCCTTGAAGTGATTCGGCAGAAAGATGTTGAAAAGACCAGCTGCCTTCGCCTTTTTCCTCAGCTCGTGCATCAAAGGTGGAGTTGTCCATCTATCCTTTTCGATTTGCGCTTTCATGATCGGTTCGGCAGGGACACACTCTGTCTCGACCCAGTCGTACACTTTTTGGATCATTTCAATGGCTTGCGGTCGGAGCTTGGCCTTGGTCCATGGCGGAATCCGCTCAAAGGCAGGATTGCCCTCCATCTTGATGGAAGTCATGACGTCGGTAACTATGGAGGAAGAAGATGGCAATTGCGGTTCTAAACACGTACAGAGCGGATTGAAAGCTGAGAAATATATCCCAGCTACGATCCGAGATTATTTTTCGGCGTTTTAGGGCCCGTTCGATCTGCATCTTGGTGGAATGATTCGTGGTGTGGAGCTGCAGAGTCGCGCCGAGGGGCAAGGAAGTCTTTCTCCGCATCCCCAGATCAGCCACGCACACCATGCTGTTCTAAGCCGTACACCCACGCCCAGGTGTTTTCGAATTCCGGCAAGCGATTGGATCGGTACCGGCGATGTGGGACAAGATGGAGGGAATTGATCTTGGATGAATTGACGTCTCGTGAAGCTGACGATGTAAACTTGCGCACCCCATATCTTGACACAGGTTCGACCCCGCGTCCTTTTTGAATTCTAGCATCGCCCGTCAGAATGGCAAACGAAGGCTTTGCAGAGCCTTGGATCAAGGTAGACAGCCGGATGACCCAAAGCACGCACAAGCTGAAGCTAATGGTGTAAGTTCGAACAAGAGCTCGGACTGCGGCCAAATTTGTACGGCCCAAAGGTTGCCGACTGCTTCGCTGGCTGGGAAAAATTAGGAGGCGCTCTTGTTTCCAAGTACACGTTTCCCGCTCCCGATGTTTCAGTCGCAACCGAAGATCGCACCATTGGCGATGGCATTAAGGTCCGTATCTACACGCCGTCCGGCTATGCGAAGGGGAGCAAACCCGTCGGCATGTACATTCATGGCGGCGGCTGGGCAATGGGGGATTTGGACATGGACGACGCTGGCTGTCGAGTAATGTCCAAGGGTGCCTCGGTCGTTCTCGTTTCCGTCGACTACCGTCTGGCACCGCAGCACCCATACCCGGCCGGCCCAGACGACTGTGTCACGGCCTACAAATGGATTCTGGAGAATGCCGAGTCGCTGGGGGGTGTTGCCGGCAAGGTGTTCATCGGTGGTGCCTCCGCGGGAGGGAACTTGGTCTTCACCACTGCCTTGCGCATAATCGACGAAGGGCTTGGAAGCTCGATCGTTGGCCTTGCTGCACAAGTGCCGGTCACAATTCACCCAGACCTTGTTCCCGCCGATCTCAAGTCGAAGTACACGTCGTACGTTGAGCACGCGGAACACACGGTCAACACCAGCTCGGCCATGCGCGCGTTCTTCGATGCGTACGGCAACCCAACGGATGCGTACGCGAACCCTCTGCTTAGCGACAAACTGAGCCAGCTCCCGAAAGTGTACATGACCGTCGCGGGGCACGATACTCTCCGCGATGACGGCAGACTGATGAAGGAGAAATTGGAAAGCAACGGGTAATGTGGCATACTTCGTGATTTGATTGCAGCTAACATTTTCCTTTCAGAGTCCAGGTGAAGTACGACGAATATGCAGGATATCCTCATTATTTCTGGACTTTCCCAGCCGAGGTGCTAAAGGAGCCTGCAGCAGAATACAATGCGAACCTGGTTAAGGGCATCGAGTTCATTCTGTCGTAAAGTATGCAGAATATTATGGTATCTTTTATGGTTGTCGTTGTGGCAGATATACGCGTAGCTATGTAGCTTGATATAATACATAGTCGTACCTCCTAGACAGACCATTTTTGAGCATCCCAAAATCGTTTGACATTCGAAATTTTAAATGCAAATTATCCTCTTAGCATTCAGTCGGCAATTTATTATGATCCCAGTTCAAGTGCATGGTTACATCAAATGCCGCTAGAAGCTGCACGTTGTCTGGTCAACATTTCCATCCCTGGACTATGACTCTAGTCAGACGACCAGTCATCAGGCGAAGTACATGCTAAGGGCGCGTATCAGAATTCGACAGACTCGGAGGAGAAAAATAATTCAGACTTATAATTGAGATTTCTGAAAATGTAGACTCTGATCTCCTTGTATATATTACAGCGCAGCGTAATACACCGTGCTTGGAAACAGGAGTCTGATTTTTTTTTTTTTTGCTTACAACACACGTACGACTCTTCAAGATGCAGCTTCAGTTTGTCACGCTCGATGTTTTCACTGACAGGAAGTTCGTCGGTAACCCTCTGGCCGTGATTCACCTCCCGAGTTCCGCTGCAAACCTTCCACAAGATACGAAGCAGGCTATCGCTCGCGAGTTCAACCTCTCCGAGATTGTCTTCCTACACGAGCAAACGGAGGACGACATAAAGAGTTCTGAAGCAAGGATTGACATATTCACTGCGCTCGCAGGTGAGTGAATTGTTGCCAGAACCGCATCGAAGCTCGGCTCGCTGATAATCTGTGCGCAGAAGTTCCGTTTGCTGGACATCCAACCATCGGAACTGGGGTGTACGTCTTGGAGTGCCTCCAAAAGACAGACATTCTAGCGCTGCGCACAAAGGCCGGACGAAAGACCATTTCCAAAACAGATCGAGGGGTAAGCGTCGCGCTCGCGCATGAAATTCACGTACACGACAAGCCTTTCGCCGGCCTAGCCTTTGATCATCACCCCGTCGTCAGCATCGTGAAAGGCATGAACTTCATCTTGGTCAAACTCCCAGACCTCGTGGATCTGGCCACGCAAGACGACAATCTCGTGGGCATGCGAAATTGCTACACCTCATATCCGGCGTTGGATGAGGGATGGCGCGAAGGCCTTCTGACGACATTTTACTACGTTGACTTGGGTGTCGATGCTGACTCAGGACGACGGAAATTGCGCACACGTGCATTTGGCGCGAGGGAGGACCCTGGTACCGGAAGTGCGAGTGCAGCTTTGAGTGCTTATCTGAGTTTGACTGAAAATGGGCCTACCATGCGCAAGTTTCATTTGACACAGGGGGTGGAAATGGGTAGGCAGTGTGACATCTTCGTTGATGTTATCATGTCTGCGGATGGCGGGATCGAAAGTGTATCATTGTCTGGTGTAGCCGTCATGGTTATGAAGGGAAACATTGACGTGGAATACGAGCCTGAAGCAGCGGTTGAATAGTTACTAGAGGTTCAGCTAATTGGACTCTAGGAGATTTGAAAGCGGCAAGGCCGTACGGTCGTAGTACCGCAGTCTGCCAGTTGCTGTGGACGACAATCTTCGTTCCATTCGTGCATAAGGACCAGTCTCAACGTCCACAGCCTCGCGTTTAAACGCCAGCCCATGTCTCCCCATCTCCCCTAAATCAGGGGGCGCAATTCTCAAGATTCATGCCTCTTCTTATACCGCAACCCCCAATTGACTTAACATCTAAGCACTCGCAGCAGCAGCCTTCCTCGCCTTAGCACCCCTCAGCTTGGTTGGAGGGTCTGGCTTTACTGGTCGCTGCGATGCCTTGATGGCACTAGCGCGCTTCACGGCCGCCTTGCTAAGGTCAGGGCGGTATCCCCTGTTGCCGGTAGAGTTAAGGATGCTGCGGTAGCTCTTGCGCGACGAGGTCGATGGGCCGAAGACGGTCTTGTGGGTGCTCTTAGCAGGCTGATGCGACTTGCTGGAAGTCTTGGTGTACAGGGTGAAGCCACCCTTCTCGTTGGGGACGATACCGATGGCCTAGGTTGCGGTCAGATGAGAAGATTTCGAGGAAATTTGGCAAGGAATTTTTGTACCTTGTCGTTGATGTAGCCCTCGTGCTAAGGAAGTTGTTAGCCGTTAGACTGCCAGGCCTAAATAAGAGTCGCACGTACAATACGAGAGTGTTTGTTTGTCAGGTTCAGAGGATCCCTCGAGAACTCGGCACCACCGCCAGATCGTCGCTTGACGGTGTAGGCGCTGTGGCCGCCTATAGACATCTAGTCAGCCTGCAATTGCGCAATCGCTGCTTTGGATTTGCTTGAAACGTACGAGTAATCTCCCAGAGGAGTGGTGCTGGAATGTGGGCGCTCATGTCTGTTGTTGTCGGTTCGTGGTGTTGTCACCTCGAATTTCGACGTGACTTCGGTGTCGCTTTGTGCGGGAGCAAAAAGTTTGCTTACCTAATCAAACGCCAAGTATTTCCGCCGGCCGGAGCGCTCAGGGCAGGCGGGGCCCGTTCGCTCTCGTGATTTCCGTTTTGGGAGGGCTCACCGTTGTCAACTGCGTAAGCCATCGCGGCTGGAGACGTATTTGCTCAGCGCCGGACTTCCTCCTGAGTTCTTGACCGTATAGACTACATATTCGCGACAAGCTCGCGCGTACCTTTGGTTGAGCATCCGTAGATCTGGCTTTGTTCTCTGCGAACCACCACATCCGGGGTTTCCGTATCGTGTCTCAGGCCGACACGGCGAAGCAACGATAAGTTCTTTCTGGAAACGTGGAGCTCCCATCAACGTGGAGTTCTGCGGTTGCACTTCGAGCATTCGGCAGGCCGGCGTGCTTGTGTCTCCTCAGCCATATTTTAAGGGGCGTCGATATCGACAACAACTCGATTTTCGAAATATCTCACCTAGGTGCAGCGCAATGGGTTTTATCTTATATAGCGTCTCTTTTTTCACGCTGGTTATAGCCACATGTAAGCCATTGTCTAGACGATTTACGCTGCTAATGCGCTAATCGTAACCAGTTCTCTATATATCCCGTTCCCGTTGGTTTCCCCTCCTTCCCGCTCGTGTACAAGACGTTCTTTATGACGCCCATCCTTCGAATTGGATCCCAACAAGCTTAACACGCTACACTCCGTTACCAACAAACTTTCGGGAGGACGTAGAAGCGGGCCTGCACTCAGCCGATTTCGACATGACCGCTAATGTTGAAGGCGATTCGCGGTCAGGACTAGATGAGAATGCTAAGCGTGAAGTTCTCAAGATTATGAAGAGGAGGGGGGTGGGTTTTGATGAAGGGAGACGGATTTACATGGAGCAGACATTCCGGAAGAGTGGTATCTCCGCCGATGGTTTGCCGAGAGACCCAAAGTTGGTTACTTTCTCGTGACATTAGCAGAGCGAGGAGGGCGATTAGTTTTCATTTGTTCTTGATTTTCATTTGAGATACCATTATTTGGCGCAGCAGCTCCGCATCATTTTCCTCTCAATTATTGTGATCTTGGACGTACTTCTGCTTCAGATTCTAATCAAAGTGCCGATAGGTTAAGGTTTCCCTTTTGACAGGTCGCTCTCAAATGTACTAAATCTGAATCGGGAATATCCGCATTTCATCGTCTCTTCAGTGTGATGTCAATTCGTTAGCTCTTCTGCGAATGAGTAGCATTGTCCCTGAGATCCAATCGTAGTAGCACAATGATAAATTTGGCGGAACATCTGTTCATTTCTACGACAACAGGATTTGGACAGCACACTACGTAACGTGAATGCGCAGGTGGAGCCCGATGCTAAGCAGTCAACCGGTGGTATCATCACCGCTTTTGAACTGATCTCTCTGACATTCACTGAGTTCTAGCACGGCAGCTTGAGCCCTTGTCGTTTTGTAAGTTCAGAACAGTCCTCAGAGTGTTAGGATTGTCTTGCTGAGTAGAGCTTGTTTATTTCGACGTTGCCGACTTTCTCACACTGTTAGGCCCCGAAAACAGCTTAGCGCAATGGTTACCCAGCCGGAGGTGTTCATCCTCAACTCGGTTCTGTCCTGGCGAGCGAACGCGAATCAGCTAACGAGTCACGTCAATGCATCTGTGATCCTTTCTCGTCTCGTTCCCAGCCTTGTGATCGGATTTAAAGGAGCTGTCATGTTGCGCCAGTGCGGCCCCGCGAAGGTGCAGGTCGCAAACGTTTTTCCGGGCATTTGTAGGTGGGGTGGTCAATCTACCACGTACTCTGGGGAACATTAGCCAGCCGCAATAGTCAAGCACGCTCTCCAATAATGGACAACATGACTCAACCGCACAATTCAAAGAGGGGCAGAGAAAGGCTGGTGTAGCTGCAACTCACGAACGTAAATCGAAAACATCGTTCTTTAAACCATCAAGGTACCAGTTCTCCTCAGACGTCTCACAGCAAGAGAACAGCAATTCAGACAGGATGAAAGCCGGTCAGTGGGACAACGTAAGTGTTCCGCTCAAAAAATTCCCGTGTGTCACCAGCCTAAAACCGTTACCCGGCAGAAACTGAAGCAGGTCGTCATCCGCGATGTGCCCATCCCAGAACCAGGCCCGGGCGAGGTCCTGATCAAGATCAAGTCGGCATCTTTATGGTATGATGACATCTCCCGTTCTCGTTCATGATAAAAAAAGGCCTGAATAGCGAAACACAGTCATTCCGATCTCATGATGTATAACCGTGCCAACGAAGAACCCATCACCATGGGGCATGAGGGTGTAGGTATCATCGAGAAGATCCACCCCACGGCCGAAGGCAAGGGATTTTCGGTTGGCGATGCCGTGGGCTGTGGCTACTTCCTTGATTGCTGTTTCGAGTGTGAAGGCTGCCTGACTCACAACATGCTATGCGAGACTGGTAAGCAAAGGCTACAAGGCTTCACTGCCGACGGGTTCTTTGCAGAATACGCCGTCGAAGCCTGGCAAAACCTTGCCAAGATTCCTTCATCCGATGAGTATCTGTCGAAAGCGGCGCCTATTTTCTGCGCTGGAATTACAGCCTTTCACGCCGTGGACAGCTGCGAATTGAAGGAGGGCCAGTGGCTAGGTGTCATTGGATGCGGTGGCCTTGGTCAGTTAGCTTGCCAATATGCCAAAGCCATGGGCTGCAAGGTTCTCGGTATTGATATCAACGACGCCACCTTGGAAGTTTTCAAAAAGCAAGGTGCAGATGCCATCTTTAACTCGAGAACAAACAAGGACTATGTCGAGGAGCTCAAGAAGTTGACCAATGGAGGCGTGCACGCTGCTGCTGTCTTCTCGGACGCCGATGCCGCGTATGCCGGCGCACCGTCTGTCGTCAGACTGAACGGTCTAATCATGTGTGGTATGTGCCCCTTTTTCACATTCTCGATGTTTGATCTGACAAAAGCAGTTGGACTACCGAAAAATCCGCTCTCCTGGGTGACGGCACTTGATCTCTGTATCGGTAAGTACAGATTGAAGGGTGAGTCGACCAGCATTCCTCAGCGAATGAAGAAGGCTGTAGACTTCACAGTCAAGCACAAAATCATTCCAGAAGTCGACTTCAGACCGCTGGAGGATCTAGGCAAGATGGTGGAGGAGATGCAAGCTGGCAAAGCTACCAAGCGCCAAGTTGTTGTATTCTAGAAACAGAAAATACCAATCGGTGAATTACTAGCGTTATATCTGCCGTGCACAAACGTAGAGAGCTTTCACACAGAACGACCCTTTTTGCTTGACAAAAATCAAGATAAGAAGCGGCTACGAAAACTTCTACGAGTTCGAGCACGAGCGGTTTGAAGCGCGAGCATACCGAAGAGAAAACCCCACGAACCGGATATATGACCCACGTTTTGACAATGTACGCCTAAATTTTCTTTTTTTTTTCTTTTTTCTCTAAGCATGTGGCACTACATAAAGTTGGCGGATATCTATTTCCAACTTGTTATCAGCTCATGACGTATGTAGATCCGTCCTGTAGGTTTGGCGGAGCTAATCTGATTACCCGGAATGAGCAAGCTAATGCCAGCTGATCACTTGGCTACGGCCCGTCCAATATTCCTGGGGGCGGGGAAGCCCAATTTCCAGTCCATGATGTGGTTGATGAGGGGAGGGGGAATAATCATAGGGAGAAGATGGACGTGTTGGAGAGATGGACATAATGGCCTGCGTCCCGCAGCTAACTGTATCGTCGTTTTAAATCGCCAAAATAACTCACCCGTTGCTCTGGCCAGTCTTCCTTTCGAACATCATGACTTTGAAGAAAATTGATCACACTTTTGCGTACGATGCGCTTTCGTACGACGCGAAGCCCAATGAGCAGCCATACCTCAAACTTTCGTTCTTCTTTAGCAAGCAGGACGACGTGTCATACGAACATTTCCATCGCCATTGGCAGAGTATTCATTCGGACCTGACGATAGGTACCAAGGCATTCAAGTCAAATCAAATCCAGCGTTATGTTCAAGTAAGAGACAATGAAAATAGCATCGGCACTGTCATGATCGAGGACTAAACAAGCGCTAGCTACATTCCTACCCGGAGTTGAAGAAAATGGTTGCCGACTCAGGTAAAGTTAGACATGATGGCTGTTGAGGTCCCATTTGTTTGTGCATACACTAAGCAACAGCGAAAGGTCTCGAAGTCCTCGACTACGACGGATGTTCCGAAATCTATGTGAGGAAATTTGAGGACTGGGATAATTTCTGCAAGGCAAGTTGCTTTGCAAAGAGAAGACTTCTCGAAGTGGAGCTGACCGTGACGAACAGAGTGAGGAGTTCCAAAAAGCCCTGATGCCAGACGCACCGCGAATGGGGATGAAACTCCCCTTCCGCTGCTTTGCCTCATACGAGAACGTGATCTATGGGCCCGCTTTGGAATCGATGGGAGGAACGCCAGGAGTCACAGCCGAAACGCCTCGGAGCGATGGTAAATAAAGCATATCAATATCCAGCTGATTTGAAACAATCGATTGGTTGATAAATGGCTGAAGTGAACCAGATAGTCAATAATTAGTGCTGCAACACGCTGACAATGAGAAAATATCGACAACCTCATTTGGCCCCTACTGTTCTTCTAGCATACAAGTCTTCTGCTCGTTTGTGTATTGCATAGCTTTACTGCGAGCACATCGGCTGTTTTGCGATAGGCATGCAGGAGAAGCGAGCCTCATGCCTAAAGGGGCAAATTAGATGGCTGATCATATCAAGGGAAAACATTTCCGGGGTTAGGGAAACATCTAACCTCCGCTCTGGAGAAGGCACTAGCCTAATGGTTATTGGTAACCATGGGGTTATAGTGGAGAGAATTGCTTGTGAAATCAATTCAATGTAAGCTCATGGGCTTCGGAAGATCCATGTATCCGGTATGGCGCCAACAAGCTTGATGGGGTTTCCTGTGTATGGACGTGAAAGCAATTCCTGGAGAAGGGGTCGGATGATCAGCAGTGGCGCATGGTATATGTACCTACGGATACCCTAATAAACATTGTGAGCTAGGCCAAATCACTGTTGCGAACGGATCCCTTCACCAACATGGCGCAAGCTGCTCCTGTCACAACTGGAACTGAACCTATGGAGCATGAAAAGAGTTTTGAGAAGGAAGACGCTCAGCAAGTAGAGATTGCATCTCCTGTCTCATCGACAAATGAGGAAGAAGTCCATGTTACCGCCAAAACATGGTGGGTGATATTTGTAGGTTGCCATTCCGTATATTGTGTTGTTGCAGCACTGATGGTTATAGATTCTTTCATCGACTTTCGGGTTATCATTTTGGCCGGTTCCCACCACGTCTGCGATGATATCCGGTCTTGCTACCAGGTTTAATGCAACTGAAGACTCGTACTGGTTTGGTAAGTGCTCTCGTAGAAGCAGAAGCCCATTCATGAAACTTATCGCTGGCCCGAACGATAGTCCCAGCGTATACGACGGGATGTGCGCTAGGCTTCGTCATAGCGGGTTCCAATAGCGACCTTTTCGGCCGGCGTCTGTTCCTCCTCTTCGGAAACACAGTCTCATGTATTGGCTTCATCATCGCCGCAACAGCAAAAGGTAGCAGCCAACTTATTGCCGGTCTAGCCATTACTGGCTTCGGAGGAGGATTTTGTCGTATGGTCTCCCTTTTTATCCGCATTTTGGCAAAAACGTTAATGATTCCAACAGAGATGGCAATGTGTTCGATCCCTGAGATGATACCTAACAAATACCGCCACATTGGAATATGCTTGAGTGACGGCTTTGTCTTCGTCATCGTCATCATTGGCCCGATCGTGGGTCGTTATGCAATAGAATCAGGAAACGACTGGAAGTTCATCTACTGGGGAGGTTTCATCGCTCAGTTTATCTCCTTGGTCTCTTTAGCCGTCTGGTACCACCCCCCGAAGCATCCCAAGGGAGTTCCATGGAAGGATGGCATTCGTGGGTTGGACTATGTTGGAACTGCCTTGGTCGTTCCAGGTGTAACCTTGGTTCTCGTTGGCATCATCAACACTACCTACAAGTCTTCATCCGACATCACGGTTGTTGCACCCATGGTGGTTGGGTTTGGAGTCCTTGTCCTTTTCGGCCTGTGGGAAACCTTCTCGAAGACGAGCTACAAGCTTTGCCCTCCGCGAATCTTCCGGACACACAATGGACGCGAGTTTACCGTACCATTCATCGTCGCCTTCATCGTCACAATGACTTACTACTCCGGAAATGTTATCTATCCTACTATGATCAACGCTTTCTGGGTCGACTCCACAACGCCGCGATCGACACAATTGCTTCTTTCGCTTCCCCCTAACCTAGGTCTTGTGTTCGGTGCCTGTTGTTTGATCGCTTTTGGAAACCTCCTGGGACACTGGAAATGGACTCTCTGCATTTCATGGACAGGTATGGTGCTTTGGGGTACGCTGCAGGCACTTGTCACACCGTACAACCAGGGCACTATGATAGCCTTTACCTTTCTGCAAATGGCTTTCTTTGGCTGGGCGCAGTATGAGAGCATTGCCTTCACACAGCTCGGTGTCCACCAACATGACCTTGGCATCAGCGGTGGCCTGGCAGGCGTAGCAAGATACGCTGGTGGCTCGCTGGCTCAGGCTATTTACACAAGTATTCTGACGAACACCCAGTCCCGTCGTGCTGCCGCCACTGTTCCACAAGCAGCCATCGCAGCTGGTTTATCCGAGTCGTCCGCCAGACAGCTGCTAGCAGCATTTCCCTTGGGGGCTTCTGCGCTCAAAGCCATTCCAGGAATGACTGATGAGATTCTCGTAGCAGCCAGCTCCGCATATAAGTGGTCGTATGCGCAGTAAGTTTAAATTAGCAGACCGACTGGCCGATCTGCTGACGTGATTGCAGTGGTCTCAAAATAACCGCTTTGTCTGCCCTTGGATTTGGTGGTTTGGGCTTCATCATGTGCTTGCTTTGCGAGAACATTGACTCGAAGATGAATAACAAGACCGAGATCTTCCTTGAGTACGTTGTGAAATCGTGTTTGTACCCGCTTACGCTAAACATTGCCAGGAACGACATACATGCGGAGAAGAACGAGTTCCATTGAGAGCTTCCTCTGAAACGTTGGTCAAAAGAAGATTATCCAGACAAGGCAATTAGGGAGCGCTCTCTACGTAGCGCAAACTGTCTTCAAACCTGAGCACTGTTTAAACTGTACTCTTATGGTGGATAAAATTGGATGCCAATACTGTAGGCCTGTGTAGAGCTGCGGTTCAATTTAAGTTTACCATGCCGTTCATATGGAAATTTTAGCGATAGAGCCACAGACAAGTTAAGACAAAGGTTACCCACTCTGAACCCACATGTTGCTTTTCCGTCATGTGACGTCGCAGGGCCCGTGCTCTTCGCGGATCTCGTGGGGCGCGTTCCCCGTCATCTCCAGACAAAAACATAAACAGTTCCTTGACGCTTCGGTATCCCAGCGGTTCTCGACACAATGTCACAGATACCGAGACCGAACAGCAGCGCTGCGTCTCGCCTAAGCACGCTCCCTTCGCAGAAACCTCGCCAGCTTTCCCATCTACACTCGCAGCTGGCGCAACTCACAGCCCATGTATCGGACCTGGAGAACTTGCTGAGAATGACGGCTGTCCAGGCCGATGCCATGAGAGGCCTTGGCGGTTATGCCGGCGCGATGTACGTCTATTTTTTCTTGCCTGACTAGGGTTCTCCGGAGTTTGCTGACGTTCAGTTAGGTTTATGGCTGCCAGCAAGGTCTTGGGGGAGGAGACAGTCAATGGCGCAAGCCCAGCCGCTGCTCAAACTTCGAACGACGTACAGCGTAGTCGCAACTCGGAATGATCTTTCCGATCACTCAGTCACAACTAAAGGCGGTGGCTCAAGTTTGAGAACCCGGCGATAGAGCGTTTCAAAGGCCTGGTGGGCGCATGCGGGTGAAAAATTCATGAAGGCTTGAGGCACTTCTCTTTTCAAGCACCACCCGCCCAATTTGAACAAACGCTAAGACGGATCGACCTGCATGTGGCCTAAGGGATGAGGCGCAACGTTCTGAACCTTGGCCAAGAGAAAGAGGGGATTGCAGAGATCGTTGCTGAGGAATGGGAGTGCGCCACGATTGATGGCCTGGGGTCAAGCTAAACTTGGGATTCATCAAACAGGCGAAGACTAGAGAAACTTTCGGATCAGGTTGCGAGATAGATAAAACGACGGAACCCGTGTCGCTTTGGTCGATGAAGTCTCTGCGTCTTGGACAAACCGGGGCACTCTGAGAGAAGCTGTGGTCGCTCTCGGCTCTCTCAGCCAATCGCACGTATACTCAACACGATCTCTCACATGCAGCCGAAGGCAGGGGACCGTCTATTTGTTCTGTTTGGCATCTGTACGAGGGATCTGGAATTCTAGAAGCCTTCCTGGAGTGGCAGCGTCTCTGCTGCTCGTCCCTTTCAGATATAAGCTGTAAAGTATTATCTAAGACGTCCCAAATGTCACCATTTTTGCATCATTTTTCGCAAGGTTCAGGATGCATGTCTGTGTGATAAGAGAGCCGGTTTGAGTCTTGATAGGCGTGATAGCAGGACTTGTCAACTGGCACGTTGAGGTCCGAGCTCGGTCGTGCGGCTCTTCGATTGGGTGTGTCGTCTGGATTCCGCAAGGTCGAAGAGATAAGTTATCACTGTTTGCTTGAATTTGTGGGTTGTGTACAACGGAAGGGCTTTCGTCTATAAGATCTCGCGACGCCCCGGATTTTTCGTTTCGAGTTTGGTGCTGTGCAACATGCTTCCCCCAGCGGACGCTGAACCACACGGCACGTGATCTTCGTCTTTGACGCCTGCGCGACCTTGTCTTGTGAATCAACTTTGTTTGCCTTCTCCAGGTCCGTCACTGGCGCTTCTCCTGACGGCGCCCCCCAGCCGCGGCCATCTGGAGCCACACGTGCCCTCGAGACAGATCACATCCACCCACGCACGCGACCTCAGATTCGCTGGAAGAGGTGCGGCCGAAGAAGCCGCGTCGCACGTCTGCGGATGACCAGACCGCTCTCCGCCATCCCCGAGCGACACGTTAGCACTCGTTACGGACTGCGCGCTGTCCCATGTGAGCGACAATGACGACGAGGGTCTATGCCCGGCCGCGCTCAATACAGGCTATATGGGCGTGTCCCGCCCGGGATTTGTGCTACCGCCGTAGACGACACGGGTGACGGGCAAGGGCGCTGCGGACCCCCACGCCAAGGACGTGGATCATCTGAGAAGAGCAAGGGTCGGCCGTCCGATGCGGCATGCCTGCGTGAGCCAACATCCACTTCGGCGGGTTGGCCGGGCCTGGTGGCGACCACGGCATCTCGTCGTTGCACAATCCTGGCTGGGCCTGCGCACGCTGGTGAGCTTCAGCGTGGTGCGAACTGCGAAGCGTCGCCTCTTTTCGTGGCCGTTACTCCATGTTCTTGCCGCTGTCAACGCCCGCGTGCTCTCGAGAGTGTGCTCCTGCGCCTGCGCTGCGGTCGCCTCCGCGTTTTTGAATTGGGTCCCGCCGGCCTTTCGGGCGTGGCGACGGTGGGTGACACGCATTCGACACATTGGCCGCCGCGTTCTTTCGAGATACGTCGGAAGCGCTCGAGGCACATGCTTCTGCGACACCCCGCATCCTCCGGACGTAGCTGCGGACTGCCAGCATAGCACGGCGTTGACACCGCTGCTGAGCCGGGGCGCACCAGTCTCGAGCGACTGTCCTTTGCCTGAATTTGAACGACTGCGCCGAAGTGAGAGTGGAGCGACTCGCTTATGAAGGAATGTGGGAGCGCGTTCGACGTCGCCTAGTGCACCATTCAACTCTTACCTATGTCCTCTCCTCGTACCATCGCTTTGTATCGTGCTCTGCTCCGCTGCTCAACAAAGACCCAGTCTCTGAAGCTTGCCTCAACAGGGTGGCCTTCAGCCGTTCACTCGAAGCTATTGTGTCCACCCCCTAGTGCTGCGCAATTGCAGCATGCTTGCATGCGCAGGACCAAGGTCCACGCCGTCCAAGCCTCGGACGACAGAACACAATTTGTCTTCTGCGAATTCAGGCAGCGCATGGAGAGACACTGGTTTGTACACGGCTTTCGCATGAATGGTTTCTGCAGGCTAGAGTCTAGATTTTTCACACAACAAAAATAATGCTACAGTACTCGGAAATGCTCGTCGAAACAAATGATCTCCACATCGTTCCGTGTGTCTCATCATTCTGAGAATTTTCATCGTCTAAATTTGCATTGCGCACATGCTCGGATTTGAAATGTGCGACACTGGAATGGGTGTCGCGCGCCTAGAACACTCTTCGCTGACTGCAGGCCTTCCACCCGCGACTCGTGCAGGTCAGCCAGATTCTAAAGCAGGCTATTGTGCCGCCTTGTCGAATCAAAATTTTGGGAGCCGGTACGGCGGCACCGCACAAAACAGGCTTGCTGAGTGGGACGCATGCTTCTCTCCGAAGCCATGCGACATTACTGCGAACCGACACTGCTCTCTCGTGCAAATGACTCGACTCGCGGCCCGTCAACCAGGAATGGATAAGAGTCGCATGCGCGGGTTTTTTCCACTGAGAAGGCTCGTTGCAGGGCGTTGGTTGGCTGAGGCCAAGCAATAGTTCGACCATGGACCCAGCCGCAGAGGAACTGGTCATGTCCGCGCTAATACCCGAATGTTCAATTTGGGCTCCATTCTCGGACCGCGATCTCGAGACGTACGGGCCCGGTGGCTGCATCTCGCATGAGGTGCAGCATGCGTGAGCAATCCTAGCGCGTGAGCGTGCGTCTACCGAGTCGGCCAAGGCGTTCGGGTGTTCAAGGAAGAAGCTTTCGAGAACACGAAGGGACATCGGATCATGTACAAGTTCCTATTGCCCGACGTTATTATTAACAAAGGGTCGAGTAGAGAATGCCGGGCCTTGTGGCTCTCTCCATCCGTTGCGTCGAAAGGAACGGGGTATCCACATGGTCCCTTGAAGATCTTCACGAGAAACGGGCGTGGATTGTCAACCGCCTGCATGGAAACGGCAAGGCTGAGCCTATGCGAGGTCACTTTCCGCAGAGCGTCGTTGCATTCTCCTCCCGGGCAGATCCTCACGTTTTGGAGAGACAGAACACAGTCGTGACCTCAGAGTGATGTGTGGTCAGGAACGCCTCTCGTCCATTTGCACATCCGGCATAAGATCTGTGTGATGCGGTGCATGATCCTCGATCCAACTTCTCTCGAGCCGGGTTGGAGGGGCTGATCAGCGACTGGCCCTTTGGATGGCTTCTTCCAGCCAACACCACGCACGTCAAGAGGCAGGCAAGATCAAGTAGGGCCTGCTTACGCACTAGTGCGCTTTCACGCTCATTTCTGAGCATTTGTTGAGCATGCTCCGTGAACGTACATGACGAGTCGAGGCTGGCGGGCGAAAACCATAGACGGTATTGCGCTTAGGAGCCGCAACATCGTGGTCGACTGCCGGTGACAACGTCCGGCGACGGGGATGTATACAACCTGAGCCTCCCGCGAGATGACTGGAGGTACTTGACCAAGCCTGCGCCGGAGGGCACAGGCAGTGCCTCCGTGACGGTCGAAGCATCCAGGCATGCAGAGAACCACAGCCGTGGGAGTTTGTTGGGTCCAGCAGCAGTAAGCTCCACGAGGCGAGAGGCAAGTCGCCGTCCGATGACGCAGTCTGTAGGCAAAGACGCACACCCGGCGACGCGCTCTCGCCGTGGGCTGCGGCCCTTTTTTGGACCGGCGTTTTGCGGGCACCTTTCCGGACGGGCCTGCGCCCGTCTCCAGCAGCGGCGTCCCCCAAAAACCCCTCAACCAGCGACTTCTCGACCGCCCAAAGCCACGGCCACCAGCGGAGTCTCTGCTCAACAGCCCCCAGGCGCGAATCACTCCTGCGTTATGAGCACTACCCGCAGCCCGCAACCGCCTCAGGCCATCTGCCACGGTCGCGAAACAAGTTCGGGCGGCGAGCCAATTTAGAGGAATCCCGCCTGAAAGCGACCCCCACATGCTCTCCACCTGGTTCGCCATCGCAGCCAATGTTGTTGGACTCCATGCGCAAGGTTTCCCAGCAGTGGCGTGCCCTCCTAACTCCAGCCAACCTAGCGCTCTCGGGGCCTGCGTGTCTTTGCTGCGCGACGATTTGCCCGTACCATGCCCCAGTTGCCGACCCTCTCTAGTCCCGACCGTGACATTGTTGTAGTTCCAGGCCTGCTCGTCTTCTGCAGTCTCCGTGTCCTCCATTTTTGCGCTCCGGCTCCAGAGCGGCAGATCCAGCGACAGCGAGGGGCCTAAAACAAAAAGCACTGCGCATCTCTGCGCTCATCGCCAGCCTCGAGAGACGCAGTTCCTCGCCTGCATTATTTCTGTCTCAGCCAACCCCAGACTGTCCCGCTGCTCCGCAGACATGGCAGCGCACATTGACGAGCGTGGGGGCACGACGCATGCTCAAGCTTCGACATTTGATGATCTGGATGTCGCAGGCAATGGGGCTCACTCAGACTCGCATGTCCTACACTCACCAGCCGACCGTCTGAACAACCGTTCGTCTTCCCACCACACCAAGACGCCTTACTCGACCGCTTCTTCGACGGCACAGTCGTTGACCTCTACCACCACAACCGACGGCACCCTGGATCTTTCTCCGGCAGACGAAGCAGTGCGCAAAGGCGTGCTGCGCCAGTCGTATTTCCCCGCGTGGAAAAACGACTCTGGGGGCGTCGAGGAGACCCCGGAAGACATGCAAAAGAAGGATCCGCTGGCAACACAAGTATGGAAGCTGTATAGCAAGGCAAAGTCGCAGTTGCCAAACGCGGAGCGTATGCAGAATCTGACCTGGAGGATGATGTCGATGAACTTACGCAAACTAGAGCTTGAGCGCGAGAGCCAAAATCGGTGGGTTCCTGCAAAACCTGCGGGATTCAAACCCGGCTTTGAAGGAGACATGGAATCTTGTTTGCTAACCACAGGACACCGCAGAGCGAAGTCACAGCCAAGGGCAGCTGTTTCCACTGCTCCGAGCGGCATTGCGCAACTGCGTAAAGCATCGGACAACCAGGAGAACAACGACAACAACACTCTCGCACCTCCAGCGCCGAGTATAGCTGGTGCGCACGACGCGATGAATTTGGACGATTTCATTCTGCCCACGTCGATTGGCACTCCAGCTGGGCTTTCGCCTTCGCCGTCAGGTGAGAAAATGGCCAGTTCCGCCGTTGGTGGCGGTGTGGGCATTCCAATTCGAAAACACAGCAATGTAAACGACCAAGAACTTCACATTTCAAGAGCCTCAATGCCCGTGAGCCAACATATTTCGGGTCGCGAAAACGAATTTGGGTACGTGCAGAGGCACGTACGCAAAACCAGCATAGACGAACGAAGGGTAAGGATCACGCTAACGCCACCCCGGCAAGATAATCAAGAACTGAGAGATAAGCAGCCACCTAAAAGACGAGCCGATGCCTCTCCTCAAGTTCAGCCCGTAAATGGCATTATGATGCCAAATGGTTCCGCTCAAAACACGGAAATTAATTCTTACAACCTCGAGCACGCTCCGTCCTCGTTCCAATCGGGCTCAGGGCACCAAGCTCAGGTCCCTTTCAGCCTGGACACTTTTAACATAGATAACGACCCGATAATAAGCTCTGCTGGTCCCTTCCAGCAGGGCTTCTCCTTCTCGCCTGCAACATCACCTCACGTCAATTATGGGAATCAGTCAAGCATGTTCAACCAAGGATCAATGGCGTCGTCACTGAACTCGGCGGATTACTACAGCCCTCCAGGCTCTACATTCCACTCCGCCGTCTCTACCCCTCAGCCGCTGGCAGATGGTGAACATGTCTACTTCGACCGCAATAGCTCAAGGTCAGTGCATCCATTTGGGCAGCCATCTCAGCTGTCCACGTCCATGCAGACGCAGTATATCTTCAATCCGAACAGCGACCAGCTTTTCAGCGCTGTGACGTCTTCGAGCTCGATGTCTCAGTTTGCCCCCTCTAGCTTCGATGGCTCTGGCCATGTGAATCCTTCTCAGGTACTGCACCATGATTTCACTTCCGGTCAGATCCAAGGATCCGGTTCGCAACGAGGCGACGGAATCTTTCAATTTGGTGGCGACTCCGACGAGAATGACGATGACGATGGAGGTGCTTTCGCTGAGCGAATTCCTTCGGTGCCGGAGTATACTGGCATAGAAGAGTCCGGTCTTGACTTTAGCAACGGCTTCCAGTGGGAAACGAACCTTTCTAACCGCTTTGATCCGAACTCTGCACGTTACCCAGCCGGCCCGCCTCGAAAAACGGTCACAATCGGGCCAACGGAGATGATGGGTTCAAACCAGGAGTGGGGTTTGAGCAGCAGCCTTGGTCGTACGCATGGTTCAGCAGCCTCCGTCAGCGAGCTGCGCAACCGTAGCAATGATCCTAGAAGGCAGAAAATCCCCAGAACTGTCTCTTCCCCGAACACCTCTGGCCTCTTACAGGGACAAGGTTTCCTCCCTCAGTCTTCGCCGAATTCTCCGCCAGAATCCGGCTTCAACTCGGCAGCGCCATCACGACCTGTGAGCCCCGGTGGTACCAAAGACGGCGGTCAGCCAACGACGTGTACCAACTGTTTCACCCAGACGACTCCGCTCTGGCGACGCAATCCAGAGGGTCACCCGCTATGCAATGCATGTGGTCTTTTCCTCAAGCTGCACGGCGTCGTACGACCTCTTTCGCTGAAAACTGACGTCATCAAAAAGCGAAACCGAGGCAGTGGAAATGCCGTTTCGACAGTTGGATCAACACGATCATCGAAGAAGTCGTCACGAAAGAACTCGATTGCTCAGACTTCTCCTGCTGCAACCACTCCTGGGTCAGTGAAAGGTCCGAACGAGTCCGAGTCGCCCAAGTCTACAGCCGGCTCCGTGAACAGCACAGGGACGGGATCGGCCAGCGGGGGTCTGGCAAGCTCCGCTGCTGGTAAAGGTGGAGTGGTACCAATAGCTCCGGGACCACCGAAACCCCCAATAGCCACCAATTCGCAAACGCCAAGAAACGTTGCTGTTGCCCCAAAGAGGACGAGAGGTGCCAGTAAGAGTAGTAACTCGCAGGAGGTTGACATGGGAGATGCGGACGACGCAACCGGCAACTCGCCGCAGAGAGTCCCTCCGTCACGATCAGGAACACTTGGCACCACTGGGTCGACCATATTCCCCGGCGCTTTGGGCCAGGGTATCTCTCAGTCGGGACCTCAAGAGTGGGAATGGTTGACGATGAGTCTGTGATAAATTGTGGACACCGGAGTTGACAGCTCCGCGAGTCCGTTCGTTACATGCTTTCGACTTTGGCGTTCCCAAGTATGAAATCCGCGGGCGCTCTATCTTTCCTAACCGCAAACGACGATCTCACGCATTTTATGATTTTGGTGTCGGCCTCAAACAAATTATACAACATAAGTTGCTTCACGCTTAGCAACGCGGAGATACCCAATACACATCTAGATACCCTTTTCAACTTTGCAGGACTTCGTACCGGTCGTGGCCAATCTTTCTCTGCATCTGCTTTGCTCATCATGTGCGGCCTGGTGCTTTTGGGCAGCTCCAGTCCCGACACGCAAACCAGTACACATGCAGAGAACGTTGACGCAGTGGAGGCAGAGCGCGCTGCGTGGCTAATGGCAGGAGACGAATCCGAACGAGCGAATGGGCGACGGATGGAGGAGGCAGGCGCTCCATCTATGCCTGATGGCACACACACACACACACACACACACTCTCTCTCTCTCTCTCTCTCTCTCTCTCTCTCTCTCTCTCTCTCTCTCTCTCTCTCTCTCTCTCTCTCTCTCTCTCTCTCTCT